CGGAGAACATCCTGGCCAATGAGGATGGCTCTGAGCTATACCTTGCGGACTTTGGACTTGCTACGAACGAGAAGATGTCCACCGACTTCGGTCGAGGGACGTCGATTTACATGAGTCCTGGTGAGTTGCTCCGCTCCGACTCTGACTCTGCGTCTTCAGCTGCTCACGCACCATGTGCAGAGTGTATCGGTGATATGACTGCGAAGCAGCCATACAACACGTACCTCAGCGACATCTGGTCACTGGGCGTCGTCCTTGTCAACATGATCACGGGCTCGCAGCCGTGGTCGAAGGCGACGATCCAGGATGCTTGTTTCCGTCAGTTCCTCATGGACCCGGACTTCCTATACAAAGCGCTCCCGTTTTCTAAGGAGGCGCACGCCATCATCCAGTCGATGTTCCATCTCGACCCCACTAAGCGGATTAGCCTCCGCGCACTCCGGGAAGCGATCCTGTCGCTTGACACATTCTTCCGCCCGATGTCCCAGCGCGGGTACGTTGTTCGCGAGCATGAGCACCCTACCAGCGGGCTCGCGGCCTCCGGGCGCGGGCTCGAGTCGACTACTGAGGCATCCGAGATTGATATTCCGTGTGCTGCGTCGGAGCCTGGTGTCCGGGTGGCCCGGGATTGCTCAGCCGGCTCTGCCGTCGACGTTTCCATGGCCCAGTTGGGCTTCTCTGTTTCCAGCTCATGTTCGAGTTCGCGTGCGTCGTCTGGGGTGTCGAGTCCGGAGAAGGTGATTACCCCGGAGGGCACCACCACCGCTACCATTTCTATTTCTAAGGCTATTAACGAGTGGGAACGGATGATGGTGGATGCGTGCGAAAAGGAAGTCCGTGGCGACCATGGCTGGCAGAACGGCTCCGTGGCTAGGATGTTGATGACTCAGTACCGCTACCATGAGCGGTGCTCGTTCTAAACCACTCCTCCCTCCCTCTCATCACATCCTACCACTACACTGGTTCCGGTTCATTTCTTTCGCTTGGACGGACACTGTTCGTGCCTCCTTGTACCAACAGCTATATCTGCGATGCAGGCATCTCTTATATGGCACAGTAGACTAGAGTTTCGGGGTTCGATTTGGACATTGGACACTTTCGAGTGCATTGTATTTCATCATATCGCATAACACATCTTTCTTTCATCTCGAACTGTGTGATCGCCCAGAGGACATCGTTCCATGAACACATTACACCGGCAAACTTGAACTGGGATAGCTGCCGGTCCAAGGTCCATCCGAGCTTCGTGAAGGCTGGTGACGATATCTCGTCCACTGCTCTCTCCGCTGCTCTCAAGGCTTCTTACCCATTCTGAAACGTGGTCGCACCCGCGTGACAATCAGCTACTCCGCTTACTGGTATGACACGGCACTCACTTCGAGAAGTCTCGCTCTCCTAGCTGAGTCCAGCAAGACGACGAGCTCGCGATGTCTTCTCAATGATCACTGCGGCGATACTATCCGGAGGATGTTTGGTGATCGAAGAGCTGCGGCGGTCGAAGGGAGGTTGTAGTGGGAGAGCGAGAGCCATGACAGAAGTGTCATGGCGCGCCACTCGTCCAAGCTGCCCAGGGACAGTGCAAATAAGCGTGGACGTGTCGGCAGCTGTGTCAGGCTTCGATCTGGACGGATCCACCTTGATTTAGAGAAGCGGAGGCTAATGCTAAGGCATGCGAGAGAAGGTAGGACAGTAATGAGCATCGCGCAAGGACCCGATAGGGTGTTGGTGTTTGACGCAAGAGAGCCTTACAGGCTGAGCCTCGAGAGGTTAGGGGGGGAGGGTGTCCAGCGAAATGGGGAAGAAAGGTCGGCTCTGCGATCGCCAGAGGGCCAACATAGGTGGGCTTCCCGAACGGATGGGAGCCATACACACATGTCCTCGCAATGGAGGACACGTTCGACGAATAAATCATAGGCTCTGGATTGCCTGGCGGCGACGGATCTGTAAAGAGCGTGTCTACTGTCTGCAACCCAGTTACGGCAACCAAGCTGCAACAGCAGAGCGTCGGAGGATCGTCCACGTATGCGATGATAGCGTCGCAGATCTCCCCTGATACGTGTTTGTGCGGCATTGTCTGCAGACTTTGACAGCGCATGATTCTGGGATCCGTGGAATGCACCCTTACCTGCTAGTATCCTTGGACAGCAAACTGTCTCATGTGATGCGCCCGTGGATACTTGTGTGGCTTAGCTGCCTGTAAACACCGAATCATCGGCTGTCGAAATGTTTGGCTGGGCGCAATTCCACGCGGTCTTGTGGTTTCTCCCTCAGTCAAGTGATTGCTGGAGATGACCCTCTCAGTAATAACAGGCAGGTCGCTGGCATGTGCAATCGAAGACCACTTGCTCGGCCATCCTTGGAACACGCGAGTCGGCACACATTGATCTGAGGCTTACAAAAGTTTCGCATTGGTCGATTCACGGCATATTCCCGCGGCCGATCCCTACTGCGACTAACTCATGCTTGACCAGCTGAGTAGGAAGACTAATCCTGGCGCTTGCTAAATCATACCCGTCAGCTCTCCCCAGATGATATTATGAGGCGTCGAATGCGATACAGTTACATGCAAAGTGGATCACACACGCTTCTCTGTGCCATAGAACGCACAGGATTCAAGATGACGATGGACCCTGGATTGTCGGAAACCTCGGGTAGCTGACCAAGCTCACCTCGCGAAGGCGGGACCGGGGATAGAGGGGATGGGAACGCTGTACGGCCCAGACGTCGTACTTTGACGGAATGCGCGGGAGGCGGTTCTCTCGGGCAGTCAACTGTACATGGAGGATTTCATAGACGCTCGTGGACATTTGTCAGTGACGGTCACGTGGGCACATTAGGCAGACTAACGCGATCTTGGGGTTTGAGCCAGATAAAAGCAGGCTCACGATCCGCCCCGACGACCTAATCACCACTCCCTGTTCATCCACGATAACCACTTGACGCTTCACTACTACTACCACTATCATGCCCGTCAAAGCCGTCAGCAGCCTCGAGGAGTTCAAGAAGATCGTACGTGATCTCTCGCTTCAGCACGTGGGGATCAGTAAGCTCATCGGTTAATGCGGCGCGCAGATTGAGGGCGACAAGACCGCGGTGTTCGATTTCTGGGCGACGTGGTGTGGCCCGTGCAGGCAGATTTCGCCTATCTTCGAGAAGCTCTCTGAACAAACCGAGGGCGTCGATTTCTACAAGGTCGACGTCGACGAGGCCTCTGACATCGCGCAGGAGGTCGGCGTCCGTGCCGTGAGTCTCTGTCTCAATATACGACCAGCACCCTGCTCTCATCTTGCATGCGACCGCTGTGGCTGATCGCATGTTCGCTCGTACAGATGCCGACTTTCATGGCGTTCCGCAATGGTCAGAAGGTCAGCGAGGTCGTCGGTGCTAACCCCCCCGCTCTCCAGGTACGCATAGATCTTGCTCGCATAAGAGACGATTGTTCATATTCCTGGATGAACAGAACCTGATCGCCACTCATGCGGCGGCCGCTTCTGCGTAGAGGAGGAGTGTATCATCGTGGACGCGTGTTGTATTTCGCAGTTTTGCAGACGCATAATCGATTGTACTATGGATATCTGTGATACATGAATGAATGCATGGCCGCATGCTATGATGCAATGGCGCTGCCCTTGGTCCTCGGAAACGGAAGATGTCGCCACGGGCCGCCCGGTCCTGTAGAGCGTTCGGCGAATGAGCGCCAGTTGACCTCTGCGGCGATCAACCACGGTTTCGGTGAGCCCTCTGATAGTCCCCCTTCCTTATCTCCTCTGCTCATGAACAGTGACATGTCCTAGCTTTCAATGCAGAGATACTTCACCTCATGCGTCTGCCACTGCCTGGCCGCAGGAAAAGATGTTGGAACGAGATCTGTCATGCATGAAACAACGTAAGACAGTCAGATGACGGGGAAATGTGGTGCAGGTCTCCCCATTAGCCTTCCGTAAGGCCTTCTATAGAATCCGCGGCGCGCATCGTCCATCTCGGTGGGCTGAGAAGCCGCTCCAGATCCACTGCTCTGCATTTCACCATCATTTCATATTGAATGCAGAATATGTGCAGTCATATGTACCAGTCTTGCGTCATTGGTCTCATGCAAGCTCTAACGGGGCTGGCCCTTTTGTAGATCATGCTGCAAACATCGGCACGCTATGTAGCATCATTGTGGAACACCTCGCGATCGGTAAAGAATGGTACGAATGCCTCTGCAAACCCTTCGCTCCGTGTCTAAGCTTCCATCAAGACCTTATTTAGGTCCGCCGGGCCCCCGGTCGGTTTGACGTTGCCTCACCGCAGGCCTTCCATGCTTCGACACGAGGCCCAACGCGGTCACGAGGTGAGCGCGAGTCAGTCATTTGCCGTCAACAATTTACTTCCATCGCCAGGACGGCTCGCCCCATCCCGTCCTAATAAATAGAGCCATGGGCCAGTACATGCCCTTTGTTGCTCCGCGGACCTACCACTTCGACGACCTCGAAGACAGTGATAGGCGATGTGGTTCGGGCAGCTCTCTCTACTTGCCGCCGGGCTCGCGCCCGTGCTCGTCTCGGCGGATGTTTTCAGCTTATCTGGGTTGGATTGGACGCTCAAGAACGAGAATGGCTCGATTGTCATACCCGCTAAGATTCCTTCTCAAGCGCACCTCGACCTTCTTGACGCCGGCATAATCACAGAACCCCTCTTGGGCATCAACGGTACGTCAAAACGAATTTTAATCTGAACACAGGGTCTCACGATTGGTGGTACAGATTTCACGCAGCGGTGGATCGTTAACGACAACTGGACGTACACAGCTGACATCTCGCCCTTGACCCAACATCTTACGAACGACGCGAGGGCGCTTCTTGTTTTCTACGGCATCGATACTATTGCGAACATCGTAAGTACTACGTATGTACACAGTTTGATATCCATTGACATACCTTGCTAGACCGTGGCTGGAAACTCAGTCGCGTGGGTGGACAACCAATTTCGGCAATATGTCTTCGACGTTACGGATCTCGTTCTCTCGCCTGTGAACAATGATACGAACGTTACTGTTGCCCTTGAGTCGGCCTGGTACTATGGACTCAACGTCACCTCTCGTCCGGATGCCGAAATCTCTCCGACTGGCGATGTAAGTCGAATCACGCTTGATGTACTTCGCATTCTCATCTTCGGCCAGTTCGAATATCCAGGTGTCCGTCAGTGGATCAGAAAGACCCAATCCGACTTCGGCTGGGACTGGGTGAGCATGGTTCCGGAGTTTTTACCCGCATATACTCATTTCCTCATAGGGCCCGGCATTCGTCCCCAGTGGCATCTTCAAGCCCGCATACCTTGTGACGCTGTCGCCCAATGTATCTACAAACGACACGACACCTGTCTCTCACCCCCTCCTCGCGTCCACAGGCAGCGTATTCCTCGAGGAGACCTCACTCGAGATCTCAAAAGTCGGTCAGACCTCCATCCTCAGGGCAAACCAGTTCGCCAATTGGCTCGTCACCGTCACCCTCGCCGTTCGCTCCGTCGTCTCCGCCAATTCACCCACCATCACCATCGCCATTCCCGAGCTGAATGTGACCTCGGGTCCTCTTCTAGTCAGTGCTATCCCCGCCGGGACGAATGCGTCTACCGTCGTCAGTGCAAGTTTCACGGTGCCCGATAGCGTACCGCAGCGCTGGTTCCCGCACAACCTCGGCACGCCCCAGCTGTACAATTTCACCATCACATTGGCGCTCGGTAACGATCCGAGTAGCCCGCGCGCGAGCTTCACGACGCGGAGCGGGTTCCGAACCATCGGGCTCATTCAGACGCCGTATTCGCAGGATGAGATCGACGTGCGGGGGATCACGCCTGGGGACCAGTGGCACTTTGAGGTGAATGGGAAGGCGTTCTACACGCTCGGGACGAACATCATCCCGTTCGACCCGTTCTATGCGCGCATGACGTCTGCGCAGGTCAGGTGGGTGCTCGAGAGCGCGGTGCTCAGCGGGCAGAACATGGTGGGTCTTCCTGCGTGAGGTCAATGGGGAATGGCGTTGACCGTGTCTCGTGTTTGCAGCTGCGGGTCTGGGGCGGCGGGATCTACCAGCCGTCGGACGAGCTGACGGGCGGATACGACTTCTACGCGGTGTGCGACGAGTTGGGCATCTTCGCGTGGTCGGAGCTCATCTTCTCGGACGCGCTTTACCCCATCAATGACTTCCTCCTCGAGAACGTCGAGCCGGAGGTCCGCCAGAACATCAGGAGGATCAACCGTCATCCTAGCAATGCGCAGTGGGCTGGTGGGAACGAGATCGAGGGCATCGTCATTGGCGTGAACACCTCGTTGGCGAATGGGACGCATTATCTGAACGAGGTAGGCTGCATTTGCTTGTTATGTGGTCAGATACTGAAGGCGTGCGTCAGTTCCAAACGCTCTTCGGTGAGCTCTTGCATGACATAGTATTGGAGGAAGAATCTTCGGTTAGCAAAGCACAATGACTTTGAGCGAATGGGAACTCACCGTGACGTGAACATCCGAAGGTCGCCTATACGGACTGTTCGACTACCAGCGGTGTCCTCAGTCTGGAACCCTACGTGATCCGGTACAACAACAAGACGGCGGGCGACATCTACGGAAACTCTGGTCAGTTGTTATCATGACTGTGCTGGCACGCAGGCCTGATTATTCCATCAGAACGCTATAACTACGACCCCTCCGTCGCCTTCGATTACACCACTTACCCCGTCTCAAGGTAGGCCATTCATTATATGCGTCTGAAGTGCGATCTGATTTGTGTTGTCAGGTTCGTGAACGAGTTCGGCTTCCACTCCATGCCCTCGTTCTACAGCTGGGAAGAGGTCCTCGAGAACCCCGAAGACTTTTCCTTCAACTCGACTGTCGTTGCCTCCCGTGACCACCACCCGCCTGCCGGCTCGCTCGCGTGGCCCAATCCGAACGCAAACCAAGGCCAGGCACAGATGACCGAGGCCGTTCAGCTCTGGCTGCCTACGCCCAACACGACAGACAAGAACCAGACGTTCGCGCAATGGTGTTGGTCGACACAGGTGTTCCAGTCTCTGAACATGATTTCCGAGATCGCGTGGTATCGCCGTGGTGCCGGATTGGGCGAGAACAACCTGGGCTCGCTCGTATGGCAGCTGAACGACATCTGGCAGGGCGTGAGCTGGTCGTCGATCGAGTACTCGGGAAGGTGGAAGGTCCTCAACTACGGCATGGCGAGCATCTACTCGCCCGTCACTATCTACCCGTTCTGGTACGCTGGCAACGAGACGCTTGACGTGCTTGTTACGTCCGACCGGTGGGAGACGGTGAATGGCACGGCACAGCTGACGTGGTATGACTGGAGCGGGAATGCGCTCAATTCGAGCAGCGTGCCGTTCGAGGTCCCGACGCTGAACAACTCGCTCATATACTCGGCCTCGGGCTTGAACGCGATCCTACCTTCTGGCAAGAACGCGTCGGACGTGTTCCTGCTCTTGAACGTGACCGCCGCGGTGAATAACAAGACTGTAACGCAGGAGTCCTATGTAAATACTTGGGACGCAGTTCTTCCGTGCACCATCGCTGACAAGGTCTATCTCACAGTTCACCCCAGCTAGCCTCGCATCGGCCAACCTTGTCGACCCAGCAATTGAGCTGACGTCCGGCGATAATCTCACCTTCACGCTCTCGGCGAAAGGTGGTGTTGCGGCTTTCGCATGGCTCGATCACCCCTCGGGCACCGTTGGCTACTTCCAAGATAATTCGACTGGTCTTCCTGCGAACGGTTTCTATCTCGTACCCGGCATTGACCGTATATGTGAGTCCTACAAAGCTATGCCACCATAGTTGGATACTCGCTGATCGGGCCTGATGTATACAGTGAAATTCATCCCCAACCCTTCGCTTTCGAAAGTGGCGGACCCGGACCCAGCAGACTTCGTTGTGAGATCCGTGTGGAACAATACTCATCTATGAGAAGGCGTTCGTACGCCCGAAGAGGATCATGCGGTATGGGAGACACTTCAGACTGTATTCGGGCTCCCGATGCGATTAACAACTCGAATGAAATGGGCCACAATTTGTGCATCATGTTCTCCATCGTGGTTTCCGAAGGACACGTTGTTGACCTTTAGTCCTCATCTGTGAGCCCATAGTCCTGATGCAGCTGCCGGATCGTAGTTTGTCGGTACGCCGCGAGCTGGGTATATGCGCATATAGCGACCGTAGGTCATCGTATGATGGAACTTAGACATGAACTCCATACCTTGCCGATCAGGATCTATGTTCAACAGCCAAATCAGTTACTGCAAATGGATTATATGCTCACTCAAGTACGATGCTTACCTGTGCTGCGTCCTTGGCCTCGTTGTACCTGTGTAGGAGCTTAATGTGCCGCGACACGATCTGCTCTGCATTCTCGTCTTCTCTGTGTACACGTTTCTCAGCGCCAGCAAGGCTAGGTAGCTAAGGGCGAAGTGTACCCTAAGATGTTCTGGAGCTCACATATCTCAGCTTGCAGTGCTGCTATGCGTGCTTGCTGAGCCTTAATGAAGTATAGGGCTGTCAGATCCATTCAATGGTTGACTAGCTGAGACCAAGACGGCTCACCTTTGTCGAGACCTTGGCGTGCATGATGTTCGCGATAGGTAGAGACTAGATACCGGTTTGTTGCTACGTGGGACTTAGCATTAAACGCCCCCGGAGAACATGCTCGATCAGGAACTTGAGACAGTTCGCCGAACCGAATAGAATCCGCTGAGCAGATGACGAGTATACTAGCACGTGCAAACTATCCTGGCAGCTCGATAACTGGAGTGAACCAATACTGAAAGTGAACCGCGTTGTCGTGTCAGTACTACACCTACAACCTCGTTCATTCAAGTCACGGTTTTAGGGGCCAATTGTAAGCAGGTGTAGAAACATTTCCCCGTGTCGGAATCGACATCAAATCGCTTCGACTGACTTGGAGTGGCTAATTTCGAGTCACCGACGCACTTCGATCGAAGTGGTGCAGTCGAACTCACGGAAAGGTAGTAGGCCTGCGAGAAACGAAGGCCGAGCGCTGCGCTGATGCCAGGGTGTCGGCCCGGGTGGTCGGCGCTCTGACAGGACACGCTTGTATCCTTCTACCACCACCGTCCAGGCAGAGACGAATCCATGCGGCATGACTTCGGGAGCATTCCCCTCAGAGCCTGATCTGTGCATTTCTAGCGTCTCTATCTTGGGTGTCTAAACCGTGGACTATACTTGTGCTTCCTCTCTACGGCTGCGCATGCGTTGAGTTGACCACGCCATACATTGTGAACGTAGGCTCGAGTGGGTTGGCACTCGCAGAGAGTTTCATGATGAAGAAGTTGTTGTTCATCCATGAGTATGTCGGTGAGTCCGTTTCCACGCGTCTGCAAAATCGTTGCCGCGGTGAGTCCCCGCTCCATCGGAGCGCGCTTTCCGTCAAGAAGTGGTGTAGCGGACTTACGCCCAGCTGTAGGAACCGGAGCCCAAGGCACTGGTCGCGTTGAATTCGGTTGGGGTTAGTGTCTCATTGAGCCTTTGAACAACGCTATCAAACCAAGACTCACCCGATACCGTAGGTGAAAATGGACGCTAGCCGTCTCCCAGACGTATGGCAGAATTGTTGACGAGAAGAATGTCCCCGAGTTGCTTTCGATGCCGTTGTCTGCTGTTGGGAGGAGTATCGCAACGAGCTTTCCCGTCTTGGCATCCGTGAGGTTACCTCTGCGTGTGGACGTTTCATAGTGAGACGCTAGAATTGGAGCTCGATGCAACGCATGACTTACCCGGTGAGGGGAGCGTAAACGCGGACGCCAAACGGACCCGTGGTGTTCTTGGAAACGGGAAGGATCGACTGACCAGCGAAAATAGCTTCAAAGTTGGGAGGCGGCTCTGGAGTTTGCGCCGTAACTGCGATCGCAGTTACGGCAAGGATCCCGGCAAGTGACGAGAGGAATGAGAAGTACTCCATCTTGGGATTTGTCCTTGACATATTTGGCTTTGCTGTGTGAGTGTCTTGCCTGTCTCCGCTATGCACGGTCGCTGATGTGTTTTATACCTAGCTTGAGTATTCAGCGCTCTTGCAACGAAGGCCGCGTCAGAAGGTATGAGGTTGGGACGCTGCGCACGATCTCCATCTTACACGCTCACCGCGCTCTTTTCCAAACCTTCGTTCAAGGGTCTTCGCCACTTTCGAGCCGCCATTTAGTCAAGTCGCTTGCAGTCTCGTCAGATGGTTGCTCCTCCAGTGCGTACGCTTTCTAGCTCAACACAAACATTGTGAGCATGTTGCTTATGAAATTTGGTCAGCGATTGGACTCGTGACACTGGTGCGATGGTTTCGTGCTTGACATGCTTGTCCCCCATTGCAAGCAGCTTGGTTTGGTGAACACTATGGAGCCGGCCTATAGTGTCATCTCGGCTTCCGACCGAAACTCTCTGGTTTGTCGTTTCTCATGGTCGCTTTATCTCTGCATGACCCGCGAACGAGTCCGAACTCAGCCAAGCTTGTAGGCTACGTCGGCCCTCATTGAGCCAGCGATTCAGCTCCCGGTTGCACGTCCCACCCCCCAGGCCGATGCCGTTACTGGTCCGGCTACAATCGATGGTCTTCCCCTAGAGTGACACGAGCGGCTTATTGCCGCGTCAGCTTCTTACTCAAGTATATTTTTCAGGTCCTTGACATACGCCACTTCGCTGCGCGACACGAGAACGTGGAGCGACTGGCGGCTCGGTCAATCGGTGTGGCGTACTCAGCTTGCACAAGCTGAAGCTTCCGATCAGAAGGTTCCTCTGTACGTCTCATACGTTTCATCTTAGAATTCTATTCTTCACGTCTAGAGTCGCTTCTGGCGGCAACATGAGCTTGCTTTGGAATCCGTCCGAAGCGGCTTTGGGATGTCGGTTTCGTTCTGTGCTGGTCTACTTGACCATATTTGCAGTTCGCTTTCAATCCCGACTGGTGTTACTCTACCTCTCACTGGCCTGGCCGGACGTCTCAAGGCGAGGGCGAAGGATGGTACATTGCGGGTTTCGACCGGATGGACTTGGTTGAGACACAATCTGGAGGTGCTCAAGGTGCCGTGCCCACAACAGATTTGGAAGTCGCTCACGAGCTTTTCCAGCTCTCTCAGGCCGTATACCAACGGTGGCTGCTGCGAACTCAAGTTGGACTGGATTGCGACGGGGGAGGGTTGTTACAGTGCGGATGTGCTCTCTACTTCCGGCGGAAGCTCCTTGGAAGCGACAGTCCAGCCCGAGCGCAGAGAACATGCTTGTATATGCGTTACGCGACACACATCGGATGTGGAGCAATTCGTCTCCATCAGGTTCATGTTGTTCAATACGCAATGTAGTGATCTCGTCTGGGGCATAGCACTTGCACCGGAAGTCTGACACAGGGACCGGTAGTTGCCCTCGGGTGGTGACTTAGGCCTTCGGGTGTGTCTGGCTCTGCCCACTGCTATTCCCCTTGTATCCGCGACCTCGCACGAATTTTTTCCAAGTCCAACATTCTAAGTGAAGCCCTTGGGGTCCCGGATATGTATAAAAGGAGGGCATTTCGCCAGCCAAAACCCCCCCATACCTCGTCGTCGTCCCAGGTGGACATACTCTTCTTACCATCCTCCCTTACACCCGCACACCGTATATCCCGCGCATCCTCATATCCACCACCATGGTTGCTGCCAAATCACTCCCCAACTTCATCGGCACCGTCATCGGTGAACGCTACCACCTCACCGAGGAGTTGGGCTCCGGCTCGTATGGCGTCGTCTACAAGGCGGTCGACCTCACGAACGATAACTTCGTCGCCGTGAAGGTCATCCGCACGGTTGGCCGGAGCCCCGCCGAGCTCGCCACCATCAAAAGAGAGGTCGCCCTGCACAGCGTCGTCGCGCACCACGAGAGCGTCGTCGGACTCATCGACGCCTTCGACACCGACGAGTACTGCTATATGATCCTCGAGTACATCCGAGGGGGCGACCTGTTCGAGCAGATCGTCGAAAAGAAGTCTTACCAGGGTAAAGACGAGCTTCTCCGGAGGGCATTTGTCTCGCTCGTGGACGCTGTCCAGGCGTGCCATGACGCGAAGATCGCCCATCGAGATCTCAAGCCGGAGAACATCCTGACCAGTGAGGATGGTTCCCGGCTGTACCTGGCAGACTTCGGTCTTGCTATGAACCAGAAGATGGCGAGCGACTGCGGTCGTGGGACCTCCATCTATATGAGTCCTGGTACGTCTCCCCTTGTGTAGTATCTTGGCGCGATTTGCTGATGTCATGTCCTGCTTCAGAGGCTACGGGTGAATTGACTGCTCGGCAGCCATTCGACCCATACCTCAACGATATCTGGGCGCTGGGTGTCATCCTTGTCAATATGATCACGAGGCAAAACCCGTGGTCGAAGGCGACATCCAGGGATGCCGATTTCAGTCAGTTCATCATGGGCCCGGAATTCCTGCTTAAAGAGTTCCCCATGTCCAAGGGGGCTTTCGCCATCATCCGCGAGATGCTCGATCTCCACCCCGCAAAGCGGATTAGCCTCCGCGCCCTCCGGAAAGCGATTCTTTCGCTTGATACGTTCTTCCGTCTGCCTTCCCAGCGCGGGTACGTTGTTCGCGAGCATGAGCACCCTACCACCGAGCTCGCGACCTCCGAGTCCGAGCTCAGGTCGACTACTGAGGCATCCGAGATTGATATCCCGTGTACTGCCTCGGAGCCCCTTGTCCGGGTGGCCCGGGATTGCTCAGCCGGCTCTGCCGTCGACCTTACCATGGCCCAGTTGGGCCTCCCTGATTCCAGCTCATGCCCGAGTTCGCGTGCTTCGTCTGGGTTTTCAGATGAGGAGATCGTGATTACCCCGGAGGGTACCACTTTCACTACCACTTCATTTTCATCTAAGGCTACTATGTGGGAACGGATGATGGTGGAAGATTACTACAAGGAAGTCCGAGGTGGCCATGGCTGGCAGAACGGCTCCGCGTCCCAGATTCTCGAGGCTCGGTACCGCTACCGCGAGGTGCAGTACGACCGTTGACCATATTTTCCGCCGCCACTACCATTTCCCTCTCCGCTCTTACCCCGGATTCGTGACTCATTCTCGATTCGGATGGACACTTCAGTGCCTCTGTACCGAAAAGCCAGTAGAGTGATGCAGGCACCGCTCTTGTGGCACACCAAATAGACTTTGATTCTGAATAGAGATATGTATGTTTGATATAAATATCTACAAATATCGTTCCCCATGCAATGCTCTTACGTTCATAAACATGCGCACCACTGGCATACATCTTGGCGTGATATACGTATTCGACATTGCGACAAAACCAGACAAAACGTGATGTTGGGCGGCCCGGGAGTAGACCGCACGAAGCGAACGCCGTAAAGGCGGTGTAAAGCGGCAGGTTCTCCTGGCGGTCAAATCCCGATAAGAACAGCCTGAGATACTGGAGCAGCCAAGGCCCCGGTCAGTCCAACAAACGCATTCGATCCACCATGGCACGTGTCGAAGTTCCGGATAGCATCCTTACCGCTTCCCTTGACTTTCCATTGGCACACCACACACTTGCAATCGCTGTCCTCCCCACCTTCAGGCTCACTTCAACATACACGAATGAACAATTCATCCCCGCAGCCGGAGAGACCTACTCAATTCGGTTTGAGGCGCAACTGAGCGCTGAGGGTCGATCCGCCGGGGTCGTGTTCCGGGCGCAACTGGTGTCGCAGTGCGACCCCAGCATCAAACACGATGTCGTGTGCAAGATAGGCTGGACGAGAGAACACCGGGGCAGATTGAGGAACGAGGAGCTAGCTTACCGTGAGCTTACCCAACTCGAAGGCGAGTTCATCCCGTACCTGTTGGGTGTCTTCGAAGGGACCAGCTGGTTTGGACGTGCTGAAGGCAATTTTCGACCCTCGAGGCCTATTCGCCCTGGGGGTGGACGCCATATATACTGCTCTGGAGTTCTTCGGAGCACGGCCTCTATCTAGTTAAGATTCCTTCCTGGATGCAGCAGTTTCAGCGACATTGGCGCATGAGTACTCATGGAGAAGATGTCGCTTGAGAACACTCCGGATCAGTCAGAAGCAGCATGATCATACTACAACGACGAAGAAGTCGGCAGCTCATTGATGAAGTTGACTGATGGGGCAGTCTCTTTGCTCGACCACGCCTTCCCATCAGCTACACGGTAGATGATGAGGTACGTCGCTACTTGCTGCCAGAGAGGTCCTAGATGAGTTTGGCCTCTAAACAGCGTGGGCCGCGACATGCGATAGACGTACCTGGGAAGCCTGCGTGAAGCCCAGCAAGACCTGATTGACCGGCTTCTCCAAAGCGTAAGATATGAGAAATGCGATGGCGAAGAGGGAGTACAGGGCGGCAGACTCAATGACGAGGGTAGCGACGGAGAGATAGCGCTTCACATGCTCGGGCGGGAGGGACTCCATGTGCATACGGCGGAACATGAGAAGACGGCCGACGATAAGTGTAGTTAGGATGATGTTCACACCCAGGGAGAGCGAGAAGTAGGCGATTCCGTATGAGCGAGGCAGGGTGTTGTAGAGGGAAAAATCGGGCTGAGTGGAATAGACAGTCCACAGCGTGCCAAGGACTTTCCCACTTTCGCGTAAGCTTTCTGTCGCGTGTCACGAAGAAGTGATGTATTGCGTACCAAACGATGCTGTGAGCATAAGGAACGGCACAAACGTCACGATATATGCAATGTGTTGGTCGAGTGCTTTCCAGATGACCCAACATCTCCAAAGCTATTTGACGATGAGTATAGCGCCTCTCGCAGTGCTTGATAGCGGTACTTACCACGAGCAAATCGCACATGAATATGGCCAGGTATAGAGTGACGAGATAGACAATATTGATGGGCTGGCTTTGCGTAGCGAGGAAGTATTGCCATGGACCGCCCGGGTAGTTTCGGTTCTCGACGTATAGCAGTTGAACCGTACGAGCTTGGGCTATGGAGTAGATAGTTTGGACGATCAATAGCGCCGAGATGTAGCATAGGAGAAAAGTCGTATGCCGCCCCTTCCGCCGTTGCTGGAAGAGGTACAGCGCGCAAGATGACCACAGGACGAGCTGCATGCCTGGGAACCATGACAAAAGTGTTGATCAGCCGACTATGTGACAAGGATGATACGCAAAGCGGACGTACCATATCCCACACCAGACACGAAGTCGCCCGCAAGGAAGAACCTCTCGAGATTGATGTCATCCTCGCTTTCATGTTGCCCATAGTAGGGCTTCGACATGACGAAGACAAGAGTGCGGGGAGGGGAGCCTGCGTAGAGTGCAGCAGTCTCGGGAGACCACCATCGACTCCTAAGAGATGAGGGACTCGATCACAGGAACCGATATGCCTTCCCTCTGATTCCGCCCCATCGAGCGTGGCTCGGGATACAAGGGCCGGACCCCGCCTTGACGTTTGCTTCCACAATTCTGACAAACGGTTTGGGAGGGGAAGTTGTGGGACATACATGGCATTGAAATAGTCACCACCGGGAAACAGGTGCTATGTTCTGATAGGGGTTAAGCTGCGTCCCCGAGTCCGTACGGTTCTGCTCAGGGGAAAAAGATCGACATTATTGGACAGCACCGGCAAATTAAAAGACATGCAAAGCACTTTGGCCTCCTTGCTTTCTACTCGACGGCGATAGTGAACGTCAGTAGGGGTCCACGCTGGTAATTCATACGCACCAACGACTCACATAACAACATTGGATCGAGCGCGATGATCCTGCAAGACACAGAAAGAACACTCTGGTTGCGTGGTGAGTATCCGCGATTAGCCGCGAATAATGCCGTGACGCAGGAAACGGTTGGCTATGTGGTTCAACAGGGCCAGTCAAAGCGCCGCGCGGCTCATGACCTGATCGAGGTGCCACTCGTTTGGTTTCTGGCCCTCGAGTTGCCCCTGACTCAGCTCGAGCTCGCTGTGTCCAAACTCAGGCTGTGCGAGGTTTGTCCAGAAAGTGAACACAAATCAGCTATCAGTACAAGGGTGCTTGCTAGGTCATACAGGAATTGGTGGTATGCAAGGAGGCAGACTCATGCGCTACGAGCTTGAGCCAGTCCGGAGGTATACGTCGTCTCTAATGTCGTGATAGAATTAGATGCGCTTATTCACCGCCTTCGTCTTTCTGTGCAAAGTCCTGCGACACGGTGAAATCGGTCGTCAACTGGACGTCCGACGTTCCTGTCGATTTTCGCGGCCTCGATGAACTCGTCGCGCGAAGCTCGACCGTGTTAAGCGTTTGAGTCTCCATTGCCTCCTTGGTCCACGCGGTTCCGTTAATCACTCTGTAGATTATGAGGTACGACGCGACTTGCTGACGCGAAGTGTCGGTATAATGTTCCTTCAGTGATTGAGAGAGCAACGCACCTGAGCGGACTGTGCGGTACCCAACCAAATCTGGTTGATGGGCTTGTTCAACGCATAGGAGACAAGGAACATAATCGCGAAGACGGAGTAAAGCGCCGCAGACTCCACGATGAGATTTGCCAGGGAAAGGTAGTGTTTCGCATGCCCAGGTGGGAGATGTGCGAGATGCGTGCGGCGATACATCAGGAGCCGCACGAGAATGAGGGCCGTTAGGATGATGTTCACGCTCAAGGACAAGGTAAAATAGGCGGTGCCGAACGCGAGGGGCTCCTTGCTGTACAACGAGAGACCGGGATGGCTGGCCTGGAGTGTCCAGAGCGTGCCCAGGACTGACACCATTGTGAGTGGACAACCGGAGCAGCAGTTCGCTCGGCGCGCTTACCGAACGATGCGACGAGAATGATGGCGGGGAGCGAGATTACGGCGTATGCCAGTCCGCGACCAGAAGCGGCCCAGATAATATGACAGCGCCAAAGCTAGAGACAGAGGTCATACACAAGGGGATGATGAGAACGCTTCGAATAAGACGTACCACAAGGAGGTCGCACAGGAACGTCCCGATAAACAAGGTCGCGTCAAAGATGACATTGATAGCGAGGAACTGCGTGTCCAGGAAGTATTGCCAAGGACCTCCAGGATAATTGCGGTTCTCGACGTAGACGACCTGAACTGTGCGCGCCTGTACAATGCAGAAAATGAACTGCACCGCAAGCAGGAGGCACAGATAGCCGATGAGGAAGAGTGTCTTCCAGCTCCTCCGCCTCTCTTTCCACAAGTACGTCACGCACGTCGACCACAGAACGACCTGAACGCCTTTATCGTTCTCTCAGGGGCGCTCTTCCGTCGCACAAAAGACGACTCACCAAAACCAGTACCAGTCACGAAGTCTCCGGCGAGGAAATATCTCTCGAGCCACTTCGTGTTGTCGTCCTCATCCGGTCCATAGTACACGCCAGGTTGGGGTGCCATGACAGAAGGGTCGCGGGTCAGGCTGGGACCAAGGAGGGTGTATAGAAAGTGGTGGCTCTGGAGAACCCCAGAGGATGGGCGGACGGGCGGGGCGATCAATACGCCTCTTTTAAATCAATCCTGACCAGGGCATCGGGCCCGGCAACGAGATCTGCATGGAGGGGGGAAAGCTGACCCAACGATCAGAAAGCCTAACCATCTGTCAAACCGTCGGCAAGCGTTGGTGCCCGGCGCCATGCGCGCGTACGGCATCGTCCACTGACTCTGTTTCAAATGTTCGTCTCGGACAAGCTATCAGAATCATTGGATTACGGTTTCCTTGTGCCGTTGGCGAAGGCTTCGCAGCGAACGGGATTGTTGGACGCCCACTAGGAGATTTTCATTTGTCGTTATGGCGCGAGAAGCTGCCGTTCAGTTCCAAACCTTGCCGTTCCTTGGCCTTCCTGACGAAAGGTACTGGATCCGGACGGCGCATCCCACAGCAGATCGCGCGTCTCGTGCATCATCCCCGGGTTCTTTAATCTGGCATACTGCGGTGATTAGCCGGGCCCTCTAGAACAGCTGTGCAGTCCGTTCCTAGCGCTCATTGTCATTATCCAGTGTCCGTCTCACCTTATCCTGTTGACGAGGGACCTCAGGGATTGCCTGGCACGAGCATCCGTGCGGTTCCCGAAGTCGGAAACCAAAGTTGAGACCTATCCGATCTGAACAACATACGGATTGGATTCTGTCGATTTGAACGTCTCCTATAGGCGTATACAGAACTGTAAGGCCAGGTCCGGCAGATATCTGGCTGCCATCTCCACCCCACCTGTATATATATCCCAAAGTAGAGCAGGACTATGTAGGGTTGGCCGAGTCGATTGTCCCATGAGACACTCTACAGGCACCTTCTGGTGCTGTCTAACAGTCTTATCGCTCCGCCATGTTGAACAGGAAACCTAGTTGGCCCGTTATCCAAGTGGTGATCGAACCGGTGAAGCTCTGACGACGTAAGTACCTATGTACACAGCAAATCACGGAGATTCACGCCTGCCGGCTCGAATGCACCCCACGTGGATTCCTCTGCTGCGTCGCTCTTCCAGAGTATCGTCACCAGGAATGGTCTTAACCTCTCATTTATCGCGCGAGGCTCACTAGAGCGCATTGAGCGACGGAGCATGTGAGCCTACCGTGAACAGGCACATGGAGCTGCGTCAGTGAGTAGGGGTGCTCAATTCTTGTCGGTCGCTCAGTTGCTCGCGCGCCTATTGGGCGCCTGCCTAGTTGCATTCAAGGTCAGCTCAAGCGCCTGCAGCACAGCGAGCAGAGATACGCAGGCAGCAGGTGCAACATGATCGCATGATGCCCCCGAGCTGGGACTAGAGAGCGACGCGAGGATTTGACAATTCAGAAGCTATAAAGTTGCTTGTCTCGAGATATGGAGTCGCCTTACAAGGTTCGAGTCCAGTTGCCATCGAGCCCAGAGCGGCACCCTCAGCTGAACCATATATATATGTCGTGCTGATTTTGTTTCCGACTTGGGCGCATTGTGTACAATAAGACCAGGTCAACGAGTTTATAAGCTCTCCCGACGTCACCATTTACTTGCTGGGCTGGTTTCCCAGGCCTAACAAAGTCAGCATGAGACGATCTTGTCGATCTCTCTGCGCCCGCTGCCTGCGTGTCTCTGCTTGCTGTGCTGCAGACGCTTGAGCTGACCTTGAATGCAACTAGGCAGGCGCCCAATAGGCGCGCGAGCAACTGAGCGACCGACAAGAATTGAGCACCCCTAGTTCTGATGGTTTCCGACGCATGGGAGTACTTGGAACGGATGCTATTTGGAGTACTTATAGAACGCGGGTACAAGAGTATATATTATCTACTTTCGCTAGGGTAAGTACACCGTGTTATGTTATATGAACATGCATGAAACACATTGGATGCAGCTATACTAGGCGCCTAGGGTCAGGGACGATATGAGTTACGGACACATGATGAGTGCATGTGAAGAGACGAAAGGCAAGACTGATGGGATAGCGAAACAAGACGACAGCGAAGTCCCAGTACCAAGGGAAGACATCACGAAACCTTCGAGGACTCTATTAACGTGCTGATGGGAGCTTGCATCCCATGATGCGAACTGAATATCAAGGAGCGCACGTTCAGTAACAGTTCATCAAGTACATAGTGGACAAGGTGCCAAGCACTTACCAGAACCGTCCCAGAAACCGACACCGTACACCATCTCGCGCGGGTGGAACGCAAGGCTACTGGTTCTCGGCGTGAAGGGAGTCGTCGTATCACGCGCGGGAGGTATCGAGAGGTTGATGCTCAGCGAGCCTAGTCCTCTTCTTGTCTCCAAGGATTGGACGTCTGTGCGCTGCGAGCGCGAATTGGCTGTCGTGAGAGACGATGTACTGCGACGCCGTTACGTTAGCGCGATAGTTCAATACGAAAGTTCGTCACGTACGCCGCGAACACTTCGGTCTGCTCGTGAACGTCAAACGCCGAGAGACCATGGGGGAACATATCCCACACTTGCATAGGGGAGTCACCCCCGCGTATGTCCCAGAGCTTAACCTCGCCGTCCAAGCTGCCAGAAAGAGACGGTCAATATCTAAATAGGGTATGCGCCACGACGCTGGTTCCATACCTGCCGGACAGGAACTGTCCTGCCAGCGTCGGATGCCACTTGACGTTCTGGACCCAAGACGTGTGCTGGTGGTAGGATCGCACGACCGCATCGTCCTCCTCCAGCCGTCGGTCGAATAATTTCACCGTCCCATCTGCAAAGCTGGCCAAGAATGTTGACGACGATCCGCTGTCAGAAACGAGCGCCGTGATGGGGCTCTCAGCGTTGGTATCGAGATCCTTGTGGGAGCAGTATCAGGACTTCGGTAGATCCGCGCTTGACGTGGGGAAGACATACCATGACCTGGCTCTCGGTGTGTGCATCCCATACACGAATGATCCGGGAATCTCCGCCCACCAGAAGCGTTCCGCCTGACTGCTTCCAATCCGTGATGACACCGCTTCCACGCTTCACTTGGAGGACCTCATTGAGTCCACGGAACGCGCTGACCATCTGTACTGAACCGCTGCACAGATTGGGATCATAGTTGCGGTACAATCGAATCATGCCGTCCGCTGAGGGGGTTTAGTGAGGTGCTAAACCGAGCGCGAGAGACAGTAGACGAACCTGCACCAGTGAGAATGATTCCTCCCACATCCTGGTTGATGATGTGCAATGAGGTGATACTGGTGCCGCGAGGATTTCCGTTGAAGAATCGATTTAGCCTCTTTCTCTTAATCCAGTCCCAGACTCTGAGTAGGTGCAATTGTCAATCTTGGAGCGCTCCACAACTACAGCACAAGACGCACGTTACCATGTCCGATTCATTGGCGATGACGAGATGAGGATCGAATGCGTGGAAAGCCAAGGTCAGGGGCAAACCGTTGATCTGAATAGTGTTCACGGGCCTGTCCCAGCGGCAGCGTGCTGCGCGAATTAGAAACGCGCTGTATCAGCGGAAGGTGTCAATTTCGCCGGCTGTCAAACACTTACGCGCTTCTCGCGACTGTTTTTCGGTGTCTTCAATCACTTGTTCGTTGCGTTGCTGACGCCAGACCTGGTAGTTGTATTGTACGCTACCCGGTTCGTCCACTTCGGGTTGCTATGCGCCATTTCGTCAGCGAGCGCAACATATGAAACCTGCAAGTTACGTACCCGCATCTGCGGTTCCTTAAAGTACTCGCAGCACCAGTCATAGAATCGGCTCTTCAGCGGAAGGACATCACGAATGCCGACGCCCGTGCCCAGACCCAATATGACGCTCGAGTCCACCGAGAACGTGCTGCCTGAAGGGCTCACGCCTCCGCCGAACCCATCCCTGTGGTGAGGGTGGCCGTGGTGGTGTGAATGATTGGCGACACGACGACGCGCCCGCAGCCGCTCCAAGTCTTCCTCCATCAAAGCTTCCATAACGTCGGACGCTAAGAAGTCCGTTGTTGGCGGAGGAGAATGCGCAGAGCGGGGTGGAGGGGCAAGCCCAAGATAGTTCTCTGAAGGGCTGCCAGGACGTGAATACGGCGATGTGTACTGTGCAAAGTTGAGGTTCGGCGATGGCGGTCTCGAGACGCCTTGAACGATTTCGACGCGCTCTTGAGTGTTGGACTGCGGCTGGGGAGAGGACGAGCGGCTGTCGTCGATGCTGGGGAACGCGATGTTGCCAGCCAAGTTCTTGAGCGCGTTCGCGAACGAGGATGTCCGGCGTAGGGTGCTCGTGACACCACTTGAGATAGTGCTGGTCATCGTCTCGCTCCTTGTGAGCGTAGGCCGGCCAGACAATGCGGACGGCTGCGCGTTGCTCGTTTTCGGGGACCAGTCCGACGGTGTTCGTTCTCGTACACCATTGGTAATGACCTTGCCGTCGGGGGACGTCAACGGTGGGCGATCCAGAGTCGTGCTGTCGAGCTTCGCGAACGGTGACTCCAGCAGCAGCGCCATGATGTAGTCCACGATCGTCTGAGCGTTCGTGGCGACTTCCTGGTAAGGATCAACGGACAGCTCGAGGAGAATGGAGAAGATCGTGAAGAAGGATGAGAGCAGGACACGGTTCTCCGCACGGAAGTCCTCGTCGTCCCCGAAGTTCTCGAGCCATTCGGCGACGGCAATCCCAGCAATGTCGTCGTCCTGGTGGTGGCCCTCGTCGCCTCCTCTCCACTTCCTATCCTCCTCCCAATAGATCCACGCACAGACGATGAAGTAGCCCCGCCACTCCTTAACGAGGCAGCTCACGAGCACGAGCAGCTCCTTCCGCACCATCGGACTGGCATCCTCCTTGATGGCGAGCGCCGCCCCAGTGACGACCGCAACCTCCATCCGGAAGTGTATCCGCTCGTCGAGCTGAAACATTGTCCCGCTCCCACCACCTCCCAGCTTGTTCGGGTCAGAGGAGCCTGAAGCGCCCAGGAACGTACTGAGCGCGTACAACGCCGCAGCGCGTACCTCAGGAGAGTCGTCCGACAGCAGCGCGATGAGTTTGTCCTGCATCCCTCTATCGACGCCCCATACCTTCGTCTCGTTGTTCGCATCCCAGATCTGCGCGATGCACAGCGCGGACCACTGCCGGAGCAAGAAGTCGCCCTCGTCGAGGTGCTCGAAGCACGCGTCGAATACACGCTCGCGCCAGCACGCGTTCTGCCCGTTCGCGTAATCTCGCGCGATCGTCGAGAGGATGAAGGCGCACATCGCCTTGTGCTCCGCGCTGTTTGGGAAGAGGCCTTGCCGGGGGTCGTCCTGCCCCGAGAGCGCGGACGCGAAGTACTTGTACCCCTGGTTGTTGTACAGGTCGACTTGGCAGCTGGGGTCGACGGCAGAGATGCGCGCCCAGATGAAGATGAGGACGGGCTTAAGGTCCTGGCCGGCGGCTTGCAGGAGACGCGCAATGTACGGGAAGATGCCGATGGTGAGGGCGAGGTGGACCGCCCACGGGCCAAGGTCCACAAATTGCGACAACAGGATTAACGCGCGCAGTCGATGAGGTTGAGACAGGAGGACCTGGAGGACGATGGGAAGTTGGTCTGGGGGCTTACGAGGAACAAGGTGGTGATCGCTCTGCTCTAGAGCGTTGCCCGAGTACGGGGTTGTGTTGCTCTGCCCTTCATAACTCTGATCCGTAGGAGTCTGGACAGGTAAAGAAAGGGGGCCGGGCTTGGTGAGCGCCGATCCACCACGAGATATCCAAACCTCGAAAGCGGTCAACTGATCGGTGAAGAACCTACTGGGGATGTACTGGTAGGGCTTCTCTCCGGGTGCGGTCGTCGAGACAGACGGAGTAGGCTGATCGTTCCTCGCAGCATGTCGCCGACTACGTGAACCAAGAGAAACGTCTTTCGCGACTCCGGGCTCCGCGTTCTTTAACAGGTCCGGTAGTTGACGAAGACAGGCGTCTACTGCCAGATCCCAGGATGCCCATAGCGGGTGTGTGTTAGTGGGCGGAAGAGGAGGGTAGGTATGCGGAGTGCAATGGTAGTTCTTCATGATGCGCTCGGCTAGGAGGAAGTTGCGGAACAAGGACGCGATCAGCAGGTCAGAGCGGTAGAGTCGTGTGAACACCTCTCGTGGAAAGGTAGTCCAGGCGATGGTATCCGTGATGGCGGTGAATATCCAGTTCAGCTCCCCTAGAGGTGTCCGCCGGTCCTTCAGGTCGCCAGGGAGTTGCATGACTTGGTCGGTGGAAATCTCGTTGGGCAGCTGATTCGTGAGAAGGAAGTATCGCAGGGCGATGTCGATAGGGGACGTGAGACAGGACGTGAAGAGATCCGCAGGAAGCTCCGGACACGAGGGTAGCTGTTCGTCGGCTGCGCATGCGGCGAGCTGGATACACTCTGAGAAAGGCGGCATACCTTCAGGATATCCCCCGCCATGTAGCCTCGCATCGTTGTCGCGTTGTTCGGCAAACTTCACGAAGTTGCTGAGTAGATTACCGGCAGCGGAGCAGTCCCAGATGAAGATACACGGCGAGCGTAGCCAATTCTGGATCTCCTGCAAGGCGATTGGGATGTATTGCGTATAGTTCCGGTTGAAGCACCAAAGCTCTCCGCTAGGGGTCGGCTTGGGCACACCGTGACCGTTATAGTGAAAGAGAACCGCGTCCTCCCCCGCGGACTTTCGTAATGTGACGCAAAACCGCTTCAGATCGTCCTTGGAAGGGTCTAGGATGGGCTTATAGGAGATCTTAGGGTTGAGACCTTCGAACTGGTGCTGAAGGTTCTGTCCAATGACCTCTAAAGCCTTATGCGACGGCATGGTATGCGGATCGACCCAGGCTTCGAGCACCGCACAAGGGTTTGTCTTCACGATATCTGGGGGGTCGACATCGATGTTGAGACAGAGCACGAGAGCAGCGTGTGCCGTCTTGATCTTTCCTGGGGCTGCGCGCCATGGAATCATCTTCGGAGTACCCGGTGGGGGAGGCGTAGGATTGCCACATGTGAGATGACGCTTGGCAGACCAATATGGGTGTATAGGAATGGCTTCAGGGAGATCGGTAACGGAGCCATTGTGACGGAGATCGGGGTCAGAGGTACCGTTCATGCCTCTGGTGCCGGTGCGGGAAGAGGATGGATCTGAGTGTGTGCTGGAACGATGGTCGCGTTCGGTGCCAGAGTCGTCTGAGCCTCTGGTCATGCCCGTCGGCCAACCATTGCTACCTAGATGGGACCTGGCGTTTGGAAGTGCGAGAAGGGTTACACGTCTAGTGAACTTACCTTCCGCATGGTGATTCCCGTACATCGCTCCTCAGGGTCTAGATACCCCCGCAAAAACGCTCCCCTTCCTCGCAATGTCTGCAGTACGAGCACGCGGTGACGGCGAAGACAGCGATGAAGGCGAGGAGAGGAGAACGACCTGCGCGTCCAAGGGTGGTCAGAAGGACGTCAGTGCCCCGGATCCTGGTCCGACCTAGCGGTAATCGGACTTTCAACATCGATTACACTCTTCCAGTCTTTGATTGAATGGGGGTAAGTGAAGGTAAGTAAGTAGAGTAATCATTTACAGCCACCTTGCTTCCTGACCCGTCCTGCAGCGAGCCTGCTAAGCTTCAGTACTCCCAGTCCGACACTCACCCTCCTTCGTCCGTATCTTACTGCAGCTCGTCTGCGACGTGGGGTGCCTTGGGGCACTCGGCACTTGACTATCGTCCTATAGCCTTATCTGACGACACGACACATTCGTTGTCGCCCGTTCGCACCGATGCCGCCTGCCGGGAACGAACCTACCCTTGGCGCAATCGTCGAAATTCCTGCTGGACGGGGTGTTGTCAGATTCGCTGGCGCCACTTCATTCTCTGCAGGCAAATGGATAGGGATTGAGCTGGCCGAGCCGAATGGCAAGAACGACGGAACAGTTCAGGGTATCAAGTACTTTACCTGCAAGCCAAACTATGGTGTTTTCGTTCGCCCGAGCCAGGTGAAGGTCATAGCGGCTGCCCCAGAGCCATCACAAGCAGTGAGTATTGTCATGACATGCTGCCCATGCTATATGTTGTAACTCGCTACAGCCTACTGTTGCACGAGCGGTCGGACATCAACGGACGGGCAGTTTGTCGCGCACACCTTCGTCTCGGTCTATCCCCTCGCCTCGAGCCGCCAGTCCTGCCAAACCCTCCTCGTCCGCACTCGGAAATGGCAGCGCCCTCCTCTCCCCTGGAGGCCGCACAGCAGCAGCAGCGCGTCTCGGTTCTCCCACCAAGCCTCGTCCGTCTCTTACGCTACAATCCCGTCCATCTCTAGGCCGTCTGGGATCTCTTCAGCCAGACGTTGCAAGTCCTACCAGGAGTGCCCGTCTACCTGAGTCTCCTGTTCTTGAGCCCGCTCCGAGGATCTTCCCAAAGAGCCATGGCTCCCCCGGACAAGCCTCCCCACAACCTCCGCAACCGTCCTCACTACGACGCGTCTCCTCTCCTGCACACGAAGACCCAGAACCCGAGCCTCTTGAGCCTCCAGAACCACTTGCTCCCAAACTACCCTCACGCCCCACCACTCCCGTCCGAGTGGTTGACGACACCGAGCTGCAAGAGCTCCGGGCGAAAGTCCGGGTGCTCGAAGCGAAACGCGCCGACGATGCGCGCCATGTGCGCGAGCTCGAGACGCGCCTGTCTGAGGCCGAGTCGTTCGTCGCGCTGCGTCCCAAGCTCCAGGCGAAGCTGAATCAGCAACAGACGGAGCTGATTGCGACGAAGCGCGAGCTCGCGGACGCGCAGCAGCTCGCGCAGCTCGCGGAAAGCCGGATCTTGGACACGCAGGAGCAGCTGGAGATGTCGATGTTGGATAAGGAGATGGCGGAGGAGCGAGCGGAGGTGGCAGAGGCGGATCTGGAGGAGCTGAGGGAGAAGTTGGCTATTCTCGAGGTTGAGCTGCAGCATTTGCGCGAGGGCAGAGGTATGTCCGCTCAGTTGTCTGGGCGGGGCAGAGTTATGATATTGATATCTGGTAAGATGGCGAGGAGGGCGGCGGGGAGAGCAACGTCAAGCAGTCTCTGGCGTATATTCAGCTTGAGAAGCAGAACGAACGTCTAAAGGAGGCGTTGGTCAGGTAAGTTCAGTGGTCGACGCACGTTGTTAACTAGTGTTAACATCACACATAGGCTCCGGGATCTCACCCAAGAAACGGAGCTCGAGCAGCGCAGGCGGATCGCTGAGATGGAGAAGGACGTCACGAATCTTGACGAGATCCAAAGTACGTGCTGTCACAAGGGAACCCTCTCCTTTGTATGCTGATTTGAGCATTGCAGCGCAATACGAGGCCACGCTCGGCAAGCTTGCCAACGCTGAAGTTCAGATTGAGGACCTGAAGGCACAGTTGGATGACGCTCTCGGTGCTGAAGATCTCCTCGTCCAACTCACGGAGCGTAATCTGATGCTCGGGGAGGTAAGTAGATTGTCGTAGCCCACTTCTCGACTCGTTCACTGCTTAAATGTGCGTAGAAAATCGAGGAGATGCGTATCACGATCGAGGATCTAGAGGCGCTCAAGGAACTCAACGATGAACTCGAGGAAAACCATATGGAGACCGAGAAGGCCTTGCAGGAAGAGATCGGTCGGTGGTTTCCATTACTATTCGGATACGTTGCTTAACCGTGTGTTTGCTTGCAGACGCAAAGGACGTGCAGATCCATGAGCAATCTCGCAAGATCCAAGGCCTTGAAGAAGCATGCCAGGATCTCGAGGGCACGATCGTCCAATTCCGAGAACTCGTTCTGTCGCTGCAGACGTATGGGCTCCTTCTTAATCCGACTGATCTCACTCTGATGTATTTTGAATAGCGAGCTGGACACGTTGCGTGCGGAGACTCAGACGGCGCAGCACGAGTCTGCGACCGCTGCCTCCCAGACTGCCGCGATGATGTCTCTCAATCTAAAGCTTCAATCCTCGGCCTCCAAGAATCAAGCCCGCCACATCGACCTCGAGGTCAAGAAGATTGAGGCTCGCGAAGCTCGGGAACTCCTGAATATTGTCCAGGTGGGTTCAGCGGTTGTTTTATGTGCTCTGGAACAGAATCTTGATGCAGCGCGAGATAGCCTTACTTGCCACAGATCTACGTCGAATCAGACATGGATGCTACGAACTGTTACATGTTCTTCCAGCGCTTGGCCGCTAAGGTCGACCTGATCAACGCAGTTGTTGCCCAAACGCACAACCTCCCTGAAGCTCTGAACGGCCCGGTCTCAGATGTTCTTGTCGGTATTTGTGAGGTACGGATCGCACCATCTCGTCGCAAAGTCTATTGATTTGTCATTTGTCCAATGCTGATTCTTGTATAGATGCGCGGACGTCTGTCCAGTCTGTCGACGACATGCAAACGGTTCGCCGCCATCCTCCGGAAATGCGATGTTGAGACGTTTCTCAACGTCGGCCGCATGTATCCCGACCTCGCACCCATGGAGAAGCGGATCGACATGCACGTCGACCTCCTCCGCCGCGAGGAGTTCCGTGAGCTCGAGTGTGTCAGCGACGCGGTCAAGATGCAGTCGCAGTTTGACCACCTGTCCGAGACGTACTTCAGCAACTTCGAGTATGACCTTGGAGAGCGCGAGCTGGGATATGCTCTGGCGTTTGACCACGACCTGGAGATGTTCGCCGCGTCCGTTGGTCTCATCAAGACCTCCGTTGCTGCCATTCTCAAGGATAACGGTATGTATCTCGTTAAGGTGACTTGACTTCGTACTGAATGTCAACGTTATAGACGTTGCCCTTGACTTTGGAGGCATGGACGCGCAGGCTGAATTCTTCGAGCCCCTACAGAAGGCCCTTGACCAGTGCAGAAGCGCCAAGGTCCTCTCGAAGAAGCTCATCAAGCGGGTGGAGGACCTCACACAAGATTCTATGGCCCTCAAGGCGCACCTGGTGCCTCAGCTCCAGAACCTCAACAACACGGTCCCTGAGCTTGTCAACTTCGGTATTTCCGTAAGTGAAGCTGTTTGCGATGCGTGATCTAAAGCAGACTTACGATGGCAATTGCAGTTGGCTCAACTCGTCATGCCACATATCAGCGACGTCCGTGCCGTGAAGTCCGCGTTCCAGCTCTCAACTGTAGTCTCCTACGTCAAGCAAAGCGCTGCTTCTACCGTTGGCAAGGCGGGCAACGAGGAATCAGCCTCGTGGGACTCCGTCTGCGAGTTCCTCGCCCAAGTCATCCAGGAGGCTAACAGGATCGTTCCGATGTCTCTGGAGGCGGAGAATACTTTGAAGAGTGAGTCGGACCTGACGATGACTGCTGTTGACGTGGTAATGACTCCTGTAATCCAGTCACTGGGACTGCGCCATGGATCCTCCGCATCGACGACATCAAAGCGGCCACAGCGGTCAACGTCGAGGCCGAGCGCAAGGTCGCGCAGCTCAACGACGAGATGCAGGCGCTTGCGCGGACGATTAGGATGAAGGACCAGCAAATCCAAGAGACTGGTGTCAAGATCGAGCTCATGGAACGCCGCATGGAGACGGTTAAGAAGCAGGCGGACACGATCACAGACCTCGAGAACGAGCTCGCGAAGGCGCGGAAGCAAGAGCGCGCGTACGAGGAGGCGATGGAACAGCTCCAGGCGGACCTCGACGCGCTTGAGCAGGACAATGCGAAGCTCAAAGCACTTGCGAACAATCCTGAGCGCCAAGCATCGACTACGACGCAGGTCGTGGAGGCAGAGACCGTCCCAACGGAGGGCAATTTTGAGACGTCGTATCTGCTCGAGCAGGTGAGTAGTCTGCAGCTGAACAAACTGAACGCTCTGCTAAGTGTCTCTTCCAGATCGATTCTCTCCGTGGCACCGTTCGGTTCTTGCGTCAAGAGAACTTCTTCCTCAAAGGTCAAGACCTTCTCAAGGAGATCGAGACCTTACCCGAGCTCCCTGCACCCATACCTCGCGAGCCAACACCCGAGCTCGTTCCCTCAACACTCTCAGACTCAGACTCGGATTCCGATGACGAGCCTCGGCAACCGCCCACACTCCGCTCGCTCGCTGTGGAGTCTAAACTCTTATACCGCGAGGTCATCAAGTACACATCTTCGCCGCGCCTCGTCGACCTCTCCGTGCTCAAGGCAAACCGTGTCAACGGGCAGCCTACGACGAAGGCGTGGCTACCGCGGAAGAAGACGCCAGCATACCAGCTGTTCGAGCGGAAGATGCAGGGCGAGCGGTTAGGTAAGCGGCTGAAGGGCCTGCTGGAGCTGACGAACCATATCGCGGATGCGGATTGAGGAGTATGTATGTGTTTCCAATATTGCTATGACGCCGTTTGGATATTCTAGGAGTCTGTTATTGCTATACCCTCATGTCACCCTAGACACATTGCATCTGCACGCACGTTTCCAGCCTCGCTGAAGGCATCGATGTATGGCTTCCTGACTGATCGTTCCTAGTTCGGTGGGTATACAGTGGACAACAAAGATCGGAATTACAGACAACAGACAGTTTGGATACTACTACAGGAAAAGGAGCAACAACGTTAATGTTGATAAGGGATCGATAAACATACCGGATCTGCGGTTGAGCCTTCAAGTAAGGGCGCAAGGAGTAATTCGTGCATAGTGAACTCAGATCTCCTCTTCGTCTTCGTCTTCGTCTTCGTCCGCCTCCGCCTCTTCCTCTGCCGCTGCATTGTCTGCAGCGTGCCGTGCCCGCTTGGCCACACCCTCCTCCGCCTCTTGGAACTCGCCATAGTCGCCTGAGATCTTGTCCACATCCTCATCCTCCTCCCGGCTCCGCTTAGTGCCGGCGACAGACGACGCTTCGCTCTGCAGAGTCTGTTCTGGGGCGTCCTCGAAGTCGTCATCCTCATCTTCTTCCTCCTCGTCAGCGTCCGCGCCCGCCTGTGGATAGAGACGCATGAGACGGCGATAGCACCATCGCATCTAGCGAAGACGCACCTCGCCACCAATAAGCAGAGCCGTCAGATTAGATCGCGGCTGCGCACCCTTCGTGTGGGAGGAAGTGCAGGCAGATTAGCACAAGTTTGACCCGGAACCGGTCTGGGATGTATGTATACCTCTGCCTCTACGCCTTCCTCGCCTTCGTCCTCCTCGCCAGATGCTTCTTCTTCATCCTGCTCGCAAGGACGGTCAACTGTGAGCCTCTTACGGCAGGGCTGTGTGAGCATGTACCTCGATGTCCTCATAGTCGTCACTCTCTTCCCCTTCCTCTTCGTTGTACTCGGGTTGTTCCACCGGCTCGGCAGGGTTCTTGGCCATGTTCGACGTCGTGATACGGCGCGGAGTGTAAACTCAAGTGGAGTGCTTGAGATGCCGTCTAGGCAGAGGCGGTCGGAGTCGGATGGGAAGGGTGGATGTGCTGTCACTGAACGGCTGGAGGTGGCTTGGGGAGGAAAGTCGGCGAACGTTTGTGGGCAGGGTTGGTGGGTCCCAAGGGCGCGATGCGACGCATATAGCTGCTTGCATAAGACTCCCACTCAACTCAGCCCCCAGCGGAGGTTATCTGTCTCTTTCTGGATGATCTCCGCTCGCTGAGTCTCAGCTTGCGTCTTGTCTCTCGCTATGAGACTCTATCCGTTCTATATAGCATTAATAATCTACGAGAGATATGAGCAATCCATCCATGGACACAGAAACAAAGTGTCCGTGCGTGTCGTAACCATAAACGTTAACACATCCTCCACCGCCGCCTCTTCTTGTCTGTATCCTCCTCCAGTACATTGTTCTCCCTGATCACTTTCAGGAACACGCTCTCTAGCCCTGCCCTCTCCACAGTATACTCCGCAAACCCGCCACCAGAGAGAACCGCAAACAGCTGTGCAAGAGACATACCACCACCTATAGGCACCTCGAAGCGCGTCGCGACATCGTCTGCCATACGCGCGCCAGGTATACGAGACATGGCCTCCTGCGCGTGCACCACCTCTTCTCGAGTGCGGCAAGAGAAGTGGACTTCGTAGGTGGCGTAGCGCTCTACGAGCGAGTCCGTCGTTCCGACCGCTGCAAACGGAGGTTCGTTGGTCGAGATTCCATGATATATTGACGGACATCTCACCTAGCATCTTCTTGGCCAGAATCCCGACCTTGTTTGCCAGTGCGGACGCTTCCTCCATCGAGTCTGAGCAAGGCAAGCCACGATGAGCAAGAGACAGTGCGAGAAAAGCTGTCGGCACTAACGTGTAGTGATCACGATTGCCTTTCCGACTGCCACATTTCGCAAGGTTCCCCACATGTCTCGCTTCATCTTTGCGTCGATGCCGGTCGAGAACTCATCGATGAGGATCACAGAAGGATTGCCTATATACTACAATCAGTGTCAAGGTTTAATCACTGAACTGCGACACACGCACCGATAAGGGCAATGGCCAAGGAGAGCTTCCGCTGGTTTCCACCAGATAACTTGCTCGCCAGCCGATCTGCATAGATGTGCAGCGACGTCGCACGCATCAAGTTCTCGACATTGCACTTCAGCTCCTCTCCGCGGTACAAGCCCTTCAGCCGTCCATAGATCAGCAAATGTTCGCGGACCGTTAGCTGCGAGTCGATCGCCGTGAACTGAGGGCAGACGCCAAGGGAGAGTCGTGCGGATCTTGGATGGTGGATCATAGAGACGCCGTTGATCAGGACGTCACCCTCGTCCGGAACGACATCTCCACCTGCTCAAGGAATCAGCAGGTGGCGGACAGCCTTAGAAGAGATACACATACGTATGATATTGAAGGTCGTCGTCTTTCCCGCTCCGTTGGGTCCGAGCAGTGCGAAAATGGTGTCCCGAGACACACCAAAGCTGACATTGTCCACAACGCGGTTTGTAACGTTGCCGAACGCCTTCACGACGCTCATGACGCGGAGCGCATCGTTCGACTCCGTCACCTTCGCAGCTTCGTCATCAACATCCTTGATATCCGCCTTCTCCTCTTCCGATGTTGCGACAGCTGCCCCTGAGCCGACGATGGGCTGCTTGCGAAACTGAGAGAGCTTGAGAACAACGACGGAGCCGGAGTCAACCCAGACGAGGATGCCAAACAGAACGAAAGCGTAAAGGAACAGATACAGGATCGGGCCCCCATACCGCGAAATGTCGCCAAGGGAGGAAGAGGTAACCGGGGAGGTACCATCGCAAAGCAAAGAGAAGAGATTGACGGACACGAAGGAGGCTCGAAGCTATGAGTCCCATATGAGCGTCATATTAGTAGCAAGTCCTGGTACACTGTGACTCACGGGACTGGCAACAGGAGATAAGACCGACATGGTGTAGTCTGCAGGCGGCAGTTAGCGAAAATACATCGTAGCAAGCCGAGGTGGATACTTACGAATAATTGTGAGATCGGTCCCTGCATCAGACGTCTTCGCGTACGTGAGGGTGAGCAGATACCCTGCGAGGTACAGCTGCGAAAGGATGAGGAAGGAAGGAGCCGGGATACGGCTGACAAGTGTGCACGTACCACGAACATGATGACCTGGTAGCCAGCCGAGAGCGCAAACGCCGCGAGAGGCGACGCGACCGCGAGCGATACGCAGTATGAGAACAATGCACCTACAATGCCGTACAACACTAGCACGACCCACTGTGAATGTGAATTTCATGCGAGCGTCAGTCATGCCAGGAGATGCCTGCAAGTATACATTACGCACGAAGAACCCGAGACCATGGAACTGATTGGAGACCGCCGCGAAAATGATGACAATGAGCGTGGCGGCTACCACGCCAAAGATAGAGTCGAAGAGCAAGTGTCCAAGCCACAGTCCGACGGGGTCCGACAGCCCATTGGAGAGCTGCATGGCCTGTACCGCCGAGCGCCGCTCCTTCGCGACGTAGAGCGAGAAGAATGCTGGGTAGACGGCCTGTTCCATATTCCACTCAGTACACGTAGCTGAAGAAGCGGAAAGAGACTTACCATCGCCGCGCCGAAGAAAGCAACCCATTTCAGCGCAACAAGCGTCCCCGCCGCGATGCCAGGGAACGCCTGGTAGTTAGCCTGGATGATGTTAGGCACAGGGGGCGTATGTCCAGTGAAATTCAACGCCGTGTTGAACAATAAATTGGACACCAAGTTAAGCATGACCAGGCCCGTCAAGCCAGGTGGGGTCGCCTCCCATGCAAACAAGGCTTGCCCAGACTGCTGGTCGACCGAGACACCACCGAACGAGAAGTTCTGGAAGTTCTGGGTGATGGTGCTAACGAAAGTTGCGTTGTCAGGAATGTTCTGCGTGAGCAACATCTGCGTCGAGTTGCCCAAGGTCGAGATGATACCAGGTGGAGACTCGAGCACGGGAGATCCAGTAGCTGCTTCGGTAACGAAGCCTAGCGGGGAGGTGGGGAGGTATAGAGGCGTCTGAGGGACTGTGCGGAAGTGGGTGACGCAAGACTGATTGGTCCGGTTGGAGAGGAAGAAAGTCGGGATACACGACCCTGCAACGGCGACGAGGACAGCGAGGGTCAGGCTCAGCCAGCTACGGCGCGCGATGAGGGCGCGCTTATGGAAGATAGTCAAGGCCTGGCTGAATGGCGAGCGGCGCCGGCCACTCGTCAGCTCAAGGACCGCTGCGGATTGTGGAGTGGCGGAGGGTTCCGGAGTATGTGCGAGAGACGGGGTGGCGGACGAATCCGCGTTCTCCAACTCACTCTCCTTGTCTTTCTCCTTCAGTCCTGAGCGGGAGGAATCGTGCATCAGACCAAGGAAGATGTCTTCGATGGAGGTTCCCATGACCGAATAGTTTGCCACGCCGTACTGCTCGCGATTGCTCTCCACTAGCTCGAGCACCTTCTGGACGATAGCGGCATCCTTCAGTTTGAGGTGATATGAGACCTCGTTTGGCGAAGACGATGAGGTATAAGCGAGGGGGGCGATGGCATGGATCCGCTCCAAGAGGTCAACTTCCGCAATACGCGGCGCCTTCCCTTTTTCGTCGGGGGAGAATGACACAACCACAGTATAACCTTCGCCGAGGCTTGACTTCAGCGCGACAGGAGTACCGTGAGCAACGAGTTTACCAGGGGCCGCTAGTACGGCAATGGTGTCTGCCAGTAGATCGGCCTCGTCGAGGAACTGCACCATGCATCCCTTTAGCCTCGGAAGTTACAAATACAGCTGGTCTACTTACATGCGTTGTGAAGACCACCGTGCGGTCGTTCCTAACAGAGCTGAGCGTCCGCCACAGAGCTCGGCGGGAGAGCGGATCGACTCCTGACGTGCACTAGACATCCAGAAGCATCAACAGATATACTACCAGATGTGTAATGACAAAATCTACCTCGTCAACCAGAATAACTACGGCATGAAATGGGTCAATCTTTGCGGGTCACGTTCATGGCTAGCTGAACTCACTCTTGGATCCCCCAATCAGCCCAATCGCCAACTGCAGCTTCCTCTTCTGCCCACCGCTCAATGCATCCGCATTATAGTGAATCTTCTTCCCCAGATCACAATCTCTTAACAGCAGCTCGACATCATCGTCGCTGTTGTTGTCCGCGCGTTTGACCGCCTTCCACAAGCGCAGGGTCTGATAGCACGTCAGCTCGGGGAACAACACGTTCTTCTGCGGGACAATCCCGATCGTGCCTCGCGGAGGGCGCTCGACTCCGCCTTCAAATGTCACCGTGCCGCGGGTACGGCCGAGAAGACCGGCCAGAATGGACATCGTCGTGGACTTCCCGGCGCTGGAGGCAGGGCAGCCGTCAATACGTACGTCCAGTAAGCGAGGAGACGCGAGCAAAGAACGAACCCATTCGAGCCCAAGAGGACGTATATGCCGAACTTCGGTATGTCGAGGCTGAGGTCCGACACGGCGATGACGACGTCCTTGTCGCTCTTGAAGAACGACGGCTTGAAGTCCTTGCCAAGGTTACGGATGGAGATCGCGATGTCGGGACCATTAGGCGGCACGCCATCCTGGGCGGCTGTCTTTCTGCGCAAGCGAGACCACCAGGAGCGACTAGACGGGTTGCGGGCGTCGTAAAGCCGGCTTTCCCAAAGCACAGCGAGCCATGGCCAGAGGAAGACGTCGATCTGTATGGGATAGGTGAGTATATGCGCCTCCAATTGGCTCAATGTAACCTACAATGGCAGCAATGATTAGCGGCAGGAGCCTGAGCGAATTATCCGGGTCGGGCTGGATGACATCCGTCGCGAGCTGGTGCACCTCCCAGCCACAGATCGCACGTATAGCGAAGATGTAGAACCCAGGCGGGAAGATGATTGTGAAGATGAATGCCGCGCCTGTGCTCGCATGGCTGAACACGAGCGCGAGGATGGCGAACACGATAGCGAGGAACGTTGATGCAACGGCGGCGAGCTGGGGGCTCTTGCCGAAGGGAGTGGCGACAAAGAACGACCAGCTAGCGAGCGTGAGGCCAAACAGAAGATGGACGACAATTATAAGCCCGACGTTCGTCGCTGTGAAGATACGGAAGTGCCAAATGATGGCGACGATGATCCATGCTGGGAGATATGCGAGGGAGATACTAATATGCCAAGAGCTACGCGCACGTACTGGTGAGCCGCGAGATGACCATGGACACAACGAACAACATACATTATGCGGGCCGAGTCAAGGAGACCCATGACCTTCAGATGCGCAGTCAAGAGATTCGCCCGCTCCCCTCCAAACGATCCCGGTAGTTGATAGGATATACCGACAAAGCATATGAACCTGTGAGCTCATGAGTCGTTGGGTGTACATTCCCACGGCACGTGCTTACAGCGCAAGTACTAGCAACGTCCGCAGTCCCCTAATATAACCTACGGAACGTGTAAGCTGCTGAGTCACGACAAACAGCATGAATGTGGACTTTGCGCACTTAGTCGGATCTCGGTAAATTGCTCGGTATTAGTCTCTTGAGTAAATGGCCACTCCAGTGGCGTCTGAGGAGTTGTACCAGTTTGGAGTTCAATGATAGCCTACACAAAGTTCATAAGCTCGAATTAGAAATAGCAGAGGTGTCTGAGGTGACGAGAGCACTTACGCTATCAACAGCCCATTGGAGCGGCAGAAGCCTCTTCTCATAGTCGCTGGAATGCTTCGTGACGTCGATATGGAATAGCCCGCCATCTCCTCTGAGGGTGTAGTTCAGTGGCAGCGTTCCGTCCGGGCCAGGGAGGGAGTTAAATGCGACGGCGGCAAAGCACTCTGAGAACAGATTGAAGTTCTGGGGACATGCGGAGGGAATGTCGTCGGGAGATTCAAGCTGTCGGACTGCACGCAATTGCTTGCTGGAGAACCCACTTGTCATATGGGATATGATGTCGTGCGCGGAAGGATTGGTTCCCGTGCCATTCGTGCCGTCGGCCCATACCAAGGCAAGCGATCCGTCGAAGACGTCAACAAGGCGGGGAACGGGTATGGATGTGCCAAGGCCGTACTGGAAGTCGGTAACAGCGCTAAGTTAGCGTTCCGATCAAGTGGAACACGGAGGCTGAACTTACGTTGTTAGGTTTGTTGAGGAAGATTTGGGCGACGGCCAAGAAGACACCGTACGCGATGGGCATGATGAAGCATCTTAGTACGTTTAACTGACATACCACGACGTGCCCATTTCCGTCTCAGAACTCGTGTTTCGTATTCGTGCAGGTAGGGCGGACGTACCCAAGGATGCTTGGACATTACGATCCAATTCTTCCAAAACAACGCCCAGAACTGCCGGAAGAAGAGGCCTGCCATCCTGCCGATCTTGATGGCGTGTGTTGAGTGGATATAGATCCTTCAGCACGCCTGAAGAGTAGAATGAATGCCGGAGATGAGACCGTTCAGAATGGCGATGGGTATCCTTAAGTGGCCGAAGAGTTGTAATCAGTCGAACTGCCACGTCCCAGTATACATAGTAGAAGACCCGCAGCACGGCAGACACAGCGTGGACGATGGGAGAATTTGAAAACCGTGGCAGCCACTCGGCCTCGGCGGGAAAGCATGGATATATTTGCACGCAGACGTCGCCCTGTCGTCCATCCTAGACCGGTGGCCGGTATTTGGCGCCCCAACGTGAGCATGGGCGTTTGTCGATGTTTAGGGCGCCCACCGCAAATCGTACTTTCAAGAGGATGCGTCGACTCAGAAGTCTTATTTTATACAGAGGCTCTTTCGCCGTCAAATCAAGGATATCGGGTTGGGGAACATATGAGAACACATCGCAAGCACAACAGCTATACGTCGGCAACAGTCTGGGGCTCAGCGCCTCTGAGCGCTTAGCAGATGCAACATCCTTCTACCTTCAACATGCGATGGCTCGAACGTGTCTCCGTAAGCGTGAACCTCCACGAATCCAAGCTGTTGGATAAATATGTTCGCCATCGAGTCTCTCCACAGCCCCGCATTTCGCATTACGCTCTCACCTTGCTAGCCTCCCACGCAGGTATGCATCTCCAACATCGATGACATGACACCCTCCGACCGGGTCACCTCAAACAGCGCGCAATGTCCAGTGTAGTCGTCTTTTTACTCCTCGAACACGCCGTCTGCAATCTGCCAGCGCGAGTATGGCGCGGCTCCGGATGACGCAGAGACATGAAGATGAGGTAGTCCTCCTAAATTTGCTCATCGATGCCACGTACACGGGCTTCGGAGCGGTGGGCAAGGACTGTCAGACAAGGTAACTTCCCACAGTGCGGAAACGGTCATAGAGGACACTTTCATCTGTGACTAGTATCCTTCAGCTTTGACGCGATGACGTTCCGAGCTGCGACATACTCACCGGGAGAGACGAATCGCGCGATGTCCATGCGCTCTGGAGCTCGATCCAGGCGAGCTTGGAGAATGGCTCGTACACAATTCACTATATGGCTGCGTGAACGTTTGCGAACCTCAAGGTGAGTCCCAGCAGGTGCTCGTGTCTCAAGCTGAGGTATCACGCCGATTTCTCCGGCTTCGCAGCTTCTGCAATGATTGATTGCAAAGGACGGCTGTCCTTGATATCCTACGTGTCACGACAAGAGAACGGTTGATAGAAGCAGGTATGGCGGCTTTGCTGTGCCGCCTACGGATGATGACTAGGACTGCCACATACATAGGTTGGCACAGCTAGGCGAGTCTTCGCCTCTCCATCTTCTTATCATAGGGTTTCGAAGGTCTTCGGCATGAAATCACAGGATTCATACATACGCCAATCCCGCTAGGCCCTAGCAGGAAATCAGTGTCACTTAGTAGTAACCATGCCATTTGGATTCGACGAGTTCGCGCAATCGCTTCACCAGCTTCTCTACGCAGTACTCGGTCGTCAGGGCGTTTAGTGACTCTGCACGTTCCTTCCCCGAATGTATTGAGTCGTTCCCGGCCTTGGTCAACGGCAGACAGTGTTGCGGATGCGATGTCGAGTGAACTGGTGATGAACTGAGCGCAGGTGCGGGGGCGGTGCGCTCAGCTCGGACCTCTCGGAGGGGTATGTGACTCATTCGTCGTCCTCCCGGAAGTTGAGAAGCTGATGTTACACATATCTACCTAAGGCATTGACATTGCAGATGTGCTCGGACCAGAGCGATGTTAGGATCACATGAGCTCAAGTACATTCTGTCAAGCAGGTGCCAGTTGATCCGCCACGGGGCTCATGCAGCTTCATTGTCCTCTCGTAGGATCTGAAGCCATCCGAGATAGAGCCTGCGACAGCCAGGGGATCGCGGATCTTCCCCATCAGCTCCCTCCCAGCATGGATTATTGCATCCTTTCGGCAAAGTGGTCTTGAACCCTAAGTATTGCGGTTGGGTGGTGCCAGTTGACGGCACGCGTTCTAAGCCGGGCATGATTCCACGCGCATGCATTTCGATAGTGGTACAGGGGGGTTGTCGTGACAACACATTGAGTGAGCCGAGTGAGCCCTCGCGCTCCTCGGTCACCTCAAATTGCTCGACGTTGGTGTGGTAATGCTAGCTCATATCCCTCTCCCTCCTCTCTAACTCGTCGAGCTGGACGCTCCTTATGTAAGTCCTCAAGATCTTGGCTATTCTGGATGTGTCTCTCACATACCTGTTGCAGACTCGGAGTTTAAGGACAGTGTTCCATCTAGGCGATGTGGAGATCGATCCTGCTGAAATGTTCTATCTTATTAAGTACGTGGCTACGCTTCCCACTTCCTCATCGCTAATACAAAGGTGATCAGGGCTGAAGACATTGTTCGTGACCGATATCCAACTCCTTTTCCTTGTCCTTTTCACACCTGTGGCTGTCGTGTCCTTCAACTTCACCGTCGATGATACGTTTGGTAACAATGCGCACACCGTGATACCAGCGTATCTCCCAAACAACGGCACCTGGCACGTCGGGTCGCCCACCGAACAATGCAATGGGTGCATAGTTCAACCCTCCGAACTCGACATCAGCCAAATTATGAACCAAACCTGGCATCACGCGACTTTCTTCGATGGCGCCCCTATACAAATGGAGGTCACCTTTCCTGGTACGGCGGTCTACGTCTACAACATCCTGCCAAATACACTCCCCGGAGGAGTGAGCTCTCACACCAACCTCTTGTTTTCGATTGATGGCGAAACCGTCGGTCAGTTCTCCCATGTCTCGGACTCAAGCGCGAAATTCCTTTACAATCAGCTCGTCTACTGGAACGCAAGCCTGTCTAACACCACCCACACGCTTGTCATGAGAGCAGACGTAGGGTCGCTAGTCATCTTCGACTACATGATATACACCATGGTCGACAGCTTGGGCTCGTCAGCATCTCCGAATTCAAGTGCGGCTACTGGCATTGGAGCCTCCCATTCCCCCTCGCATGTCGTGATTGGGGCGATTATTGGGCCAGTGATCGGTGTAGTCGTCATTATTCTTTTGGCTGCTGTTCTAGAGATCTTCATCCTTCGGCGGAAGCGTCGCCGGCTTGATCGTCCTGCAAGCGATTCCTTCTCTCCTATTGACGCCATAAACCCGTCAAAGAATACTTCCTTCGGCAGGCCTGTGACCCTGTTACCGCGCAGCCCAAACGCAGCAAGTGCGTCTCATGATATGCATTCTTATCCTGTTAGACATAGCTGACCTCCGTTCATGCAGCCCAGTTGCCACTGCCCGTCACGTCGAGCCAACTTTCTCAGAGGTCATTCGAAGCGCAGCGCGAAGCGGAGCTCACACGCAGACTTTATACTCTTCAGCGCGAGATGCGATCACTCTCGTACCAGGAGAACATATCCGAGGACGAGTCCAGGCTAAGCTCCTCCGCGGTGCAAGCTTTGCAGGAGGAGATAGCCGCGCTTCGAGGGGTGCTTAGTAGCATGGCGATGAGGGTCGAACACCACCCACCTCCGATATCGGAGTCTCTTCCTCGATACGAGGATGCTCATCTGGGTAAGTTCCCAATTGGCCTCACTCGAGTTGCCTTGCCTACTAGTTGGCATGCTGATGCACATTCATAGTAGCAGACACGTCTCGGGAGCGGACTGCTCTCCCGCCACGGTATGCGAAGTCGCACAGCGGGTGAGTCGTGGGTGGGCGGCTTGCGGTATCCCGCTCCCTTTCGAGCGAGAGAAGTTCAGCTTCTGTCAGGGAGGTCCTGGTGACTAGCAAGACACCGAGACTCTAGCGAAGGAAGGGACATGCACGGACTCTGAATGGGCTACAATGTGTTTCGTCCAAGAACTTATCTGTAGGTAACCTCACACAATTTGCTGATGCAGCATGCATCTGTATGATGAATATCTAAATATTCAATATCCATGCTAAACGGATACGGGAGCGCACCGCGACTAGCAGACAATTCGCCACATTCACATTCACATTCACAGCAGGGTCCGAAAATGATACCGCTGCGATAGAGCGCGCATGTGAACGCCCGTCGACACGTCTGCTATGCGGTCCTCTGTGGCCACATACCCCACTTATGAATTATAGCATCCATCTCATCGTCAAATGGGCAATGCAATCCTAGGAAGTCACATCACTCCTTCCATCAACGGGGTGGAAGATCCTGGGAGCCCAGCGCTCATTCTTCATGCTCCGAACTGTCTACCGCATCCGCCAGCCCCTGTCCCTCGCCACCGCTCAACGCCCATAACCTCAGCCGCTGCGATCTTTCACTGCGTGTTCCCTAATCGCTCAAAATGACGTTCCTTGACAGCCACTAGCTGTCATATAAAGCGCCGCGTGTCTGGTCACCAGATTTCTTTACTTGACCTTCTTCGATTCTTGGATAGCTTCCTTGTGGCCTCTTGCGACAATCTAGCTCAGTGCTACTTTTTATCCTCTTGCTCTATGCTCACAATGTACGCTAAGGCTATCCGTCTCATCTTGCTGCCCATTCTTGTTGTGACCGCACTGCCCACTGGCCGCGATGGTACTACATCCCCGTCTACCGACATCAACTAGTGTGGAGTAACTGATGCTCTGACTTATCAAGACGTCGACGATCGATCCTTGCATGTTGAACAAGTGGCTTCAAATTGTGAGTAGCCGATTCCGGGTTGAATGACTCATCGATTGTCTTCCACTTCTCATTTTGCTGAACTGCGTGAGACCAGCGCTCGGAACAGCCTCGATGAGCTCTGCATCCCCTTCAGATAGTACGTGCCCCGTTAGCATCGCTTCCAGATGATGTACGACTTGCGCCTACCATTCTCCTTGTCCCAGTCACCGCAATTGGTAGGAACTGCCTACGTCGAACGAATTTAACTTTGACATTCTCCGTAGAATCGGCTGCGCTTGCATCCTTCGAATCTGTCGAAACCATCGTAGGGTCCAGTCAAACGCAATTCACCGCCTTCTTCACTTGTACGTCGAGAATCCAAACTATTATCACGACGACCTACTGATCGTCGAGCAGTGGTTAGCGAAGTACCCTACCTAGAAGTCTCATCCATCGGCGGTCCTGCAATCACCCTTGCCCCAACAGGACCACTCGGAGGAGCCACCACCACATTTGCGGGACATGCAGTCACCGCATTGCCGTCCCACCAGTAAGCCTGTCCAGGCAGCGCTGTCATTGATGTCTATTAAAGCTGTTCGTCCTGCCCGAATTCAGAAACATCGCTCATACTCTGGCCATCTCGAGACGACTGATCAGTGGATTAGTTGGCGCTTGGCTCGGCGCGGTGGTCGGGGGAGTGGTCCTACTTCTGTGAGTCGGCTCACCACAAGATATGTTCATTCGCACGTCGAGTCCGTCATAAGGGCAACTTCGTGTACGCGTGTCGCGCTGTATAATTACCACATGGAGGTGTGAACTAAGAGTTGTGTGACTGCATCCGAACAGGACCGATGGCACTGTTCTGGGAACCCACCGGCTGATACGGCTACTAGTGTATAGGGCTGATGCATGCCTTCACTTGGACCTGAACGGGGAATTAGTAGCCTATCTCAGCGAATTGAACATTCTCACCTCTTCTCTTAGCGACAACTGGAACTCCTCCCGATCAATGATTACCTCTGCGGCTTCGCTACTCAGCTCGACCAGCATCCCCGTCGCCGCACTGGGCACATCTGGGCCTTCATGTCTCCCGGCCACCCGCCAAGCCTTGGACGATAGCCACTTATGCCGTTCTTCCCAACGACGTCCGACAGGGACGTACGTACGCCCGCAAGTGGTAAGGAAAATGTATTCCAACGACGGCATCGCCTCGAGGAACGCAGTGGCAGCAGGGAGGAGATCGCTCTCCCGCGCCGTGTTCACGAAGTCCTCGTCGACACCCATGTTCGGCTGTGTCCGCTTCGACATAGACTGGAAGACATGGTAACAGACAACGAGACGGAGGTGCGTCAAGCGTAGATGTTTGATCGAGACGATGAGACGGCCCTACGACGAAGCATGTGGTCAGATCTGCGAGGGCAAGACGGCAGAGGGTTGTGAAATACCAGCAATTCTTGCCACTGGAACGAGGCGCGATGAAGTGTCTGCGGCCGGCGAGATATCTGGTGATTGAAGAACATGACGAGGCGCGTGAGCTTGACCGCTGCTTCGGGAGGAAACAGCCAGTCCAAAAGCGCCAAGCCATCGTTGAGCTCCAGAGAGAAGTGAAGCTGTTGCGGGGCATTGTAACGGAGGGATTCCGCCAAATACCGCCTACCATCAAACACATTCGTGGTGTCGATAGTCATGAGGCGAATAGGGCACCGGAGCGCTAGAATGTATGCCATCCGGGCATCACATACGAGGCGATCGAGGCGCGGCCAAGTGCGCGTCTTCTGCGTCTCCATATTCCGCTGCCGTCGACGTTCTACCTCCGGCACCGGTATCGTGGGGCCTGGCGGGCCAAGAGCGAAGGTGGTATCCAAGTTTGGGAACAGCTCCAAGAGCACGTCTAGCTGTCCGAGGTCGGAACTGATGTCGATCTCATCGGCCTCAAGAGAACGCACGGACGTGAAACGCGTTTTGACAGAGGAGGCAGGAATGTCGAGGGGGAAGTCGTCCAATTTGAGAGCTTCAAGCGTCTGCCCCAAATGCGGCAGTTCGTTGTGCAGGAATTTGGCTGAGAACGTCCCGAGTTCGTATCCTTCGACGTGGAGGTACCTAAGTGGGGACCGCAAATTCTTTAGAATTGTACGCAGTGAATCATCTCCGACACTGGCGAGGACATGTAGCTCTCGCAATGTCGTGAGATCGCAGATCGCGGTTATTATCGGGTTGCCAGTACGCGCTGGAACGTACAAGGACTTGAGATTAGTAGCCGCCTTCAGAATGGCTGCGAACCGGATGAGAACATCTTGTGAGTAGAAGTGGAAGACAGGGCAAGCGACGCCATATAGGAATGGGGCTCGTGCCGCCTCGTCGGCGAACAACAAGCTGTGGAGCCTGTCCACTGACATGCTACTCGAGAGAATGAATGGCGACATCCTGAGTCGTCGTTGCAGCGCGCCTTTCCTTAGAGCAGTGCAGGTGGTTCCAAAAGAGAGGACGTCTGAGACGTCTGTCAGGCAATTGCAGACCATACGCAGGACGTCGAAGTTGAGCCGTGGTTGTTGGTCATGAGCGGGTTGGATTGATTGCATTCCTATAGCGAATGCAACTGAGACTATCAGCTTTGCACAAGGTAGGATAGGGAGACCCGATTCACCTTCTTTTGGAGAAGTCATAGACAAGACGTCTTCCTGGTGGTCGCGGCGAGCTTCTGCTTCAAGGCCGATATGCAAAAACGCCCGCCTCGATGGCTGCGTCAAGATCCGTGGGAGATCTCGTGCTGCCACTCATGACCAGGCGAGACGGATCCCTCCCTTCCGATGATGTCGTCGATCACATACCAAACATCAGACTCCTGAATCACTTCCATAGCATAGGGCTTTGAGAGGCTTTGAGTAGGTCGCGGAATGCCACAAAGAATTATTGTGACTACACTAGTCACGGCGGGAGGACCGGAGACCGGGCTGGGAGAGAGGCGCCCATTGACCTTAGCTCGACTCCGCCAGCTCGTCAGCCACCGACAGCCACAGCCCAGCCACTTCTAGCCACACCCTGCTTGTCCCCTCTTCAGAGGCCCTGCTCTCAGGCACTTCGCCTTCTGGGCTTACAAAATAATTAAAGGCATTGGAAAGTCGCTCAGGATGGTTAGATCTCAGGCGAAACAGACGGTAAGTAGCACGCAACCGAGCGATCAGCCCATATTATCGCTTCAGCCACAGCTGCCACAGCGGCATCCGCTTCGGTGTGGCTGCCACACACACCCGCGTCCACCTGTCTTGCTTGTGCTCACGCTCCCACTGTGCTCCTTCTAGCCTGACGAGAAGAAGGAAACGAAGAAGAAAACGTCCTCTGCCGCTGCGAGCAATGGCAAGAAGAAGGCGGATACCGGATCCTGGCCATGTAAGATGGATGGGTGTAAGAAGGTGTTCGCGCGGGAGGCAGACTTGAAGAGACACCAGAGGACCACGAAGACGCACTCTATACCTGGGTTGTACGTTCTCTCTGAAGCCCTCGTAATGCTTGCGCCTGCGCTGAACCCGGTCCGGGGCAATTCTAGTCAATGTCCCCAATGTGATGCTACCTTCACTCGAGTACGTCTCTGTTCACTGTTGTTTGCCGCGAGAGCCGTCCTGAATGCTACATCATGTTATCCTACCCTGACTGTCTGCTGCTATGTTGTTGTAGACCGATGCTCTGCGCCGCCATCAGAAATCCCGGCATAACGGGGTCATCATTGAACCCGCAGAGCCAGAGAAGGACAAGCAATCCGGTGAGGGCGCATCTTCAGGCTCACGGTCCCCCAGTCCCACCGGTTCCCCTGCGCGCAGCCAAGGCGAAGGCAGCATCAACGGCTCCCCACCGGCCGGCCAGTCCAGCAGCGCCGGAGGCTCGTCCGGTCGAGCCTCGAGCTACTACCGGCCGCACACCATGCAAGGTAAGCGCACCCCTGGCCTTCCCATCCTCCGCGCTTCCCCCTCATCAGTCCTTCCTCAGACGGCTACTACGCCGCCTACGGACCTCCCCGCCCGCCTCCAGGCATGGTTATGGACCCGCACTACCCTCCCCCGCCCATGGGCCTCCCGACGTCCGCCACGCGCGGGAGCTGGCAGCCCACCCCCGCTCCCCCGCCATGGCCCGGTCCGGACGGCCAGCCCATGGCGCCGCCCCCTCCCGGAATGTACATCCCCACGTCCTACTATCCCTCCCCGTACTACCGTCATCCGGGCGTGCCATTGCCCCAGCACATCCCCCAAATCAACCCCGAGTTGCTCGCGCAGTCGAATGGCCACTCGAACGGCATCGGCCCGCCAGAGTCCTCCCTCCGCAATACCAGCGCCGACACACCCACCAGCAGGACCGACGGCAAGGACAAGGACGCGCGAGCGGGCAGCGGTTCAGCCTCAACATCCGCGCCTTCTTCAGCGGCCCCTGCGGACGACTCGAGGATGAATACACCTCAAGCTCAAGCTAGCACCGATGCGGGGACGGACGACGGACCGGACGCGTCGACGCTAATGGCCGCCGCGGCGCTGCAAGCCGTGCTCGCGTTCCAGAAGGAGCAGGAGGCGCGTGAAGCGCAGGCACAAGCCGCGAACATGCGCGCCACCTCGACGGCCTCCCCCCCTGCACAGCCACCACCAGCCCCGGAAGCAAGTCCCCCCTCGCAAACCGTGCGGGTTGACCAACCGCCCGACGCTAGACCGTCTGTGGTGCCTGTACAAGCGGCCGCTGAGATCGACCCCAACTTGGACACTGTCGGCGATCCGGACCCGGACGTGCCTGCGGACGGTATCGTTGCCTCAGAACGAGGGGAGACGTCGGAGCACTTGGAGCAGTTCGTGTCCGAGGATGGGACCCCAATGCTAAATCCTGGTGAGCCGGACTTGAAGCGTGTATTACCCCAGCTGCTGCAGAGCTGACTGCGTTGTTTGTAGCTGAGCTACTGACACAGGTACGACGTTTCGCTTCCTGATACGGAATACGTAGTGAATGATTTACTTTCCTTAGGAATCTCTAGCTTCACCACCTCCCTGACGATCGCGTGACTTAGGCGGGCGTATCCTTATACACTTCTACACATTATCCCATACTTAAGCGTTGTAATATTGCTTTGCTCCTCCGCATGTTGGATCCGCAGAGATTCTTTACCACAGTTGGACGTCCCCCAGGCCTTCAGTACGACCGAAACGTTCCTCGAGTCAGTAAAAATGGCACGGGTGACCATGCATTTTCTGCTACTGGGTATGATGCTACAGATGACGATGGTTGACTCGTAAACTACATATGGATGGGGGCTCCTAAAAGTGGGAGGGCTACAACGGGATGAACCGTAGGTGGGACGCTGTTGAGAGCGCGAAGCAGATAAGTTATATGGCGAGCGAGGGGCCGTTGTCGCTCAGAAGATGGGGACCTTGGGCCACTTGTACGTAGGTCCGACCTGCAGTGGCACGCATCCGTCAGTACTCGACAGCCACCGATTCCATGGCAACAATAGGTTTATCATACCTGCTGCACGCACATCGCGCCGAGCTTGTGGCCAGCCTCGATGGACTCGTCGATGCTCTTGCCGAGGACGAGCCCGCCCAGGAGGCCACCCGCGAACGCGTCGCCCGCGCCGTTGGTATCTACGATCTGCCCCTCTGCGAGCGGGTTGACGGGGTACACCTTCGGGTTATCGAGGTTGTCCCCGGTGACGACCGTCGTCGACTTGGGACCGTGGGTGATGATCACCGTGCGCGGGCGGGACGCGTTCGACTTGGGCTGGGACGCGATCGCGCGCGCAACGGCGGCGAGGTCGTTCTTGTCCGGGAGGCCATTCGCGCTGCCCCATGCTTCAGCCTCAGCCTCGTTGCCGATGACGACGTCGGTGTAGGGCAGGATCTGCTGCAACTGGACAGCGAAGAACTGGGGAATAAAGGGGGCGGAGAGGTTGAGGACGAAGATCTGCATCGCGATCGTGTCAGGGCGCGTCAGTCAAGTGCCTGCCAAAGCGCATAAGAATGAAGTGGAGCGAACCTTGCCCGCTTCAGATGCCTTCTTCGCGACCTCGAGCGCAGATTCGGTACCGTGCGTGAGGAAGTAGCCCTCGACGTAGAAGATCTTCGCTGCGTCAATGAGGGGCGCGACCTCAGGCGATGAGAGGTGCGACTGTTCGAATTTCTCTGCGGCGGCGAGGTTCGTGACGAGCGAGCGGTCGTGGCCGGTGATGATGACGGCGCACGCGCCCGTCTTTTCGCCGTTCTTGACAAGGTAGCGCTGGTCAAGACCCTCACGCGCGTTCGCTGCCTTCAGCTGCTCCGCGAGGTCATCGTCGCCGACGCAGCCAACGTAGACGACGGAGTGAGGCGGAAGCACATACTGAAAAGATGGTGGCACAGGTTGGTCAACGAGTCGCCAGATGTAGACGAGCAAGGGTAGCATACAGCTGCGCCGCGCGCCGCGTTCTGAGCGGCGCCACCTGCTACATAAGTGACCTTGTACTTCTCTACCAGCTCGTTGTAACTGGAATGGGAGGCCTCAGTAAATTCGATGTCGGCCAAAAGAATGCGCAACAGCGTACATGGGGTGGTGCTTCTCCTCCGCGAGAATGGCATCGTTGGACTTGAGTTCATATTTCTTCAAGAGCTCCTCGCCGTTCGTCACCTGCATATCAAGCAGGGGGTTTCCCAAAGCAAAGAGTTGGTAGGTATCAGTAGACATCTTCAGCAAGGCGATCGTGAGGGTCGTAACAATGAAAGCGGGGGGATAGGTTGAGGTGGGTGCGAAAACCAAGTGCGAGGATTATAACCAATCGAGCCATCGGTGAGAGATTGTCTATCGAACTTCTAATCTCAATGATTAGATAACCGCTCTGTACGTCTTGGGCACTCAACGTTCTGTAACCCGAACGATGGTAACCAGCAAGCACCAATGCATCCAAATCACCATTAATGCAGCAAGTGGTACGATGTGTCAAAACAAACAGAGGCGGAAACGACGCGAAGAGTTGAAGTAAGGGGGATCGACAGGACTGAGTCCACTGTCGGGGTCAAATCGAAGAGTCAGTCTACAATTCCAACGCATTCAGCCTCAACAGGCCTCTCGACCAATGCTCATTCCCAGCAATAAAGTCGGATCGCACAACCTTGCCGCGCGAGACAACACGACCCTTCTTCTCCACCTTCACGTACACGCCTTCCACGCGCCCTTCATAGAACAGCGACGGGCGCTGCACCATCTCCCTCAACTCTTCCTCGCTTGGCATTCGTCCCCGATGCACGACAGGCACTGTCCGAATGTCAGTGTCTGCTAGGAGAGTCTCCAACGCCCGTCGATCCGCCCACGAGTCCGTCGACCTGTCGTACAGGTCGAAGGCCATGAACCAGTCGGGCAGACGGCTGTACGGGATCGAATGCGTCGCGACGAGCCATTCCCCAAAGAGGACGAATCGTTGGGCAAAGAACGGGTCGCGGTCGAGCACCTTCATCAGGTCCGCACGGTGCCTGTCGACCCAGAGCCCGAGCCGTCGGAACTGCTCGTGCGACGCAGGGTTCACGTAGTGTGACCTGTTCTGAACGAGGATCTGGGTGCGGTCGGCGGAGAGGGAGAAACCCATGTTCGCGCCGTCCACCTTCTCAGTGATCACGACGTGCCCATCTCCGACGTCAGGGATGTTGCTGACGATGTCGTCGGTGGTCGCAGAGCCGAGGTCGAGGAGGTGTGCGGTACGCGGGAACTTCGACAGCCCGACGGGAGGCGAGAGGCGGGATACCAGCTCTTCAGCGGCCGCGAACGAGCGAATGGTGAAGATCGCTTTGAAGCCTTCCGCGAGAGCCGGCCTGACGAACGTAGTGTGCATCTGCTCCATGGCATTCCGCACCCTGTTGCCCGGAGGGAGCGTCGGGTGTCCGGCCCTATTCTGCGCTCGTGACACGCACAGGTCCCTGTCATAGTCGAACCACACGCACACGGGGGACTTGGCCCAGTGTGAGGCGAGCGCGAGCCACTCCTTCCGCCCAGAGCGCGAGACGTTACAGCAGTCCAGGAGCACGCGACCCCCGCGCATGTTCCCAATCGCCGTCTCGCACGCGCTACGGCTGCCCGCCTCGTCCTGGGAGATGTACGTCCAGCCGTGCGGGTCGCGGGCCATCAGTGCACGCGAGAATGTCGTCTTGCCCGAGCCGGGGAGTCCGACGAGCACGAACAGATCGGCGTCCTTTGGCAGCGAACCTTCGCTCTCCAGCGGACTAGGTGGCGGCTCGGGCACAAGGTCAGGTAAGACCGCGTGGCGCTTCCAAATTGCGCTGCAGTACTTGGCCACGAACTCTTCTTGCTGCTGCGTCTCGATGCTCCCAGGGCGGATCGCGCGCAGAGCGGCGATGGCCTCCTTGGCGGTCATCGTGGGCTCTGTCCTGGTCGAGTCTGGCTTGGCGAAGCCGTATGCGACGAGATAGCACGCTGCCACTGTCCCTGCGCGACCTTTGCCTCCACCACAGTGAATGAGCATAGGCGTATTGCGCTCTTCTTCTAGCATCCGGAGGATTAGGTCCATCTGCTCGATGGTAGGAGGGCAGTAATTCAGCACGGGCAGGAAAGTATTGCGTACGTTATTCCGAGCGAACCAGAGGGGGCTGAGGGGCGTTTCCTCTGTAAGCGTCAGGACATGGCGAATACCGAGATAAGGAGATGCGAGCGCCTCGATGTCAGCAGCATCGCGCGGCGTGGACATCAGTGCGATGTGGAAAGGAACGAGCCACCGGAACCAACGGGGGAGGCGATAGAATGATTCTGAGAGGGTGTCGGTGCGCGTAGGATGAGGAATGTAAATCGGTGTGCGCGCGAGTCTGCAGAGGGACGGGAGGGCTTGGAGCTCCCGCCCGATCAGCTCTAGGCGGAGCGCAGCAGACCACGGTTCGAGCAACTGGGGCGGGGCGCCATCGAGCTGGGAACGCTCGGCGTCGGTGAAAGCGCAGCCCCACTCGCTGTACAGTGAGCACTCCGCTATCCTCTTCAAGCAGTATTCCGAGGCCTTCGCCTCGGAGCAGCGTTCGAAAGCGCAGGCATACGCCAGCATGGCGAGTTTATGCTGCTCGTCCTTGATCGCTACATCGCCTAACCTGAGGAATCCACGTTCGGACGTCGGCATGATCTTGCACAGGCCAACGGCTGCAGCCCTCGCACGGTCATACATGCCTTCCAGATGGAGCGTGAAAGCGAGGTGGTCGAGGAGATCGGGGTTGTTCCCAAGCAGATTCGCGGCAGGATTCTCGTTTTCCGACAGAATGGAGCCAGGGCCTTTGTCGATGCCATGGTCGTCATGCGGTGAGAGAGTGATGTGGAATTGCTTCGGCTTCAGGCCGACCCGCTTGCGGAAAATTTTCCCGGCAGCCCAAACGATGACCACGAAGAAGACACCAAGCTTGACGTTACCACCAACGCCGAGGACATGCAGGTGGCGGGTGTCGACGGAATCGAGGGACGGAAGGGCATCCTTGACTGCGCTGTCGCGAAGCTCCTCCTTCGTGCATACAGTAATGTGGAAAGTAGAGCATGGTTCGAGGAGATGGGCCGTGTGCTGCGCGGTCATGGAGCTCTTCATTTTCGAGATCTCCGCCCTGGCGATCTCGTCTACTTGCGGCCCTACAAGGGCGAGGTATCCGCGGTGCCATGCGAGCGCCATGAGGTTTCCTGCAAGTCTGCGTGTGTGGGGTGGATCAGAGTTGGTGAGCTTTACGGAGCAGGGAAATATGTACTTGCCCTATACGGATCCTCGCCGGTGCCGTGCCTGAGTCATTTCATACTATCGTAGACTCAGAAACGATCCGCTCTTGGCAGTGCCGTCAGATGTGGTGCGCACCCGGTCGACATTTCCTGACTCTTACGCTGGACTACGAAAGCACGGAACGATATCTACCCGCCTCATTGATCGCGTGTTTGGGCACAGGTTCGCTGTAGGAGGCTGTGTATCGCAGTTGACATTCTTCTGTCAATAGTTGCTGCCATCACTCTTACTCTTATCCCGCAGCTCGACTTCGAAGCTGGAATGGAGGCACTGTGAACACAGTGCTCAGTAGGCAGGCTGATAGATGCAACGTAGGACAGTTTACCTGACAGGTCATACCTATAACAACGCACGGCGGAAGTGCATGCTGAGAACGCCCAAAGGGAGAGTGTCTCGGTCGACTAGGTATAAGCTCAGATCAATCTCCTGGTCAGACAAAGCTGCCCTCGAAGGACGGACAGCAGGGGAAGCCAACGATAAGTGAGCAGACATAGTTTACAAGAGACACGCATGCAATACTATACAATGAGATCCAGGGAGAAGAATGTAATCAATAGTCCGCTCATTACGCATCAAGCCTTGGTAGGCAAGCAAATAGATTGGCCGAGAGCAAGCGTCTCGCACTTGAGGTCGCTGTTGATATTCAAGATATCGTCCACAGAGCATCCACGGGTCTGGGCAAGATCCCAGCACGTATCACCGCGAGAGATGTAATATGCCTCGCTCGTACCGGGGCAGTGAATGGCCTTGGGCGGGCTGGACGTTGAGGAATGTACCAGTCGAATGACGAGTAGCAGCACGACTGCGACGATGAGGAAGAAGGGAAGGATGAGGCGATACGCGTTGGTATTATCGTGGACCCTACGCCCGGCGTGGACGGTACCATTCTGTATTTATGTGAGTTTGGGACAAAGACAATCGAAGGTGCAACTTCGGCAGCACAGCGACGCACCGAGTCCATAGCGAGGGGATGGTACCCATCGGCACGAGAATGAACGCCGATCTCGGCCTCTTCGTCACTAACATCGTCCGCCGAGGGATCACCGATGACTACTGGGGCATCCGTAACTGGGAGGCAAGGCGTCTTGAGCAGTGCTCCTACGCCGGAGCAGCGTGGACGGAGATCGGAGCAGACTCACCTCGCTTCATCTCGCCATACTCAGCACCGTCAGGGCCCTCCCAGAGCGAGCCGTCCTGGTCGCGAAAGTAGTACTTGCCTGTGTCCGAATCATATCCAACCCGTTTCATGCCCTCAGGCAGACGGTACGAGTCCTATCCAGGCATAGTGGTCAATTAGTACGCATACGCCGAGCCCATCTGCCCATACGCACGTCGTCATACTGGGTCCAACGACCCATTGTGAGCTGGTGGTGGTAGTGAAGGAAGAGAGAATGAGCGAGGCACCGCTGGAAAGACGTCACTTCAGTTGCTGTGCATATAGACTTTGGCCGTAGTCGCGGTAATCGGCATGTGGAGGCCAGGCCCGGTGTCCACAATTAGCCCCCGCGCGATCCTTGGACGTCTCCCACGTTGTCCGTCCTCACACGGCGACAAGGCTCTGCACCCTGGGGCCAGGTCATCAACATGTCATGGCAGCCAGCCCAGACGTCATTTCTCCAGTCTATAAAGATGGTTGCGTCTTCTCCCAAATTCCAGGAACCTCACTGGGCTTGCTCCTACCACATCTACAATGGCCACAGCGACGAACAGAGTCCTCCGAGTCGCTCTACGCGGCGATAACATCCTCACCCATCCGCGCTTCAACAAAGGGACAGGCTTCACAGCCTCCGAACGCAAAGCTTTCGGCCTGAGTGGCCGACTTCCCCACCGTATCAACACACTTGAAGAACAGTACAAACGAGCATACGAACAGCTTCGTCTCGACGAAGAACCACTTCGCAAGAACACGTTCCTACAAAGCCTCAAGGACCAGAACTGGGTCTTGTACTATGGATTGCTCAGCAGGCATCTCAAGGAGCTCATCCCAATCATTTATACGCCTACCCAGGTCAGTGCCCCTGCCATGTCCGCATATAACCGGCCCTCTCATATATTTGTAGGGTGATGCCATCGCGAACTACTCCCACCTCTTCCGCCGGAGCGAAGGCATGTATCTCACGTTTCCAGAGCTGGATTCGATGGAAGAGGACTTCCTTGAACAGACCAAGGATCGCGACCTCCAGCTGTTTGTCGTAACCGATTCCGAAGCAATCCTTGGTATTGGCGATCAGGGCGTTGGTGTACGCATCTCGTCATATACAGACCGTGTTCCGTCGCATCCGACCTCATTCGGCCTACATACAGGGCATCGGCATTGCAACTGCCAAGTCTGCCATCTATACGTACGTACCACAATATTTGCTCGGGCCACGCTCATGTTCTGCTGCAGACTTCTAGGAGGTATCGATCCGTCTAAAACCCAGGCTGTTGTCTTGGATGTCGGCACGGACAACGAGAAGCTGCTCAACGACCCCCTCTATGTTGTGCGTGTTCGGACGCTCCTATGTGCGCTGCAATCCCTTCGTGCTGATCATGGACGTGCGATTCAGGGTTGGCCGAACCGACGAATCCGAGGAAAGGCATATGACAGATTCGTTGACAAGTGAGCGTGTGGCTTCGATCTCAGACCCGCATACATGCAAATGACCTATGGGACTCGCAGGTTCGTGCAGCTCGTGCGCAAGCACTACCCCCACAGCCTATTGCACTTTGAAGACTTCGGCGTGAACAATGCACAACGGCTGCTTGACTTCTACCGCGACAAGCACGCTGTGTTCAACGACGATGTGTAAGCCCGCTCTCTCCATTCCAGAATGGAACAAGTCTCATTATATCCTGCCGCAGGCAAGGCACGGGCGCAGTGACTCTCGCCGCGCTCATGGCCGCCGTAGGCGTCACGAAGAGCAAACTTGCCGAGCAACGCATTGTCGTCTACGGCGCCGGCACTGCAGGGCTCGGCATCACCAAGCAGCTCCGTGACGGCATGGGCACCATCGACAACCTCTCCGCCGCGGACGCCAACAAGCGCTTCTACCTCCTCGACCGCTTCGGGCTCGTCAAGGAGTCTCTCGGTCCCGAAAAGATCCGCCCCGCCCTGCACGAGTTCGTCCGCCCGGACGCGGAGTGGGCCGACGTGCCGACGAACGACAAGGGCGAGATTGGGCTGCTCGAGGTCGTGAAGAAGGTGCGGCCGACGGTGCTCATCGGCTGCTCGACGAGCGCGGGCGCGTTCACGGAGGAGATCATAAAGGAGATGGCCAAGGGCACGGACAGGCCGATCATCTTCCCGCTCTCGAACCCCACCCGCCTGGTCGAGGTCACGCCCGAGCAGGCAAACACCTGGACGAACGGCAAGGCGCTCATGGCGAGCGGCAGCCCCTTCCCGCCATGCAAAATGCCGAACGGGAAGATGTACGAGATTGCGGAATGCAACAGTACGTAGTGCCCTACAACTCGCCTGATCTGCCGCGCATTCTTGCGCTCGACTCCTAGTTTCTCACGCTAAGAGTTTCGAGCGCGGGTGGGAAAGCTAGGAACAAGTACTGACCCTGCACCTCCTCACCACCGTATAGATGCGCTCATATACCCTGGCCTTGGCTTCGGCGCGATGATCACACAGGCTCGCAAGCTCTCCGACACAATGATCATCGCGGGCGCGCAGAAGCTCGCGTCGCTGTCCCCCGCGCACAAGGACCCCGACAACGCCCTTCTACCGGACTTCGCGCACGCGCGCGAGGTGAACACGGAGGTGGCCGTCGCTGTTGCGGAACAGGCCATCGCAGAAGGCGAAGCGGGCGTAGACTGGGACAAGGAGGAGGTCAGGGACAGAATTGCGGAGCGCCAGTGGATCGCCGAATACCCGCACCTTGTGTTCGATCCCAAGGGCGAACGGTAGGTGGTGTGGAGTTGCTTATGTTGTGTTTGTGGAATGTGGCACGGACTTTTGTAAATGATACCAGGATATCCTCGATTCTGCCAGTCTTTCCGACGTCTATTATCCCACGGAATATGTATGATACATCGCGCCAATGCGCAAGAATACAGCGCCAATATAACATGACAATTTGCAAGAGTCCGTTGGCCACATGACAACAGACAGTGAATGGGAAGTAGCATCCCAACGACGAGCTTATTTCCTTGCGAACGTGATCTGCCATGCATAGTGAGTAGATTGAGCTTGAGACAACTATTTGAAACGTGGGTACCTTGATCTTGTTCTCCCCGTCCAGCTTGTAGTTGTGAAGCGCATCCTTCGCCACCGTAGCACTTGCCTCGTCCAAAAACTCCACGAACGCGATATCCTTCTTTGTTGGGATAAGACGGACCTCGTACAGGTTCGGATATCTGTGGCAATGGACAGATGAACACATGAAGATGGCAAACTGATGATAGTAAGACGTACTGTGAGAAGAGCGCCATGAGCTGGTCCTTGGTGACCGTTTCGGGGAGGTTCTGCAAGAAGAGAATCTTGTTGGGCGGTAGGTACTCGTCGGGCATCTGCACGTTGGGGCGTTTTGCTGTTGGAACAGCACCGGCACCATCGACTAGGAGCGATGTCAGTAATTCATGATACATGTTGAAGGCGGTGAAGTGCGTACCTTCTGCAGCCAGGCGCTTCTGGCGATATTTCCGCTTGATAGGGTTGGTGTATCGTGTCGCCTCTACATGGGAATGAGCGACATGGGAAGACGCAAGGAGAAAGGCACGTACTCTTATGCTCCAATCTCCTCTGTTTGTGCGCATCAAAGCTCGCTGGATCCTTCTTCTTCACCACCGCATCCGACTTCGTCCTCGCGAACGAGATTTGCTGCAAGGGATTGAGCATAAAACAAGTATAGTCACGCCACAGACGAGCACACGCACCATAGGTTTTGAGTAGAGCGGGAACCCACGGACCTCCTTGAATGCCTTCTTCGCAATCTCCGGCGACTCGAACGACACAAAAGCCTGCCCGCGCATGCGCAAGTTGCTGTGCGCGACGACATCCAGCACCTCCCCATAAGACTTGAAGAGACCGCGCAATGACGCCTTGAGTACGGGGATTTTGATCTTTTCGTTGAGATTTTGGATGTAGAGCGTTTCTGTAGCGACCTCCTCTTGTGGTGGGGCAGCGGGTGCGGCGACGGGTCCCTCTCCAGGGACAGGGGCGGGAGCGACGATGTTGGTCTGGATGCCCTGCATGGCATCCACAGCCATAGGAGGAGCAGGGATTTCAGCCATAGCGAGTACGATGCAGTGCAGTGAGTGGGTGTCGGTTGTTAGAGCTCAATAGGCGACGACTCGGGGCGAGTTGAGCGAGCGAATGCTCAGGCGCATCGGCAAATGCCGAAATACCGTATACAGTAAATTGGAAGAACCAGGACATCGACAAGCAGAGTCCGGTTGAACGATCGCATAGCATGAAATTGGGTGTCCAGTATATTGATCATACGTATTAACTACACAGAACAGCCATCGCAAATTCTCAAGCACCATACGGTACGCTCCTGTCAAGCGCTGAGAGATCGCGACCCCCCGTAGACTCATGCATACGCAGGCGGTTCTAGCGTGCGGAGTATCAGCGAAGGCTGTCCATTTCCTCTGAGAGCAATCAAGGACATACCAGGATTGCACGCAACCTTTGGCTTCTTTATGCGGGGCGGTTGCTTGTAATCTCTCGTCCCTGGGTATACTGGATGGTCTAGGACTCCTACACGAGACACGTGTATCACGCCGGGCGTGTGCGAACGTGTGTGCTGCAGGGGGTCATGGCCGACGGAGTCCATCTCCATGTCCTCAGCCTCAATGGCGTCAATTTCCACAATGATCTCGCCGTTGCGAGGGCCGCGCTTCCAATTAACGCGACTAAGCTCCGTGTTGTTGAGTAGCCAGTCCGGTTCGAGGGATAATTGAGCGGCGAGAGAGCGAATTCGGAGCATGAGCCTGGATACGGCAATGGACGACAGAGAGAGCCACACGCTGTCAAGGGAGTCAGCTATCACTTTTCTTCGATGACAGAACGCAACGCTGCTCACTTGGAGTAGATGGCGGGTGTCGTTACCTACAAGGATGTCAGTATTAGGGTATTACCGAGGTGCAGCTGCCCGGACGCACCAAAGGAGTTTTCGCCAATGCCCCGATCGTCTGGAACATAGCGGCGGCTGCGAACAGGTCAGCATGAGGCTAATTTACGTGGAATCTCAACTGACCGAACACCGCGAAGTAGAAAAGACCACCGCTGCCGGCTCAGTCAGATTAATCCATCCTAACATACGACATGTACTCACTCCATGACTAGACGATCTACTAGCATCGACTGCTGCCCGAGCCTCCGGAGCCTCACAGCGGGAAGTGTCGTCGCGAGGAACAGCAATGTGTGGAGAATGATACTAGGCACGAAGATCTTCCACATCTCCCTCGACGGAGGTGCGGTGCAACTGTCGATTGTGATCCCCGGGACGGGTAGGTGGGCATCTATGTCGTGCCAAACGGTTCCGAATAGAACCAAGGTGCAGATGGTGCATACAGCCAGGGTCCCGATGACGATCGCCCGCGCGACAATATCCTTCGAGTAAACATAGCAAATTCTGAGCACGATAATAGCTGGACAAGTTAATCGTTGTAAGACGTGAGTGTGTGTCTCCTACAGGCTCGACAGCCAAGAGGGAGAGGGCTTGCCTTGTACGACGAAGATGCTCACAATCGTCAGAACGAAAGTCGTGTGTATGAGTCCATCGCAGCTACATCCGAAGTCAGACAACCGTGCGCGTTGCAAGGCCTGTACACGTACTCCTACAATCGTATGTCAGGGAGGCGCAGTCATAGGGAGATTGAACCATACTCACTTCCACAGACAAGTTCCTTCCTGTGAAGCCTATAGACCCATTGGAGGGCAGTTGTGAGAATTTGCTAGTCAGATGTCCTCAAAGCGGGACGCACCAACTAGACCCATACTGAACATCGAATCAGCAACACAGATATTATGCAGAAGGGCAGCAACTCACAACAATGCGAGAAGTGGAAAGTATCGATTCTAGGAACAAAATATTGCGTCGGGAGATGGATGGGAGCATTCTTATGAGTGTGCACTCACAATGAAGAATAAAACTCGAGAAAGCGACCAAGATCCCTTCCAAAAGTATTCCACCTGGTGGATGTCAGCGTTGCAATTCACAGACCAATTGCAGATGGCCGTATACCTCCTGATCGAATGTGACGGCAGCATCGTACAGAAAGCAGGCTATTGCTGCAACGGCGAGGTACCGTGCCCTCTCGAGCCCTTCTAGGGACAGAATCAAGGCATTCAGCTCGGCCTGAAGGTCGACAGAGATGGAAGTTGCAGCCATTGAATCATACGGGCGAGAGGCTTGCGAGGACCAAGGTGAGTCCGCTAGCGGAAGCGTTGTGTAACTCCCAGATGAGGTCCCTGGAGTTGCGGGGGCGACGCTCGGGCGAAGCGACTTCTCCGCTCGACGGCAGGCGTTTATCGTTCCGAGCGAGCCTCATGTCGTCTCGGATCGCAGGATGCAACCCTGCTATGATTACGTCCTGCACGCGTCTCCATCACCATCAGCGTAAGTGATGTGTGCCAGCGCATGGATAATGTTCGCACTAGTCCAGGCCCAGAAATTCCCTGGATGAGAGTTGCCTACGGGACCGAGAGATTCAGGACGTACGGCGCGAGGCCGAGAAGCGTGATGCATCAAGACAGAGATTCTTTGAGATGTCGCCGCACGCTCCTCGTCCCATGGCACTTGAAGCGCGTCATCGAGCCTGATCAAACGTTCGGGAGTGGCGAAGTTGCTGGGCTAAGTATAGCGGCAGAAGGTGCGGACTTAGGTCTGGTCATACAAAGAAAGCCGCCAGTAAGCTGAGCCGCCGTCGTGAAGTAGCAGGGAGTAGCAGCGTACTATGTCCTGACTCATTCATCCTGGTAGTACCTCGCCTAGCGGGGATAGCCTCCCACACAGCCCGGCCCTTCAGCCACAACGCTGGCGCCTACTTATGATGCACGGTCCCGAGAAGTACTTAATCGACCATCAATCTTGTTGGTCTAGTGGTTTGCGATCAACTCTGGCGACGGTAAGGACATCAACCGAGACACGGTATGAACACGGGCCAAGTCAAGGCACGCTCGGTTATAGCCCCTCACGTCCGCCGGCCTTCAAAACCGAGCAAAACGCCACGCACGTTCTCCCCCAGGGTCTCCATATGGTAACCACTGTAGTCACAGTGAGCGAATGTGTCTTTCACAGATGACGCACTGAGGACTAACCCTTCCATGACGAAAAGTGTCGGCTTTTCTATCGACTTGACGATCTCGCCTACGCGAGGATAGCAAGCCTGCGTCAACAGAAAATCGCAGATGGGGTCCTCGGAGTAGGTATCAACTCCGAGACTGGATTTTGATCGACGTCATGAGCGCCTCAATCCGGGTCTGATAAGCGGCGGGTAGACCCACCTGACGACGAGATAGTCGACTTCTGCGTGATCCTGGATAATATCAGCTGCTTTCCGAAGAGTATCGCAATATAGGTCGTCCGTCGTCCGTTGACGCGGTAGCGGTAAGTTGTGGTTGTAGCCCAATCCTGGACCCGAGCCGCGCTCCTCACTAGACCCAGTGAAATCTAGAAAACTATGTCAATTTCGAAATGTCAGCGTCCGGTCGGAAGGCAACTCACACGGATAATCTCCGTCAGCGTGGAGAGAAACGTACAGGACTTGAGGATTATGGTAGAATATCTGTTGGGCTACGACCGCACAATCGGTCGCGCTCGTTGCCGATACGGATCAAAAACACTTACTTCCATTCCCGTGATGGTAATCGATATCGAGAATTGCAATGCATTTGCTTCCGTGGTGCTCGAGCAGATACTTCGCGGCAATGGCAGCGTTGTTCAGGAAGCAGTACCCACCACAGAGCGCATCTTGGGTGTGATGTCCTGGCGGCCGACTGGGAGAATGCTGAGATCGACAAAGAGCCCACGTTGCGGGTACTCACGCTAGTGCAAAAACGCCGAAATGTGGGGACCCGTTCCTAGCGGTAGCGAGATATCGCGCAGCCGAAAGGGTGATTCTGACGGACGCGATAGCAGCTCGGTAGGTATCTATGCCCATGGTGTATGATCAGACATTCATCCTCTCGGTGAGTGTTTGGCATGAAGGTTACGGGAGGTTATAGGGCAGCTCAGGTCGAAACAGTAGACCCCTAGGGACTGGGTCAGAGGCTACCAGAACACTCGATCTCTCTGTGATTACCTGGTTTCGCTAACGGAGACATGCTGTTGGTATTTCTTGGCCCAAATGATTGCATAGAACGATGCTGAAATGTCTCCGGAAACACTGCGCTCTCAACGTCCATTCAGGTCAGCTCTGAGTCCATCTGCGCTGGATGAACGATGGACGCCATACCTTATCGCCTCCGATGGCAGTCCATTCGCTGTATATATTTTCTAGATACTCGACATACTCCTTTGAGTGTACCGCTAGAATGTAATCTTTGATGTCCTCTGGCCAGTCGTTCTCGGCCGCAATGACCTCGAAGGCGTCGCTCTGCTCCAGCGCACCCTCAATCGCCTTGACACGGTCCGGGCTCTCGAGATATGTCACGAGCCGTCCTGATAAGATTTCATGTGGCGGGTCATGCAACAAGGAATCGCTGTGCCAGTAGACTCGCATGAATAGGTAGAGAGGTATCAAAAACAGGACATTGCCGTAGTGGCGATTGGTGAGTCCACCAGAGAGAGCACGTGAGTCAGTCCTCAATGCGGTACATTCAACTTCAGTCAATCTTTTCCTGAGTCAAATTCCGAGCTGGTCGCAAAGCATGGCACGAGCCGTGTGCCAACGATAGTAGGTATGTTCGCGGCTTAGTGCCGTCAAGCAGGAAACGAATACATAGGTTAACTGTCAACTCCTCCCGTGTTCCTGATTAATTCGCCCAGAGTCGCAGACGACGGGCAAGCCAAATGCACGCGCGACTCGTGGATGCTTCACGCACTTCGAATAAGTTCCACGTGAAGAAGGACGCATCCATCAAGGAGAACTAACTCGCCGTCAACAGTTTGCGAGGGTAATGGCACGCATGTCAACAGACGATAGGAGTGAGGGAGGCGTAAAAAAAGCCCTAAGTACTCCAGCATCTCTGGCACTAACTCCTGCGGGCCAACTGCCACAAAGCCGTAGCGTGGCTCGGTATCTTCCGGCGGCAACACAAGGCGGCACGCGCGCAAGATGTCAATGTCAATCACAAGTCACTCGCACTACCGCAGCTAGGACCGGCCAGAGGCAAGGCACCGCTTCAGCACTTTCTTATCTCCAACCGCAACCACCACACACTACGGTTACTGCATACACATAAGGTTGAGAGGAAGATCTATTCTAATCAAGTTCAAAATGGCTGAGGTATGCTCTATGGCTGGTCAATATGAGATTGTTGGACCTCATCACACACTAGAGCGACTCGGAACGCGAGTTCTGGGAGGATGACTCTCTATCACGAGCCCGCGCCTTCCTGAGCATGAGCAAGCAAACTTCCTCCGCTCAAGGTCAGTGAAACATAGTCCTATAAACCACTTGACTACAGCTCATCCACATCCAGAATGGGAAAGCGAGGCGCGTGACTCAATACCACGAAAGGAGGCGGCTCGACCCACAAGAGCTACCGCAGACATCGGAATTGGTACCCGCAGCACTGGTACAATCCCTCTGGCCTTTGACAGATGCTGAGAAGGGTGCTGACCATTTTCCAGCGATCACAAGGCGACGGCCTGTTCATGACACAACACCGCGTCCGCCTATCCGCAGTCCGGCAGCTTCTACTCCCCAGGCTGCTCAAGCCGCAGCATCGATTGAATCTCCTCGCGCACATGTCCGAACTGCTCACGATCAGGCTATGGATGTGGATAGCGATTCGGAAGACGACTCCGCTTACGGTCAGCCATAGTCTATTCTCCGATGATTTGGTCGCTGACAGAGTTACGATTTAATAGTGGAAGCAAGTAAGTAATATTATGCCGACGTTCTCAGCTCCTCGCGCTTACCAAAGATGACTTAGTGATCGACACGGAGAGCGAAGACTCGGAGGTTCCATCCAGGGGCCCATCATTCGCCTTCTCCACCACTGTCGAGTCAAGAAATGCTTCCATGACTTCTCTTTCGTCTTCGGCCTCCGTGGATTCCAGTGGCCGAAAGCGGACGGGCGAGTATGAACCCACTTACGGCAGACCTATCATCCCTGGTCCAAGTACAACGCGGCGTAAGGTCGCGCGCACCACGCAACAGGCAAGTCTTAATTCCAGACAGCAGGCGTGGGTCAGTCACGGCATAGACGTGATAGGCATGTCATGCGTCATTTTTTCTGTCAAATCTATCTCAGCGCGGCACTGCTAACGCTGAATATGCTCTACAGACTGCTACGTTGCCGTCGCCTCGACCCGTCCCGCAGACGCCTTCTCGGTCGGGGAATGTTACGCGGACGAACTGGTCGGAGTCTCCCGCTCCCTACAAGGAAACCATTGATACTCCCACTACATCGCGCATCAGCAACGCGGTAGGAGCCCTTGGTCTCGATGAGCAACCAAGCTCGGCATCAGTGGGCCCTTCTCGCACAAAGGCGCAGACTCAGGCGCTCGATCCATCGAGCTTCTCCGGCGTATACATCCTTGCGCACGACAAAGACATGCAAAAGCTGTTCGACAAGATCCCGCTGAGCTGGGGAGTGCAGTACGAAATTGCTCGTGGCGTCTCCCTAGGCTTGTGGAGCTGGGACACAGTCCGCAAGGCCAAGCTGGAGTCACTCCGCGGGCCGAACAACAATGCGGCCTCTAGGGTGTCTCAGGTGCTTGGGCGCCCGCTTTGCGATATGTCCCCAAGTGATGCGGCGATCTGGTGCGTGCCATGTTTCACCAGAAGACGAGGAACATCTGACACCAAACTAGGATCGAACTCGACCGCGAAGATGCGGCGATCATTGAGAACCGCTCGCGAGGGCTCGGCTTGCAAGGGGACTTCAAGGAGAAGCCCAACTGGTACGGGGGACAGATACAGCAGATAGCCAGGCTAGAATCGGACGGCGAAAGCTTCCGTCTAACTCTTGCGAAGATGGAGATGCGCAAGTCATACCGCTTCGCGCGCTTTCTGCACTCTCGGCGGATAATACAGGTCTCTATTCCCCAATCGATCGTGAACAACCGTGCACAGGACCTGCGTGCGTTCTTCACTCAAAAATTCGTGCTTTGCGGTCGAGTTTTTGTGGCGTTCGATGCGAAGGATAAGAAGATGTTCCTCATGGAGATCCCGGAGCAGTACGAACGTGACGCTCGTGTCCCCGGAGATGAACATCGGATTTCGTTAGAGGACTTCGTCGCATGGCACAATCCAATGCATCGTAACGGTCAACAGGCACGTATCGACAAATACGCTCTTATGATTACTGTCTCACCTTGTGTATGTTACACAGCCAATCTCAAAGTGGGCTACGCGGTTCGACCTCGGCTTCTCTGTTTCGGTTCCGGTCATATCCATCGCGCTGGAGAACATGCACTTCATGAAGGACGAAGGTATAAGTGCCTTGTCGTCGTTCACACTCGTTAATCACCTCATATTTTCGCCCATAGCCGTACTTAACGACGACCAGGACTGGAAGCCGCCTCCCGAGTGCATCTTGACGGACGGCTGTGGCTGGATGAACGGCGCGGCGCTCAGCGCTCTCGCAAAGCAGATAGGTCTCGAGGAGCGCCCGACCGCAGTGCAAGGACGCTTTGGGGGCGCGAAGGGCCTCTGGATCCTCCATCCTCGCGAACAGTCCTCCAACGGCGTTCCAAAGATCTGGATTCGGGACTCACAAGTCAAGGTCAAGCTCGACTTGAACAATCTCCATCCAGCTCACACCGTTTTCGATCTGCTCGCGCCGCCGCGCGTAACCCTCCCAAGCCGACTTTCGAAGCTCACCGTACTGAACCTCGCCTACAATGGCGTTCCTAAGGAGACGTTCGTGGAGTTGATGAAGGACACGATTGAGGAGGAGGTCAAGCCACTCACGCAGTGGACCGGACCGAAGGCCATGTTCCTGCTGTGGAAGGCGGTGGAAAGAGTAGGCGGCGTGTCGATGAAGCGAGCACTCCAGCACGCCCTTGGGATATCGCGAGCACTTGGGCTGATTGGGAGAAGCATGCAAGATCTCGTGGACCGTGACGACGAGCCTCCGGAAGCCCTAGAACAGCTGGCTACCGAGATTTCTGACTTAGGCGGGGATGTCAGTGAAGAGACGATATCGACCTACACGGCACTGCGTGACCCGATCACGGGACAACCGCTAACGATCCATGGCGTTTCCTTGGATCTCATTCAAGCTGGCTTCAATCCTCTCAAGCTTGAGTTTCTGTACGAGAAGCTCAAAAAGATCGTGACGATGGCCATAGATGACATAATCAGCGACTACCACATCTCGGTTCCTCTGTCTGCCGAGGCCTTCATTATTCCAGGTATGTTCCGCCGTGTTCAGACATCACTTGTTATACATTGACATCTATTTACTTGTCATAGACCCATATGGAATCTTGAATGAAAGGGAGATACATTTCAAGTCCACTAAGAACCTAAAGGATCCGTTGGAAGATATGAACCCCCATCAACTCCTGGGCGAAGTCTTGGTCTGTACCCCCTGCGCTGAGCAGTCTTCGCTACAATGTTGATAGGCCACAAATAGATTTATCGCAACCCGTGTCGTCTCCCCTCGGACGTACAAAAGGTATGTCCAGTCGGAGCAGTCGGATAGTCTTGCCGTGCGCAATATTGATTGCTGTGTATTCATGTATAGGTCACGGCAGTCCAATGTGACGTGCTTGCTGCCTACACCGACGTAATTGTACTTCCTACCGTTGGTGCCCGTTCTTTTGCGAGCTATCTTGCCGGTGGAGGTAAGTCGGTTCCCATACATGCGGCTACCAGCTCTGAACCATGTTCCGACATCTATAGACTACGATGGAGGTAAGCATTTCGCGTCGACGCAGTACGATTGTCAATGAAATCCGCGTTTGCTAGATGTTGCTGTCGTCATCTATGATGACAGACTTGTCAAGGACTTTACGACACCTCCAGTAACTCAGGAACCCCCAGATTTCATCAAGAACAACTTCGAAGACATGGGAACAATCAAGCAGGTTTCGGACCTGGCGAAGGACCTTACTCAACTCGATAACGACCCCGATGCGCGCCGTCGCATGTTGCAGGAGAGCCTGTTGTCCGGACTTTCCATTACACCAATTGGGATGTATTCGGAGTTCCATGAAGGCACGGCATACGCATATGGTTATGACGCACCGGAGACGATCCGCAATGCGTTCATGTGAGCATGAAATTTTGGTGTTACGTTAGCCAACGCTCACAACCACCTGGCAGGTTCAACACGGTGCTAGACTCACGGAAGACGGGTTACCGCATCAGGCAAGAGGTTCTTAAGGACGACAAGCGCAAGTACCAGAGACAACTTCCTGACTGCATGCTGTCACGAAAGGCAGCCGAGAAAAAGAAGCAGTCTTGGGACCGGGGAGACATACCCTTCCGGCGGGATCGTCGTCTTGGGCAGTTCATTCTCGACGAACTATTCGCTGCAGGTCGCAAGATGCGAGATGAGCAAATCACTCGATATGATCGCTTGAAATCCCACGCGTCCTTTTCTATGGACGACGACCTCCTCCGTCCTTGGAAAAGGGTCAGGCCGTGGCTCGGCGATTCATCCCCAGTTGCACGCGATCTCGAGGCGATCCAGCGGCATGTCGAGAAGCACATCGAGCGATGGCGGGCTATCACCGCGAATGCTCGAACGCCCTTCAAGCGCGGTTCATCGTCAACCAAGGACAAAGCCACAGGATCTGAGTCTGGCAAGGGGGCACAGGCTCAGTACAACGATCTTGCACGATCATTTGCGACTGTGCCTGACATCTCGCCGGATACGCTACTCGCGTCCATCGCGTCCATCCCAGAGCTCAAGGCGTCATGTGCCTACACGCTCAAGCCTGGTTTCGCGTGGAGCGTTGCGTTTCAAGCGCTGTGCCATATCAAGGCAGGTGCACAGGGTTCAGTCGCGGTCACGGCTGATTTCGCAGAGGTGATGTCCATCCCTGCTTCCACCAATCGAGTCCTTGAGCAGAGCAGGCTTGCGCTGACTTCGTAATATCCAACCATAATCTTGATTCCCGATTTGCGATTGTATGTTGTATTTCATGGAACTTGGGTTGACCTCTGCACTGTTATATCCTGGATTTGTACAACTACCTAGCCTCGTATCACTACTGATATTTATCCTGAATCTCGCAGATCGCATTCAACCTCGAAATTTCGAAAATGTGGATTGCTTGGAAACCAAAGGCCATCAAGGTGCCCGCCGTCTACGTCCCGAGTGATGCTCGCGTGCAGCAAGTTCGTGGTCTCGGCGTACGTGTGCTCTAGGCGGTGATCAACCTCATCGATCGGACCATTGAATCCTCGTTGACGACATTCGCTATGATCCGAGCGTACCCGCCACACCGGCGATCGGGTTTCCCTTTGCCGGAACGTCTATCTGCTTTGTGCGCCCTGGATACAGCCCTACACATGTATAACGTACGTACGAGAGCCGTGAAGAAACATTGAAGAATCGACCGCGAACGAGGGTTCCTACGGCACGAAGGCGCAATGATGCTAGAAGAACGAGCTCGCGTTGGCTAGAAGAGCCGCGCTTAGCATCATGAGGCGACCGCACGGTGCGTACCCTAATCGTAGCCATCCCATGATCGTGAATGTTCAATTTCATGTGAGTCGGGAGAGCGCGGTGAATGCGGCCGCCGTGACGTAGGTACCATTGATGAACTATATGTCTGTCACTGTTTATGTCCGTCACTGCGGAGCTGTGGCTGGGAGCCGACAGGTTAAAGTAGAAAACGTCCCGTGCTGAGAGACAAATGCGAACTCACCTAGCGAGCAACGAAGAGGGAGAAAAAAAGGAAAGGAGACAGCGCTCGTCTGACACTCGTTCGTCTCCGCTAGTCCTATGCATCTTGTAGCTCTCTTGCACTACTGGCGATTGAGGTGTGGACGAGCGAGCACACCGGTGCGGGCTTGGCCCCAAAGATCCCGGGCGTAGTATTGTGAGTACTCGAGCTATTCGACTTTTGCGATCAACTACTGTTCGGCCGTGGAAACGATGTATCTCGTTGAGAGAGGGTGCGTTGGTTCGAGTCGGTGTGGTATTCAGATGGCCGGTTCGACCAGTTGCCTAGGAAGTCAAGCACTTTGGAGTTGATGTATTACCTTGCGCGAGGATGGGCATGAGGCTGTCCTTCTGCATTACTTACTAGAGGAGTCACCGGCAAGACGGAAAGCCACGTACTCAACAATAGTGAAGCTCGCTTACAACATGTATGGCTGCTGATGCCATGTATGACTGATATTGAATAACTCACCTTGACGAGATGCAGATAGCGAAGCGTCCTTTGCGGCAATGGGAACGGCGGCGGCACTTGGCAGCCCGTAGGGCCGTGACGTCTCGACTAGAAAGACGACCAGACCGCATGATAGTATGCAGGCAAGCAATGGTCTACATTGTTCGCAGATAAAATGTTGGGCATGATGTAATCTGATGAGCTGCAGTGGACCCTAGTATATGGGTTACTTATATCAGTTCAACTGTGTTCACGGTTTGATATCTAGGCTCAACTGTCTGGGACTCCACCATAGTGTGACTTGTTCACATTCAACCGAGCCGATCGCCCCTGAGCTCGGTGTGAGCCGGTATTCCAAATCGAAGCGCTTCGGAGATTTCGGACCGAGCGGCGTTGGCATACGCGAAGATGAAGCGTTTTCTCAAACTCCCCTAAACCCCTCGTACTCCTCGCCAGCAGCGCAGAGAGTATGCAGAGTGGTAGTATGAGGATTCTGATTGCGCTCCTCTTCCTGTAATGCACATGGTGAGACTGCATTCATCTTCGCGCCTGCCACAACTTATCCAACCCGTTGCTCGTCAGTGCGACGCTCGAACGGAATAAGATATTTAGTGCTCAGGACCCCTTGTCGGGTGACCAAGCACTGCCCGAGTCCTGCTCTTCCCGCAGCTCACCGGATGGAAGCTCACGGTGACTTAACAGGCCTGTACATGCGGGCTAAGTCCACACGCTGCCGCGATTCTGATCATACTAACGCAGCAGTCATACCCTTGAACGGAGACATTACGACATTAGCTCACGGAGCACCGCTTGGTTGGTTGCGGAACTGCGATGCGGGCTGATCTATGCTTTCCACTGAGACCGTGCATGGCAGAGCCCATCAGTAAGCAGAGGTGCGTCGCCATTCGTGTGAGGTACCACATATTTTGTAACTGCGGACCTCAAAATATGCAAACCTTTGAAATATGGAAGGACCTCCTCCCTCTGCTCCTCCCTTCGGAGCTATCTCAGCGTCTGGACAAGCTACGCGAACTCTGCCTCTGCTTCTGCTTCTACTTCTACTTCTGCTGGGACTTGAACTCACCCCATGTGAACGTGACGGCCCCTTCTGTTCGTTCTGTTGCTAGAACTACATCGGTAGTTGTCTCGCTCCTTGCCAGAAAGCGCCGTATCGGGATTGCGGTCAGACGCTCTGCGCACGCAGGTTCGACAACAAGGCATGTGGTAATCTCATGAAATCCTGCAACATGATCCAGTCACACGGACAAATAACCTACCATGGCGATATGTAAAGAGCCAGTGCCTCCTCGGCTGACATGACACGGCCCCCTCAGCCATGGAGCACTACTGCCTCTTCGCTGGTCCCATCGCTCTTCTGCTCTACGGTCTGTATGTCAGACGCCCTGCGGTAAGCTCCATTCCCAAAGATTGTGAGAGTAATTATAGTAACAGCCGCATTAGATTCCAAAGAATCGTTTACCCCCCATCGTTGACATTCCGGTACTCCGCGTCACCGCTTCAGACCGTACCTTCGTACTTACATGCCGCTTCGCAGGCTGAAGACATCTTCTCCAGACCCCGCGAGGCTTACGGAGAAGCATTGGCGACGTATGGGCCTGTAATAGGTGTACGGCGCAAGGGAAATGTATGGTTATCTGGACTATCATCCATTCGCGTTGGCACTGACTATACCTCATTGTGCGCGTGCACAGCTCGAATACATCGTCAATCAAGAGTATGCCCGCCATGTCCTAACCTGTGACCGCCTCTTCAGCTTTGAACAGGGTTCCGCCGCCGTGGGTATTCGTCGCCGTCGCGAACGCGGCTTGTGCTAACCAGCCCATCTAGATCATGAACCTCCAGCCCATCATGGCGTTCACCCAAGGGACCCTTTTTCGTGACCTGCAGGATTTCGTCAGGGACGGCATCGTGAACCGGATCGATGAGATTGTCTATAGGAGTAAGCGCTCTTCCATCCCGTACAATCATCGCTGTGGAATTGTTCATCCGAGATATCAGTTTGGCCCCTCTTCCAGAAAGACACGAAAGAGTTCATAGATCTCGCCGCTGACGGCCTGAAGTCCGGCAAGCATCCGAATTGCTTCGAACATTTTCACAACACGATCGCCGAGACGACCTTGATTCTTCTGCTGGGCCAGGTAGCGTCGGGTCCCGTTGCCTTGTTTGTAGATTCGGCTGACGACGTCGAGGACAGGATTATGTCAACGAGCAAAATCTTTTGATCATTGAAGACGTCTCGAACGGTATGGCCGAGCTCACGGGGCAGTATCAGAACTTCTCGATGATCGGGAGATACCTGCCGATCCTTTGGATCCTGTACACCTGGTACGTGTCCTCGTCTACACCGGCCTCTTCTCTTCCTTCTCCACGCTATCACCTGTCGTGGAGAGCTGATAGACGTTTGACTTCCCATTCCGTCAGGGTGAAGGTGATGCTGATCACCATCCCGTTCGGCTTCCTCCGTAAATACGGACCCAAGGTTTGGCGCGACATCGATCGCTATGAGGAGATTAGCCGGTCCAGGAAGCTGTCTCCAAAAGACGAGGTGGGTCTGGTGGTGTTGTTCTTTGTTCGGTTCGGAGATGGCCATTCTGACGCATGCGACTGGACACAGCCGAGGACGGTCTTGTATCTCATTGTCAAGACATACATGCCTCGTGATGGAAAACGAATCAGCGCACCTCGACGCCTTTACATCGCCGTGTTGTTACTATGGTCAGTCCGCTTCGCAATACAAACCCACCTCATGCGCACTCTCTCAGCGTCGTTGTCAGCTTGATTTTCGCAGCAGTCCACACGACGTGAGCGCATTTCGTAATCGTTTCCACCATATTCTCACATCAACCGTTGGTCGGCTACGCAGTACCGTTGTCTCCCAATGGGTGCTATGTCAGCTTGCCATGCGGCCGGAATACCTTGCCCCGCTTCGTGAGGAGCTCGCAAGCGTTCTTGAAGAGGATGAATCGGGTGCTCTTCGTCTAACTGCGCAATCGCTTCGGGAAGCCCGCTTGATGGACTCCTTCATACGAGAAGTGATGCGCCTGAAGGGCGACACGATCTCGGCCATGCGGTACACCACCTGCGACGTCCCCCTTGGTGATGCGATTCTACCGAAGGGTGCGTTGCTTGCCTCACTGCGCAATACTGTCTTCCTCGCGCCCGGCCTGAGCTCCCTGCCCTTATGGAGTTCTCCAGTAGACCGGGCGTAAATCCTTCGTTTGAGCGTTGACCGGTGCTCCGAAACAAATCACATAGATCACTGATAAACCGATCCGTAGGACACTTCGTGACAGCGATGTCAACGACCGTGCATGAGAACCCGGAAGTATTTGGGGAACAACCCCGCGAGTTCAACGGGTTCCAATGGGCTGAGCTTGGAAAAGAAGCAGTGATGACAGGGCCTGCGCACATTGTCTTCGGCTTGGGCCGGTTCGCGTGTCCAGGACGCGTCCTCGCCGTCAACGGTACGTGCTGTGATTGACCACCAGCAAAGTCGGCTCATCACTGACGTCGACGTTGTCTCATTCCCAATGCACGATCCTCGCTGCCACTGCATGTGATGATTGCTCCATGCTAATCTTCAGAGATTAAATTGATCGTCATGTCGTTAATTGCGCGTGCGACCCCAACATTGCTTGAAGGCAGATTCGAAGTATCGGACCCTTTGAACACGGTGAGTATGCGATCCTATCTGATGTTCGATTGGGGTACCATTGTGATTCCGACGCTCGCTATTCTCCGGTTTATGCTTTGCGCTCAAAGCTGACATACCATCTTCCATTGTTTTCCTCAACAGGTAACCCAGCCCCCAAAGGGCACTCTCGTATTCCAGCCGCTTGAGAAGCCATACCTTGAACTTTGACCGGCGAGAAGACGAGAAGAATTACACGAAGGGTTGTCGAATTGCGACAAGCATTGCAGCCTCGTTTTCTCTCTCCCACGTCCCGTTCGGCATCTCTGCACATCCAACGGCTCCTTCATCTGCCCCACATGTAGTTGCTATCCTTCCTGTCCTTGCTATGTCTATCTTCTTTGATTGAGTTCAACAGCTGTGAGAGCGGTGTGGCCTACGCTGACACGCCGCTCCTCACGCCCCTATCTTTACTAGGGTCGCTGCTTGCTGTCGCTGCACTGTCTCTCTGGTAACTCCGTTTTGTATGATTCCTACAACGCCCGCACTCTCACGACCATAGCCCATACTGCTTCCCCCCCTCTGTAGTTATAAATTTCTATCGTGGTCGTTTTCTGATATGTACGTGGTCGCCTATACAGTGTACGTACATTCCAGTATGTTCAAGTCGAAGGGTTCCCATGCGGCCGTTCCAAGGACTGATGTCCAGAGCACAAACCATGCGGACTTTGCTCTCCATGCACGTAATGCCGACGGCCACGGTTTCGGGCCTTCGGAGCAACGACTTTCGAGGAAGGTCTACCCGGTAGGTCTAGATGGTCTCAATGTCGACCGAGAGGAACCATAGGCGCCGTCCGTTCTTCTCAATCGATAACCGACCGTGTCCGCACGGGGACCTGGGAGCTTGGTACGTAAACTCCAGCTCACCGTAACTACATTGTCATTTCGGACATGTGCATTTGTGATGAAAGACAATGGCTTCCAGCAGATTGGCAGTATGGATTCCGTCCGACTGCAGGCGCGGGCAGCAATTGCATCCGCCTCTTCGTACGTCGGACTTTCCGATTTGTTGGCGCCATTCGTGCAAGCAGAATCCCCGCCGCGAGCGTTACAGCCATCACCCTGACACATTGGAGACCCTATCTTGTACTGGCCGAAAGCGGAGAGTCGTGATTAACGAGATTATCTTATAATGAAATAGTCCGCGACATGATTAGCGACACAGCAACGAGCGTAAGTAGACAGGATAGACGTGGGGTAAGCACAACGGTCAGCGAGGACGACATATTATACGCAAAGATAGCACAAGATTATGAGAGATCAGGGGGCATGATGTGGGAACTGACCGCACAAGATGGCGATGTGGTATGGTGCGGAAGGGGGGGGGGGGTGTCGTGACAGTTCGTACTCGTTTGACCAACAGGGTTTATGTTTTAAGCCAGTATTCCATCCAGACCGAAATCAGAGAATCTAAGGGAGCCCGTATTGGGTATAGAGACACAGTGCGTACGGCGCCCGCACCCTACGCACGTTTGAACGACTAGTGCAGTCCCTGTTAGTACAGCGCTCGGTATGTCATCGAAGTCGAAGGAAACGCACCTTATTGATTTTGTGCCGTCTGAGCCTCTTATCGAGGTAGTGTCCCATCCGCTTCAAGTCGCCCCACAAGAACAGCGGGACGACGGCGAGCATCACCGGTATCGCGATCTCCCAGAACAGCAGGTCGCTGTTGTTCTGCACAGACCACATCGGATCGAAGTTCATACCCTGAACGAAGCCATGCCAGTCAGACCATGCACACGAGAACAGCCCTTGAGAACGGCGGTACGCACGAAGTAACCAGTGAGCAGCGTTAGGGGCAAAAAGATGATTGTGGCCAAAGTTAGACGGCGCCTGGCAGAGCACAATCAGCACCCCCGAATGCTATAGCTCTGGACCCGATGGCACTCACATCACTTCGTTCATCTCATATGACGCCATCTATACATAGAAGATTCGGACAATACGTATCGCAGAAAGGAGAGACTCCAAGGATATGTATTACGGAGGACTCACGTTGAAGGTGTAGTTGATCAGGTTCTCGGTGATGCCAGCGATCATGTCCAAACTCGTCAGGATATAGTCCATGTGGTCATGGACATCAGCCTAGATGAGCGAAGCCCCAGCAGAGTTACATCCCGAATCATGTACACATAGACACCGATCAAAACGCCCAAAGGGAAACACCCGAACATCATCCGGACCGATCAGCGTCGTGGCAGCACTGACTGAGGTTGAGACGCACCAGGTATATCTTGGACTTGTGGCTCATATACCCCTCCACCTTGACCGTCGGGTCGACGTGCTCCTTGAGCGCGAGTACGCGATCGACGTCGTAGCGCCGCAGCCCATAGATGACCGTCTTGATAGGCTCGAGGGTCCGTTTGTGCAAGATGAGGTCTCCCTGGAGGATGTGCACTGGAACGAGTGTTGAGTATCTTGTGAATCCCCAATCCACGACCCAACGAGAGGCACCTACGTCTGCGGACAGTCTTCATGCTGGGCTTGAGAAGGACAGCTTGCTCGATCTTCAAAATTCGGCCCTGGTATTCCTCGACGACTTCCAGAGCTTGGTCCACAACTGGTGCAAACGTGTAAGCCTAGTATGTGGATGTTCGATCGCCTGACTGACCAAGGTCCAGCAGGCTTTGCACGAGAAGCGAAGGATCTGCCGTGGTACGGAGCCCCGTATCCCGCTGCCTCAGTCGCTCCGTAATCGGTGCAGTAAAGTTGAGGGTGTTGTCTGAACGTGGCGCCCAATGAATTAGTACCGCACGCTGATGACGTCTAGCTGCATCTCTCACCCTTGTGAATGGAGATGACGGTGCCATCCCTGAACAGGAAGATGCAAAGCGGCTGGATCTTCACGTTCACCCTGTCTCCCCGCTTCAGCTCGCGCAAGAGCTTCCGGTTCCGCGCGTCGTTCTGGGCCTTGCTGTCCTCGATGCCCGCGAACCGACCCGGCATGGGAGCGGACGACTCCACGTCGCCGTGTCCCGGCCTCCGCCGGAGACTCGGGACGTTCGCTCTCATCGTCGAGAATTTGGATGCGCTGGCGCTCCCGTACATGGTCTTCTCGTCGCCGTCGTCAAAGTCCGGGGCCGGGCGCGCGCCCAACGGGGATTCCGAGTCCGAGTCTGAGTCGTCCATAGGCGTGGGCGACTCGGAGCGGGGGAGGTGTGCGAACGTGGTGTTCCCCGCCGGGCGGTCCTCTTCCGTCGTGTGCGTGTGATTGAGGACGCGGATGAAGAGATGTTGCGGGTAGTAGTCCGCCTTCGAGCGCGAATGGCCACGCTGGGTCAGGACATCCTCGAGCGCGAGGGGATGCAGGTCTTAGATATCCAGCCGATTGAGCTCAGCGGTCCACAAAGGACAGATAGGAGGAGGGCGCACCATACTTGAGTGCCAATGCACTGATGACGTCCCAGCTTATCCCCCCGATGTTGATCCACCGTACCCGAACCCACGGCTCGCGATGGCTCGCATTGTCGTCCGCGAGCAGACGGATGAACTCGGCGTTGGTCATGCGCCCGAAGCTGGTGCGCATCGTCGAGTAGTCGTTGACCTCGATCAGGGATTGCTGGCGGATGTGGCCGTAGTTCAGGAACGCGGACGCCCTGCGGGGATCGACACCTGGCTCAGCGCCGACGCCACGACGAGCCATGTACGACGAGGTAGTCCGCATGGCCATGACCTTGCGCACGGCAGAGCGGAATCGATCTCTCGGAGTCATGAAGATCGGCCGTTGGGCGGGGGGAGGTGCGATGGGCGAAGTCGGAGGGGATGTGAGTCCTCGTTTTGCATGGTGGTGAGGAGCATGCTTCCGGTCCGCAGAGTTAGCATTGGCGCTGTCACCGCTGGGGCGAACAGCTGGAAGCCTGTCGGCGGTGGGCCCATCGTAGACTGGAGAGGATGCAAAGCCCTCTTCTGGGTCCGGGGTGAGAGAACGGCCTTCGGAGTCGCTGAAGCTATTCTCGCGAGGCATGGCGATTGGCGTTGCAGGTCAGAGAGTACGACAAGCCGGGATAGAGAGCGACGAGGGAACTGGAAGGATGGGGGGAAATGAGCGAAAAGCGGGAGGGTTGCCTCCATCGCCTCGCGACTTCGCTGCCAGTTGATACGACGGGCGCTTTATGCCGTCGAGCTGCTGCTATATTTGAATTCGGCACTGTCGCCATGCATGATACTGACCGACGCCCGCAGACGGCAGCGTCCTCGACCTGATACTTACCTGTGCATTGATATGCTGCTGGTGATATGTTCCTACTTCTGCCATCCAACGTGTATATCATGCTCGTGGTCGGATGGTCTATCTCCAGACCTGTACCCACTGAAACGATCCGCGGCCTGTCAGCGGAGCGTGAGAAATTGGATGAACGGGCGCAATGAATATAATGGTGTTCCTGAGATTTGAAATGGAATATGCATATTGCTAGCGGGGGTGCAACTGGTCGACCGACTTACCGTGGTCATACTTTGCCTGTTGGACGAATACTCTATGTTACCGAGGATGGCAGCAACAAACTCGAGTGTCGAGCAGGCATCCAAGCACGCGACGCGTCTGCTAATAGCAACACACGTGACCGCGTCCCCAGGAGGCCTCTCCAGTCTCCACCATATGAAGGTGGGTTTGGCGCACATAAGTATGTAGCGGACCTCGAATGCCCGCCGGCTCTCGATTACATCGGTCAGGAGGGCTCCTCACTTATAATCGATCTATATACCAACCCCCCCCCCGGAGACGGTCGTCAAGACACGGAGCGGATTGCACATTCCGGAGGAGGCCTTATATGCAGCACCTGGCAGAGCACACTACACGCCGATCCAGCAGTTAAACCTCTCGAGCAGACGTCGCGCGAAGATGGCGCGCTGTCGCTCGCCGCCGTAACCATACTCATGCAAGCACCTGCATCGACGTACGGGGAAACCCATGCCCACTTCATGTGGACATCCCGAGATGTCAGTGTAAACCGCTCAATCGTGCCGCATGACGGACTCCGAGTCGGTCTCCAAGCGTCGGGACAGAGCCAACATAGGACTATGTACTGGGATGAATCCTGCTTTTTTCGACTTGTCTGAAGGCAAGATTCTCCCCCATGACCGTTCCAGGATATGTTCAGAATCCGTCTCAGCTCTCCTCCGAGCCATGAGTATCATCTTCTGAGGAGCCGAGTTACGTCATACATGCCTGCGGCGATTGCCTTCTTGATTAGGCCGCGGATCCATATTGGGCGCTAATACGGGTAGTGCAGCGCTCAACCTTGCCTCAAGTGATCTTCCGTCGTTTCCCGTCTTCCCGATACATCCTTGCTACCTCCGATCTCAGAGCATCCTATGTAAGTGAGATGAGGACGAAGCCACAATGGGAGGAGCTCATACCCTTCATACCCTTCCATCCTATCCGCCTATCGGCCGACCCTCTCCTGCAGCCGAATCGCGGAATGGAACCGGGCCAGCAGCGCAGTGGGTCAGTCGAGCGGCTGAAAATGGCCCAAGCGAGCCTGCGCGTCTGGTTGTCGCCTAAAGAACGTCTGGAGCCAAGGGTCGGCTCGTTGCTTGTAAGAAGAAGCGCGGCAAGTCTTTGCATATATAGCAGACAGGCCTGACACTACATATACCCGCGGTATTCGTCTCAACTTCAACCCTGACCGCTCTGTCCTTCGCCTCCCTGGAGCGAGGAACCGTTCGTCCGCGCCCAGTGGGTTTGTGTTGGTGTATCGCCAGGGTCGCCGGCTTTTTCTGCTATCTCGTCTCTCGCGTATAGGCTGTCTTTTCGATCTTGCTCCGCAGTACTCACCATGTCCGCCGCACCTAATGACGCTGGGGTCCCGGCCGATCCAGTCGCTGGCTTTCCACAGATTTCGGTGGACAACTCCCTGGGCGCGTGGCTTCTCGGTGTCGCTGCCAGTCTTCTGTGGGTTCTACCGTCGATCGCGAAGTGTGGCGTTGTTGAATTGACAGCATGACAGTCTGAATGGGATCCTCATCCACCAGATGTACCACTATTTCAGCCTGTATCCCAAGGATCGTCTACTTCTCAAAACCTGGGTGCGTACATTCGATCGTTGTCGTCGCGCGAGCAGGGGTAATCTTTGAAGTCAGGTGTCAGTAGTGGTGTACGCTCAATTTTCCGATGCATGTATTGCGACATGATATCTCATTCAGACTCAGCGTCTTGGAGACTTTCATCTCAGTCTTGATCTTGCACACTGCGTATGTTCCTTCATCGAGGACGATCAATGCCCAATGATTCACTCATGAGCCCAGATATTTCTATTTGATCAATATGTACTGGAATCCCGCATACTTCTTTATTTCGCCGACGGTCTGGTGAGCGGGCCCCCTTGCTATTTTCCAAAATCCATCATGCTAACTTCATGCCCTCATAGGTCCCTCAATGTAAGCCCCCTGCGCCAGGATTCAGCCATCATGCTAAGCTTCGCTTCTTCTTTACCCCCTCAGGTATTGCCCATCCCTGGCGTAAGTGTTCCCGCGCGCGGCTCCACCTGGTCGAATGCTGATGTACAACCCATATTGTACCTATACAGACGATAGCGGCGCTCATATCCCAGACGTGAGATTATTTGTTTTCTCCCTGCTTCAGTTGTCTGACCGCCAATCGTTCGTGCTCATAGGTTTTTTGTGAGGAGGGTGTGGCTCAGTAAGAGGACCTTTCATACCAACCGCTAGTTATTCTGGAACTGATCACCCTTGCGCAGTCGCGCCGAAGTTCAAGGTGGTAGTCGGAGCTGCCGTGCGTTTGTCCCCCTGCTCACGCTCCAGTGTTTGCGGCTTATCTCTCCTCCATAGTTTTGTCTCATTGCGGGCAATGTCGGTAAGCATACTATGCAGACTGCGAGGACGCTATCGCTCAACAAGCCCCTACCTATGCTTCTCCAGTCTGCTTCACTGGTAAGCCATATCGTAGTCGCTGCGTCGCTGCATGGCTCCGAGCTAACACCTTATTTCCGCGCGCAGTGCTTTCGGTCAAAATGTACCGCCTAGAGCTCTACTCCCGCCCACCCTAATTCCCGTGCTGATGGGGATTGAATGTAGGTTCAAGGCCGCCGGTATCCTCGACTGGCTGAAATTTTCCGTGCGTTTCTCGACCTGCTCGGCGCCTCGCAGACGGCTCATCATGACGCCCGAACGCTTGTCCCGGCGCCGCCAATCTCTATGTTTCTAGTGGCTCGCCTCCGTCGGCTCGTCAATTCAGATGGGCGGCGACATCATCCTCACCCTGGTACTCATTTACGTCCTGCGGAAGAGCCGCACGGGAATGAACAAGTAAGTCTCACGCGCTCGCTCGCGCCCGCACCTGGGTGAGTCTAGAGGCGGGTAGGCTGACCGGGTCGGGAGTCTCCCAGAACGGATTCCATGCTTGATGTTCTGATCGCGTATGCCGTGAGCACCGGTACGTGCAGATTTCGCAATCATGCACCTCCGAAGCTTCGGAGCGCGCGGGGTAGCTACGGAGCTGACGCTTCTTTTTCCCAGGTGCTATCAACTGGTAATTGCATTCTGCGCGACATCGCTATTCGCTTTTGATGGCTCATGATGACATCGCGTATTCCATTGCAGCGTTGTTCATATCCTGAACGTTGTGTTCGTAAGTCTTGCCCACGAAGTGTCGTCTTTGGGCACGGGTGACGATTCCTTACGACAGTCGATCGTCTGGCCCGATAACCTCATCTACGCGGCGCTCTCGTGCATCCTCACCAAGCGTGCGTCTGACGTTCTGCTCCTCTCACCGCTGCATTGAGACTAAAATTGCGCCAGTGTATGCGAACACGTTCCTCGTAGCGTGAGTAACTCCAAGCGTTTCTATCACTGTCAGCGCCCGCTGTAACAAGCGCCGTCTTGCAGACTGAACACCCGCAAGTTCCTCGGCGGCATCGGCAATTCGGACGAGCAGACAGGCTCGTACAAGTTCTCTGCCAACATCCCCCGCGGCCTTTCTGACAATCGCATCAACCGACCGGTACGTCCCTTTCCTTAGCTTCTTCCTAACCCCGTCAAAACCGAGTCGTCCGGCTCATCTACCACATCCAGCTGACGACCACGAATACGACACCGACGACGATCGAGCTCAAGGTGGTCACCGAGACCCAGATGATCGCCGACGATGACGAGCTGGACCAAATGCGTACCAAGCGCTCCCTTGGCGATCACAGCAGGAGCATGGCATAGCCAAGCCACCAATCTACACGACGACCTCGCTCCTGACGAAATCGCCATGGATGTACGCTTACTCCCGCCGCTTGTCGACGGGCATGACCTAGTCACGCCGCCTGCCCTGCCTTTCCACTTTTAGACGCAGGCGGGTTGTTGCGGTGGTGCAGGCTCACTCGCTGTACTCATACTTCATCCTCGCCTATGACTGCGCGTGCGTTTCTGAGGTCCCACAACCCTCAATCGGCCGCGCATATGCTTCAACAGGCGCTAGTGCGCTTCACGCAGGCTGCGTGTCGGTCCCGTTGCTGCCGCATGCTTCTAGCACTATGCCTTGCGTAGTGACGCTACTTACATTTTCCACTTGTGGATGGACATTATTAAATCGTTTAGGGGGATGCCGCACGGAAGGGTAGAGTATCTGCTTTGTTCTAGTAATATTCATTCAGTCGCTCATCCCATTCTTCATGGCTTGGCCTCCGTATAGGGTCTGTCTATGATATGTAATAGTAATTCGCGTACTTGACCGCAACCCTTGATCTCATACGTAGGGCCAGTCGCCACCATCCCAGGGTGGCCGTCGCACTTAAAACGGAGCAATTCGGTCGTGTACACATTCACCCGCAAGTGAGAGTACAGACTCTCATTCATACTGTCTTTTGCCGTACCGGTTTTGGTCGGCCATATGACACCATATAGCACTTGGTGTGACGACAAACATTCGTCCTCGCGTATCTGACCTTGCATCCCAACCTGTTACCCATATAGCTTGGTTGACAGTCGCGTGTTAAGGAGAGATCGAGACCTTGAAGGCGGGGTATTATTTGTTTGACCGTCAAGCAGCCAAGCCCGTGCGGCGACAATTCGAGCAATGTCATTATAGCTTATGATTGCCTGGCCGGGACTCGTACATCAATACATGGGGAGCTACCGTACTTCCGATCGCAAGCTGCTAGATATTGAGGTTGGCGGTATACGCGTATGCAGCAGCGCTGTCTTGATAGTGGGTGTGTAATGCTGCCGCGAAGCCTTGCTCGACGGCTTTATCGATGCACAAAGCCGCGTCATAACGGATGTCGTTGATAGCTCGAATGGGTTCGGACACTCCAGATACGGCTGCTGGACAGCTGTAAACCTACGATGCGTCCGCTGCATCGAGCGGTTCAGTCTTCATCGCATGGGCTAGAAACCTGACAGAACACACCTGTTATATGCGCGACCAGAGCCCCGGAGACAACTGGAAGGGAGATCAGCAATCGTCCGGCAACTGAACCAAGCATACGCCAATGCCCGCGACCCACGGATGACCAGAGACCAGAGAACTGACTCACCGTGATCCGTACGGTGCACGATCCACAGCCCGAGTCTTGCGGTACGAGTACGCGGATCTCAAGCTTCGTCGAAGGATTGTGGCACTGCCTGACATTCGGCAGGCGTTACTTCCTGACCAGAATCCAGCTGGTTCCGCAGCCTGCCCAAACGTTCAGCACGTCGCCATGGCGCTGGTTGCCTGAACCCTCTCGCGATTGCGTAGAGTCATCCGCATCCGCATTTGCGCACGAGGCGGCAGATGACGCTGGCGGCCACACTCTCAGTGGAACACCCGTATCCGCCGTCCCGCCAGTCCCGAGGTTCCCGTGCTCATTCCAACCCCATCCCCATACTTCCCTGTGCAGTCCATGTTGTCCCGCGTCGACCAAGCACAGGACATGCTCGCTGCCGCACACGAGTGACGCGACGCGATGTGTCTTGGAGCTGAACAGGAACGCGACCGGTTGCAGCGCGCTCTGCGGGACGAGCACGGTCGGGCCACGCCCGAGCTGCGAGTGCGTGTTGCTCCCCGTCGCGACAACGGTCCCGGAGCGTAGGAGGGCGTACGTCCCGTTCCATGTGCACCCGACCTGTTCCACGTCGTCAAGCGTGCTGAGCTCGTCGAGCTGCCCTTTGCGATTCGAGCCCAATCCGACGAGCTTTCCTGATGTCTGCATGTACACGGTGTGGTGCCTCCCGAGGGCTATAGAGGCACAGACATCTGTGGGGGTGGCTGACGGGATCAGAACGGGCGTTGGGCAAGTGGGGACCGGCCGAGCAGAGGAGTCGAGGATAGGCCCAAGTTGACCGTGCCGCGACGTACCCCAGCCGGCGAAGTACGTCACGGACGAGCCGTCCGGATCACGTAGACGGACGTGAACGATGGTATGATGGGGACCGGCGGCAAGAGATAGAACGGTTATGGTGCTCATCGAGTCGTCCGGAGCTCGAACTGCACGACGAAGATCCACGACGTATATGTCATGCCTTGTTCTCTGGGTGTTTGTATCGACACCGAGGTTGCCGTAGTCATCTGACCCCATGGAGAGGAGGACATCACTGCGATTCGGATATGAGAGTACCGCGTACGTTGTCTCCCAGCCCGCTGCAATTAGACGAGTATCATATTCTTCGGATATACCGGAGAGTATGCCGGCACGCTCAAGGTGTGCACCCAGGTCGAGGCGACGGAAGACGGCCGCGTTCTCTGCCTTCTCCCTGACTTCTGAAGTGTAGCTAGGACCGAGCTGACCTTTCCTCCCATCTCCGCATCCCCAAAGCTTTGTCTTCCCGTCATCGGTTCGAAGTAAGGCAAGTGTGTGGTTACCACCACAAGCGATCTGCTCTATACCAACCACGTGTTCTGGTAGTGATCCTAGGGCGGCGCCGCGGAAGATACAGGGTGTGAACCGGTGGACGTCGTCGATATTCCCGATCCCAAGCTGACCACAAGAATTTGAGCCAGTGGAGAGGAGAGTGAGGAAGTCCATGCAATGCATCGAGCGTACATGAGAGTCAAAGAGATTGGGGATGCATGTCTGAGCACCTCTATCCGGCCCAAGGCCTGCAAGTCCCGATTCGGCAGCTTAAGCGCCTCGTCGTCTGATCAAGGGAGTATGACATAATACTAATGTCTCTGCCAACATCCCTTGCACCCTGACGCTGTGTTGATACCCTACCCCCATGTCGTCTGCGCCGCGCTGGGTTGAAGCCATCAACAAGGCTCTCGGCCACCCCGATAACAAGGGCAAGATCAGTAAGTGCGCGTCTCTAAGTCCCCCAGTCGTACACCCACTTAACTCTCTCAAGTATATCAGATCGCGACCGTTGATACCAATGGGCAACCCCGCGTTCGCTCTCAAGTTCACCGTGGCTTTATGGAGCCCGATGGCCATCCCGAGCTCCCCATCCTGGTGACCTCTACCGACGCCCGCACGCCGAAGGTGGGCCAGCTACACTCCCACCAGCGCACCGAACTCGCTTGGTGGATGGAAGGCTCTCAAGACCAATTCCGCATCTCGGGAATCACGCACATTTTCCCCTCCCCCGCTCAGGGTGCTCCGGGCAACGGCCCGACGCCTATCGCAGACGAGGCGATCGCGTTGAAGCTCCTCCAGAACTCGGGGTTCGATTGGGAGGCGAAGAGGAAGGAGACGTTCGATGGCATGAAACCAGGCATGCGCGCCAGCTGGGCCATTCCGTATCCCCCTGGCACATTCCTTCCAAGCTATGACGAGCAGAAGAAGTGGCCGAAAGAAGTTCCACTTGAACAGGACGCGAAGACAGACGAGGACAAGAAGAACATTGACTTCGCGTTCCGTAACTTTGCCTTGATGTTATTCGAGCCTGTCCAAGTCGATTGGGTTGCCTTGGGCGTACACCCCAATCAAAGGATCAAGTTTACCAGGGACGAAGGGGTTTGGATCGAGCAGCAGGTTGTGCCGTGAGTGCACGCTTCACGTCTTTGTTGCCGCAGACCCGCGTATACGTGTCGTAGCATCGGAAGGGACGGTGTCCTGGAAGCCGGAAACCAACATGTAGCATATTCAGCATTGTAGCTTCTCGGAGAATTCAGTCATCACGACTGTCCCCAGTCTGGGGGTAATATGAATCAATGGTAGATCCAATCCTTTCCTGAGGGTTCACAGCCCAGTCCATGAAGTCCGCGATCATCATGTTCACATAATGTTGTGGATCAGACTCTCCACCATGTCCGCTTTCGCACAACTGCCTCGTCATCACCCTCCTCGATCTCGTTCTCCCTGATCACGTTCTTAAACACGCTCTCTAGGCTCGCCTACTCCACGGCGTATTCGCTGCCTCAGCTTTAGGTGAGGTTCCCAAAGAGCGTCGCAAGCGATATCTCATTGCCGATAGGCACCTCGAATCGTGTGGCGACGCCATCTGCTATGCGTGCTTCAGGATGTGCGACATAATCGCTTGAGCGCGGACGTGATCGTCGCGCGTACGGCAGGGAAAGCGAACAAGGTATCGCGCGTAACGTTCGAGGAGTGCATCGGTAGTACCAACAACTGCAATGCGCCGTGAGGCTGGCTATATGCGCGGAAATGTGATGGTGGCCTCACTAGCATGCATTTCGCAATGATGCCGACCTCGTTCGCGAGGGTCAAGACTTCCTTCATTGAGTCTACGAGGACCTGGTCAGAGAATGCGATAGCAGAGGGGGGTAGCGCGAGCACTCACGAGTCGCGATAACGATTGCTTAGACGGGAACTCGTTGATGAGGATGACTGACGGGGTTCCTAAGATATAGCAGTCTCTCGGTCGGTGGTAGCGTTATAGTGGGACGGAAGAACGGACTCGCCAATGAGCGGGCTTTATCGGTATATATCGACCATCGTCCTTTCGACCCGACATTGAGACCGACACTACAAGTAACCTGCTCAACGTCCACCACGTAAAGTAGACATGAGCGTGGTCAGTCTCTTGCTCCCGAGCAAGGAATTGTGATCATTGTAGTTGACTCCTTGCCCTCTTTCTCTTGTGCGGACATCCAGCGGGCGCGCTCTGACATATTCCGGCGACTCTTGCAATGCTTGCGAAGTACTAGCTTTGCAGGATGCAAGGAGATCAAATGCACGACTACAAACACAGCCTGCTGCGGCCTTTCCATACAGTCAGTACTCGTATAGGATGGTGAGGCTACTCAAAGGATCATGAATGCTCCGCCAGCAACCACCCCCAGTGCGCCAATCATTCCCCCCATGAGCGGTCTCGAGATACTGAGAGCCGGAGCGCCGTTCCTGAAAGGATGCGATGATACACATTGTGAGAACAATCGGATAGTATGCGTTAGTAGAGAGGCTTACTTCTTGGGTGGCACTGCGGTAACGGTGAACCCCGCAAAGGTAGTCGTGACGCCGCCTGTTGGGGCCAGAGTGACTGCAGGGCCACCTATGGATGAAATTTCCATCAAAGGTGTCCCGCTCACCGCTGCTCAAAGTATTAGGATATCATCGGATAACTGTCGCTGGAGTGAGGACGTACTGGTGAAGAAGGCGGTTAGTTGCGTCTGGCTGGGGCCCACCACGGCTTCAAAAGAAGAGATTGCAGAGGCTTCTGCAGACGAAACTGAATCCGATTTTAGGAAGAGGAGGGTGACTAAGCAAAGAGGTCTTCACCGAAGGCTGACACTGCGCAATGGCGAAGCATTCGTCAGGATGAGAAGTTGTATAGACAATAACAATCCTGTAATACGCACGCTCTGGGAGCAATGTAGCTGCCGCCGTTCCTTGAGCTTAACAAGCACGTTCTTTAGTAATCGTCAGGGGAAAAAATCAAGAGACTCGCCCATGATCTCAGATTCCAGGGTTGCCAGTGCTACTCATGGCGTTAAATCAATTGAGGACAGGAAAGTAAGACAGCCGCGACCAACCCCCCGCTGATGCAATAAGTCTTGTCAATACAGCGAGGTTTGGGTGTACACTGGCGTTTAGCAACTCACGATCCGTTGCAGCCTCGTTGAGCTGCGATGTTAGGTCCACTACGCCTAATCACGTTAACGTGTTAACTGCTGAACGTTGTCCGATGCCCATGGGACGGAAGTTCACCATCACGTTTGGCTGGAAGAGCGGCCACGGCGAGAACAGGGAGAAGAGCGGAGAGGATAGATTTGACGTGCATGATGTGTGTAAAGAAGAACAAGAGGAAAGGTAGCACTAGGCTAGTGGTCGAAGAGGGTACAAAGACTCTATTCCAGAGAGTGAAGAAGGCGAAGTAAGGAACAGCCTGAGTACTAAGGTTGAGGCAATTTATACAGTGGTGGAAAACTGCGCCCTAACGAGAACGAACTAGCCAGCGCCGGAAAGCAGCAGCAACTACTTCCGACATTGGGCGCAGCGACACGAATGACGGGTGCTATAAAGCATCGCAGGTCCATATCCCATGCTCCTCCATCACCATGTAGTGGATAGCTGGGATGTGAGAGACAATCTGCCAATGTTGAACGGAACAACTGAGGTACTGACGTGCACAGTTGTGGCGCTGAGTCTTAGCCTCAGTTCTTTCTTCTGCCTGAAGCTTCATTGCTGGTCCTATTGCGCAATTCCAATTGCTTCGTTCGAAGGTAATCCATACCATCGGCGCGCTCACTGTTTGCCGATACACAGCGGAACATCCTTGCATACTAGACTATCTCCCAGCCCCTAGTCTGGTAGGCCATAGAAAACTCGGAATGTTCGGTCACGACGGCTGCGATCCCCGCGCGAGAATAAGATCAAGCCTAGTAGATGATGAGAGCACGATCGCTGGCTTGTGTACGTCGGAACATTATTCGGAGAGTGCAAGAGCCGGAGAAGGCCAATGTCGTCCTGGGAGAAGCAGATGACTTGCGGCCTAATACAGGAAACAAGGATCTATTAGAGGCGACGGCGAACTGAGAGAAAACGGGCCAAGCATGGCAATCACTGTGGGACCAGGTTGACCCGTCAAGGGTGAGAAGCCTATAATGTTAGGCTCCAACTCCGCATAATTTACGTACCTTGTTGAGAACGGTAGCATAATTCCTCAGGGAATGGAAAACAGGGAGGTGGACTTCCTTCGTATCCGCCTCCGAGTCCAGACCTGACCTATTTGGCCTCCGATAGGCGCGTCCGTGCCATGGCGTCATGAGTGTGGTGTCTTCTGAAGGTCATTAGCACAGAAGAGGGCGATGTTTACGGAACTCATACACGGCCATCTATTGTTCTATCTCACACAGCACAGCCAGGAAGACAGATGCGAGCGGGTCGCTCAGCATGGTCCTAGCCACTTCGGTAGCGGTGGTTCCTCTTCGATGGGCTGGCCAACAGAGAATGCGCAGGAGCGTTCGTCCGCGTGCAAGCAGATTGTATCCGTGACCAAACACGCAGTCAGCCTGGCCCACACGGCAGGGATTCGGATATTTCCAGCCGGAGAAAAGTCTCTGAAAAGGGGACGCGCTAGGTAAACAATTCGTAAATATGTGGCATTTCTGGACAAAAGTCATTGAAAAACGGCCGGCTGTTGCGTTTTGCGTCCCTATTTTGTCGACTTTTCTCCAATCGAAAACATCCGATTTCCTGCCGTGCCAGCCGTTTGACAACATCGACGCTTATCTGCTGCGGTGATCGCGTCACAGACTAGCAAGGAAGAGGTATTGGACATTAAAACACACATAGTCGCAGAAGCATGGGGGGAGGACCATTGGTGGACATTAAAGGGGAACTTGGTTGGGGAAAACTGACTAAACACGGCGACACGACGTCGGTATACGAAGCATGCTGTGCCTCGCGACCGAAGCTTGAGCGAAGAGACTGAGAAGGCCGTTAATGAGAAGGTATAGAGGCGTAGAGTAGTGACGATTGCGTACATATAGCGGCGACTATGGTCAGTCTCGACCATAAAAGGCCGCTGCACCAGAGCCCCGCCAGCTGGCCAGCAAATGGCTCGATTGCCGAGATCCGATCGCTACCAAGCTTCTCATGCAAGCGCCCATAGGGTCCGCTGCGGGGCAGGCCATTATAGCTTGCGACATCCTGTACGTAAATCAACCTGTGACCCGACCTATGACGCATTCAGATCGGAGCAGTCATACGGAACGGCGGCTCGATTATGCCCGAAAGAGTCTTCTTGGGGTTCGCTCGGCGTTCGATAGGCAGAGAACATCTTGAGGCTCCACTACAGGAATGTAGTAGCAACTGATCAAGCAAGAAATAGTAGGATACTACGGAAAAAAGCCAAAGTTCATGCACCTGCATATAAACCTCTTACAGAACGACAAGAGCACCCGTAATGACGCTTCCCACGACAGCCGCGATCCCTCCCAGCAGCAACCCAGATACACTGCGGCCCGGCCCGGCATGGCTGTAGAAAGGCGCGCCAATCCAATCAGTCAAGGCAAGAAGCACGGGCTATAGAGGAACTTACTTCTGCTTCGGTGCAGCCGTGAAGGCGATCCCCGCGAACGTGGTCTGGAACGAACCCGGCGCTGTCCCGGTGGCAATAGTGATCACTGGTCCGCCGACTGAGGACACCTCGACCCTAGGCACAGCGGCCGACTCTGCAGTACGTGATCAGCTATGACTCACCGAGAGAGGGGTGCGAAACCCGAAACTGAGCATACCGGCGATGTAGACGGAAAGCTATTTGGTGTTCGTGCCGACCGCGGCGGTTGCTTCGGCGAGAACCATTGCGGCTGGGTCCACTGGCATGAGCGCCAGGCTGGTGCAGGTTTGAGACCGGCTTACCTTCAAGATCCAGGACCGTACCGGTACCGACTACGCAACGCATTAGGACGAGAGTACGGTGCAAACTAGTGTGGCTCGGGCATACCGATCGCTCCGACAGCGAAAGAGCTTGCCTGCAAGAACTCAAGCGCCGCTGTAGGATCGATAGTTTGACTTTGGGTTTGTGACGGATCTATAGTTGAGCACGCCATCAGGTACCCAGAACCATTGGATTAGCAAAATACATACTGATAGGGAAGCCGATGCTAGCTAGCGCGGTGGCATTCGTGGCGTTTATATTCCCGACTATAACCGACGTTAGAAGTTGTTCGCCCATCGCTAGTGGCGGCGAGGCGACTTACAACCAGGAATTGGTATCGCTTTATTGAAATACCATTGGTCAGATTCGTCAACTGGGATTGAGGGGGAAACGAAGCTTACTGGCGTTGTTATCATCGCGCTTAGCAAGATTGACCGGCGGCACAGCCTGCACGCTCAGCGAGAGGAAGACGAAACTGAAAGCAACAGCAGCCTTGAAGTTCATGTTGAAACGAATCGTTAAAATCAGCACCGGGATGTCAGGGGTAGGAAAAGAGAAGGAGAGAGAGACGTCAGAACTGGGGTGGTGGGAGAGCGGGCTAAGAGTGTATGTTGGTCAAAGGATGCGGTTGCGGTCAATGTCGTGCTCTCTATGTTGCCGAAGGAACACTCGGCAGAGGAACGAAATCATGTTTGCGTAGTTTGCGGGCACTCCGTGGCTCACAACACAGGCGGTTACCATAGTACAGATGCTCGCAGCGGAGCTACTGGATGCATTCGTAAGTTATTGCATCCGCTGCGCTTATACCAGTTTTCCTGCAAACCAGATATATGGCATGTGAGTAATAATCTCAGCTACCTTCACTTGGGAACAGACTACTTACGGTGTACTTCATCTATTGGCAGAGTCGTTGTGTATAGGTCTACAAGAGATGTTGTGAGCCTGCAGCGCCAGTAAAAGTTCTCCAATTGCCCATCGCCCACTGAGAGTTTGCATCGCCATCTCCATCATGATAGTGTGTTCATCGATTCGTGAGTATCAGGTGCTCGACATATCCATCGCATCGAAGTGACAGACACAGATGGCAGAAGTACGCTAGCGCCTAGACATCCATGACAAATCTGGGCACAGCCAAAACGTTAGCCCAGGTGTCCACAGCAACTCACTGCCAGCAGACTGACCGATGTGTCGTCCTTGTACGAGAACACTTCGGGCATAAGAGTTGACAACCATGTGACGGTCCATGCATCTTACGACAACTGGCGATGGATGAACACCTATCAAGCAACCCATCACGTGCCGTGGGATCCCGCACGTTCCACAGAATGAGAGGAGAAGGGGCATACCAATCGATCAGTTTTTCGTTTAGAGCTAAGTGGACGCGGGCGGGGCCACCTCGGATGGGCAATCCCACCTGAGCTTGTTTGACCAACCTGAATTGCATCGCATTGAGGCTCCTAGCTTCCCTGAACAAGTAGCTTGTTTGATGCTCTATAATGTGATAGAGACGTAAGTGTCTTCGGGTTTACGACACTCCCTCGTCAACACTGACAGCATCCGTCCCGCGTGCAAAGACGGGTACAGAAAGCTGTGCCCGTGTCGGAGTGCGGAGAGCGAGCAGAAGTCGGCGAGCTCCAGCAAGAAGGTAGCATCGCGCCCGTCGGCGGCCGCGCAGTGCCATTTCTGACGATCTGCGGGTGAGTTGTGACCCGCCTTTACGTGCACTCACCTGCGGGTGCGCGCACGACCCGTTCGTTAAGCTCAGTCCGCACACGATCGCCAGCTCCGGATTTGCTTGAGAAGCCGGCAGGCACGGGTGCTCACCTGCGTTCTCAGCGGCCGCCAGCGATGGTGCCGATCCAAGGCCATGCGAAACGCAGCAGTCATCGGAAGAATGCCGTCAGCAGCGACATTGTAGTGCGATTGTGACTTTTCCATCCTCTCCAGTCCTACTGCCATCCGAACAGACGTCGCTCTGACATTCCGAGTCAGTATAAGGCCGCTTCCCTCGAGTTCCCAGTATGCTGCGTCCGGTAGAGCCGTTGCGAGCCGATATGTCGGAGGTCGTCCCAGGTGCCATAGATGGTTACTGAGACAACGATACACACAGACATGACGGCATCGGAGGCTTTGAGCGCACTAATGAACGAGCTTCTTTGACTCGAGCGCCACGCAACCGCGCAGCAGCAGGCAGGTGGTCGTAAGAGAACAAGCCACTCAAGCGCCCTAGCACTCCGCCCGCGCCGAGCGATGTGGCTGACGTGCAGAAAAGGCAACTTTGTGTAGTTCGTCGGCGGCAGACCCTGATACAGGACCACACGAACGCGATTGTACCTTGAAGTTCCAGGTCGGCGAGCACAAACAGTTCTAGGGCCGAAGCACGACAGGGCACGTTTGCCTCCAGATCCCAGGATCCGGCGGCTCAGGCTTCTTCGCCTGCAGATGCACGGTCAGAAGGCCCCCTCATGCCGTAACTGCATCCTATCGTCCACGTCCATCTCTCAACGCCGAGTTTTCCGAAGCACCGAAGCACAGGAATCGCGGTCAGCTGTGGAATGCAATTGGCCCAGGACAAGGTCTGGAGCGAGGATCACAGCACGCGCAGGAGGCGTGCGATAACCATTGCGGCGGCGAATAACGTACACCCAAGCCAGTATGTACAGGGCATGCTGTAGTAACGAGCGACACCAACGAACGAACTGGTGCTTCGCGCACCGCAACCTAAACGAGCGTCTTCTCCTTCACCTCTTTCCCGTCCCTATCCCCTGCCAACACGACCCCAATGCCCGACAATTCACAAACTCATGGCTCGCCCGACGACCCCCCATGGCGACGACATGCATCCCCCGTCCCTCCGCACCGCGCGACGACGGCCATTACAATCCCGCGACGAGCTAGAGCCGTCCCTGGATACTGGTGATAGTGTAAACATTACGCAAGGGCGCAGTGCGTAGCGTAGCGAATTAGTGTGCTGTCGGATGCCTGCGAGCGTCAGAGCCGTGTGCAGCCTGCGTGCGATTGAGCGAGGATATGTTCAAGATGACGTCCGACCGGAGCGAGGGCGAATCGAAGCGTGTGGGCGGGTGATGGCAAGGCGGGAGGAGGAAAAGGCGCGGACGATTACGGAAAGCGAATAGAACGAAAGCGGGGAGCGCGAAAGCGGGGGCGGGAGCATGAGTGGAGTCAGAATCTAAACGAGACGTTCTATTAGTCGTTCCGATGTCGAAAGTAGGAAGGGTGCTGCGGGCGAGTCTCGTCGGGCGTGCGATGCGATGCGAATCGATGTGCATGATGGAACATCGGGCAATGAAGGAAAGGGCCAGAAGGGGTTATTTGCAAGAAATAGCTTATGATGTAAACAAGAAGCGACAAGGTGTCAATGGGGATGCGATTAGAAAGCGAAGGTCGTGAGTTGGTCGTCATTTTCTGGAAACGTGACGTGCGGAGGGCCAGATGGATACAGATAGAGCACAGTACTTGCGATGGGGACTGTCCGTTTCGAGCAACACCGGGTACAAAGAAGGAGACATGTCATGGGATTAAGCGCAGTGCGCACGAATGAGATAAGCAGAATGTCCTAAATGCAGATTCAGATGTCGGTCGTGGAGGTTTTCGTCATAGCGCGTGAGGCCATGTAGAGGACGTTGTTGATCGACCGCGTACGGGGATAGCTCGCTGATGGCACTGGGTCGCCGCGCTACAGTCGGACAACGTGCTGCTGTCAGCGATGCGCTTGCGAACGAGACGGAAGCGGAATACGTACAGTCATGACGCGGAACGCCGGCATGTCATTCGTTTGCCTGAGCTCGACTCCCTTGAGAGCACACGCGATCCGCAGGTTGGGCAGATAAGGATGGCGTTCCCCGCCATGCCAGACCTGCATCGTCACGACCCGTAGCTCGTCACTCTTCTTGATGGCCTGAACGATGTGTTGGAGGGCCGTATCCGCACCAACGCCGAACGCGAGGTGCTGGAGGCCATGAGGCAGGCCCCTTAACAGCATCGGAGCCGCCCAGGCACTCTCCATCTTGAGCTCCCGCAGCGCTGTGCATTTCAGCACTGACACAGCGCCCTCGTGGGTGCCGCACGTTGGAAGAGCCAGGGACTCCAGCGTGGGACCGTGCTCGGTAGCAAGGAAATCAAGCATGTCCGGCGCGGGCTGGCGCGCGAGGTCCAACACACGAAGCGACTCCCTCGAATTGTGCAGAAGCCAGCGCATGAACTCGACCGAGGGCGAGACCTGGAAATTCGTGCGAAGCTCACGAAGGGCGCATGGGAAGGGCGCCACGGTCTCGTTCGGAAGACGGGGAGTGGTACCGCTGATATCGAGCGAGGCAAGCGAGGGCCAGACGTCAAGAAGCTGCAGTAGCGAATCGCTGTTGTCGGACCAGTTGCTGAACTGAAGCGCTGAGATCTGGGGACCAGCCCGGAGAATTGCGAGCGTCGTTTCGTCGAACGAAGGAACAGAGCGTTTCATGCGGGATTCGTCTGGCAAGCCAATGATATCGAGGCCGGGTGCACCCTCGCCGAAGAGCGCGACGCCCAGCTCATACAGGTTTGGGCAGAGAGAAACGGCTCGTGCGAACGACCTGTGGGAAAGCCGGTAGGGCTGCTTCTGGTCGAGGACAACCTTCATCCGGACAACCGAGTCACCGAGCATGCGACCCCGTGCGGTCGTGCGATCGACAGCTCCTTGGAAAGCGATATATGCGGTCTGTGTGGAGAGGGTGACATGACGGAAGAGGAGCTTCTGTGCTACGTTAGACCAGCTCTTGCACACGAGCGCAGCGTTCTTGAGCAATGCGTTGTACGCGACGACTTCTTGATCATCGTAAGCAGACTCGAGGATGGTCATCACAATCTCCATAGGAACAGGAATGGATGGTGGTTTGGGCTGGCGGATGATCGGCCTCTTGGGGGCGTAACGGGTCGTGAGGTCAACCTCGACATCGTGCTTGGTGGTAGTCTGTAAACTGGCAGTCAGCACGGAACGAGCATGCAAACGACTGACGTAGTGGACATGCAAGGGCTGCGCGTCAACTCCACCGCTGCTCTGCCCTGCATCTTCGTCCTTCCACCGGAGCAGATAATGAATACGCACCCAAGTAGAGGACCCGAAGATGAAGCCAAGGTAACCCATAGTTGGCAGACCTGGTATGACGACAGAGGAGGACTGCGGAGGGTGTTAGGAACGTCGAGGACGGACACGAGGAGGGGCCGTCGACGGCTTCGGAGGAGGGACAGGATATATATACGGGAGAGCCATGGAATTTATACTGGAGGGAGGGAGGAGAGGACAGAGAGGCGCCCCCGCCCACCGTCACACCGGCGTTTGTTCGGCCTCTTCCAGCCAATCGAGCCGCGGATCTTGGCTGCTTCGGACCTTCCCAATTCGGCCCTCCGACTCACCGACCCCGGCTACTTGCGAGCGCCTGCGCAAAGTCTAATGGCCTCCGTCTCAGATCGACACCGCCAGTGCAAACAGCCCATGCTACTGCTCCCACTGTCATGATACATGTTGCGCATTCCAGTGTGCACATATTTCTTCTTCCCAGCACCTATCCTGCTGGGACGACGTGTCGTATTCCTCAGCGGCCATCTCGCCCTTCTATGCCACTGCCTCCCTTATTAGATGAACAAAAAGCACGTCCGCTCAAAACGGTCCGCGTCCCTGCCGGTGAGAACAGCTGAGAACAGATCCCATCAAACATGGCAGGGGATTCACCTTGCGAGATGCGCGAGATGCGCTCTCGATGTGGACAACAATAGGCGTTCCGCGCTGCAATGCGCGCAGCTCCTGCCGTTCATCGATGGATCGTGAGTTCCGAACATTGTTCACAAGACGACATCGAATAGCTTCAATGCCGTATCACATTCCCTACCAGTCCCAGAAGAGTTGGTCTCCTGACCCACGCTTTTCTGACGTCTCTAAGCAGCCAACAAGGGCTAATTGTCTTTTTTCTGCAGCCCAGCAACCGTTCATATTCCCTTCGGACGCCGTTAGATCCGGATGCTGTTCTAAACAGTCCTAAGATATGCGCTCTGCTCAGCTAACGACCGCTACGACCGACACCGAAATCATCGCCCCGCGCGCAGCCCCAATACAATCCCATCCATCGCTTACATTGAACGGGTCAATATCTGCGTACATCCGAGATGGATACCAAACGCGCGACGTCCAGGGAGAACGCCCCCCCTGTGTTTCAGGTTATTGCTATTTTCGCACATTTAGATGAACGAGGACCGCCGGCGCCCCGCCCCGCCTTCTTCTGGAGCGATGCCGTCCCGACGCCGCTTCTGGAAGGGAGGGCGCGCTTGGTAGGAGTCAGTCTCCGTTGTTGTTCTCCGCATCACCCTCAACTAGGCTTCTTGACTCAAAGTGACGTCTAGGTATCCCGAAGCGCTGTCTACCCAACTGCAGTGATCAATCTCGCTTGCGACCACCACGTCGGCGCATTATATGCGTAATAACATACACACCAGGCGTTCCGGCGGGATTAGGGCGGCCATCGCGCCGACCACAGCATTATAATTCACTACGCACAAAGGATGGCAGCGGCTGCATTGCCGAGCCCCGCGGACGCACGCCCTGTTCATCGTTTACGTGCGGACGTCGTCCACCCTGCGCCCCTGCACGCCGACGGGATTTCACGCACCGGAGGGTAGTACCATGTGGCCATGTGGCCTCCGGCGACAGCGTCCTGGCCTGTCAATCCGATTTTCAACCCGTGGCGCTGGGTAGGCACACTCGACCGCGTGTTGGATGACCTGACCGCACAAAGCGCGTTGGCGCCGACGTTCGGGCCTCCCTTCATGAGCCGCATAGATTGAACTTGCGCCCGCGTGTACGTATATGTCCTTGCTATACTCGTCGTTTCCGCAGTGACCGCATCCCACCTCCAGCTTGAACCTTGACCCCCTTTTGTTGGCTCCGGCGAGTCTCCTGTAGCACATGGGTTGTTCGGTCCGCGCTGTGGCGAACGCTTGTCCACGGTGATGGAGAGATACCAGATGGGATACCCTGGATGCCAGACGTGCGCGCCCCTTGCACCTTTCCCGATGCGGGTGCAGCGTCAACTTACGAATACCTCTATTTAGGAACCGTCTTCGCGCATATAGGGTGGCAGCGCGTGGAGATGGCCGATAGCATTGGACTAGGGCAGCTGCCACTATCATGGGCCACACGCCAGATGCGTGCGCGTTTACGCGGTCAAGTCGGCGTCCTAACAGCTTCCCAGTGTGAGCGTGTGAGCGTAAATAGTTCACTCCGCGAGCTCACCTGCGCAGTCCCATGGAAGTGCTCTGTGGCGTCCTAGAAGAGGGGTTGGTGGGGCTGTAATCTGCTACAGTTGATTATCTTATAATGAATACTCTGATAATCAATATCATCTCATAGTGAATAGCCCGAGGCCGCACCCGACATGGTATGCGGGGAATTATGCATGAAATGTCATACCTAATAATGAATAGAGTAATTGGGCATATGTACTACTGGATTTTCCTTTTTTGGTATAATTCGCGAGCTCAGACCCACCGTGAGGTGCTATACGAGGTCTGTGTGGATCCTTTTAGAGGTGAAGCCCCCAGGTTATGCCCCAGTTTGTGCCTGGTCGAGGGATTATTGCAGATCCAATTTCTCCTGTGTCCTCCATGCCCAAGTCTGAAGCATAACACCCGGACACTCCCCCTGAAGCCCTATGCACATGCACGGAGCCCACTCATCCTCCTATAGTGGTGGAGAAGGAGGCAGCTAAGCAGCAGGCTAGTCTGGAAAGGTTTTGGACGAAATAGCTGTTTGTCATCACGCGGTCACGCTACACCGTAATGTCACGAGTGTCACAAATAGTCACTGCTGTCACATGTATGTGACAATCCAGTCATGCATAATATCTCATAGTGTATAGGGAAATGGCGCAACGGAGTCTATTCATTATTAGATATTCAACTGTAATAGGGTAAGGCCCTCGGCATTTCGAGGAGATCATTGTTGTTCTGTCTATCGGACGACCTACATACTTGCGCCACGGCGGCACGCGGTGCCGCGCGCAGAAGAGCGTGAATCCATACCATACGGGGCGCTCGACACGTCGACCATCGCGCGCGGAGCACTTCCTCAGGCTTCTCACAAACGTTGAACCCTTTCCCGTGCACGACGGAGCCGCTGGAAACACGTAACTTGTGAGCAGACCCTTGGCATAATGTGTCCGTTATGAGAAAGCAAGTTGTCTTGTATATACGTGCATTCCCCGCAAGATGCTCTCTCCGCACAGTGGCCCCCACGCCTGTTGTTCTGGACGCTGCGGAAATGGCAGACGAAATGAGCTTGAAGGCTGAGCACAGGGAACCACATTAGACAGATGGCATGGAACGATGCTCACTTGGACGCCGGCCTTGTCTTCCAGAGCCCTTGTAGTCCCCATGGCTCGCACACAGGCCCCCAATGACCCCACCTCCAGTAAATCACGCCGTCCCCTGATAGATCGAAATTTAATATCCATACCTCAGCCTCTCCTCACACTTCCTCTTCCCCACACCACGTCCCGTCCCGTCCCGCTTACCGCTGCCATCGACTCCCGAATCACGTCTCTCCTTCCGGATCATAGACGTACTCGCCGTACACCGGCTTCCAGCGCGCCTCCGCGACCCTGTCCCTCACCTCATCCTTGCCCCACTCGACGCCCGCGTTCCCCTCCGCGATCGCCTGCTCGACAACTGCAATCGCGACCTCGTAGTTCACGCTCGGGGCATCCTCGAAATTGGGCAGGAGCGCATCGTCCGGGTCCTTGAGCGCGGGCGAGAGCGATGCGAGCCGGCGCGCGCCCGCGATGATCATACTGTCCGTCAGCGTGCGCGCCTTGGAGAGTATCGCTCCGAGCCCGAGCCCTGGGTAGATGAGCGCGTCTGCCGCGGGCGGCGCGTGAGCGGGGACGGAGGGATGGGATTTCATTAACGAGAAGCGTCGGCGTGTGCGCGTGTGCGCAGCGGGAATGTTCCATCACCATGCCATGTTCAGGTTTTGCGTGGGCGTGTATGAGCGAGGTTTGGTGGGGCGATTCGTGCGTCGATTGTGCGGGAGAGGACCGTCAGTAAGCGTCCTCGATCACGAAGCAGGCTCAAGGTCCGGATCGGGGCCACTCACTGTTGCATTCTGCGACACTGTATCAGAGGAAGAGAGCATCGCGGTGAGTTCCTTCTGCATTCTGACCCCTCACTTCCTCTTCCCTGCCGCAGCCACAGCCGCAGCCTCGAGGTCTTGATGTCGAACTGCCGCGCGCTCCCGAGCCCCAAAATTTGTGCTCGGGAACGCGCGGTAGAAGCAAGACGCCTTACGCGACCAGGATCTCCACCCCGTGCTTCACTTAGAGGAATCCGGAGAACAAGGGAAGGGGAACCAACAGGGCAAACGAATCGACGCACACGTAGTCCTTGCCGTTCGGCTGCCTGCAGGGCGGGAACGGGCTTCCCGTGGCGAGGAGCGCCTTCCCGTCCGTCCAATCGTTCGCGTCCTGTGGTGCGACCTCGTGCAGCCTGCTCGGGTTCGACAACGGAAGGATGATCGGCCGCTCGGTCCCCTTCGCCATCTCGCGCACGATGTCTTCGGTGAACGCCCCGCCCTGCGTCGAGCACCCGATGAGCACCGTGGGCTTGACCCTCTTCACGACCTCGAGCAGACCGACTTCCCCGTTCGGGTTGGAGATGGGGACGTCGGCCCACTCGGCGTCAGGGCGAACGAATTCGCGGAGGCCGTCGCGGATGTTCTCGGGACCGAGGGACTCTTTGAGGAGCCCGTGCTTGTCGAGGAGGTAGAACTGCTTGTTTGCGGTGTCTTTGTCCACGCCGTCGATGTCCACGATGCCGTCTCGGAGCTGGCGCGCGATGCCGAGTCCTGCAGAGCCCGCGCCGTAGATGACATAACGCTGGTCGGCGAGCCTGGACTTCGTCACACCCACGGCGGACATGATGCACGAAAGCGTGACTGCACCGGTTCCTTGTCTGCCACCAGGGGGAGGCGTTAGCAAGGTGAGCTAGGATGGGAAGTCCCGGGTATGCATGGAGTGGGATGATGCGCACACGTCGTCGTTGAACACCGCATGCGTGTCGCGGTATTTGTCAAGTAGCCGCTTCGCGTTTGTCACCCCGAAATCTTCGAAATGAAGCAGGCAGTGTGGGTGGTGTTTTCGGACGAGTTGCACGAATCTGTCGATGGTCGATGAGATGGGTATATTGTTACAATGCTGATAGGTCTGAAACCCGCATATGGAGAAGTTACAGACCTGTCGATGAAGTTATCATATTCCTGGCCACGAATCCGCTCATGAGGCCAGCCCTGTCGTGAGATTTTAGCCGAGCAGCATAGCCTCAACATGCATGATACGCACTACATATAGCCTGTCCTCTAAGAGATCCTTGTTATTCGTCCCTACGTCAAGGGTGACGGCAAGGGCCTTCGCTGGATCTACTCCTCCAACGAGACTGCACAAGCTCCATTTACTGGTGCCCCAACATGTGTATGGCATTCGCTCACGTGTATATAGCGCTTTTCGCCGTGGCGATCTGTGCCGTGTGAGCGATCCATTCAATAACTGGCTCTCGGGGTACATACTCCGATACCCTGTCCCAAGGCTCGTTTCAGCGCGATCTCGTGGTGTCAGATGCGTCTCATCTGCTCACCCCTACACCTTGATCACCGATGCCCAATATCTGCTCTGCATCCGAGACAACAATCAAGTCAATCTGACGGCCCTTCGTCTCGGCTAGGAAGTCTTCTTCCAAGGATTCGCGAAGAGGGTATGTGAGGAAAACACCTTCGCTCCTACGGAACAGGTGAGAGTAGTTTGATATTGCCTCTGCCTAGAGCGACGTAGAATACTTGAATACACGACGTAGTAGCACGAGAGCTGTGGGGGCATACCTCAGTCGGCGTATAGATGATCGGCGTCATCTCCTGCAAATGTCGCGAGAGCAGCGCGTAATACAGCACCCAATTCTGCTCCTTCAAGCTCTGCAGGAACGTATTCTTCCGCAGCGGCGCCTCACGAGACAAGTACTGTTGGTAGGCTCTGTCACATTGCTCCTCGAGCGTGTTCACCCTGAATGGCAGGCGTCCTGTGAGTCCGAATGCCTTGCGTTCCTCGATTGTGAACGCGGTGCCCTTGTTCCATCGAGGACTGGTCAGGATCGTGTCCCCCCGTAGGGCGATTCGGTGCTGGATCTTGATTTCAGGAGCGTAAGACATGGGCGAAGAGATGAAAGATTGATAGCGGGTCCACTACTGATTTGTTTCTGGCCCTCCCGTGCTTCATCAGACGGGAGTGGCCTGCTTATGGTGGGATAATCATTCAGGAACGACGTCACTCGGTGCCAGGGTACTTACCGGCCGCCACAATCCAAACACAGTCAAATACTGTGGGTGGTAAGCGTCTCTTTCGGTGGCTGTTGTCTCCAGGCCGGAGAGCGAGCCTGAATCCTACAGCTTGCCACTGTTCCATGATCAATGTCCAAGTCGACGCTCTCCTCGGTCGTCTCTAACCTCGTACGGGCGCAGATGGGATCCTCTCTCGCGCCGACTGTCCAAGACGACGACCTCGACCGACACGTTGCCGAGCTCATCCTCAAGGAGGCCAAGCAGAAGGCCGAAAGATACGGGAAGGATGGGATTCGCGCCTACCTCGCCCGGAAGTGCGTGCAGTACCGCTTTAGTTGCTTAGAGTTCACGATGCTGACATTGCGATACAGTATCGACAGCAATGCGCCCAAGGCGAACAAACGCTTCTTGTCCTCCATCATCCGGAGCACAGATGACCACAATAAGAGCATCCTCCGCGCTCAGGCTCAAGCTGCGCAGGAAGTGAGATTGGAGAGGGAGGAGCAGGAGCGGAGGGAACGGAGAGCGAGAGCAGAAGAGGCTGCAGAAGCGGAGAGGCTCAGGCGGCGGAGGGGAGACGGCAGGTCGGACTGGGCGGACAATTGGGCCCGGGAGCGGCGGAGTGACAGGAAGAGGAGAGAGAGAAGCTGGGAGAAAGATGATGACCGTGGTGAAGATAGGGAGCGGCGGTCGGACAGGAGAGATCGCCGGTACAGGCACCGTTCGCGCTCGCGCTCGCTAGAGGAAGGCCAGGAGAGGGAGCGGAAGAGCAGGCGGCCTCACAAGTCGAGGCGGTCTCGGTCCAGGAGTTCTCATCGATATCCCCGCCGAGAAGAAGACGATGAGGATCGTGAGTACAGGCGCCGCCATCGGGAGAGAAAACGAAGTCGCCCTCCGGATCGCGAGGCAGACGATGAAGACAGGCACAAGCGAAGGCGGCGGGAGCGCAGCACGGAACCTCGACATCGTCGCCGGCATGCTAGCAGATCTCCAGCGCATTCGCGATACTCAGCATCGCCCGATGATGACCACCCACGGCACCGCGCGGCTAGAGCTTCACGGACATCTTCCCCATCTCCTTCGCATTCTCAGAAGGATGGTGACTCTTCCGACTATGCCGACCGCCAGGCGTCTGTGACTCAGGATACCCAAGACAGCGAGAAGACTCTCGTCTCACGCGAAGACGAGCTCCGTGCGCGACTCAGGGCGGAAGGCAAGGCCAAAGCCACGGAACCTACGCCGACGCCTCCTTCAGACCGAGGTCGCACTCCTTCGCTTGACCGCACCCGGAGGTCTTCTCGGCGTCCACCCAGTCGATCGCCTTCGCCCGAATACGACCATGAGCGCGAGGGAAGCTATAGATCTTCTCGTAAGAAGTCGCGCTGTGCGTCTCAGTCGCGCTCCCCTTCGCATCAGAGCCCATCGCCGTCCCCTCGCCGTGCCCAGGACCACGAGCACGAGCGCCCTAAGTGCAGATCCTCGCGCCGCGCCACACCCTCCAAGCCCGGCTCTTCGTCCTCTCGCACCCTCCACTCCTCCCTCTCTCCCTCGCGCTCACGCTCGCGTTCCCGTTCGCCTTCCGTCGGTCCGCCCATCCCACCCCCAGCGTCCAATCTCCCGTCCAAGATGGACAAGTATTTCGATGAGGCATACGACCCGCGCCTGGACGTTGCCCCCCTCACGATGCCGACGATCCCTGCCACAGGCCTCATCAGTGACGCCGAGTTTGCGGGGTGGGACGCGATGCTCGAGATCATACGCCTGCGGCGGCAGGACAGGGAGGACAAGAAGGCGATGGAGCGCTGGGGGATCAGTAAAGAGAAGGATAAGGCGAGTGAGAAGAAGGCAGGGGAGGTGAGCGCGCTGGATATCAAGTATAAGAAGCGCGGGGCGGTGAGGGAGTGGGATATGGGCAAGGAGGGACTTTGAGTATTGCGTTGGGAGTGTTGGGCTGGGCCCCTGCCACGTTGGATACTTGTTAAGTTTTGGCCTATCGCAGGAAGTCTGTACTATAGAGCATCGTCTCAAGCAACAGTACATACTTTATATCACACAGGACTGCACATAATGTCTCCAATGGATCCCTCATTTGCATATCTAAGGAACTCTACATGATCGTGACGTCGTAATATCTTTCCAACACGGATGGCTACCAAACATTTTCCAACATCGACCGTGTCTATCGATGACTACTGGCTGACCGCCTTTTGCACCACCTGAATCTCCTCCGGGGTGAGCTGTTGTACCACAGCGGAGAAGTTGCCCGTATTCCTCGCCGCGCACTCCTTGAAGAAGCCTAGCAGGTGTGCCTGTCCCGAAGCTATATCAGCGCTGCGATGCGGCATCGAAAGGTCAATAGAGTCAGCGCACCTGCAAGTCCATCGTCGAGACCGGGTCGTTCTTCAGATCCTCATCGTCATTACCCTCGAGCGCGTCGTCGTTGTCGAACGCCACCCCGCGGGGGCCTAGCATGTCCGACAGGAACGCAAACTCGTCCGCCTTGAAGCCCTGGTGGAGCGCCTCCTCCTCGGTCCAGTCCTCGGCCTGTGCATCGGAAATCACACCATGCATGCGTCAGTTCCCGACTATCGCGCAAGGTCATTTATCAAACGAAGAGTGAAGGTATGAAGGCGGCATGCAGATGATCCGTGAAGGGACGGACGCGAAGTGCGGTTAGATCGTCGGAAGGGGCGGAGCATGGTGCGTGGTACAATATGGAGAAAGGGGAGGGCGAGAAGCGCGGAGGGAACGGAGAGGAAAGGAGGACTTAGGAGGAAGCGACATGTGGTTGGAAGTGCAAAGAAGGGAGGGAATGTGGACGCACCCCGTCGTCCGAAGCTACTTCTGAGACGTCCTTTGCCGAGAAGCCCATGGACGCCGCTTCACCACCGGACTGCAGGTCGTGCAAGAGGAGCTTGAGCGCCTTGACAGGGAATGGTACGGACGTGAACTCCGTGGGGACTGCAAGGGACAAATGTCAGCAAATGTCAACGAGTCCGATGCGGAAGAGAAGTAGTAGAGTGTGCGAGCATGATCCGTACTTTGCTTAGTTCTCGAGCGCGTCATGATCACTAAGTGCCAAACCCACAGATAATTCCGATTTCGCTTCAGAAAACCTGTTTCACACTGTCATGCAAGGGAGCGACCACTCACCGTTCTTCGTCTCCGGCTTCACCACAATATCACCCTTTACAACGAGATTCTGCAAGCTGGGGCGTTCGCTAACGTATAACGAACAGAGCGCGAGGGTGGAGATTCGAGGCGGCCAGAAGCCTTGGAATGTCTCCGCGTTCTCACACCACGTGCGAACGAGGATGTCCAGTGCGGCTGTGCCGTCGATTTGCTGGCTTTCGAGGAGGTTGAGGACTGTGTCACGCTGATTGTGGATCAAGAATGCGAAGGGGATGATCAAGCTCTGTGCAAGTCCCCCGGTGTCAGCTGGGAATCAAAGGTCTGAGCTGAAAATGCATACCTGCAAGAACGTCGCCGTCTTCGCCGTACGCATCCTCCTAACCATCGCCTCGAGCAGCTGCGGGAGCACAGGCAGGACCGCCTCGCCCGCGCGCCTCAACAGGTGAATGATGAGATCCCCGATGACGAGCCCGCCAGATTCGTCCTCACTCTGCAGCTGCTTCGCAATCACCTGCAGAACGCCGTCGAGCCCGGACTGGCCCGTCGTGGGGTCAGTCCAGTGGATGAGCTGGTTGATGTCTTTGCGGATGATGAGCGTGAGTGTCGCGATGCCGTTCTGAGGTACAACTCATCAATATTCAGGCAGGGTAACGTATGTGCGAGATGCGCAGCCTACCTGAATCGCCTCTCTGTCCTCAGTCGCACGCAGGGTCGCATACAACGCAGGGGCAAGTATCGCGAAGAACCCATCGCCCAGCCCACTCGCAGGCGCACCCTCAACAAGCGCGCCAACGAGCTCGAACGCCGCGCTCGCGACGTACGAGTCGACTTCAGTGGCACTCATCAGGGCGGTTGTAAGCGCAGGGAGCGCCTGATGCACGACGGCCTGGTACGCTGGGGAACTCGCGAGCGATTGGAAGACGTTCCCGAGGATCGAGATGAAGATCGGGTCTAGCGCAACATATCGCCCCCGTCAGCACTAGCTGATGCATACAGGGAGAGCGGGAAGGACGGCGCACCCTTGTTGTTCTTCATCCAGACGTCCAGGCACGCGGAGACGAGAGCGCGCGCGAGGTCCTCCGTGATCCATTTGCCTTCGTCGATCTCGACGACTGCAGCAAGCGTCTCGAGCACCAGCGTGAGTGTGTCCTCGGATGTTACGGGCAGGAAAGGTCCAATGTCTTTGGCGATCCGCGGCGCGAGGGGCACGGAGATCGCGTCGTCGACATTCTGACAGAAGCTACGCGATCGCGTTCACAATTATTCCGAGGTCGGAATTTGTGGCAATGACAAGCGGCAGAGGCGAGATGTCAGTTTCCTAGCGTACAAGAACGGACTCACGCGAACGTACTTGTGAATGGCTTTCACCGCGGACACCTTCACAGGGACACTTGCTTCCGGCGCCTCAAGGACCTGTATAGCAGCATCGAGGTACTGGCCCGCGAGCTGTCCAGGCAGGAGCTTCGCGTACTGGCTGGCAAACACGAAGGCGCGGCCCTGCAGGAACGGGAACTCTGATACAATAGCTTGTAAGCAACTCAACGATGTGGTGGTTGGAGTCACACGTACGCGAGAGAATGAGGAAGTTGGGGACGACGTTCGTCAAGAGCGAGCCGATATCGATCGGCTTGCCGCGTCCAGAGTCGATCTCGTCGTCGATCGCGTCGAGCACGTCTTCGTGCTGCGAGCCGACAGCCGCAAGGGCAGCTTCCAGTGGTCGCCACCTGAACAACTCGTCAGCATCCGGTGCATTCCGTGAATAATGAGAAGGGAGCAGTACCAGTCTTGGCTGCCGGACTCGCGGTGTTGTTGAGTCTCGGCAACGACACGGGCGATGGTTGCTTCGAAGGTCTTGACTGTGGCGACGGCGTTCCGGTCAATCAGAACCTGCGATGATGAAGGCGTACATTCGTAAGATAGATACCACGACGGCGACCTGCAGACTCACCCCAAGTAAATCGAAGCCGGCCATGCGAACGCTGTACGACAAGGTGTCGTCGGACTCCTGCGCGACGAACGCGTTCGCGTTATTCGCCCACTCCTCTTCCTGCACACAGTGATATGGTCAAACGTATTGCAGTGTGGGCAGCGTAGTGCAACTCACGTCGTCGTGCGTCATCTGCGTCCACGTAAAGACCAGCGTGACAAGATTCGACAAGTTATCGCCCTCGAACCAGTCCTTGGCCCGCCCGGAACGTGCGACGCTCGCAACGAAGTCCAGCATCGGGCAGATGAGGTGGATAAGCTCGATGGTCTCGTCCTCGCTTGAGCGCGGAACGGCGGCGGCCTGTTGAAGGTAGTAGTGGTGGAACGTAGGGTAAAGAACGGAGAGGTGGAGGAGCGCGGCGCTAAGGAGGTCTTGGAGATGCGGGGCGAGTGCGCGGGGGAAAGAGGTCTGGATCGTGTCAAGGGTCTGGGATGCAGCGCGGGCACACGGTTTAGAAGGACGAGAGGAGAGTAACGCAGCGAAGTACAGCGCACACCTTGAAGACCTGGATGCGGATGGCGAGGCCGTCCCAATTAGGTGTATTTTCAACGTCCTGAAGGGGGTCGACACGCAACAGAGTCTTGAACGCGTCAAGCCAGACCGGGAGCACAGAGCTGGTCGCCTCCTTGACCGCCTCGGGGTATTGGTCCTTCACCATGTATAGCGACTCGACGCATTGGCGGAAGACAGATAGTGTTCGGGAACGTGTCAAGGATGAGTGTTGCTGAGAGCAGCCGATCTAAGTAGTGCGCGTAGAGATACTGGATGCAATCACGTACCTCAGGGGCACCGAGGATATTGAGGAGGACGGGGAGGAGTTGGCGTAGTACGGGAAGGATCTGATCCTCAGTGAGGTCGGACTTGATGAACTCGGTGAAGACTTGCATAGCACCGTGTACGGAGTCAGGTGAGAGGGAGGAGAGGAGGCCGATCAGAGAGTTGAGGAGTTCGGGGTATTCATCAGGCCAGTCGGAGTTTGCTATTGAGGAGAGAACGCGTGCCTACGCACACCATTCGATATAAACCCGAGAAAGATGAGGTGACAGAGTACTCACACATAGTGAACGAATTTTGCGGGTAGGGTCTGAAAGACCTTGGAAGACTGCCTGGCGGATCTGAGTCTTAACCTACGGGTGTTGCCAAGCATTAGTAGCGACATTCCTAGCTCTCCCTTCCTTCAAGTCCTCCATACAGCGCAGCAACAGGAATCATGACGTACCTCTGGTGGTGGTGCGTTGCCCTTGAACTGGGAGAAGTATGGAGACCAATGTTCGGTGACATATTTCCTCAGAATGATAGCAGCAGAGTGCTAGGGGCAGCTAAGTCATCAAGAGACGGTCGATACCACAATGACGCGTTTAACTCATCTGTCTGAGAGACAAATCAGCCTCTGAGGTCAGGACTAGCTGCGATAAAGCCAACGCGGCTTCTGTAGGACGCGTTGATGTATGAGTGTATGTGGATCGCGTCTGTGGTCAGAAGATACGAGCCTGGCGAGTTCAGGAGCTGACTGAGCTTGAGCTCTGCAGATATACGCGTGTTTGTATCCGTAGAAAGGGTGGCAGATAGGCATTGTGCAATTTCCGAGGACGCCATAACGAAGTACGAGAACTACTTGCACTACTCCGCGAAGCCGTACGCAGATGCGCACGGTCACATCGTGTCACACCAAAAACATGACCACAACGCGTGCCGTCACAGTGCCATCATCGGATGGACCACCGGCAACCCTTGACTTGCTACCTCTACGCCCGTTTCCTGCGTCTGTCTTTCCGCTTAGTGGAAACTTGAGGCTTTCTGATATTCTCACACACTCGAGGCCTGAACTGTACGTCCTCGGAAAATGCGACAGAACTGATCCAGTACCAGATCTATAGGAAGACGTCATCATGGGCTACGAACCCTACAAGGCGGCGAGATGCAACATTCTGCAGACTCGGAGTGATGGCTGGGATAGAGTCAAGAGGGCTAGGCAGACAGCGCCAGAGCGGAGGAAGGGGACTAGTACGAACAACGTGGGGAGGTTATTTCGCTCGGTCAAACTTGCTAAATACTGAGTCGTGTGACAGACTGCCTAGGATGCATATGTGCTTGACTTCCAACAAAATGTCAGAGCGCGCGATCTCTCTACGATGCAGCATGCTATGCTGCGGGACAGCATGGTATATGAATGCTGACGAGCTGTACGTGTCGGAAAAATACCTTGCCGTAGGCCGTACCACCAGCCAGGCCAGGATGGCACTACAGTAGGTGCTGAACATATCGTCCATGAGCAGATCTGACAGCCTTGGTCAGTCCAGTACCTGGCTAAAGGCCAAACGCGCATTGCCCTTGAGGATCTTGCCAGCGAGTACAGGGCTAAGGAACGCAAGGGACGAAGGTGTCTGCTGGCTGCAACCCAATTCCGACCGACCAAGCAAATACCATGCAATGTAGGCCTATCCTCAATGCTTGAGATATTAGCTCGGTATTCCAAACATCTGGATGAACGTGTCGACCATAACGTGTAGACATGCGCCCAACTCAAGAGCGGAAGGTCAAGCGACACAGCGAGACAGACGAACTAGGAGCACTGTCCATTGACGACGCAGTTCACGTCAAGGCTTCTCACGCGCTGAATGCTGGGATCTGGCCGCATCTCCTCCTCCATCGACTCAATACGAAGATGGCGGTCTTTCTTCTGGACGCAATCGACAGTGACATCCAATTCGTGCTGCGCCTAGATTACATCGTCACAGCTCACAGTGTCCAACACTACTCGATTCCCCGGCTCGCGCATCAGCCTTTTGTCTATACTTATACTCGCAGCTGATGGTTGACGTGTTCCCGAGCCCGCACTGTCGTCGACTATGGTGCACAAAAGTTCTCACGCAACTTTGACAGTTGATTATGCGGTGTATCTAGCAACGCCAGAGCTAATCCCTGCTCCACGCTACCAACACTCTGTCGTGAGTGGACATGCCGTCTCTATTCAACATGGACTCATCGGTTGATCCCCTCGGACTCGGCCTCGCCGGCCCAGCCTCAACGCTGCATGCATACATGGTGCATGGCGTTTATCCCGCTGGTGCTCACACCCTGTGACTACCATCTGTGCTTCTGCGGTCTATCCGCACATCGGCGACGTCCACGCCCGAGAGCCTAACACGACAGGCTGTACCCAACGATAGACGCGTGACTACTCGCAGCCTCTATAACAGCTTACTCGGTGGGGACGTAATGCGCTCATCCCTCCCATTCACCTTGAGGATCGCACCGTTTCTTTCTTCATTCGCATTCTAGGCTGGCCCGCAGGACTTTTCTTTTCTTAAACTGACCATGTACGCTAAGGCTTTTGCACTCCTTGCCCTCTCGGCCCTTTCCCTCTCGGCGCAGGCCGCCCCCGCTGCTTCGAGCTCTCCTTCGAATTCCGGGAGTGCATCTTCAAGCGCCAGTGTAACTGCCTCTGCGACAGAGACGCCCGGTCAGTCCACATGAACTCCATACCAAGCGTGTAGAAGCTGACGGTGTGAATGTCTCGTTGCTAGTCACACTGCCGATTCCGACGCAGCTTGGCTTCCCAACCAGCGTAGTCACCCTCAGTTACGCAGTCGACTGGGTGAACGTCCACGCGGATGGTATTGCGTCCTACATCGGCTCCTCCGCGCTGCAGGGTGTTCAAGGTATGCCGGTCGTCAAGTCTCGCGTCTCACTGCTGACATGTCATCTACTCCGCAGCGACGTTGGGTGTCATGGATGCGCAGAAGTCCATTGGCACTGCGACCCACCTAACCGCCTTCATTGCGAGTAAGCTTGTGTGCCCCGCCTGCATCGCGCTTCTCACTGACGGACATCCTCGCCAGCTGACGCGAATTCCGCCCCGGTTGTGATGGTGTCCTCCATCGGCGGCTCCGCCATCACCCTCGCGACTGGCACGGTGGGTGGCACAACAACGTTCGGTGGGCAGGCCTTCCGCACCGCCGCCCCCATCGTTCTCGACGCGCAAAGCTCTTCGTCCGCCTCCAGCTCAGCTGCTTCGAGCACTGATTCCGCGAACAGCTCTTCGAATTCTGCGTCCAGCTCGACGTCCGGGAGCAACACGACGTCGAGCGCGTCGAGCACGGGCACGGGCAAGAACAACGGGGGGTCCGCGGGCGTGCGTGTGCCGCAGTCGGCCGTCGTCGGGGCTCTCGCGGTGCTAGGAAGCGTGGCGATGGGCGCCGTGGCTGTTTTGTAGTCCTGCGGTGGATCATGTTTGGTGCTCTTATAGTGGCGAGGCGTGTCTGTGACGTGCCGAACCCTCGAATGGGACATGAATGCTCTCTTTCCCCTCTTCATTCGGCCTACCTCACGCCCATGCACCATACCAAGTACGGCCCTCAGCGATCGTGGCAGTCATGCATTTGAATTATATTCGTTGCTTGATGAACATTTGTTCAGAGACGGAAAGTTTAGATCTAATCCGCCTGGAGATTATATGTTGACATACTTACACATGAAGCGAGGAAGGGCTTAGCATTGATGTTGTAACATTTCAGGCTAAGTATGCGACAGGAGCAGTGCTCGCCTGAATAGGTGGCCCTGAGGCGCGCCGCGCGCGGTACGCCTTACTTGAGCGCCCTTGTCCCCTTGAGATTTTACCACCTCTGTGATCGGCCGCTAGCGTACGTGAAGTTGAACTTTCGCCCGTTTGACGGGCTCGACTGTAGCGCACCAATGGAGGAGAGCGATTCCAATATCGTTTTTGTCCCAATGATGGCGCCGCGGCGAGTCGGACTTCTACCTCGCTCTATGCATTCGTCTCCGCAAGTTCCTCCTGGCTCAATCCCAGACGATGTCCTCCTGGAAATCGCGTCGTACCTCTCCCCCTCAGACATATCGAGTCTCTCGCTCGTCTCGAAGCACTTCCATGCCGTTATCTCTTTCACGGAAGGCTACTGCAAGGAGCTTAGCGACCTGAGCTCCTTCCACAGGTTCCTTTTCGGAGTCCCCCCGAACGCCGATAGTACTGACCGCGCCCGCATCCTGCGGTTGCGCTCCGTGTACTTGGGGGCCATGCATCCATCTGGGGACCTCGAGTCACAAGAGGAGCGAGAAATCAACACAAAGAGGTTGATGGACATCATCCGAGAAGCAAAAAATCTCCGCTATTTGCGCTTCCGAGGGATCTTCGATGACTTCGCGACAAGTACAAGGTACATCCCTCAGCCGGTGCCTACTATGCACCTCCAACACTTGGTTCATCTCCACCTGGAAAACGCATCGGATGGATTCGTGCTGCTCGATGTGCTCCCGCAGAAACTCCGCATCCTGCAGCTTTCGAACAGGGACAAGCTCCGTGGTACGATTTTCCCTTTACGGGAGCTTGTGCAATCCCATGTCCTCCCTCACCTCGAGGTCCTCATCCTCGAGGACATGGTGTTCGAGGATGAGGACCCTGACGATCCAGACTCCGCCGACTCGAACTCGGACTCGAGAGCCTGTCCTAATGCTGATCCCTGGACAACTCTGCAAAGCCTGACGATCAGTAAGACGGAGCTCGGTATCACGTTCTCTTGTATCGCCGAACTCTTCCCCAACCTGCGATCGCTTTGCATGATCGACAGCGAGATCGTTGACGACAGCCACCTGGACGACGAGCCCTTTTCTCTACGGAAGCTCACGATCTCGGGACTCTGGGAGGACCAATGCATCCCATGGACGACTAGTCACTTGCGCTGCATCCACACCGATCCTAGATGCAGTCCAGTCTTGGATTCCTTATACTGCGACAGCCTCGCTGCCCTGACCTTGAGACTGCCCAAGCTCCGTAGTGATCTTTGGGATTGCATTTGGGACTTCATGTCGGACATCCGGTCGATCGAACTGGAATGCACGGAGATGGATTTTCCATCCATGCTGCAGTTCATGGTGAGTCTCTCGGTTTCGTGCCCGCTTTGCGTAGTTCAGCTGATACTAATCTCAACGTAGATAGAGCAATGCGACACTATGGACACCAGCCTGTGGTGGGACACCAGAGTGTTGAGTCTTATCGCACCAGAGCCCAAGGTGCGTCCCTCTGATGGTGGGAGGGAATTGGAGTCGCTGCGGACGGACTTTCTGGTAAAGATGTCGAAAACGTTCAGACAACTATTCGATACGCGCTATGTGGCCTTCGCCCAGCCCAAGGACGTATCTCCCGACTATAAAGAGGACTATGCCGGAAACAATGCGCCCTGGTCATGGTGGAAGATCATCAAGCTGGACGACGACGACGCGCCGACGGAGATACGAGAGATACCTGCCTGGGAGGGTGAACGCGTTCGAGCGTATTTCCGAGAAGCCGACGTGGAAGCAGCGAGCAAGTTCGAGGGTGAGTTTCCATCGCATTCCCACCGCGACTCACCCTGAGCTCATTCCTTCAACAGAGAGATTTATGGCACTGCGCTGAAGGTGAAACGAACGAGGAACATATGTCGCTGGTGTCATGTTCGTGGTTTCTCGTCCAAACTGTTCTCGAGAGCATCTATCTGTGTACAGGATGTCGTAATCCTGCTGTAGAGGGAAGACTCGCTTGTCGATAGTTGTGATGTACGAACTGCACGTCTCAGAAAATTGCTGAACAGGATGTGGAATGCAACCTCTTGATCATGTGTGCACCAGTGCCTCAGAAAGCCTGGCAAGTTGTAGGCTAGAGGCGGCCCGACTCAGTCCATGTCCACCATACGCACGAGACGTAAAAGTACACTACTATGTACACTAACAAGCAAGACTACTACCCACGACTAGACCCGCGCATGCAGTAACCCGCTCTCGCAACGCAACGCCACTCTCACAAGGTTAATGGGAGCGGTAACGAAGATGTCCGTGCATGCGTCCGCGTCCGTTCCGGTACTGGCAGCGACACTGTCACTGGTATTGGTATCGGACCACGTATCCCCAGCTCCGCAAAACCCAACTCATCGATGATGTCGTGCGTCGGCGTGGCGTCCTTTCCCGTCACATGCTTAGCATCCAATGGCGTCACCGTCTGCGGCGGACAAAGCGACGTGAGCGCGCGGCCCAGCGGCGAATGGGCTCTCCATGACGTCCGACGTACCCGTGTCCTTCCCGGGCTGGTCGAATTGGTCGCCTTCAGCTGCGAATCCTATCGAACGCGGTTCCAACGACGTCGTTAGTGAGCACACGCTACAGCATCAGATGAGATTGACAGGACGCACTGAAGCCTCTCCCAGATCGCGCTGCGTCTGGCTCTGTGCTTTGGGCAGGGACGGAAGGGATGAGATGACGGGGAGGATGTGTTGATCGGGCGGGTATGTGCGCCGCCTCAGCGATTTTCGCGCGTTCAACCTGTCAACGTCAAGGCGCATAAGCCCTCACATTCTGTGATGGTGGAATGGGGATCCGCGCATCGACCAGAAGAGCCGAACAGGTACTCACGTCGCTAATGTGGAGGTAGCGTAGACTGGAAGCCCAATTTGGAGAACGAATTAGCATTGATTTAGGCGCCATCGATAGGGTTATGTGGCGCATCGAAGGCATGCTCTGGGAGGGTGATAAGGATGGGGACGCACGTTTGGGTATTGAGAAATGCAGGGCGAGAAAGATGAGGTTTTGCGGCATCGTAAGCCACTACTCGTGTAGCAAAGTCAACTCGGCACGCCGGTACCGAAAGAGTATATAGCCTTACACAGATCAAAGAGACAGCAGTCGTAATACTGTCAAAGGATGCCCGATCAATCCGGAATCAGGGTGAATCAGATAAGGCAATTGAATGGACGAACCAGGTGAGCAGTCCCGTCTCTAGCGTATAGACCGTGACGACGTCAATTAGGCGGTCCGTTCTGGTGGCAGAAACGTCGAAACTGAGAAGTATCAATCGCCTGAACGGAAATGGGTTTACGTACAATGTAGAGAACCCCGTGCGAGAGCGTTGCAGAAGTGTGATTAATATTACCGTGATGAGCACGTCCACGCTGGTGGACAGTGAAAGGCCTGTCGTAAAAACCCACTGCAGAGACAGATGATCAAACGGTCAATAAAGGAACGATCACGAGTCCACATGCTAATTCACGACTGACTCCGACTTGACTGACGAATGCGCTGTAGCTGCGCAAATTAATCCTAGCCGAATCGATCAGCCCAGGACGTTAGCTAGGCGCTGAGAAAGTCATACATCTCAGATGTTGACACTGGGCGGCCACGACGGGGTTAAAGTTTGTAGTCACGCGCACAAACGCATCCCACGACTCACCGAGTGCTGCCGCTGCGATCCAGACGCGAGTCAGATGGATATATCATGAGCTGTCGTGATAGGTATTGCACACACCTAATCGGCCGACGGCGAGTAAAATCTACGCAGGTCCCCTGAGTTAGTATGGGACCGCGATCGAGGAACAGGACAATGGACTCACTATCGGAGCGGTAAGCGTCCATGATTGCTTGCTCACTGCGCATGGGGAGCGTCAGAAACATAACAACCTTCCTACATACTACTTGGACATACGCATATAAATGCGGTGCGCGAAGAAACTGTGCAGGGTGTGAGGGTGTCGCAGGGTACGCGCATAGATACATATGCGTACCAATGCGAAATCAACGTGACGATAGCCTGCAACAGAAACGTTAGATCCCAAGCCGCATCATGTGACGCCCAGAACTTACAGTGAGAGCTACGGTAAGCTTGATACAAAAGAATATGAGCACTCCGAGGAGAGTCGGATAAGGCAGCAGTACACACAGCAATAGTCCTGAATGGGAAGAGTGGGAGTGAGCAAAGGGAGATGAACGATGGGGTACTCTCTGTATTCACCATGGGATGTAATCACAGATAGTCGTGTTGCCGAAATTGCGGATGAGGTAGATCCAGCAGGAGGCGAAGACCATAGCAAGGTGTAAAGAATCCAAGGTCCTATTCCCAAGGTCAATCCTCGGAGACTGGAGTACATGGGGATCATGTGGCGAACCAAAGGGTGCAGACCTAAGACGCGCGGGCCCAGTCAGATCGCGTTCTCGAAGCGAAAGACGGGAGACGCACAATGAAGGTGTTTCGCTTGTAATCATCGGTGCCATAGAGCTTGAGATAGAGAAAGACCTGGGTGGCCACCGTGCCCGACAATCTGGAGGTGGCCTGCGTTCGAGCGACGATCGGGCCGACAGTCTGATGCACTCACATGGCAGAAATAAGGGCGCCGACCAGAATGGCCCCTATGGTGTCCTCGATGTCAGCCATGGCTCATGGCGACTGCGCCAATGCGCGAGTGGAGAGGAGGGGAGGGGGAAGGGAATGGGGCAAGTGGAAGTCGAGAAGAAAGCCGCGGGGCGGGGGGACATAGCCTCGGGATCGGAGGGAGAGATGGACCATGGGGGAGCAAGGGGCAAGCGTACAGATAGATTTGACAACTGACGTCTGTGAGAACCCTGCTAAGGGCCAGGCGTTATCCCCTTATATGGTAATCATATAGCCTTTCTGGTGGCCCGCCTCCAGATCTCTCTGCCCGATCTCAGGCCGCTCGTTCCATCCCGATGATTTCGTAATTCTCCAGGCCGCGTACTCTTCAATCTGAGCTCTGTATCAGATCAACCCCCTTTCAGACTCCCAACTTCTGTAGTGCCCTTGCACACGCGCATATGCGGGTATCGCATCTACATCTCCGGGTATCTTCGCTCTCAAACGCCAGAACCATCAACACCTTCTGCGATGGCCGGTAATTTGACACCAGACATGCGCACAACCTCACATTACGACCTCGCTGCTTCATGCGGGATGCCGCACTCCCTGCCCCGGCCTGTCTGGACTGAGGCTTAGAACCCACGTACATACGAGCGCATGCCGTCACAGCAGGCAGCGTCTCAGGCGCTACATAGTGGATCCAGACGCGAGCGGCGACGCAGACGGATCCCGGAATGCACGTCGTGTGCTGGGATGTATGACCGAACGTTGCAAGCCCCGCGGACGGCAATAGATAATTTCCTCGGTTCACGCGTACAGTCTTTCCTTGAGCTAGGCACGCGAAGCGACAATCTTTCATAACGAGGCGGTGGAGAAGGCGCAAAATACCTGGACAGAACACACCGGCACCACAAGCCGCACGTCCGGCCGCACTAACACATGTGTCCAACCCAGAGGCGCGCGAAGTGGTTACTGAGAGTACTGAGGCCTGAGGCCTGAGGGCGCGGACTGCATTGGCATGAAACGACAGGCTCATTGGCGAACGCATGTGCGACGCGTAGGCGGGACGAGCACGATCCCTTCGTGGCACAACTGCGTTGCGCCCGCTGGCATAAGACTCCGATGAAGTTACAGTCAATCAGTACCCGGTCCTTAGCCAACCAACCTCCTGTGGTCGATGCGGATGCAGTCCGCCTGCTATAATCGGCCGTCGCTCCGGGCGTAAGCATAGGAAGCCAGACTGAGAGCACAAAGGCAGAGGGAAGGTGGATGATCGGTCCTTTGATTTCATTTACTTGAAATTAGCTCGCGCTAGACCGGACCAAGTCTCGCTGAGAAGGTTATTGGTGTGGTTTGGCGCTGACGAGCCCGCTGCTTCGCTGCGTGCGCCGTAGAGATCATGAGACAACGAGTCGGCATAGAGAGTGCCGGATATCTCATGCCCACCACCGTGGTCCTGGTTCGGATGAAAGCTTCCTTGCCTTTGGTTGGGCGGTATTTGCAGGAGCTCGCTGTTCACCGGTCAACGCACCCTGAGGCCCGGGTATCAGTGGTGTCCTGCTTTCGCCTGCAGCCGGACGAGTGACATCTTCCCAGCAGTAGGGACCCATTCTTGCGTCCCTAAGGATAAGCGCAACCTCCAACCCAGGCATCGTATAGCCGAAATGCCTCTAGAAGCTTACCCTGAAACCATGACACCTGTTCGCGGAGATGGTATCCGCCGGATGAGGATACTCACAGAAGTTTAATACTCACTACGCCCTCATCTTCTTCCTATGCCACTGAGCCGCGAAGCTGTTCAGGCCACGCGGTGAGATCCTCCGGAAAAGAGTGAAGGAACCGAGTTGTACGCCTCCTTTTGATAGGAGCAGTGCGAGCGCAACAGTAAGATTCATTTGGCGACCGCTGTTAACCGCCGTAGTTGAAGGGAGAAGCGAGTGATATAGCTCACTCCGACAATGCAGGCACCTGCAAACGTTTAGGATGTGCGAGAGGCTTCGACCGAATGGCTGCTCCGCATCGGCTCGTTAACTAGGCCACCTAAAACCCATATTACAGTTTTTATATGTGCTAGAGAATAGACTGTCACAAGAAAAATGGAGTGCATGGGGGTTAGCTGGTGAGGGGGAACGAATAAACGACCGTGACGCCCTGGCGAGGTCATGGGCGTCTGAATTGCCATATGCAGACAGCATTAGGCGTCGTCTGAATTTGTCGCGTCTTTGCCTTTCGCTACTTACGTTCTCCCTCTCACCCTATCTACACCACAACCATGCAGGCAGGCGGACAGACTCCGGTGTTTGTGATGAGTACGTTCGATCCACCACTCCAGTCGGGCCCATCTGATGGTCTTCTGAAGACACCGCGCCGGAACGCCAGTCCGGCCGAAAGGCTCAGATCTCAAATATTACGGCGGCGAAGGTGAACCCTCCTTTTGCTCCATATGGTGCTTCTATCATGCTCAATGATGTGCGAAGACTGTTGCAGATGTCATCAGGACATGTCTGGGCCCAAAAGCTATGTTGAAGATGATTTTGGACCCGATGGGTGGCATTCTGTTTGTGGGCTTCGTTCTCCGCCATGTTCTCTCACTGAACGGCATCGATATCCCAGTCTCACAAACGACGGTAACGCAATCTTGCGTGAAATCGATGTTGCGCATCCAGCAGCGAAGAACATGATCGAGCTGAGTAGGACACAGGATGAGGAGTGCGGAGACGGAACAACGAGTGTGATCATTCTCGGTGCGTCCCCTTGCTCTTCTTCTCCCACATGCACACACCAACTCTCGCTCTCCCATCTGTCATGCAGCGGGAGAGATCCTTGCACAGTCTCTCTCACAACTGGAGCGCGACATCCACCCGGTCGTGATCATCTCCGCGTACAACAAGGCCCTCAAGGAGGCTCTGGAGATCATCAAGCGCATATCAATCCCCATCGACGTCAATGACGACGAGCAGATGCTGTCGCTCATAAAGACCTCGATCGGCACCAAGTTCGTCATGCGCTGGTCCGACCTCATGTGCAAGCTCGCGCTCCAGGCCGTCCGCACCGTCGCGCACGACGAGGGTGCGCTCAAAACCGTCGACATCAAGCGCTACGCGCGTGTCGAGAAGATTCCCGGGGGCGAGATCGAGCAGAGCAAGGTGCTGGACGGGATCATGCTCAACAAGGACATCACGCACCCGAAGATGCGGAGGCGGATCGTGAACCCGAGGATCATCCTGCTCGATTGCCCGCTCGAGTACAAGAAGGGGGAGTCGCAGACGAACATCGAGATCTCGAAGGAGGCGGACTGGTCGAAGCTCTTGGAGAACGAGGAGGAGCAGGTGCGGCTGATGGTGGAGAAGATCCTCGAGTTCAAGCCCGATCTCGTCATTACAGAAAAGGGTGTCTCAGGTATGTGGCTCCCTCCGTATCAAACCCTCTCTTTTCCTCAGGCGTATGATGTTTGTCTTCGCGCAGATTACGCCCAGCACTTCCTCTACAAGGCGAACGTCTCCGCTCTCCGCCGCGTCCGCAAAACGGACAACAACCGTATCGCCCGCGCCGTCGGCGCAACGATCGTCAACCGCGTCGACGACCTCCGCGAGTCCGACGTCGGCACCAAGTGTGGCCTCTTCCACATCGAGAAGATTGGCGACGAGTACTTCTCCTTCCTCACTGAGTGCAAGGAGCCACAGGCGTGCACGATTCTCCTCCGTGGGCCGTCCAAGGACATCATCAACGAGATCGACCGTAATCTCGCTGATGCTATGTCTGTGGCGCGTAATGTGTTCTTCGACCCGACCCTTGCGCCCGGAGGGGGTGCGACGGAGATGGCGATCAGCGTCGGGCTGCACGCGAAGGCGAGGACTATAACAGGCGTTGAGGGCTGGCCGTTTCGGGCTGTTGCCGATGCATTGGAGGTTATCCCTAGGACACTGGTGCAGAACAGCGGGGGGAACGCGATCCGTGTCTTGACGGAGCTCCGGGTATGTTTCGCTGCTGTTGTGTTGGAGAATGCATCTCCTGACTGGTAATTCGTAGGCCAAGCACGCGAATGGCGAGCACTCATGGGGCATCAACGGCGACACGGGTAAGATCGTTGACATGAAGCAGTACGGTCTGTATGAGTCTGCCAGCGTAAAGGTACATCTAGCTATACTCCTCCCTTATGCAGTAGCTGACTCGTGGTACCTTGCAGGTCCAAACGCTCAAAACTGCTATCGAAGCCGCACGCGTGCTGCTCCGCGTCGATGACGTCGTGAAGGCGACTCGCAAGGACAAGGAGCAGGGTGGCGGCGGCGGCGGAGGAGGAGCACCGCCGGAGGAGATGATGGAGGGTTAGGTGTCAACCTATCAGCAGTATACAGTGCGATATACAATTGTGTAATATGATCATTTCGCTAGAATATCTGCCTTCGCACTGATCTTGCAGTTACTTGTGGATCTCCCAGAGCAAAACCCCTCCTGGGACAATTCCACGAATGCATTCTTCCCACATCGTCACTTTGGAACACTGGAATTTGACCATATGTTAATCGAGCACCGAATATGTCCGGGCGGCGCGCCTGAGTCGGGTGGTTAAAGGGATCTACTACTAGTACTGCACCATCCCAGGCGATACGAAGAGACTTTCAAACCGTCCGATAAATGCAGCACAGCAACATCCGTCAGGACGCCATCCTCACTCGGGCCAGGCAAAGTCTCAGGAAAGTCTATCTTGGAGTATAGAAGTCGCTCACATTGAACGATTACATCGTGGCGCGCTTCCTATCGAATTTTTAGAATCGAATGGACTCAACGTAACGTGCCTAACCGTACCGCACAACCTCGACACCGTCAATCCCGTCGGCCTCCGTCAACTATCGCGTCTATGTCCGGTTCTCGAACCCTTCGCTTGCTTCATCATGCCAAAGGACGTACTTGCTACCTTCGACGGAACCACAGAGCCTTGTCGGGGACTCCGATACCTGGATATTGCATGATAGACACGTGGTCCTGGGCCCTGTCATCTACTATCCATCCACAATCGCGAACATCGACGAATCTTGTCTCATGTAGTACATCCCGATGTTCAGCTGTTGCGTGACGAGGTTCCGCGCGCTGCCGTCGTGGTATATTCTCCCTGTCGTCTCCTTCACCACTTGGGGTACATGGCTCCGGATCAGCAGGAGAAGGTAGAGCTGCGGCCACAAGCCGACGTCGCTGAAGGTGTGCGGTATGCCGACTCCCCGTTGAATGGCCTGGAAGACTCGATTTCGGCGCTCGGTTACCTAAATCTGACCGAATGAAATTCCCGGAAGATCATAGACCTCTCGCATCCTCCACTTCATGGTACCATGCCCTCGTGAATCCGATGGTTTCCGGAAGAGTCAACCGTGCTTCTTCGTGCATTGTGTTGTCCGAACCTTGGAGGGAGTGCAGGAGACACGAACTGGGTCTGGCGCGACAGGAGCAATGGAGTTTGCTACGAATTCGATATGTCATGTGCGGGGAAGCTCAAAGAATAGGGATCTGCAACAAGCAAGTCAATTGGTGCAGCGGACGAGGAAATATGGTCGGTCGAAGGTCCCCAAGGGAGGCATCCGTGGGCGTCGGACGCAGGCGTGGCGCGCGCATTTGTCGGCACCCAAACGACAAGTGTTTTGAAAAGCGCTGTGACTCTATCGGTTCATCACGGTGGCAACTTCTTGAACCTGAAGTTTCCGAGTCGGCGCATATCGTGTCTTAGGGTGCGGTCTAGTATGTGTCACTCGCCTTCTCTAATATGTGATTCGCAGAAACCAGGCATATTGTCCACCTTTACTTCCCAAAGTAAGGAATCTCCTTGTTCTGCGTATGGCATATCCAATCCACTCAAACGTCGCAGAACCGTCACGTTGCAGATTCCGGTCCCGAAACTCGTTCGAGATTCAGACAAGAGTGGAGGCAAGGGACCTCTGAGGATACTATACAAACTGCGTGCTCCTCCACTCTTCCATCCTACTTCGGTTTTTTGATATGATCAAACAGACCCAATCCTTATCAGTGGATAATTGTTCGCCCAACAACTTCCTTAGTGTCCAGCTGCTCTATCACGCGCACGGACGCTGGTGGTCGCAAGGGAGTCCTCCCGTTCCTCCGGTGTTTTCTATCGCGGTCGCGAAGCTGTCTATAGGCGCCGTGGGCTTGACAAAAAGATGGAGTACATCGAAGGAGCTGAAGACCAGTGGTTCCTGGATTGCCTTCCAGGAGATGACCCTCCCGCAGGCACCACTTTGTCGCCATGGAAGGTTGACTCCCGCAACAAGGAGGAGGGAATGTACCCTGGACTAGTAAGGTGTCATTCGAGTGAATGCAAACCGTCTTAACCAACATACAGCTTCAGGCTCGTGGGTTAAATAGCTCCCTTGCCACCGTCGGCTGGACTGCTCGCCGTATCCATCGTCTCCCGAACCCTACAGCGTCAGGACCCCGGCATAGATCTGGCACAAACACGTCCTGTCCTCTAGGTATCTACCCGGTGGATTGCCCTACTCATAGTCAGGCTGGATCTGGCGATAAGTTTTGCGTGTCTTGGCCACACATTGAGGTTGTGGTTGAGGTCAAGAAGACGTCTTCCTCGACGACCAGGACTACTGTCGACGCATCTATGTCCAATCAAGCATCTTCTCGTCCCCTCCCTCTCCCTCACCCGTCAGACAGGGGTCAGCTCATCGACTATGGTATTGAAGTCCTCAATCTGCAGCACCGGCTGTTCTGCTTTGCTATCGTCATCCTCGATGATACAGCGCGTCTACTCCGATATGACCGCACGGGCATCACCATGACTTCGAAGTTCGACTACCTCGAACGTCCAGAGGTGATTGGCAGATTCTTCTATCGCCTATCTCTAGCCACACGTATGGAGCGCGGCTATGATCATACCGTCGTACCTTCCTCTGCAGAGGAGGATAAGAGGATTGTCCGCCCGCTTCACCCCCGGCTCGGCTGAATCTCAGGCTCTCGTCAACGCTACTTCCACTGGGTGGCCCACATACAAGATCACCATCGACACTCCGTTCTCAGATGGCAAGAAGGCCGTATCACGGCATGACGCTATCCTTGGACGGCACTTCCTCGTCGGAAAGCCTGCTTTCATGGGTCGCTCGCTCGTTGGGCGAGGCACGAAGGCGTTCGTGGCGTATGACATGGCGAACGACCGTGTGGTGTTCATCAAGGACAGTTGGCGGCCGGACACGGGTGGACGTACCCAGTCCGAGTACGACATCTACTTGCAGCTCCGCGAAAAGATCCCGAAGCGCAAACTGTACATTCCCACCCTTCTAGGAGGTGGTGACGTGAAGTTCGAAGGGAGACAGCAACAGACTCGTACACCAGCCACTCGGTATCTACTTCGTAATCATGTCCGTCTAGTGTTGTGGGAAGTCTGTCTTCGCCTCGAGGACTTCACACAATCCTTAGAGTTGGTCCAAGTGATTTATACTGCGTTTAGGGGTTCATCTTTTCTCTTCTCTCTCTTCTCTTTCTTCTTCCAAGCACACCGTTGCTGACGATAGTCGTTCAGCCCACTATCTAGCATGGAGCAAGGCCGGCATACTGCACAGAGACGTCAGTGCTGGCAACATCTTGATCCATCAATCTGGACATCAACGCGTTGGTCTGCTTGCTGACTGGGACCTTGCAAAGACGCGAGCTGAATTGGAATATCCCGCCACCCAAGAGGGCCGATCGGTAAGTTGGCATCTATGAGATGCGACGTAAATGGCTGATTTGATTGTTTCTGCTAAGGGAACGTGGCCATTCATGTCGGCTTGTTTGCAGCAGTTTCCCGGCAGACCACACACCCTCGCTGACGACCTTGAATCGTTTGTCCATGTCCTGAACTGGTGCCTCCTCAAGTACATTCCCAACGCGCTGTCTTCAGATCGCCGTCAACTCCTTCGACATATCGCCAGCGTATACGACGTTGCTTCTGATGATGATCCCGAGAAAGGTAGCATTGTGAAGTACAACAAGATCAAGGACGGGGAGCTATTTGTCAAGCTGACTGACAAGCATCCTCTCATTCGACCACTTGAGAAGCTTGCTGCGCTCTGCAAGAACCACTACTACCACCTCTCTCTCCCTCGTCTCGCAACCGAAACTAGTCTCAATATTCTTCCCGTCCAGGATGTGTTTGTACTAGACGACCTCGAAGACGACACTGGAGTGCAATCCAGAAGCGATACCGAGTCGGAGTTGTCGGAGGCGTCGGGCTTGTCGGATTCCCCACACTCCAAACAGTCTTCCAGGAACAATGCTCGGCAGGATCCTCCTGACGCATCGAGGTCGCCACTCCTGAGCCACAAGAAGATGGAAAGAGTCCTGCGCAAAGTGGCAGAGTCCAAGGCGTGGCCTCTGGACGAGGGGAAGTATAATGGTCCTGACCCCGCCTGGGACGAACAGCCGAGCAGGTCGTCAAACAGCCGCGCTACACAGTTGGAGGCTACGGGCTCAAGCCACAAGTGAAGGAAGCTTGGCGGAGTATCAGGCGACAATGCTGCCAGTCGCTCGAGAAGCGATCGAGCTTCCCAGCGTTCTCGAAGCAGCGCTCCGAGGGGCACAGGTGGACGGGGCAAGAAACCCTCGAGGGCTAGGACATCCAAGACTTCGAGAGGACGATCTGCTAGAGGCCTATGGGATTTGCCAAGTTCGGGCAGCGAATCAGACTTCATAGACCCCTCAATGATGTCGGACACATCATACAGTCGATCCACCAGTCCCGCCAATGTCGGCTATGCGCAGGAGGAGGATGAGGTTGAGGACTTGCTGACGGTCGAGGATGAACCGAGATCTAGTAGTTCTCATCTCGCCCCCACCGACTTCTAGGCCGAAAGGCGTGGTGCGGGTCAGGAAGATCTGCAGCTCGTCCTTGGACACCTCCAAATGGACGCTTCGCGCGCATCTTCTCCCGGACGCAAGGAGTCCGAGGAAACCCACCTCCACCGGGTACAAGGGAAAGAAGCATCTTCTCTGACCCAGTAGTATGCAAGCGGTTGTGCAGATGCTGTCTCCGCAGTGATTACGCGAAGCTCATGTGGAAGACATCGACGGTGGACTTTATTTCGCCGCCAATGAGTTGTCTGGCGCATTCTATCATCTGTTACATGTTCATCTGTCTGATGCCTCTGAATGTCTTGACCATAATAGTTGCTTCCTTTTTCTGAGCCTGACGACCGTGGATATATGTCGAGGCTTTACGAAATGAATGCTGGAGGTACAATGCTGTTCGCTGAGTGCTCCTCCAATCACTTCCGTCGTTTTGCTGCAATGTTGTGTGTCCGGAAACGGCCATTCGTATGCACGCTCCTGGGCTGTTAAGGCAGTTGAGATTTTTCCCCTTTCTGGGACGGCAGCCCTGTGCGCATGGGTTGTCTCCTTCCTGCGAGACTTTGAGAATTTTGCTTAAGCGTGCATCAGAAGCTATGTTTCCGTCACGCACTGATCTAGATGGCGCACCCCCAAAGTGACTCGACCAGTTGTAAAGGTCATACCTCCCCATCAAACCGGAATGCTTGGGTATCTGTCAGAACTTCATCTCTTCTCTGCATTGATTGGCCCTGCGTTTGATGTTGCCAGGCGTCTTGGGTTAGGCGAAGTCCGGTAGATTGTTACCCTTGTGTCACGTGAATGTGACGACCTGGGAGACGCCTGTGTTAGCAGTGGCGCGTCTCGGCTACGGCTGCCGTCCGTTCGGTCTGCTTCCTCCCACCACAACGTCCCATCCCAACCACCGCGGCCAGCCATGAGTGTCTGTATTGCCATTCTTCTAGCAATGGGATGCTTCTAACTTGATATACCCAGAACCTAGACGTTCCTATGGAGGAAGACATCCTCAGTGACGTCGTCCCGAGTAACATCGTCTCTCGTCAGGTACGCATATGTCGTGACAAACAATCTGGTGGTCCTCAAAACCTGACAAAGCTACTGAAGGAGAGCGAAGGAGGGGAGAGTGAATATGAAGAGCCTGTGGATGAGATGGAGGTCGACGAGCTGCAGAGCGAAGGGGAAAAGGTGCGTACTCCCCCCATGTGGTTGTTTCAAGACACCGGTTGTCACTGTTCGTGCATTCTCAACGCGTTTTTCGTCGTCATTTCAACCCCATAATGGGCTGCGCTTACGACACGAGGAAGGACGCGTGAACTGGGCGAAGGACGACGCCGGCGTTCGTGCTTCTCCGGGCTGACCCCTCCATTAACTCAACAGGACGGTCCTTCTTCACCCTCAAAATTGGCCAAGATGCAAGCATCTGAGGAGAAGCAGAGGAGAAAGCAGAAGCGGAAAGATGATGAGGGCCAACTTGCGGCGAAGCGGCAAGAAATGGACAAGGCGAAGGTAAGCTATGTCCCTTCCTCCTACTCGCGCCTATACCCCTATACCCTTCGCCGCGCGAGTCTCGTAACACAGCTCGAACGCAGGCTTGATACTGCGCATCTCGGCCAGATCTTGGCGAGTGCTGGTTTTCTCCCATCTTTGCGCAATTTGGGGCGTTGTGGCCGTCATATAGGCGCGTGTGGGTACCACGTACTGCATGCCCGAGTTCCCGAGCATCTTCTTGCCATGGACCACCCCACATGGTTTCTGCCGTCACCTTTATCGTTTTGTGCAATTGTGCTGACTGTGTATGACAAGATATCCGATGCTGTAAAGCGCTATTCCTACCTTCTCGGTCAGACCGACCTCTTCAAGCACTTTGTAGACATTAAGGTGCGTCCTCGTTGCGCCTCATATGTTTTCATCAAACTCACCTGGTTGGTATGCTTCATTCCAGAAAGCGCGCGACCCTGAATATGCCGCCCTGCTCGACGCGCAGCCGAAGCCTAAGGGCCGTGGCAGGAAAAAGGCTACGTATGTGATCGAAATGAGTCTCTGATCAGCATGGCGTTTCTAATGGTATTGCTTCATCAGTGACAAGGTCGCCCGTCATCGAAAGTCAGAAAAGGAGGAGGATGAAGAGCTGCTCAAAGATGGAGAAATGGCTGCAGACGGAAACGACCAGCCTTTCGTATTTGAGGAATCACCAAGCTGTACGTGCCTTACCTGCCCATCTCACTCACAAGTCACACATCGCGTCTGCAGACATCCATGGGACGATGCGGCCATATCAGCTCCAAGGCTTGAATTGGATGGTGTCCCTTCACCACAATGGTCTCAATGGAATCCTCGCTGACGAAATGGTACGTGGGGTAACAGTCTGCGCCGTGTGACTGTTAACATCGGTTGTGCACAGGGTCTTGGCAAGACACTCCAAACTATTTCGTTCCTCTCATACCTCCGCCACTACCGCGACATCTCTGGACCTCACCTCGTTGTCGTACCCAAGTCCACACTTCAAAATTGGTCGCGTGAGTTTGCCTTGTGGACGCCCGACGTGAGCACCGTGCTGCTCACCGGCAGCAAGGACGAGCGCGCGGAGATAATCTCGATGCGCTTGATCCCTCAGGACTTCGACGTACTCATTACGTCGTACGAGGTCTGTCTCATCGAAAAGAGTGCACTCAAGAAGTTCTCGTTCGAATACATCGTCATCGACGAGGCGCACCGCATCAAGAACGTAGACTCGATCCTCTCCCAGATTGTGCGCTCGTTCCTTTCCCGCGGACGGCTGCTCATCACGGGCACGCCGCTGCAGAACAACATGAAAGAGTTGTTCGCGCTGCTCAACTTCATATGTCCCGAGATCTTCTCGGACTATGCGGACCTGGAGAGTTTCCTGCACAAGGACGATGCGGACGCGGAGGGCGACGAGGAGAAGAGCAAGAAGGTTGTCGAGGCATTGCACAAGATCCTGCGGCCGTTCTTGCTCCGGCGTGTCAAGAGTGACGTCGAGAAGAACTTGCTTCCCAGTACGTGCCCTCAGTTTTCGATCTCCGTATCAGTCATCAGACACTCATGAGCCTGCTTCAGAAAAGGAGATCAATATCTACGTTGGCCTGACTGAGATGCAGCGCAAGTGGTACAGGTCTGTACTTGAGAAGGACATCGACGCCGTGAACGGCCTCACAGGCAAGAAGGAGGGCAAGACGCGGCTTATGAACATCGTAATGCAGCTCCGCAAAGTTACCTGCCACCCGTATCTGTTTGACGGCGCAGAGCCGGGCCCCCCTTACACGACGGACGAGCACCTGGTCGAGAATTCGGGCAAGATGGTGATCCTAGACAAGCTGCTGAAGAACATGAAGGCCAAGGGGTCACGCGTGCTCATCTTCAGCCAGATGAGCCGGATGTTGGACATATTGGAGGACTACTGTTTGTTCCGTGGATACAGTACGTTGTCGGCCTACCTTGAGCGTGAAGCGTTGCAACTAATCCGGTACGTATTGTAGAGTACTGCCGAATCGACGGAGGCACGGCGCACGACGACCGCATCGTCGCCATCGACGAGTATAACAAGCCCGACTCGGAGAAGTTCATCTTCCTCCTCACGACCCGTGCTGGTGGGCTCGGCATCAACCTCACCTCTGCCGACGTCGTCGTCCTCTATGACTCGGACTGGAACCCGCAGGCGGACCTGCAGGCGATGGACCGCGCGCACCGGATCGGGCAGACGAAGCAGGTGTACGTGTTCAGGTTCATCACGGAGGGAAGTGTGGAAGAGCGGATGTTAGAGAGAGCAGCACAGAAGTTGAGGCTGGACCAGCTCGTCATTCAGCAGGGGAGGACGCAGGCTACAAAAGGTGCGTTGGGAGTGTTGGGCGATCTGAAGGAGCGAAGGGCTAACCGCAACAATGTGCAGCTGCGAACAAGGAAGAGCTCCTTGAGATGATCGCACACGGTGCCGAACATATCGTCAACTCGAACGATGAGTATGTCGGAGTCCTCGTCTCCTTTGCATCTCACACTGACTACTCTACAGCCTGATGATCAACGATGATATCGATGCGATCATTCAACGTGGTGAGGAACGCACTCAGCAGCTCAACAGCAAGTACGAAACGCTCTCGTTCGAGGACCTCTCCAACTTCAAGTCCGAGGCGTCTGTACAACAGTGGGAGGGCGAGGACTTCCGCGGGAACCGCAAGACGCTCCAGTTCAACCCGCTCTCGCTCTCGAAGCGCGAGCGCAAGCTCAACTACTCCGTCGACTCATACTTCAAAGAGACAATGCGCGCCGGTCCGTCCAAGACGGAGAAGCCACCCAAGATCCCGCGTGCGCCCAAGCAGATCCAGATGCAGGACTTCCAATTCTTCCCGCCGCGGCTCGCGGAGCTGCAGGAGCAGGAGATGGCGGCGCATAAGCGACTGAACGACATTCCTGCGGTGACAAGGGAACCGGCGACCGAGGACGACACACCGGAGAAGTTGGAGGAGGAGCGAAAGGCGGCGCAGGAGTTCATTGACAACGGTATGTGCTGGTGTTTTGCTCGACTTGAGGTAGACTGATAGCATGTTGTGCAGCCGAGCCTCTCACCGAGGAGCAACTGCAGGAGAAGGAGCAGCTCATCGCCCAGGGCTTTGAGGACTGGAGCAGGCGCGACTTCCAGCAGTTCGTACGCGCGCTCGAGACGTACGGCTGGACTGACGACTACGAGCTACTCGCGTCTGAGATCCAGGATAAAACCGCCGAGGACGTTGCGCGGTACTACCCTGTGTTCAAGAAGAAGTGGAAGGAGCTCTCAGAGTACCCACGCATCAAGGCGCGTATCGAGGAGGGCGAGGCGAAACGAAACAAGCGCTCGAACCTCGAGGCGCTACTCGCCAAGAAGATCGCGTCGGTTAAGTACCCGATGCAGGAGCTCGAGTTAAACTATCCGACGACCAAGGGCAAGGTGTACTCGGAGGAAGAGGACCGGTACTTGCTCTGCCGCCTGAACCACTACGGCATGCAGGCCGAGGACGTGTACGAGCGGATCAAGAAGGATATCACGGAGTTCCCCGTGTTCCGGTTCGACTGGTTCTTCAAGAGCAGAAGTCCGCAGGAGCTCCAGCGGAGGTGCAACACGCTCCTGGGAATGATAGAGAAGGAGGCAGAGGGCAAGCAAGCTGAGGAGGTGAAGACGAAGGGCACGAAGGGCAAGGTACGTCTTGATTCACTCTGGTCGGAGCGCTGGTCCTGACGCTGCATGCTGCGTAGAAACGTGGCATCGAGCAGGTGAAGGAGGAGGACAAGGCAGAGGCCTCACGATCGTCGACCCCCAGCACAACTGCGATATCGGGGAAGCGCGGGCCCAAGAAGCGGAAGACATGAGTGCCTTTCCTGGCTGTTCGTCTGCTTTGTTCTCTCATCATGCTTGTACATCGGAACTTGTGCACTGCCTCGTCTGTACATTTAGAGTGGAATAGCATATGTATAGAGCGGTCGTCTGTCGCGATAATATTGATTCCATTGGCATATCGCTAGCTCTCTGTCTTGCAAACAAAATCAATATTTGTACGTACTCGGCATCAGTACCTGGGCGATATCACATGGATGGCTCGAGTGTAGACGTTTCGGAGCTGGCAACCTACCTGAGCCTATCGGAAGAGCAAGTACACCGGTGTGCATCGGGGTTGTGAACATTGCTGTGTTCAGCAAAGCGCAGGAACCGCCCTACATACACATCGGAGTGTCGCTGTCAAACCCCATCGTAATGAGGATGTCCACCGTCGACTTCTTCTATCGCTTCCGTGTCGGAGCGCCAAGGCCTCTCGCGTATACTTTCTGAACGCTGAAAGTTCCACTGGCACTCAGGCTGAAGGGTTCTCACCAAGGCTCACCACATGGAAACTGAGCGATAAGTGGTATAGGGCGTTGCTGCGAGCTTAGACATCATCGGGCTGGAAGCAATTTGGTGCGAAGGCACGGATGAACGAAGTCACGATTCACGATCAAGCACCGACCAGCCCGCCAACTAGGCTTATCAATGCGGACGAGGAGCTCATCGCAAGCGTGCCATATCACCTCAAGCACGACTGTCTCACGGTACTTGCTGCGGCGCTGCATCACGGCTTGCTTCAAGACCAGAAGTTTGAGCGGAGAACGACATGAGGACAGGAGACTGAGGTGCGAACATCGCAATGAACTGCTAGTGCCAAGGATCCGAGCTGGGTCCGTGCCGGCACCTCCGCAGTCTCGGAAAACACCGGAGAAGTCGCAAAACCCCAAGTTGTGCACTCGAGTCCAACTTGCACCGATGGGTCTGCTTTCCGGTGCACGAAATTTGAGGGTATAATTATGTATATGGAATGAACATCATAGGACCACTACAACGCGGCAATGTTACATACAGTCATCAGCTAAACACAGCGGTCTTGAGTTAGCATGGGCGGAATGAGCAAGTCCACCAGGATGAAGTGATATCGCTTAGCACTCTCAAACTTCAGACTTCCACCAACCCGCCGTACATTCGTTAACGATCATGCATTGAGATCCGAGCAGACTGCGAGACTCATGGGTTACTGCCCCGCCCCATCCAGTGTTCGCGTTCCTGGCTACGCACCTTCGCAAACAGCCGGACGAGGCGAGCAACCTGGTTCCACATCACGCAATGCAGCTCTCGCATCCGGATGTGCTCTGGATTGCTGTCGCCCTCGAGGGCCTGCGCCGCAATGATCTCGAAGGATGGGTGTGTGCAATGAGCGGAGAGGAATGCGGCGACTTCGTCTGCGAAACGGATGGGAGAGTCGCCGACGTCCAGGGTGAGGAGCTGCGAGTCGTGCATGCACCCGGTGAAATCGCTCGGGGCTTCTGTGGCGTTGATTGGAAGGGAGAGACTCTCGAGGTCGGAACAGGAGCGGAAGAGAGGCAGTAGGCCGTCCAGGGTCACCTCCGGTAAGCGTCCCGAGTAATAGGGGGGCACGAGGCGTAGCGATTGTAACCTTGGGCAGGCCGCGGCCAATGTGCGAATGAATTCGTCGTCCAGACGTAGGAAAAACGAGGTAACGTCGAGGTCAGTGAGCTCCGGGCCCGATAAGATAGGTTTGAATGTGGATATGTCAAGTGTGCATTCCGGGTGGTCATGAGGGGGAACGGCGTTCAGCGATCGCATGAGGGGAATGCTGGAGGACATGGGGAAGGAGAGATTTACAGCGGATAGTACGTCGCTGCTCGGACATCGGCTGAGCGCCGTCAGGAAACTGTTCAGAGAGACGCTGGAAGGGTCATGGGCCGCACTCAATCGGACGTCGGAGAGTTGACAGGATGAGATGAGGTCAACTAGGTAAGTGAGGGACGGCTCCAGGCGTATCACGCTAACGTGGAGGATGGTGAGACGAGGGAATATAGGAGCCGGTATGGTCGTAAGCCGCTCGTGTAGCTCCGTGTCTCGCGGTAAAAATAATTTGGCAACGGTCAGGTTCGGGAGAGTGGCCAGGTGTTCGAGAGCGTCGTCAAAGAGCGGCAGGGAGAGGTCAATTGTCTCCAGATGTAGCAGTTGCTTCACTGCTCTGGAGACGATCGGGTCCACTGGTCCTACACTTGAGCGACATTGAACCGACAAGTGGCGGATCTGCGGACATTTCACATGCAGGGACCGGAGGATGGGGAGGAGGAGGGTGTCGCTCGGTGGCTGTCCGATGTGTAGGGTGGTCAACTTTGGCCCAAGGAACTGATAGCCGTACTCAAACACGTCCGCATCGGCCTCCTCCCATACCAGCTCATGGAGGTTTGGCAATAGGGGTCCCGGCCCCGGTCGGTAGAGGCAGATCGTTCGGTAAGTGTCGTCATCGAGGTCAGGAGCCAGCCCAAACCTCTTGAAAGACGTAACAAACGCTGCGTTTGCAAGGAACCGTTTCCAGTCAGAAGGATCTGGAGGCCGTGTCAACGCCTTGCATGCGGAAGCGTCAGTGCCAGTTCAGTACGGTGAAACACAAGCGTCTTACAATGGCGCTACGGTTGTCAATGGTGTCTTGACCCTCTTCCATCCATACGTCCGAAGGCATACACTTGATGAGCGGCCGAAGGCTGAAGAGCCGGCCCCAAAGGACCTTGGAGGCAACGCGATGCAACGCACGACAACTGGCACTCAACGCTGACACTGTTGCTCTACATTCCGGATTGTAGCCACCCTCGTAGGCTTGCTCGCAGATATTCTTGAGGATATCAGCGGAGGCTAGACAACGACGCATGACGGCGAACATGAGAGCTGGGAGCCTTGAAAGACAAAGAGCGGGAGATGTTAGAGGGACTGGACACAATGAAGATAGACCGCAACTACTGGGAATAAAAAACTACTCACCAAATATACTCCGACGGGTCGGCTATAGGCCCATCCAGCTCGTTCCGAGCTTTTGAGTGCAACCGAGACGCCTTGAGACGGACAGCAGGTTTCTCCGTGTATGTATCTAGCACTGAGTGAATTGACGAGGCCACCTCAGTGCGACCGACTTCGGGGTGACCCTACACTGAGAAGTGAGTACAGTGCGGTGAATGGAGCGGAGCCTCGAGTTGGCACTCACACCCCAGGGCTGGCGCACCTAGGCCACTGGCACTGAGCCTGAACCCAAGAGCACGCGAGCGAGAAGCGAATGGGTCCGCGTCCACTTCTGTGCGCATTTTCGGCGGCATCTGGACGATGATGTCAACATCCGATCAAACACGGAGGGCTCATTGTTGCGCCTGCCCTTTCAGGGTACCCATCAAAGTCGCCTCGGAGCCAATCGACTTCGATGGGTACCGAGTGCGGCCATTAGCCGCATGCTGGGCTGACTCCAAGGGGGTAATGGCAGCCCCAGCTAGCCACCACAGTCGGGAGCGACAATGCGGGTAGGTGTGGACATTTAACGCACATCACGTCCTCATGCATGCACAGCGCACCAGGTCGCGGGATAGGTAGCGCGACCGGGGAGATCTATCAGCGCTGAATCGCGGGAGCACGATAGTTTGCGCTTCCAAAATAAGTCCCGAAACGTGCTCAACCTGTAGCTAACATCTAGACCATCTGTCGTGGACAACCCAAAATTCCGATCCGCTATTAGAGCTGCCATGCTGTTTACACCCACTGGCGACATGTTCACGGCATAGTATGCACAGAATGTCGTACGTGTTAATTGAACTTGAGCCCGGCCTGCTGACCGGCATGTTTAGGAGACTCGGGCTAGAAGGTCCCGTCACGGTATCCGTGGGCAGGTTCCGCAAGGAGCCTCTAGGTTACTCTCAGGCGCACTGACCATGACAGCGCAGATGTTATGCTCGTAGCCAGTCAGCCGATGGCAAATACGGAGATGGTGCAGATTGATGATCATAGATCATGCAAGCACCCCACGCACTCCAATGACAAGTAGCGCTGCCTTGCAGATTACTCCGGACTTCCAACGCTTGAACGGAAGGCCACAGCATCGTAGTGGTTCATAGACCGGAACTCATAGCAGATCCATTCTCACCTGCGTGGAGAAGGTGCATGTTGCTCGTGGGTCTGGGGTCGCCGGGCCGCTTGTCACCTTCTATTGCGGACTTGCTTCTTCATTACTTCCGACCCGACCGGAGGTTAGCATATTTTTGCGGACCTGAACGGCACAAGCGCAAAGGGTTAGCAATATCATGACTGAGATGCCGAAAATGGATACATTTGTCTGGTACAGGGTCGCAGAACCGTGAGTGACGCTGCCATACACTCTGAAAAAGTCAGACAGTAAGTAGCTGAAACGTCGAGGCGTGGTGAACGATAAGTACTAAGTATTGGTGAGCTGGCAACCGGATAAATGGAAGAACCTTATTCAACGCTCGTCAAAATCAAGCCGAGCCTCGGCCGCCTGCTTGGCGCCCACACGAAACGCTTGGAAGACTCCTATCATCTCGATGTTCTTCTTTCAATAGAACCTCTTGTACTGGCTACAGTAGGATGATGTCGCGGCTTCAACCAAGTGGTTCATCACCATAACTTTGGCTGACTCTTCTGTCTCGCTGTCTATTGGTGCCACCGCGGCTGATTCATATGGTTGTGCTACCGTCGACCGTCGGGGCTATGCAAGTAGGTCTAGAAGTATGAACGGTATGTGTTCAGTTAGAATATGTCTGCAGCCATACATCAGGGTCCAAGTCTTCTCGCGCTTCCTCCGAGATGAACGGCAACGCCGTGGGTATAGCTGTGGGTCTCGTGCAGCCCACTTCCAAGTAGAACTTCCTTCTTTTGACGTTACACATATCAGAACAGAACATTCTCCTCTCACCCTACCCCATATATGCTCTCCCGTCCCCGATATCACTCGCAGAAGTCGTGCCAAAGTTGCAGCGCGATCTTCTCCTTGGCCCAGCTCAAATTCAGCATCAGCAAGGGCAACATTCGTCAATGAGTCCGATCGGACGAAGACATGCGGATCGACTCTGGGTGAAGATAGTAGGGTGCGTATATATTGCGAACTGCGGAAGGTTTGTTGCGATGCGCGGGATACGCGGCCTTCTTACCCACCAGAATGTCCTCTGATATGCCACACTTCTTTGGCATGGTAGCGGATGATCTCAGGACTTGTCTCGCGAATCGCAGCTCGGAAGATGCAGTAACGACGCCAGGGATATCATGTGGCTTGGAATGTGGCTCAACTTACTGTAGCAGTTGCATGAGCAAGAGATGTGGGGCTCGGTGAGCTCACGTCATCTATTCTCGAAATTTTGCGGGAAGATCACCTTTCACATTGCGAACGTGGGTCTCCGTAATGCCCATCGGACATGAAAAATGGCGACCAATGGTCACGACGATCAGTGGGTGCGAGAGGCGCGAATCGTTCAGGCACGGTGTGTTCTGGTATGAGGGGAGGCGTCTTGCAGCAATACCCTATGACAGCCTATTGAGTCCTAGACACGCCATCTCACGATATTCGACCCGACTGACGGAGAAGTGCCTGCCCTGGGATAGCCCTTAGCACTGACTGCACATGGTGTTTTACACGTCTTTGTACTCAGGAAACTTGATCTCCCTCTCAACACCAGGAGCCTTTCGACACGACCGAGTCAGTATGACTCGCGCTGTACCTCATTGCATGAATTTTGCTCACCTTTGACTTGAAGCTAAACGAGCTTCCAGCCAGCCGTGTCAGACGTTGATGGTCGGGCCGTGCACGTTCTCCGAGAAAGAGGACCACCTTCGGTTCGCCCACGCAGGGAACGAGAGTCGCATGTTTGCGACCTCACACGTCGCGCCCAACGCTTCTTCGTGCTAGGTGTTCCCGGAGAAATCGTCCGGATGGCTGGCGGCCACAGCGGACGAGCCGGTTCGTGTGCCAGAACGCGCAAGTAATCAAGCGCCGCTGCCTTTCGATTTAGCCTCAGTTCTCTAACCCCAGCGGTGTGGCCAGCTGCAATCTCACCCGAGTCGATAGAACGAACGTAGTAGCCGATACCGCCGACCAGGACCTAAGCGCCAAAATGTACATCGGGGAATGCGGATGTGGCTGTGCTGGATGAGGTCATGGTGTGCTGCATGCGCAGCTTGGCTGAGCCCAGCATCGTCTGGTGAGCTCCATGGGCCGCCCCGGGATCGGCCAGTCTGGCCTCCTGTCGCGCCATGGCCCGACATACAATTCTCGTAATCTCCTGCGAGGCTGCCCAGCTCACAATATCCTCTTCCTGCCCCCTCAACGCACTAGTCATCGCACGTCGTTTACAGAGCAATGTCACTTCCAAATTTTGGAAGGAGCGCAGTGAGAGCTGCAAAGAACTACACCAAAGGATTTTCGCATGCCCAGATCAAGGCCCGCAATGCGACCTGCAACGACCCCTGGCCACCTTCGGGTAAGGAGATGTTCGAGCTCGCTCAGATGACCTACAGGCAGTACGTTCCACACCGGATGCATCAGTCCTCTTTGTGGCTGATCAGGACTTAGGGGAGATTTCATCGACATCATGGAGGTCATCGACAAGCGGCTCAACGACAAAGGCAAGAACTGGAGACATGTATTCAAGGTGAATATTCCACGTCAGTTGAAGCCAGTGTCCGTCCTACATCGTTATCCCCCCTCTCTTTCCCCCGCAAACCTCAGCGTTCCTCGCACTCACCTGCTCTATTCCATGCCTAAGTCTCATTACTGATATCTCATCCCAATGTGGTATGTTCGCAGTCCCTCGTCGTTCTCGACTACCTCCTCCACTCCGGCTCTGAGAACGTAATCGTCTATTGTGAAGAGAATCTTTACGTGATCAAGACCCTCCGCGAGTTCCAGTACATCGACGAGGAGGGGCGCGACCAGGGTGCCAACGTCCGCCAGAAGGCCAAGGACATCACCAACCTCCTCATGGACAAGCGCCGCCTCCACCAGCAGCGTGTTGCCCGCTCGCGCATGCGCGACAGGATGCTCGGCCGTACGTCGACGGATACGGATGACGATGACGAAGACGGCCGCTCACCATATCGGCGCCCGGTGACGAAGCCTCTATCAGGCACACCTAACAAGAAGCATGACGAAGAAGACGAGAACCTGAGAAGGGCGATTGAGGAGAGCAAGCGTGACGCACAGGCTCGCTCGACCGCTGAGGATAGGGACTTGCAGCGGGCGATAGAGTTAAGCAAGGAAGACGAGGAGCGGCGGAGGAGGCTCGTCGATCTGGCTGCGAATGGAGTCTTCGACGACACGGTCCCTCCGTGAGTGTGCTGATGACTTCAAAGGCACCCACGTCCTCGGACGCTGACCCTGTGGTTGCAGAGGTGCCGACGCGCCGCTCATTGACCTTGACGGTCCTGCACAGACAATCGCGATTAAGCCCCAATTCACTTCGATGCAGCCGCAGTATACTTCTATCCAATCCCAATTTACCTCGCTCCAGCCCCAGTTTACCTCTATTCAGCCCCAGTTCACGTCGTTCAATCCATATCTCCAGCAAGCTCAGCAGGAGGCCATGCAGGTTCGTCCCCATTTTACTCATCGCCTCCGCTTTCCCATTCTCATTCCGGCCCACAGCAAGAGTACCTGCGCCAGCAAGCAGAGTACGCCCGCCATCAGCTCGAAGCCGAAGCTCTCGCCGCCGCGCAACAGGCCCAGCTTCTCCTCCAACAGCAACAACAGCTGCAGCCGCAGCCGCTCTCTCCGCAGCGCACCGCGTTCGGGTCCAACAATCCGTTCATTGCCGGACCTTCCTCCCCGACGATCCCCGAGCGCCCGATCACGTCACCGCCGCACAACGGGCCTGTCTCATTCAACCTTACCGGGACATATGAAGGAAGGAGGCCGGCTACATCTTTCGACGAAGGGCGCGAGAGACGTGAGGCGTCCCGGCCATACTCTGCAAGCACCGAACCGCGCAGACGTGGGCTCGGAGAGGAGAACGAACGACTCGCCAACCTCTTTGCCAACTACACGGGCGACGGTGTCGATACGTTCGGGAACACTGGGCCGCTCAGGTGTGTTCATTACTCTCGTACTTTGTCAGGCAGATCGCACTAACGCGGTATGATTTCAGGTTTGGCCAGACGGAGTATGGTAGGCTCGCTGCACAGAAGACGGGTGCGGTCACAACGGATCGCACTGGCGTGGCCGCGAACACGAAGAACCCGTTTTTGATGGAAAGCCCCCAGCGGGTGACCCCTGCCCCTGCTAGCGCAAGTACCAGCACTGATGCGGAGGGCAATCTGATTGAGCTGTAAGAATCGAGTGATCAGAAGCCAAATGCGATAGTGGCCTCTCTTCTTTCTGGATCTTGTCACCCAATACACTACATGTATAAATGCTTCCTCTATTGTACGATCAGTATCATGTACATTTTAAACCGTGTTATCTAACCATTACACCTGCCTCGTCACTCGTGCCTTTCGGCTTTGCTCAACCGTGGCCTTCGATCACGCCATGGTAAAATTGTGAGCCTGTAGATGCACAGTAAGACATCGCGTCGTGCCCTAGTGCATGAGAGTCGTGGACGCTGCTCCAGGTCGCGGACGTCGGAGTCCATGGTCGTAGTCACAACCCTACTTCTGAGCGGTTACATTCTCTGCATGAAGGATACTCATACTACGCTATCCCCGAATGTCCCCTCTCTATGCGAAGAGACTGCAGCCAATCATCGTCCTTGGGTTCGTCGACCATGGCATGATCCGGAAAGGCGGGAAGCTCGACTTGATACGAACCGCGCACATCAAAGGCCGTCGATGTCGCGAAGGGGCCGATCCGAGTCGACATGGGGCTATCTGATTCATTCGGCGAAAGGCTCGCTTCGAGTTGAGATCGGTTGAGCGCCACGAGAAAGATGATGAACGTGGGGTAAATGGCCTGTAGAAGAAGTTTGCTGCTCAAGAAGGAATTCGTGTCTGGTATACGGAGGATGGACGTACGATGATGGGAGCGAGACAGCCGTATATGAAGAATGAGAAGCCGATTACGAATGGATTGTTTAGGGACTTGATTTGGAGCACCTGATATAGGGCGACAAGGATCTGGAAGCTGAATGTAGGCGACGCATTGGTAACATGCAGTAGAGGGCACGTACCCATATTGCGCTGTATATTGCGCCGGACTCGATTAAGAGAACCAAGACCTTCATGACCTCGGCACTACCGCCATCCTTCCCTAAGAAAGCTTGTAGGAGTTGCTTGTGTCTCCTGAGTGCAGATACCACGTGTATGAGCGGATGCACTTGAATTTGTAGGGAGAGTGCATCCGGATGCGTACCAAGCTTTGATGGCAATTAGGGCTGTAGCCAAAACATTCGTCAGGAGCGAGAGAAGCGGGAAGGTTGTGCCGATTGCGCCCGTATAGAGTAAGGTCATGATGATACTCGGTTGCAGATGATTCGAGGCGTGTACTGCGCCCATTATGCCGATAGCTGTCGATGCGCTCATCAGAGTATGCACAACTGCGACTTCGTAGATGCATCGTACCGAGGGTGATCGTGATGAGGCCAACACCCAGGGCTAGGACGAACTTCGTGCGCCATAGGACATATGCGCGCCACCAGACAATACAGTCTCCAAGAAGCATCTACGACACCTTGTTATGTCCTGACGGTAGGAAGGCCGAGAACACCGACATGTGCTCACGTTCACAGTGAGGCCAATGGTAGCGATTACGGTATGTCTCATGACAACCGCTTTATGATGCGCCATGTCGGGGGAATACGAAGAGATGAGAATCCCTGCCGATGCGTCCCCTACGAGCTGGTTCCTACTGATAGCATCGGCGAGGATAGTGGCCCAATATGCAGCCGTGGACACATAGAGGACAAGGATGCTGGCTAGCAACGACACAACCGTACGCTGTTGTGATCGTTTGCGACTGGTCTTTGGCATGAACTCAGCGGTGATGCCATAAATCCACGAAGACTCACAAGAGGAAGTATGTCGATGTTCCAGACAGAACGGTCAACACACCTGACAGTAAATGAGGACCAAATTCTACGTGGGAATGAGATAGAGAAGGCTTACCAAAAAGGAACGTCGAGAGGACAACACTAAACAGCAGGACGTCGAGATTCATCCCGTACAACTGGACTATCGCCAGCGCATCCTCGTTAACGTTGAAGGTTTCTGTAACTGAACTCATATCAAGGGAAAGACGGAGGTATACCTGGAGTCAAACTGTGAGAACAACGAGTAACGGCGACAAGGGAATGAGATACACGTATGCCTGAACTGCACCCGAACGCTGTCAGCCGAGGCTCTGCTCAGCTTCAACATGAGGCGATGTAGCGTGACGGGAGGCTGAGAATAGGAAGATGGAAGCGCTTGCAGCTACTCCATTGTCGTGGCACAAGGGGTGGTTCCAATGTCGCTGACAAGTTAGCGAGATTGATGGGCGTCCGACTTGACAGGATTCGGAGCGCCGTAGATGCTACTGAGAGACATGATGTCGCGAGCTTTCCGCGGGAAAAAATGGTCCATAAGCGTCTGTAGTAGTGAGGATTACTACGAAGACCTGATAGAGACTACGAGTGTACACACCGCACATCTACTGGATGAACCGAAGAGACTCTGCTTCAAACATGATTTGGCAGTGCTAGCGTGGTGCGAGCATCAGGAGCCATTTCACGATGAGGCGGCTAAAAGGACTACAAGCGCGAGGGCACAGAAGAGCAGTCTTGTATCTCTGCGGAGCTACGCCAAGTACGGTGTGCATATACCATCATAATATAGCCTCAACAAGATAGCGACAGCACCTAGTAAACGGACAAAGAGTTACTTACCCCTAGGTGCAACACCCCTTGCCGAGACTCGATTTTTTTTTCGCGCGCGTCTCCTGCGCTCAGGTAAAGTAAACTGCTCTAATAGCCTGGGCGATTCGAGATCCTCATGACGAAGTTGGGTAAGCGACTCAAAACTTACTTAGTGCGGATGCGTGATGATGGTGGCGTATTCCTCGTTGAGCGTACGGAATTTCGAAATTGGCAAGTGCGCTAAGCTCATCAGAGCTTAACCCGCCGCACTGGCCTGCTGGTGCCTATATCCGATGTGGAGAAGGTAGAAAGATACCCAGTCGACAATTGCACCGTGAGCCAATCTTGAATCAATCCCAGGTACGGCAAAGCGATCGAACTGGGATGTCGTGCGGAGGGCAACGCCAGAGAAACTGGAATTCGCGATCGCTCACTGCAGCCATCGATGTTCCTATAGCTGACTGTAGAATCTCTGATTGTGAACCGATTTATGGAGCCTGAAGCCCGTAGTCCTGAAGACGAGCATATGGATGATGTGTTATATCGGCCACTGGAGCATTCGTTGTCTAGGGGATACATATTGTGGCTTGACGTGCCCCGACGCCTCACGATGAAGGAGCTATGGAAATTCTGGGCTGATCCTCGCGCATCCCCACTCAGCAGAACGGCCCCGCGTTGACCTTCACCTCAAACAACTTGCTGTCATTGATCCTCCTTTGGCTGCCGTTGTTCCTGTCTTTGCTCCTTCAGCCTGGATGGAGTGGGGAGGATCATGCTCAGCTTCTCCTCCGTCCCGACCCCAATCGAAGGTAGGCGTCGCAAGGCAGCAAGCACCCCTGGGCCAGAAGATGGGGCCCGCGATGCGAGCCGCAGCCCCCAACACTGGATACTCACCACCAAACTCTTGAGGATTTCGCGCAGTATACATACATAGAACCTCTTGGCGCGGTAATACGTTTTGCAGCGCGTGGCGCGATGGTGGGAAGTTGCCCAGAACAAATGGGACTAATGTGATTGACTTTCAGCATCAATCGGGCCAGCTGATCTACTACTCTGAGATGTCTTGCAGTAGCCGACGCCACGGACGATCGAATTCGGCATGGCCTCGCGTTTGCATTTCCTCCTGTCAAGACGACCCATACGACGAGCGAGCAACGCCGTTTGACAGATGTTCTACAAATCTCATAAGGGTGCCTACAGGGCCGACGTCCTTCCTACGCGCCCTCCAGGACAATTCATGCTCGCTCCTTGCGTGAAGGCTCACTGGCAAGGACTTGCCCTGTACGATGTCATCACCAGTGTCCCTTGCTGCCAATGTCGACCGCGAAACCCAACTCGCCCACTCCATGGGCGCCGTGCTTATTGGAAGTCTGGTTGGCTTGTTGTGAGTTTTGTCCTCAGTTTTATACCAGTTGCCATCCCCCAATTTTTCACATCCGTTGTTTACATTGCTAGCCTCTCGGGGGCGGTGACGATGCAGGCCTTTCTGTACTACCAGCTGTATCCTAAGGATATGCTTCGAATCAAAGTAATGGTAGGCTCCCCTCTGCGCACAGCAATATTGACTCTGGAAGCGCCGTCTTGCTCATCATACTGTCTCTCAGGTCCTTGTCGTCTGGTATCTATCGTCTCCATGGGACTATGGCTGACCTCGAGCTGACTTGATGCTCAGGGTTATCGATGCTCTGCACTCAATCATGACCATGAATGCCAATTGGCAGTATCTCATCCAACGATTCGGAGATTGGGATACCACCGACGAGATAACGTGGTGAGTTGTTTCGATGCCCAAGTAGGTCTACCTTGAATGACACGCCTACGCTGCAGGTCAATAGCGGTGTGTGTGGATACTCAGACCTCCGTTTCTGAAGCGTTGATTGGATGATCGTGCGACTAGGTCTCGGTTGCGTTGACGGTATGTCAATGGTCTTCCTCGTTCACGCCCGTACCATTGAATCTAGGTGCAGGCCACAATCACTTTCTTTGTGCATTGGTTGGTCGTCTAAATCCAGGGTCCTAGCGCCGTATCGTGCTAATGTCATATCTTAGCTTCTTCATTCACAGGATATACAACCGTAAGTGGCCGTGCGCTCAGGCATGCTGAATCATGGTAATCGACTCCCTTCCAGTGAGCCACAAGAATATGTACATCACGGCCCCCTTGGTTTGTGTTTCCCTCCGCATGCGACGGCAGCGACCATGCGTTACTGACAGACAATTTCTGTTTCAGGTTGCATTGGCGCTCGTCCGTCTGGGTAAGTACAGTACCAAACGAGCACAAGGACTCCCACCTCTGACAGCACCTCCCGATCCACCCGACAGTAACCGCCTGCAGTAAGCATTTGTTCCGCTATCTCGCGTCCGCCCGCTCGGCTGATATCTTCGTCACGCTCAATAGTTTCGACATCGGAGATGTGCGTACATTCTAGTCCGGTTCTCAATATCTCCTTGACAGCCGCCCCGCGTACGTAGGATCCGTCTGAGAAGTTACTCGGGTTTCGTTCATGGGTATGACGTGAGTGCATTTACGGTTCAATCGGAGTGCCACTTAGTTGACGAGCAGTGGCTGCGCTCTTCGTTCAGTATGTGTTCACGATTGGACTGTCGACTGCCGTGTCCCTGGATATCTTCATCACTATTGGCCTCTGCTATTACCTGCGACGGGGACGTTCGCCGCTCAGCAGGTGCGTTCTACTCATGTACCTCGGTGGCGTGATCTCGTATTCACAATTCTGATCCGACGTCTAGCATGGACCGGATCATCGACACCATCACACTGTACACGGTGGAAAATGGCATGCTAACATGGTGGGTCGCCTTAGTTCTCCTGAATTTATCGCTCGCTCTTCCGTGTTCCGTCTGCTCACGCCGCATGCCTTGTTCAGCATTACGACCATCGCGTCGCTGATTTGCGTAAGTTTCCCGGACATATCGCATGTTTGGAAAAGTCCCGTACTGACTCCGCACCACCGCCGAAAGTGGGTCACGATGCCCACGAATCTCATATTCCTCGGGCTCCACTTCGCAATCAGCAAACGTGCGTATGTCGTCTCAGTTTCCCGAGCTAGCGGGTCGCTCCCAGAACACATTAGAGTTATGTTCTGACATAACTCAATCTGCTCCCGTATCCCGTCTGCGCCGCTGTCGATGGTTCAGTCTACGCCAACTCGTTCCTCGCGACGTGAGTTTGTTTCATACATTCCGCTGTGCACCACCCCCAAACCATATCCCTCCGGATACTCACAAGCGCTGATACATATCTGATGTCGCGGATAGCCTCAATGCCCGCAAGTCCCTTCTAAACAAATCCCAAGGCTCCACGGGAGATCATCCACTACCCGTTCTGTTCCCCAGTCATTACCCTGCCCGGCGTGCGACCTTGGGCCCGTGGTCGGTAAGTTCTGCACTTCTCTTGAAATCTCGTCGCTTCTCTTCTTGTCTATGTACCTGACCAGTGTCTGCTCCCTCTCTGTCGTGGTCTCGGATCTTGAGAACCTCCCTCCCTGCTCCCCTGATGCCGGTCCCGCGACTGGGGCGGCCGCGTTTCGCTCCCACTGCCTCTCCCATGCTCGCAAACCTCTTGCCGCTGATCCTTCGACGCTGATACCTTCCGTTCCAGCAAAGGAGCCAGACGGAGACACACCTCCAAGTCACCATCGAGAAGACCGTCCAACGCGACGTCGACGAAATCGAAGGCGGCTCGACCCCGCGTGGGGCCGTCTCCCGCTCCGGACGAGAAACGCCGACCATTGACCTCGACGACCTCTCAAAGAGCCCGCCCGCTGCGTACCTCGGAGAAGAGCGAGCACCCTTGCAGACGGACATATCTTGGCGAACGCGCCCGAAAGGGCCGGGTTCCTTTTGACGGGGAGCCCTGACCGAGAGGCACCAAGGATTGTACAGTAAACCCCCCGTTCACGTTGCGAGACTCTACTCGCTGTGTATGTATCCCTTTCATTGTTTGCTTGACTCGAATTGGTGTACGAGTCGCAGAGTGTTTACAATTGCACGCAACTGGCTACGTAGCCACGAATGCACACAGTCGCGCGTTCGCTTTCGCAGTTACAACACAAGCGTGCAGTCGTGTAATCGTGGAGTCGGGTAAGCGACGCTAAGTATCCTATTCCTAGTTCTTAGTGGCCCCTGCAACAAAGCTCTTTCCTTGCGCAATGTAGATCGACTATAATCCAAATGTTCTCTACCACTTATCCAGTTCTCAATGCGCGCAAAACGAGTCTACTCAAGGGCTTTGCAGGATGTATAGACTTTGGCCTTGTCCTTCGCCGAACTCCTGCCGGAGGGCGCTCCAGTTACAACTTACAATAGACGCGCAGTTACACGACTGCGTGGCTGCATACACACAGAGCTTGGCGAGCTTCGCCAACAATCGACTGCGTGAATACGTGGTTACGCAGCCTGCTACGTAGCCAGTTGCGTGAAACCGTAAACGTTCTCGCGAGTCGCGTCTGTCCTTACATTATTACAATGTGCTAGCGCCGCTTTGATATGCTCGGGGACTCTACAGTGGGCTCCATGTACTAGACGACCTCCTGTATCCTACAGATATTCTTGTCGTATATAGCAATCGCTTGATGGTGTTGTACACATTTGCGCGCCCTCGCTTACTTGCCCGAAGTCGCCGGCGGCCAAGGCTATTGGTAGTCGTCCTGGCAGATAGCTCGAGAGCTCGGACCGGCGGGCCGGCAATTTAACCGCATCCATGTCGCTGTGCGCACGCACTGCTATGGCAAGGCTGGACTCAGACAACAATATACCTCGCACCATCAGTTTCGTCTGGTATCTTCTTTCCCGCAATCTTGCCTCTCGCCGTCAGATTCTCGGCAGTGCTCCTCAACGCCGTCATTAACAGCCTGCTTAATATCGTTAATCGCCGAGTGTTCACAGTGACACCCTCCCACCGCCATCGCCCGCGAAGTTGTCCATCTCTGCCACCTGTTCTATTGCCAGCTCACATTACTGTTCCGCGATGAACGCGGCCCACCCGACCATCACAATCGACCTGGTGAGCGTCTTCCCTCCCACTCTCCAGCCGCAGCTCGCTGTACTCGTACTGGGGCGCGGGAGTGAACACGGACGGAGAGATCTGACAAGTGCGCAACTTCTCACGCGGGTAGGCAGGTGCTCGACCGGCTGCAGACGAAGGAGGTTCTGCGCGCGATGCTGCACGCGATACTGTTCCACCGGCTGTTTGGCACGATCCGCTCGCGGACGTTCGAGGTGCTTGACGTGACGATGGTGAGTGCGCGGGTTCTCGCTCGTTTATCCATTCCATGCTTGCCGCGACATCGCGTGCCTGAACGGGGACTGAGGTGAAGCGGGACGAAGCGGGCTCGTTCAGCCTGCGACGTGTGCGGAGGTGGCAGGCGGAGAATGTGGGGGAAGCGGTTGAGGCTGCGCAGAGATATACAGCATGCTAGGAGCAGGGAAAAATCTTGGGAGATGGAACCCCGACGATGACGGCGATGTACGGGACCATCAGTGGCGGCCGCAGACGAACAAGGACATGTATGTCGATGCTGAGAAGGTGGTTATGTGCACAGCCGGGTGTGGACGACGAGGAAATCAAGCAGCTCGTTGAAGATAAGGTAGACGCGTTTTGGAAGGGCGTAGAGGGCGATGCGAACAAGCGCGGACAGGTACGTTCTGTCGGTGTTTGTTCTGTTTAATCTCGCACATCTGACATGTGAACTTGACCTATGTATCTCGCCACTGACGGTTACGTTCGTTCGGACTTACTCGGATTTTGCCTTCCTATGCGTTCTCGCCGTCCTCCTTCCGGAATACCAATGGACTGCGGACGCTGGATGCGCCCGCGTTGATGCTTCTGCCCGCCCAACGTAACTTGACAGATCTTGGTGACGTTCTCAGAGAAGCGGCCAAGGAAATCGTGGTTTCTTATAGGAGAGGTACGTCTGTCTATCTGTTGTATCTGCGCCTCGGCATTCCAGAGTCCTGTACATCTGTCTATCTGGCCTGCTGCGTCGAATCGACGGGGAAGAGCGGGACTGCGCCTCTTCCCCGAGGCACCGGGCTCGGGGCATTGTGGTGGTTCGCAGTGTACCCGTCCGGCTTTTGTTCTTCTAGTTCCCTCTCCTGCGGTCCAAGCCCGGCAGAGCGGATTCGGCTCGTTTTTCATTCACATATGTGGCCTTAAACGTTGAATGGACGGTGCTGATGTATTGTGTAGGAAGAAATCCCTTGGGAGCAATGGTGCGTAGCAAGTACCATTCCGTGCCTTTCCCCACACTGAGATAGTTTGTGGATGCAGGGTCATCAACGCAGAGATCCGCCAACCGTCAGAACGAGGTGAATATCGCATCGCCCTCACCGCAGTTGGTCTCATTCACTCGCTCCATTGACTGATGCCGCCGGCCTGTCAATTCCTGCTAGAGCGCCAGAAATTTAATTCAGACCTTGCCTCGACCTTGACGAAGAGCCTGCAGACGATGCTGACGCACGCGTCGTCCGAAGGCGGGCGGTCCGCGGTACCTCTCATTACGAACGCACAGAGCATCTCGCCGTTCCCTATCAAGATTGCCGTCAAGGTTGGCGGGGTCGAGGTGGCGTAATGTTATCGCGCAGGGCCGCCGGCCCAAATTCGGCTCGGCCTGGGGGAGTGGGGTAACCGGTGGACGGGTTGTAGTCCCGGGGAGGGACCAGTCTATAGTGGGAATATGTTGTGGAAGGAAGGAATGTGAGTGCGGCCGGTGAACGTGTGTCCTCTGACCATTCGCTGAGCTGAAGCTTGGACAGCGGACAGAAGGTTAACTGTATTATTAGGAAGCTCTGTCCCTCAAAGGCGCAAGTGCTGCTGTATACCTGACCGACAAAGCGTGCGACGCTGGCTGTGACGCAGCTGTAGGCTGCCGGCGGCCGGATGGCTTCTACATAGAAGACGATGCAGAAGTGTGTCCTGATAAGGTGTGTAGGCCGTAATGGGCGCTTCGAGTACCCAATAGGGATGTGTTGTGCACGAACGTGCAAGGGGAGGCTCTGCGTCTACCGTTGCCCGAGGGTCCATTCCTCCCGCGCCGCCTTAATTTCCTGTAGACCCGAACCGATGCTCGTACCTTTATTCGAGGTACCGCCCTCGCCTTCGGCCCCGACACTGGATGCGACTACGGAGCAGTTGTGGCTGTTTTATAACGCTGAACCTACTCAAACCCTCCTGGAGCCTTCGCGCTCCCTCTCTCCGTCCCATACAGGTGGTTTGACTTCTAGTCTCTGCGGTCGCCATCCATCACTTCTCTTATCCCACTAGTGCCACGCGTACCGATTTATATAATCCCGGTCCCTCCGATTACGAATTCACCAGCTAAATTGTCTCCGTCCCGACCCTGCGAGGATGTCTCCTTTCTCGAAGTCCAATCATCGCAGCAAACCCGCATCCCTCTCGCTCTCCAGCTCTGGCTCCACGCACTCCGCTTACACATCCATCTCCTCATTCTCGTCTCCCTCGTCCTCAGTCTGTTCACCCTCGTCCTCACATTCGCGCCAGGACACGGAGGAGAGCATACAGAGCACCCTTCACCCGCCCAGTGTCGACTCGGGCTACGCGTCGAGCTCAGAGAGCCGTGGCTACCTCTCGCCCCACCCCGATTACATGCTCTCCCGTACATATGAAAATTGGAAGATCGCCGACGCGGCGACACAACGCCTGTTCGTCGACCTCAAGTCACTCGAGGAGTGCAAGGAGCAACTGCGGAGAGCAAACAAGCGGAGGGTACAGGAACCGAAGAGGTGCGCTTCATGCTGTGTTATTGATTCTCACGCGTGCACTGAGTCGTCTTGGGTACATGCCCCGATGGCCCGTTGCGCTTCGTCCTCGTTCACTGCGCCGTGCATTCTAACGTCGTTGCGCCGCCGCATTCTACAGTCCGAATCCGAAGCGCAAACCGTCCCTTCTTACAATGCCCTTCAGGAAAAGGCCCGTCGAGCAGCCGCCCGTGACACTCCCCCCTCGTTCTCCTAGTCCGACACGAGACGACCTCCCCACCGTAGAGCATCTTCAAGCTCAGATTGACATTCTCACGAAGCGGGTGAGTGCCTTTGTCGTGCGCATCATGGCGCCAATATTCCACGCGACTCTGAGTCTCCCGGGCGTCGCTTGCTCATCCGAATCGTACAGATCGAGGCGACGCAGTCGGCGTCGGAGCGGTTGGATGCATGTTTTGAAGAGCTGCGGAAAGTGTTAGACGACGGGAGACCTACTTCGTGGAGGAGCTTCACGTGCGTGCTCTCTCTAGTTTCAACCCTCGTGGAGTCTCACCAGTGGCTCCGCTTCGACACTGTAGGAGCAGCTCCAGCGAAGACGGCTACCCTTCGGGCCATAACTTCGCAGACGATTACACGCGCGCACGGAGGACAGTCGCAGCTCGCGACCAGGCGTATAGTGACGTGAGTCGTTTGTTTCACAACGCACTGTCTGCGAAGAATGTATAGGAGGTACGCGCATTGATAGCCACTGACGGCATCCTGTCCCTCGTCCAACAGAGCAAGGCGATGACGGCGGCCATGCAGCACGCGTGCCATGCGATCCAGTCTGCGCATCACCATTACCGGCAGGCGATGGACCTGCTCGACGCGGTGTGTAGCCCGAACAAACACAGGTGGGAGGCGGTCATGGGCGATGAGCAGAGTAGGCAAGAGACGTATCGCGGTAAGTCTTCCCTTCCTTCTCGACCGCCCGGGGACGCGTCTTTCTCCAGGAACAGGCACTGACCAGGACCGTGCTTCACGCACGCGGCGTCCACAGAGGCGGCGGACTGGGCGCAGAAGGCGCAGATCTGCTTCAACGAATGTGTGCGGTCGCTCACGCCACATTGGGAGCTCCTCAAGCAGGACGAGCTCCAAGACTGCAAGGACATTGAGCAGACTGGGCTCCTCCAAGCTGTCCAGCTCTACAATCTCATGTACGGCGGCAAGGTCCTGCAGATGGGCATCACACGTGCGTGTCCTACATCCTTACACCCCTTCTCTTCCCCTACGCCGGCTCGCCCGATCATGAGTCCCATGCCCTCCCTTTCTCATGATTGAGCCCCTTTCCATGAACTTTATCCTGACGTTGACGGCTTGACTGACGTGTCTTCCTTACGGGCGTCCGCAGAGCAAGTGCAAGTGATGATCCAGAAGCAGGACGCGATGTTCGAGCGGCTGACCAACTTTGCGGTCTGGGTCCAGAACTGCACGCAGGAGTGCAGCGTAGTCGAGCTCGAGGGGCGCGAGAAGCGCGATGCAGCACGACGGCACCTCGTCGAGCTCTGGGTCAAGGCGGACAAGGAAAACGAGAATTTCTCGCTCGTCGCGCCGAGCATGAGCGTGCATGTGGGCTCCGGTAACGCCTATTGATCTGACGCGTGGTGATCGTGACCATTCTCTCGTGGTGCTGTGCGGTCTTTGGTATGGTTTCGCTTTATATGAGATTTTCATCCTCGCTGTGTAGAGGGGCAAGTCATCGGGCTCCCCGCTCGATGCCCTCGTCTTATGCCATTAGCACTCGACGTTCTCTGCTTTACGCTGACTATGCGTATCTTATTTTCCTTCGCCTTCACCATGTTCATACTGGTTGCTTTCGTAGCTCGTTGCCCCATTTTCAGCCTAACACTCCCGTTGACCATCGCGCCTGATCCCCGGCTCCATCATCTATCCTGAGGTGCTATATGCGTAATCAGTTGTTCACCTCACTTATCTCCTTGTTGTATCGGCTGTAGGATACTGGTGTGGAAGCTACCAAGATGTCTTGTTGCTCGTTCGGTGTCTCATTTACCCACTGTATACCACAGCAACCTGATCTCGCTTTGCTGACATATGGCCCCTGTGATCCTACTGCATCTAGTTATATCAACTCACACTGTCCTCACGATGTTTTACTCAATACATCCGCTAACGCAGATTTCGGACAAACTATCTGGGCCAGGCCATCGAGCATCGAGCGGAGGCAGTGGAGACAGCGGCCGCCCGCATGTAGGACAGCGGGAAGGCGAGTCGATTGGAGAGCAGTGTGCTCCGAGTCATGCGATAATGCTAAACTCCAGTGCCCGGGTCCTGCCACACGTGCATGGGCGTCTATCCCGTGTATGTCAATGGCCTCGACTGGGAAGCTGTCGTTCACGGCACGGTTATCTTCAATCGACGTTCATCGTCATCGGACTCCTCGGGAAGTAAGTGTCGCAATTCATCAGCACGTCCTGGACCAAGCCTGATTGTAACGTGTCTCAGTATTTAGCTCGTCATCGTACTCGGGAGTCTTCATCATGACGAAGGGAACATCACCAGTACCTTTCGACATCCTGAGGCAAGTATTCGACGAGATCAGCTTGCTCGCTGATCTAGCGGCGGCGGCGCTCGTATGTCGTCGTTGGACAGAACCGGCCCAGATGGCTCTTTATCAGCGTCCCCTTTCGTTCGTATTAGCAAAGCCGCTATCCGAAATCCCTACGACCACATCGCTTTTCGCGCACACCATGGAGACATGCCCACACCTCCGGCCCCTCCTGCGCGACATCTCCCTGATTCTGTCAAGCTACTACACCAAAGAGCGTACCGGCTGGCTGCAGCTAATCCCGGAGAACACCATATGCAAGTTTAAGTACACTGCATCCGTTCCCGACAGTTCGTTAATTCACAACCTCGCAATATTCGACACACCTAGCCTGCTCACCGTAACGGAATTCACTATCGGATCTCTTTTCTCGATGGACGAAATCTCTATCGTCCTGTCCCTTCCGTGCCTCACACGTCTCACCCTGGAGTACAACACCTCCTTCGACGGCCACGTCGACCCCGCCCTTGCAAGTGCGTCCAGCGTCAAACATCTAATACTCACATCCCAAATCAATTGCTGGTGCCCTGGAGCATTCCGCGTCTTCATCGCGCTCGCGCCGCGCCTCGAGTCCTTCAGCACGAATGGGCCGTTCCACGACCAGCGCTACGCGTCTTGGCGAGATTGGATGGAGGCCGAGATCGCGAGCCACGGCCGGACGCTCCGCACGCTCATCATCGACGCGCGAAAGATGGAGACGCGACCGAGCACACCATTCCTCGACGACCTCGCGGAGGACAACGCGTCGCTCGTGCGCTTGCGGATCTTCCCTGGAGCATATACAGCCCTGCTGTTCGGGCGCCTGCCTCCCACTCTGGAGGTGTTGGAGGTCGACCTGGCGTCCCGCGGCGCTGACGACTTGCAGCCTGGCGAGCCCGCATATGAGGCGCTGCTGGAATGTATCGGTCGTGTGAGGGAGGCGCGGGCTCGTGCGGCGCTGAGGGAGGTTGTTTTTAGGATGTTTCCTGGTGGCGCATATCCGACTTTTGCGGAGGTGGCGAAGGCGTGCGCTGCGAGTGGGGTCAAGTTCAGGTGCGAGCGGCCAAGTTTGCAAGCATGATTCCGCGTCTTCTGATCTGCACTACGAGTTTCCACGATCTTGCGTTGATGTACCGCCCTTTGCTTTCCTACACAGCGAGATAGTCTCATCGCGAGCGTCGACAAAGGTAGGTACGGCCAAATATGCTACTCAATTATGGGATAAGAGTTGGTCCTCAGCCGGCAATTAGGCAGCGATAAGAAGCGTCGGAGTATTGCTAGCAAGGCCTCCGACAAATCAACACATCTATATGCGCGTTCTGGTACTAGACGCAGAGATCAATCGTCAGTTGAAATACAGTTGAGAAGCTGTAGCGTACAACGAACCATATCATAATCACTGGACCCATCACCAAGCTGCCTCAGGAGACTTCCTCCAATTTCACGGAATCATGCACATCCGAGCACTTAGCGAACAGTATTCACTTCGTGAAATTAGAGCCTTGATAGTATAGTCGCCGCGTCGCGGTCGTAGGGTCCGAATAAAATAAGCAGTCATTGTTATCGAGGCATTCAGTACATCAGACAGAAGAACATGTATGAGATGATGAAATGCGCCAAACAAACCATCTGCGAACCAAACCCTTCTACATGAGCTTCGCGCAGATACAACGCGGAGACAGCATAACCGCTTGCATACTGGATCAGAGAAGGCGCTTCTTTCCCTTGTACTCGCTAGAAGCAGGTAGGTCAATTTCCTCGGACTCCTCGTGTCCGGGAGAAGGTAGGCGCGAAACTGCCTTTCGGAGGCGTTCAAGGATCGACAGGTCTTCCTGAGGTTCCATTTGGAGGCGTCCAAGGTTGAGCTGCAGCCGTTCCTGATTCATGAGACGCCTTTCGGCATAGAAGTAGGTGGGGGGGAGATGAGAACTGCTGGGTCCCGGTTCGTCCTCGACCATCAGCGAGTCCTCAACCTCGTCCTCCTCCTGCTCATAGCCGACACTGGCGGGGCTGGCGGATCGGCTGTATGATGTGTCCGACAGCATTGAGGGGTCTATGAAGTCTTCCGAACTCGCGAGGTCCCATAGGGCTCTAGCGGATCGTCCTCTCGAGATCTTGGACGTCCTAGCCCTCGAGGTTTTCTTGCCCCGTCCACCTGAGCCCCTCGAAGCGCTACTTTGAGAACGCTGGGACACTCGACTGCCCCCTGAGCGACTGGCAGCGTTGTCGCTTGAGACTCCGTCAAGCTTCCTTCGCTTGCTGCCGGAGCCCGGAGCACCCACGGGTTCCGTGGAAGGGTTGTTTGACGACCTGCTGGGTTGGTCGTCCCAGACGAGGTCAGGACCATTATACTTCCCCTCGTCCAGAGGCCACGCCTTGGACTCTGCCACTTTGCGCAGAACTCTGTCCATCTCTTTGTGATGAAGGAGTGGCGACCTCGATGCGTCGGGAGGATCTTGCCGAGCGTCGTTCCTGGAACTTGAAGACTGTTTGGAGTGGGGGGAATCCGACAAGCCCGACGCCTCCGACAACTCCGACTCGGTGTCGCTTCTGGATTGCACTCCAGTGTCGTCTTCGAGGTCGTCTAGTACAAACACATCCTGGACGGGAAGAATATTGAGACTAGTTTCGTTTGCGAGACGAGGGAGAGAGAGGTGGTAGTAGTGGTTCTTGCAGAGCGCAGCAAGCTTCTCAAGTGGTCGAATGAGAGGATGCTTGTCAGTCAGCTTGACAAATAGCTCCCCGTCCTTGATCTTGTTGTACTTCACAATGCTACCTTTCTCGGGATCATCATCAGAAGCAACGTCGTATACGCTGGCGATATGTCGAAGGAGTTGACGGCGATCCGAAGACAGCGCGTTGGGAATGTACTTGAGGAGGCACCAGTTCAGGACATGGACAAACGATTCAAGGTCGTCAGCGAGGGTGTGTGGTCTGCCGGGAAACTGCTGCAAACAAGCCGACATGAATGGCCACGTTCCCTTAGCAGAAACAATCAAATCAGCCATTTACGTCGCATCTCATAGATGCCAACTTACCGATCGGCCCTCTTGGGTGGCGGGATATTCCAATTCAGCTCGCGTCTTTGCAAGGTCCCAGTCAGCAAGCAGACCAACGCGTTGATGTCCAGATTGATGGATCAAGATGTTGCCAGCACTGACGTCTCTGTGCAGTATGCCGGCCTTGCTCCATGCTAGATAATGGGCTGAATGACTATCGTCAGCAACTGTGTGCCTGGAAAAGAAAGAGAAGAGAGAGAAGAGAAGAGACGAACCCCTAAACGCAGTATAAATCACTTGGACCAACTCTAAGGATTGTGTGAAGTCCTCGAGGCGAAGACAGACTTCCCACAACACTAGACGGACATGATTACGAGGTAGATACCGAGTGGCTGGTGTACGAGTCTGTTGCTGTCTCCCTTCGAACTTCACGTCACCACCTCCTAGAAGGGTGGGAATGTACAGTTTGCGCTTCGGGATCTTTTCGCGGAGCTGCAAGTAGATGTCGTACTCGGACTGGGTACGTCCACCCGTGTCCGGCCGCCAACTGTCCTTGATGAACACCACACGGTCGTTCGCCATGTCATACGCCACGAACGCCTTCGTGCCTCGCCCAACGAGCGAGCGACCCATGAAAGCAGGCTTTCCGACGAGGAAGTGCCGTTCAAGGATAGCGTCATGCCGTGACACGGCCTTCTCGCCGTCTGAGAACGGAGCGTCGATGGTGATCTTGTTTGTGGGCCACCCAGTGGAAGTAGCGTTGACGAGAGCCTGAGATTCAGCTGAGCCGGGGGTGAAGCGGGCGGACAATCCTCTGAACAACTTATCCTCCTCTGCAGAGGAAGGTACGACGGTAGGATCATAGCCGCGCTCCATACGTGTGGCTAGAGATAGGCGATAGAAGAATCTGCCAATCACCTCTGGACGTTCGAGGTAGTCGAACTTCGAAGTCATGGTGATGCCCGTGCGGTCATATCGGAGTAGACGCGCTGTATCATCGAGGATGACGATAGCAAAGCAGAACAGCCGGTGCTGCCGATTGAGGACTTCAATGCCATAGTCAATGAGCTGACCCCTATCTGACTGGTGAGGGAGAGGGAGGGGCGACGTAGGTGCGTCGGCGGTAGTCATGGTCGTCGAGGACGATGTCTTCTTGACCTCGATCACAACCTCGATGTGTGGCCAAGAGACGCGAAACCTATCGCCGGCTCCAGCCTGACTATGAGCAGGGCAATCCACCGGGTAGATGCCTAGATCAGGACAAAACGTGTTTGTGCCGGATGTGTGGCGGGGTCCTGACGCAGTAGGGTCCGGAAGACGATGGGTACAACGAGCAGTGTAGGCTATCCAGCCGACCGTAGCGAGGGAACTGTTCAACCCACGAGCCTGAAACCGTTTGTGAGTGGTCACGATTTGCGATAATGCTATCGAATAACGTCTTACTAGTCCAGGGTACATCCCCTCTTCTTTGTTGTCGAAGTCAACCGTCCATCGCGAGAAAGTGGTTCCTGCGGGAGGATCTCCTCCTGGAAGGCAATCCAAGAACCACTGGTCTTCAGCTTCTTCGATGTACTCCATCTCTTTGTCAAGGCGACGGCGTCTATTGCCAGCGTCGCCACGAGAGAGAACACCGAAGGAACGGGAAGATTCCTTTGCAACGACTAGCGTCCGTGCGCGTAATAGAGTGCCTGGAGCCTGAGTAAGTGTGTTGAGCGAACGATTATTCGCTGACGAGGATTGGGTTTGTGCGGACATGTTGGAAACCAAGCTAGGATAGAAGAGTGGAGGAGTACGCACGGTTCCACGCAATCTATATAGTAGACCTAGAGGCCGTTTCGTTCGACTCTTGCCTGATTCTCTAGTGGGTCCCGGGACTGGAATCTGCAACGTGGCGGTTCTGGGACGTCTGAGCGGATTGGAAATGCCAAAGACAAGGAAATTCCTACTTTGGGTAGGATAGGAAGACGATTTTCGTGATATCCGCGGATCAGATAACAGAGAAGCTCGGTGACTCATACTATAACCCACCCTAGGACACAATGGCCGCCAAACGTTGTTGTTGCCACCGATGGGACAATAAGCGCCATAAACGATTATAGTAGCCGAGCGCCTAAAGGCTGCAACCCCGTCGGAGTTAGGACCTGGCAGTTCGCATAAGTTCATGGATACGGTATATCTCAGACCATCGATACGCTGAATCTTCATCTGAGTCATTTCTTGCTTTCTGATGTAGGATGGTCATAGCTATGACCACCCTGCGTCGTTCCCTATGTGTATTATCCTAGATGCCGCTCATCATGCCTTGTGCGGCCGCGGGCCAATGCAGTGAGCTTTCAAGTGCATTCCAGGTTCGAGAGTTTGTCGCTAACCAAGACGGAAAGCACACGGGCTGTTCTGCTAGACTGTATTGAACTGCCGTGGGACTGTTCTTTGCACGATCAGCTTCCAGTACCTCAATGCTATTGCCGTTATCGTACATCGCCGTTTTTTCTATTAGGGCTCTACTAGTAAGTCAGCCGTCAGCATGATCTTCCAGCGCTCTCCGACGTCCACTCAGGAACAGGAACATATACTACAGCACTGGGGACGATACGAATCTCTGTCAGAGTATACGCCACCGGTGCAAGCCTCGCTGGCGTCGTGCCCGGACCTCGCGGCCGTACATGTCGAGTGCAAGAACAGCACCAGACGATCAGTATGCCCGAGTCCGTCGATTAAAGGAATGTTATGTAGCGCGGTGTTATGTCAATTACGAGGTTTGGTCAGCAGCTCATTCTCCAAACATAGCCCGACTGCACCGGCTTCCTCCGACTTCACGTTTGATAGTAGTCCGTCGTCGGGGTAGGATCATGAAAACCGCTATCTCCTGGTTGGTTTTGGAGGTTCAGCTGACCTAACACATTCAAGGTACGCTTATATGAAACATAGCGCCACTGAGGAGATGTCAAGGCGAAGATCCCTAGTAGATTCTCATAAGTCTACATTAACGTCTACAGTTCCTACCACGTCTACAGCTCTAACCACGAGCTGAACAATGGCAAGCCAACAGCCCCTTGCTCTCATCATCGGATCCACGGGTGCCACTGGTAATGGTATCACCAAGGCCCTAGCCGCCTCGGGAAACTTCGTGCGTGCTCCTCCAACTTGAATGTCACAGAACCACCTACTGAGCACCATCTGAATCGCAGCTTGTGGCGGCCCTTGTCCGCCCATCTTCCCTCCAGAAGCCGGCCGTCTCCGAGCTCCGAGCTCAGGGCGTTGAGATTCGCGCGGGCGACATCAAGGACGACTCCGAGAGCCTCAAGAACGTCCTCGAGGGTGCGGACATCCTTATCAGCGCCGTCGCCGTCTTTGTCATCCCGGACCAGCGCGACATATTCCGATTGGCGAAGGAAGTCGATGTCCAGCGCGTCATCCCCTGCGACTTCGGCACCGCATACCGCACACCTTCATAGACGTCGGCTGGTGGTCGCAGCTCTACCTCTGCCGATCAGGAGCCGTGCGCCCCAAGTGGTGAAGGAGACGACATGAAGGATATACGAAGACGGCAACACGCGGAACCTGGTCACGCACCACCTGAAGATCGGGAAGTACGTCGCGCGGCGCATCACCGACCCACGACACTAAACCATGCGGTGATCCTGTGGGAGGATGAGGCGAGCCAGGAGGAGGCTCATGAGATCGGGGAGCGTGTTTCTGGAGAGGGTGACGTGCTGAAGGATAGACAGATAATTGTAAGTGCTTCCTCATGAGGAGCCAGACACTGTGGGCAGGGCGTTGATATCTATCTTGTAGTGCACGAAGGAGGACTACCTTCCATGCTATTGCGGCGGCGGAAGCCGTAAGTGAAGCCTACCCGAATGATTTCTTGGCCCATGTCTCGCGCGCCACGAACGAGTATCAGGTCAGCATGCAAGTGTTCGGGGAGAATACGCTCGATAACGCGAAGAAGCTTTATTACGTGAACGTCAAGGAACTGTATCCCGATATCCCTCCGCTCTCCTTAGAGTTAGTTGCCAAGGAGTTCTATAGCATGGAGGACTGTGGTATCGTCTATGGCGATTATGTGGCAACTCTGTCATGTTGAGATCGGAGCTGCATGGCGGTACTATTTTTCAGAATAGACGATGTGCCCCTTTGCTTACCTACATGGCGAATCAGTCTCATCGCGAGCGTCGACGAAAGCAGTACGACCAGATATGCTGCTCACATAGGGGACAAAAGTTGGATCTCGTCCGGCAATTAGGCGGACATACGAAATGTTGAAGCGTCGCCAGCAAGGCCTCCGACAAATCAACACATCTATATGCGTGTCCTGGTACTACACAGAGATCAATCGATACATGAAATACAATTGGGAGCGTGAAACGAACCATATCATGACAACATACCCCATCCATCTGAGCCCCTCGAAGCGCTGCTTCGAGAACGCAAGGACACCGAGCGACTAGCAGCAATGTCGCCTAACATTGTGCCGAGCCTCCTTCGCTTCTGTCTGAGCCCGAAGCGTCCTTGGGTTCCGTGGAAGGATTGTTTGATGATCTGCTGGGTTGGTCGTCCCATAAGATGAGGTCATGACCATCGTACTTCTCCTCCTTAATCCAGTACTCAATGCAGCTCGTATAGAGCAACAAGGCACCCATCTCGTGGTGCGTCAGCAGAGGTGATTTGGACGCATCAGGAGGATCCCGCTGTTGATCACTTGCTGGAGTGCAGACGGACGGCAGCCCTTGAGAGATACGTAGCGACTTCGGTACCCGAAAACTCGGAGCGGGGATATGTTTGAGGCCGTCGTCAATACGTAGATCAGGGAGAGAAAGGTGATAGTAGTGGTCTCGGCAGAGCTCAGCAAGACCCCGGAGTGATGGGTTTATGCGATGATTGGTCTGTAAGTGAACAAAGAGTTCACCGTACTTGATTTTGAAGTACTTCTCGCTACTACCTTTCTCGGGATCCTCTGCTGTAGCAAAGTCGTAAACGGAGGCGATATACTTCGCAACACTCTTGCGATCTGTGTACCAGGTGGTGGGGATGTACTTCAGCAGACACCAGTTTAGCACGTGCACGAACGACTCAAGGTCATCAGCGAGCGTGTGCGGCATATCAGGGAACTGTTGCGAACAAGCCGACATGAATGGCCACGTCCCCTGAGCAGATACATTAGCACAAGTTTCAAAGCAAACACGCTTCAAGGGTGACCACGTACCGTGACGAGACATTTCTCCAACTCCTTCTGCGTCTTTGCGAGATCCCAATCGGCAAGCAGGCCAATAGGGCCATCTGCAGAATCGTAGATCAAGATGTTGCCTGCGCTGACATCCCCATGAAGAATATGAGCCTCTTCCCAGGCCCGTTGATGCGCTGTGCAACTACCGTCAGCATATTCATGTTCTGAGTAACTGGAGGAAGAGACAAACCAGTAAATGCAGTGTAAATCATTCGGGTCAGTTCAAGAGAGTTCTCGTATTCCTTCAGGGAACGGCAAACCTACAGCAGCACTAGACGCTGGTGGATACGAGGCACATATCGTGTGGACGGCGTGCAGGTCTTTTGCCGGCTACCTCTAAACATCATGTCGCCGCCTCCGAGCAGGGTAGGAATGTACAGAACACCCGTGGTGATCCTTGCACGGAGTCGCAAGTAAAATTTGTATTCGGACGCGGAATCACGAGTGTCGGGCCGCCCAGCCGTTCTTGATAAATATCACCCTGTCGTTCATCATGTCGTACGCGACGAACGCCTTCGTGCCTCGCCCAACAAGCGAGCGACCCATGAAAGCAGGCTTGCCGACGAGGAAATGCCGTTCAAGAGTAGCGTCGTGCCGTGACACGGCCTTCTCGCCGTCTGAGAACGGGGCGTTGATGGTGATCTTGTGTATGGGCCAGCCGGCAGAAGCGAAGTTCTCGAGAGCCTTGACTTCGGTGGAATCGGGTGCAAAGCGGGAGGACAATCCTCTGAAGACTGTTGTCTCCTCTATCGACGCGCGCGCAACAGTGGGGTCGTAGCCACGTCCTCGTAGTGTGGCTCGAGATAGGCGATAGAAGAATCTGCCGATTACCTCTGGACGCTCGAGGTAGTCGAACTTCGAACTCATGGTGATGCCAGTTCGATCATATCGGAGCAGACGCGCTGTATCATCCAGGACGACGATAGCAAAGTAGAACAGCCGGTGCTGCCGATTGAGGACTTCAATACCATAGTCGATGAGCTGACCCCTATCTGACGGGTGAGGGAGAGGGAGGGGACGAGAAGATGCTTGATTGGACATAGATGCGTCGACAATAGTCCTGGTCGTCGAGGAAGACGTCTTCTTGACCTCAACCACAACCTCAATGTGTGGCTAAGACACGCAAAACTTATCGCCGGATCTAGCCTGACTATGAGCAGGGCAATCTACCGGGTAGATGCCTAGAGGACAGGACGTGTTTGTGCCAGATCTATGCCGGGGTCCTGACGCTGTAGGGTCCGGAACACGATGGATACGGCGAGCAGTGTAGGCTGTCTAGCCGACGGTCGCGAGTGAACTGTTCAACCCACGAGCCTGAATCAGTTTTCAGTGGTCACGATTTGCAATAGCTCTGACGAACGACTCGGATGTCTTACCAGTCCAGAATACATTCCCTTCACTCTGTTGTCGAAGTCAACAGCCCACAGCGAGTAAGTGGTCCCTGCGGGAGGATCCTCTCCTGGAAGGCAATTCAGGAACCACTGGTCTTCATCTTCTTCGATGTACTTCATCTCTTTGTCAAGACGACGACAACTATTGGCAGCTTCGTCACGAGAGGGAATGCCGAGGGGATGGGAAGACTCCTTTGCAACTACCAGCGCCCGTGCGCGTAATAGAGCAGCTCAACACTAAGGAAGTTGTTGGGCGAGCAATTATCCGCTGATAAGGATTGGGTTTGTGTGGTCATATCAAAAACCGAGCTAGGATAGAAGAGTGGAGGAGCACGCACGATTCCACGCAAACTGTATGGTATGCTCAGAGGTCCCTTGCTTCTACTTTTACCTGAATCTCGAGCGGGTTTCGAGACCGGAATCTGCAACATGACGGTTCTGAGACGTTGGAGCGGATTGGAAATGCCATACGCAAACCAAGGAGATTCCTCACTTTTGGATGGAAAGGTGGACGATATTCCTGGTATCTGCGAATCAGATATCAGAGAAGCCGAGTGACACATACTAGACCGCACCCTAAGACACGATGTGCGCCGACTCGGAAACTGATATGCCCCCTGTGCGCTAACGTCGTGCCCGCCCGAAAGGCACCGGGCCAGGGCTCCGCGTCGTGAAGCGCCAGACAAGCCGTATGGGAAGGGGAGGAAGCTCGCGCCGGGATAGGATGTTGAGGTTGGGGAGGTTGGTTTGGGGATGGTCCACTCGTTCCAAGTTCCGTTATCATTCAGGCGAGTGAATCCCATAGGAATTCACCGCCGCGACTCCACCAGGAGGAGATGGCCTCGGACTTCGTCGTCGTCGTTGCCTCCCTTACTGCGCATGGAAGGGCGCTATCCTTTGCAGAAGCGCTATTCCTGATTGTGATATGACCCGGGTTTTCCTGCGTCTCCCTCTCTGACTGTGTGGCTTACGTCACTGAACAGGTCCCTTAGGTGGGAAACGATACTGGTATCCAGTACATCTAGCAATCTGTATTGGCATATGCGCCGTTTACTGCCGCACCTGTACTTTGTACGCGGAATATAAATTCTTGAATTAAATATATATATATATATTAAGCGCCATGGATCGGACTTTGTAAGTACAGCGTCTGGTCAGATTTGGGTAACCGAGCGCCGAAATGCTTCAGATACGCCATATTCTCGGCCATGGCTATTTCCTTGTACGACCTCGTAGATCACTGGTTTGCCCAGTCTCCTACCTCGAGAGCATGGACCGTCTCTGCCATCCTCGTATCGCTCACAGGCATCCTGTGGGGCCTCTTCGGACGCTCTCCTGTGTGTGGGAAGTCAGGGGCTGTGGCCAATGGGAAGGCTCCGGTATGCCCTCCAGAGCAATTGAAGGACGACCTCGCGACTTTGAAAGATGGGAATGGCGTCGTGAACGCATACACGTTAGACCGCGAGATCTCTGTCCCGTTCGACGTGGGTGACGTGAGGGTGTCCAAGATCCTTGTCCACCCAATCAAGGTGCGTGAATTCGCACCGAACTACTATCATTAGTGCTGGTTTGATGTCTGATTACTCGCCTTCAGAGCTGCCGTGGAATATCCGCGCGGGAATGGCGGTATACTCCAGAAGGACTTGAAGTATGTTGCCCTACACTGTCTTTCAACTTTGCCTAGCTGTCCGAGAGGCACAGGGGCCCATGCGCGCCTCACGCGCGAGGCACCGCCTCAGTCACAGGGGCTTCCTGCAGTGCCTAATGTTACATTTTTCCTCAGCACGATAGAAAATGGTGCATTATCCAACAGCAATCACGCGCAATAATTACTGCTAGAGAGGTCGCCAAGGTTAGTGCAATGCAGTCATTTGCAGATTACATAGTTGAAGCCATCAGCATCGTCAATCTAGATGGTTCTCATCACACCTCGCATTGAGATCGACCCTGCGTCACCATACGGGGGACGGCTATTCATATCGTTTCCCGAGGATTCGGGTTGCGAGACGTTTTCTGTGCCGTTGTATCTTACGGAAGATCTCCTGAAAACATGGCCTGTGTATGTCCATTCTCGTCTCATCTGCTGTAGACGTCCTGAACCTGCTGCTTTAGCATTGACGACTGTACCATGTTCAATATATACCGGGTGCAAGGCTACGTATGCTCTTCACTGGACTGCGGACGCTCCCCTTCGGACATCCTGTCGCAGTATTTCGAACAGCCCGTCCACCTCATGATGAAAGGGCCGCGTGTCCGCGAGTGCCCCACGACGCTGGCATATCCAGACCTCAAGGCGTCCGCTATGTTCCAAGATGGTTACCCCTTCCTCGTCGCAAGCGAGGAGAGCTTGCAGGAAGTCGGGCGCGTTATCAGCGCATACGCTACACATGAGAGCCCCGAGGCCCAAATTGGCCAGCTGGACCGCGAACGCTGGCGGGACGGCGATATTAAAATCGAACGGTGAGGTGCCTGTTTTCGAGACTCATCACCAGATAGCTACATGTCCCGCTTGTCAGGTTCCGTCCGAACATCGTGCTCCAAGGCTCTGGCGTGCCTTTCGCGGAGGATATGTGGCGCCAACTTGTCATTCGCCAGCGCGATTCGTCCGAAGACGAAGAGTCACGCACTTTCTCGCTAGTGTCGAAATGCACCAGGTGTCTCGTACGTCATCTTCGTCCATTTGTCAAAGTATAAGCTCCCGGCTGACTCGGTTCGGATAGCTACCGAATGTCGACACTGTGACAGGGACTCGTGACGCCGCGGTGCCATACAAGGTGCTGTTGAAGTTCCGTCGGAACAGAGACCCGGCAAGGATGAGCAAGCCGTGCTTTGGATGTAATGCAGTCGTTGGCGGTGAAGGCGTCGTCAGTATTGGCGACCGGGTGGAGGTGAAGGAATGGGCGACAGGAATAGGGGTGTAGACGTTCCCCTATTGATCTAAGTAATATTGCTCTGGATCTAGTGGATCTTATCCAGGAGAGTCGGGATCGGTATTGACTCCAGTGAATTTCTTACATGGGGGGGCGTAAGGTGTGAAATGATGCGCGTACATTCGGGGAGGGGTGATCGTCATAAAACAACCGACATTTCAGTCCAATACTCTCTGTCGGGGAGTCGAACCCCGCTTTCGCGCGCACGAATACAATGACAGGCGCGTGTACTATCCGATATACTAACAGAGATACATAAGTCACGATAAGAATTATATAGTCGGTGTGGACATTGTGTAGCACTTATGAGTACGGAACACCGTCGGGTCCCCGCGGACGATCGTCTGGCACTTCATGGGTTACATGCACCTGCATGCATACATCGTCTCGTCCTATTCTCTCCTTGTCTCGCATCCTTCGGACTCGCTGTGTGTCTGCGTGTCTCTGGAACAGAAATCTCTTGTCACAGCTAGCAAGCCGTTTCCAGTTGCCACAGGCATACGCGCAAACCCAAACGATGAGCACTAACACCCACCCATCCCTCTCGGCTGTCTCCACCTCTAGTGAGCTTGGCCCTTGCAGATCACCTAAGAATGGAAGGTTGCTCAGCTGTCATCATGTCCAGATGCGCCTGCCGCAGTCGGCCCTTACAACCAGGCAATTCAGGTCGGCGATCTGCTCTTCTGCTCGGGCTCCCTGGGCTTGGATCCGTCCACTGGCAAGCTGGTTAGTATTAGTGTTATGGGTCAAGCCTTGCTCTCTCTGCGTTTTCACATGAACAACGTGTAGGTGGAGGGCGGCGTAGAGGCTCAGGCTAGACAAGCTCTCAAGAACCTCAAAGTCATTATTGAAGCAGGTGGAAGCGAGCTGGGCAAGGTTGTGAAGACTACTGTACGTGTCTCGTGCCTGCATGTTGCTTCTGTCGCAACGGCACTTGACACAAGTGCGCTACTTGCAGGTGTTCTTGCACAGCATGGACGACTTCAAGCCCGTCAACGCGATTTACGCCGAGTTCTTTGGGAATCATAAGCCTGCGCGGTCCGCAGTCCAGGTCGCGCGCCTACCCCTCGACGCGCTCTTCGAGATCGAGGCTATTGTCAGGTATGAATGTCATAATTTCATCTCTAGGAATATGCAGATTCACAGGGGGTGCAGCCTCGCGTAATCCAAATATCGTCTAAGAGGCTGTGGAGTGAGCGCAAACGTGGTTGTCGCCGGACAAGATACTCCATCGTGCTCGGGTTTGTAGCAATACTTGCATGCTTCATTCGAGTCTCGACCCTTGTGCGGATATCGTAAAGTACACATGCATGTGGAATATCGTTTCGTTTCGTCTTTGTCTAACAAGTCTTCCGGCGTCGAACGACCGCGGCCATCGCTCCAGCTGAAGGTACGTGCCATGACCATGTACTCGCTTAGCCACCTCTCATCCAATCTCTATCTAGTAGGTGCTACTGCAGCGCCCAATCATGCCGGCTTGTAACAAACACGCGTGCCAAGACCCAGGATCCTGTGCAAACAAGCACGAGCTTCACACTACGCCTCGAAGAAGCCGTCTGCGCAGCACTCTAGTCGACCTTTTCTCTCTTCATGAGTTTGTGTGGCCGGGGGACTGCGGGCCACTCAGCTGCGTGTTCCGCCTCGATACATCAGTACCTCTGTGCAGTAGGCAGAAATTCGCATATCGGGCATATGGCCGTCCGTGCACGCAGCCGCATTCTACTCATTGCACCGTCATACGCCAACCTTCCGTAGCTGTGCATGTCGTGGACATATGCAATCGCTGGCATCGTCTTAGAATCCCAACACACATCGGCGTCCTTCGTGTATGGGCCCCTATGAGTGCTGTTGGAGAAGATCGGATCGTATTATGCGGACAACCTTGGAGGTTTTTCCATCATCGCTTGCCCGCAGTACGCCTGGAACTAAGGGTATGGGTGTCGATCAGCTTGCAGCATCGTATGTCCCTGCTCGCTATAAGGTCAGCGGTGTTTGAGTCCATCGCTCCCAGTACCTCCCTTCTCATTTGACATTCAGCTTGAGGGGTCCTCTCACGTTTCTGAAAGATATTATTCTTCACAACACGCAGCCATCACGATGTTCAGCAAGTCCTTCGCCTCCCTCGCCGTGCTCTCCTGTATGCTCCTGGTTGGCGCTTCTCCCGCAAATATCGCTCGTGCTGATCGTGAGTCCTTGCCTGGCATACTATAGATTCATTTGTCATCCGACGTAGCCATGATGTTCTTTATCAGCTTCGACTATGGTTGCGTCCACCACGGATGGCCTACAAACGACCTCGACCACCACCGGTTCTAACTCTGGCATCGGCCCTGCGGCGACCAGCACGACGGTGTCCGAGTCGGTCACCGGCACCGTCTCCGTGGAGACCAGCGCGACTGCTTCTACGCCTGCCGCCAGTACTACCGCGGCGACGAGTACGATGACTGGCCCTGCGGACACGAGCACGAACACGGCCCCTGGTAGCGCTTCTGGCTCTAATCCTGCGGCCGCGAGCGCCGTCACGCTGAGCAGTATCGTCGGAGGTATGTTATGACACCTCGCGATCAGGGGCGCTCTTCTAAGTGCACATCTTGTTGCTCCTCACTCGCACATCCTGGAGTCGATGGTTCCCGTCACCGTCACCGCTCCGGATTCGATCGCTGCCACTGCTGCCCTCCAGACTGGAAGGTGAGAGTCTTGTGCGACTTGGATCTTCGCCATTGAACCTTCCCTCACTCATGCTCGCGTGACTTCCCCTGCTATACAGCCAGCCAGATCTTCAGCTCAGCGATCTCTGTGATAGGCACTGACCCAAAGGTCACCGCCTATATCACTAGTACGCTTGCCGCCTTCCTGTCCTCCCTCTACTGATCTGACGTTCCCCTGTGTCCGCGTGCCCGCTGTTCATCAGTCACTCTCGCTACCGCTGGCAGCTCGACGACCGTCTTCGCCGGCCACACGCTCGTTGCAGACATCACGAACAGCAAACAAGGGTGAGCATCTCACATTGTCTGAAACTGTAGTTGCACAGTGGGACCGTAGCTGACGGAATGCTGGTCTTGACGTCTGATACACAGGAGCGGCGCCGCGGGCTTGACCATCTCGAAGGGTCTGCTGTCGGGCGCTGTTACCATCGTCGGTGCTGTTGCTGTCGGCGCAGTCGTGGCGCTCTGAGGGCGCTGAGTTGAAGCTGGGGGTGCAAGAGTGGCGTCAGCAATAGAGCCTAAGGACTATGAGCTTGGGGAGGAAGCGGACTTAGTCAATATCAAACTCAATTTGTTGGGACCGTTGGATTACTTTAGTGAGGAGACTTGCGTTAACCTGATATGTTCGTCGCATCTTGTGGAAGGTGGTGATTCATGACTGTATACTATCAAGACCCTCCGTGACCCGACTGACAGTGGTGTGACAGGTCACCGTCCCCAGCGTGTGGTGGCGGTGGATGTCAATGGAATACCGGAGCGCCAGTGCCCAAATGCTGTATGTGTTACTAGCCGGAATCAATCTGATTATTTTGACAGTCGGAGCGGACGTTCTCACTCTGGAGACGGAAGCTATACCTTCAGCAAACCAGGCGGCCAGCTTGTAGACGACTGACAGGACGCATTCAAATTAGGTCGAGCTTCGGTCGATTTACGGCTCACGATCTTGGGATGAACGAAGCACTAGCTGTGACTTGCCAACAAGCGTATACTAGTGTGATACTCATAGGAGGCTTTCCACAGCAGAAAGTATCCGAATAGAACGGCAAACGTAAGATTTCCATGGGGTTTCCCTCACTGCTACGAGGACGGCGCCCCCCCGCGTGACCCCAATGCCCAGGGCTAGCAACTATCAGACGCAAGGTGCGTGGGCGTCCCACACCTCACCTATATCACTATCACCTACTTACCGCTCGGCAGAAGGCTAACCGGACAATGTCCGCAAGCTATACGAAACAATCTTCCCACATGCAGTCGGTGTCCTCGGTCGCGATGCCCCCGGTGCGCCTTATCCAACAAGGAAGCGTCTCTGACGCGGGCGTTGACCGGTTCTGTAACAAGAACACTGGCAGAAGTGACAGACTCTGCCTTCTTCAGCGGTGATCCATAACGTACGCTAGTCTTCGTGCAAGTAGATGGGGCGCGCGGAGAAAGCATATCAGCACCGGGCAGTTCCCCGTGCCCACATCGGTAGCCAATCCCATGCATGCCCGAGGCGGACGTGCACTTTAGGTCCCACCCCTAGTGGTCTCGGATCATCTCTACTCGATGATGCTGTGACACGCGTCCACATACCTGGGGGTATAAATCCGCGCAAATGATAGGTTCAATTTCATTCTCCAACTCTTTGTTTCTCACTTTGTCTACTTCAGCCTGGTGCTATTTCGTTTCGCCACGTTCAATTTCGTTTCAAGGATGCGCGCCGGTTTCTTCTCTGTTCTCTTCCTTTCGAGTGTTTTCTCAGTCCATGCGGCGCCGTCAATTCTCCAACGACGGGATAACGAAGGTGAGCTGAAGGACATCTCATGACGGCTGGCAACGACTCACCACATGTCCTCCCCTTCAGTCCTACAGAACATCGAATCGGCGGCGGACGATCTCTTCTCCATTAACAGTAAGAGACACTTCAGGTCATCCTGATGCTATGATCTGAAAAGTGCTATAGTCGGATCCATCTTGAGCGAAGCAACACCAGTAGGTCGGTGAACATATCGGATGGAGGTATACCACCCGCACTGATGGCGTCCTAGTGGCATCCGTCTTCCAAGAGGCGACATCTATCGGTAAGCTTACTCATTTGAACCCCAACGCCCATACTCACCTGTCCTTCAGTTGGGAGCGTGATTGCATCAGACACCGGTAAGTCTGTACGTTTAGGTCTAGACTATGGCTATTGATATCGATCCGAATTGCTTGTCTGCGCGACAGCTCTGCGGTCGGAAGGTAAGCTTGATGACTGTTCTTCTAAACATCGCCTGACCAAGTTATGCACTAGCAACGAGCATTTTTGGTGAGGTCGAGAGCATATTGGGTCCAGCCGCGACTGGAATCGTGAATAACGTACACGAAGTCGTCAGCGCCGCGTACGTTCTGCTCACTTTCTTCAGGAGTTGTCCCCGACATTGACACTTGTCATCTCCGCGCTCAAAGTAACGGGGCGGCACAAGACTCGGTTGTTGCACGACCACTCGCGATGGGCGCAGCCGCAGTCCTAGGAAGTATGTTCCTAGGGGCATACGTTGTAGTATAACCGAGGCCCATGGGATCGCTTTGATTTGTTAATTCACCACGGACGCTTCGTGTATCATATACGCTCTTTCTGGACCCTTCGTAGCACCAGAGGACTCAGTACTCGTTAACAATGTGAACCGTACTCACTTTATCTCACGCATCATGTCGATATCCTTGGCTTGACAACGATCCCACGGCAACCCCGCAGGTACGACAGTGCAATGCGAAGTGATAAATAGTACATACACACGGCTCGTGGTCCTTCCGGCATCCGCAGATCTTTCGGTCCCCCAGTGAAGACTATCGTGAGAATTCACCCACCAAGTAGAACACACCGATGCAGTCTAGAACATCCCACCCTGCCTGTTCGGCCTGTCCCTCGACCGCGGTGGCAGCGGCGCAGGACTGCCGTTGAGGCCGTTCCTAGAGCCCTCGCCAGTCGACGGCGTCTGACTTCGGAATGACGCCTGACTGGCTGTGCGAGGCGGTGGCGCAGGAGACCGCAGTCGAGTTGACGAAGGCGAACGGCGAGGTGAAGCAGACAGAGGCGTGGGCACAGCCAGGGCAGGCATTGTGGACGGCGGTGGCATTGCGATAGATGATGGCACAGGTGGTACGGTTGGAATAGGAGTTCGTGAACGCGCAGAGGTGGACTGCGCAGGTGATCGGGAACGGACGGGGGTGGAGGAAGGCGTGTGGATGGGGTCGGGTGTCCGTTCTGCGTGAGGGCGGTAAGTTGGGGGTCGCACCAGTGCGCCGTCCCTAGCTTTGTCGACGAGGAGATTGTCTAGGAGGTAGCGGAAGTCGATTCCATACTCTTCGAGGAGCTTCTTACTTTGAACGTGGGTGATCTGTATGGCGTCGTCGATGGTACGGGCGTCCACGTCCGAGCTATAGACTTGCTTCCGGAACATTTCTGCATACAGCTCGATCTGTTGCCTTGCCCACTCAACGAAGCCTATGCTTCATCAGAATCAGTGCAGCATTGATTGACGAAACTACTTACTGCTAGCAACTTCGTTCTCCCTGAAGCTCGCCAGGAACCAATCTGCGGTGTGTTTCACTCCGGTGAACACCACGGTGGCTAAGTCCGCGATGAACGACGGGATGTGGCCTTCAAATGTGATCTTCCGCACACACTTCTTGATGACGTCCGCCCTCGCAGCCAAGAACGTGCTCCTGGCAGCAGGGCCAGCCTTCAGCCTTACGAGGAGCCCGATGAGGCTGACAACGGTACTCTTCTTGTTCGATGGCACGGACAAGCTCTGCAGCAGTGCCGCAGTAAGCGACGCCTTGAGCGGGGTCAGCTTCGCCCCAAGCGGAGGCATAGTCGGCAACTTGGACTCGCCCTCCTCGACGAGCTTCACGGCCTTCTCCCACTCTCTCAGGGCGATTGCTACAGTAAGCTCGTCAGACCAGTCGCCGATCCAGCGCACGTCGCGCTCGGACTTCTCCTTGGCGGAGGAGCCCATATCTGCGCCTTTAGTCGCAAGGTCTGCCATCCACTCGGGGATTGGGGGCATCCCGGGCATGCTATCTGGAACGAACAAGGAGCCGCGCTGAGAAGGTCCAGTATGTTAGATCGCGGAAATGAATGTGATGGGAAGTGATACGCACATCTCCTCCACCCACCCAGAGACTTTTCCGCCGCTGGTGCTCGCCTTCACGCTCTTTTCGCTTCTTTGCTGCGAGCTCCTCCGCAACGTGACGGAACTGGCTGAGCAGGTTTTTCTTGTCGGCCGAGATGTCTGTTCGATAAACGTGAGTCTCCTTCCCATGTCTGATCTTGAAGACATTGGTCATGCCTGCGGGTTCGCATAAGTCATGCATACATAGTAAAGAAGCGCGGTGTACGAACTTGGGGTATCCTTGGTATCCAGTACCAGCATCTCACTCAAGGGCCAGCACTTCTCAGCAACTAGCTTATCGCTCTCCCCATTGTTTCTCCGCTTGCGCTTCCGGGCGACGAGTACAGCGTCGTCGAGCAGGACGAATCGGACGGAGTGGTCGACCTTGTACGTCGCGGGATTGAGGGCAACGACATTGTCGACCTCCGTGACAACGTGACGGCCGGGAGTGGTGGGGACGAACTTCGACGAACCCTCAATTTGCATATGGAGGTTCTGCATTTGGTTCGCATACAATATCCGGAGGTCCGCGATCGATGAACGGACATTCCTGCGGCGTTCTGCAAACAAAACAAAGGGATGTGAGGGAGTGAAGGACAGCAAGTCCAAAAGAAAAGGTCCATACCTGCGACCGAGGCCGAGTCGTCGATATGTAGCAGTGACGGCATGCCCTTCCATTCCGATAGGGCTTCCTTGAACTCCAGCATCTCGTTCTCCAGGGTGCTGACCTCCTTCGACACAAGCATGAACTCCGCGTAGCTTCAGTGATAATGTCAGGATGACATAATCTGTCCGGTAGTAAAGAAGGACCGTACTTCTTGAAGACGTTGCGCTGCAAGTCTACAGCAACGTCATCTTTCTGTGCCTGAAGACCAGACTGCAGCGTCCTCAATTCGGACTCAGTCGAATTCGCCAGCTTCAGCTTAATGTCTTTGTCGTCGTCTCAGCGCTGAAGAAAGTACAAAAAGGGAGGACGATTATACGCACAAGCGTCCGGGTCGAAATCATCCTTGTCCAGCAACCTCAGCTCCGCGGCCTTGGGATCCTCCTTCGGCTCCTCCGTAAACCCCCGCTCATCCACAGAGCCACCCCTGTAGGACCCCACACGCACGCCAGTAGGCAACGAGGGCACATCAGGAATGCTTCCAATGCCGGCCGGACCAGAGATATCCGCATAGCGCATTGACATCCGCTTCTTCATCTTCTCTCCAACACGCGTTGCACGTCGTTCTGCATCCCGAACGTTGGGATTGGGCTTGCGTATAGTGGTCTGGCGAGGCTGAGCGGCCTTGACCCGCGACTCGGATGGCTTGCGGGTTCGTAGGGATTGCATCGTGAACGGTAGTGAGGTCAATGAAGAATGTCTTGTAGAAAGCCCTAGTGTCAAGTATGCTGGTCCTGTGTTCTAGCCGGTTCAATATCCTTAAGTAAGAAACGTCATGCAGATTTCCTCGGTGAAGGTCGTAAGGTAGGAGGGGTATAGCGACGGCAACGCCGCGCTGCGATACATGCGATCAGGGTCCGTATATGGTAAGTGTGCACATATCGTGCGGCGCGTTGTACTTGGTCCTTCCAACCTCTGACCACACTCCTCTGAGGTATCTCTAGGCAACAGGGCCTCACCAACGGCACTTTTTACGAACGTCCGAGATATATTTGACTCTCAAATCCAGCCTGATTCATGAAACCGACTGAGACCCTAACCTCAGCGTGTCCTCCACCCGAATGTGGCAAACTGGGGTTGCGGAAACTCTGATTCCTCCGTTCAACCTTCCGCCATCCCCTCGCTGCTCGCACATCATGTCTACTCCTCACCTTCACGACTCCAGCTCTCAGAATGGAGCAGTAGCTCGATCAGCTAGCCGGAGTTCGCTAGACGCCGACATCGCACTTATGAACAAGCTCCTCTCAGAGGATGTAGACGAATCCGATCCCAGCATCGAGGAGCTGCTGAAGCGGCTCGAGGCTGCAGAGGGTCTCGCGGATGGCGTGGAGGAGCGTTTGGACGTGGTGATAGGCAGTCTAGACGAGCTCTTGAACGATCTTGAGGCGACGCAGGGAGAAGACGGGAAGGGAGCGGAGTCCCAGAAGGATGGGGTTCAGGTCGGGGCGATGGCAAAAACGAACTCGAGCGCTGTCGGTCGAGAAACTGCTGGGGAGCCATAGCTGCTGAGTTCTTGGACCCGCAAACGTCGGTAGGAGTATGCCGTAAGTCGCCGTCTGCTTGGAATCGCGTCTTTCGCGAACCTGTTTGAACGACAGTCTGCCCTCGCATGCGAAGCGGAGAGGAAGCATCCAACAGTCAGGGTATGGAAGGTATGTGCATGGGGTCCGTACCGCTGTACAAATCTTATCTCGTGTTTTTGACGTCAGTCGCGATGCACCCGTCATGTCGATGTCTACCCCTCAAAGCTTTGGGCCATAATGCGAAGAGATCGCCAGGCGCTACAACGCAGACCCTTGCCTCCGCCACGATATGCACTTCGTCAAATATCCAAGAAAGCAAGGCAGATATCATGGATAGATCATCCGACGTGTTCGGTATTAGTTTTAAACACATAAGCTAATGCATGACAGTACGATGCACACTTCATACGTCGACTTCTATCAACTACAATGTCCAATACGACGTATAGCAGCCGCCATACACAACTGCCGTCAAGTACACATTATGTTTATAGCACTGCTTCCATCCATCCCGTTTAATCGGAATCATAACCCTTGGGGTTCTTCGTCTGCCAGTTCCACAGGTCGCGGCACATCGTCTTCAGGTCCTTCTCCGCCTTGAAGCCGAGCTGCTTCTCCGCGAGCGCGGGGTCCGCCGTCAGGTCGGGCACGTCCCCGCGGCGGCGGCCGACGATCTCGTACTTGAAGTCGAACCCGGTCTCGGCGCGCATCGCCTCGACGATCTGGAGCACGCTCAGGCCCTGCCCGCGGCCGAGGTTGTACGCTTTGTAGCGCGCGTCGGTCGGGCAGTCGTCGAACGCCGTCGACTCAGGCGCGAGCGCGTCCAGGGCGAGCAGGTGGCCCTTGGCCAGGTCGAGGACGTGCAGGTAGTCCCGCACGCAGGTGCCGTCGCTATGAGGCCCGCGTCAGCATCATGTCTGTGTAGAAGGGTATGGGAGAGAACGGATACGTACGGGGTGGGGTAGTCGTTACCAAAGACCTTCAGGTCGTTGGGTTGGCGACCGACGGCGATGGCGGCGAGAAGGGGGAAGAGATTTCCGGGACGGCCGATAGGTGCTTCACCGATGTCACCAGACGGATGCGCACCCGCGGGGCTATCAGACCACGTTTAGCACAGTCGAAATCAGAGTCCTATCCTAAGAAACACTTGCTTGAAGTAACGTAATGATAGACCGCGCCAGCGCTTTGGCTCAGCTGTCGCATGCCCATGTCAGAATCACCTGGCACAGCACGGAAAGCGTAAAAGTGTAACGACACGTACCGGCACACAGATCGGAGATGATGGTCTCACACATGACCTTGGTCTTTCCGTAGGGCGAATGTGCCTCCAGGCGGGTCGTCTCGGGAATGGGGATAATGGGTGGGGTACCGTACACGGTCGCAGAGGACGAGTAGACTATGCGCGTGCAGTCGAACTCGCCCGCGACCTGGAGGAGGTAGACTGTCGCGGCGACGTTGTTCTCGTAGTACGTCAGCGGGATCTCTGTCGACTCCCCGACGGCCTTGTATGCCTGCGTGACGTACCCTCACGCATGAACCTCCTTTATGCGACTAACTGAGTAGGGTGTGGCAGAGACGTACCGCGATGTGAACGACGCCCCAGATGCCGCCCTTGCCATACTTGGCAAACACGGCGCGGATCTGGTCGGGCTTGGTGAGGTCCGCGGTGTGTCCGTCGATCTCGGCGCTGTCCTTGTCTTGCTCGGACGCATCGGCAGGGAGAGCCTCGCGCGCGAGCTTGGCGACACGCTCAAGGGCCTTGGGGGACGAGTTGTGGTGGTTGTCGATCGAGATGACCTTGTATCTCCGCGTCTGCTGGAGAGCAAAGATGACATGCGAGCCTGTCCAGGGAAGTCCAGGGCACGATGCGATTGCAGATGAGCATATAGAATGTAGGGGCAGGGTTGCGAAATAGAAGCATCGGCGGATAGTACGGAGATTCTCATGTCAGATACTAGGACGCGTGCTGACAGAACGTAAGAACGCGTGCGTACCGATGTATCCTGCACCTCCGGTGACTAGTACTCGCTACACGTCCAAAGTATTGGTCCCTCTTGCACGCGTATGACAGCTGGTCTACGACGCACCTTGAGCTCAGACATCTTGACTGAGATTTAGAGGGTGTTGAGGTAGAGGCTGCAGCAGGAAAGTCTGGAGCAACCTGCGGGGGAGTACGCGGTGCGAGTATTTATCGATTTCACTGTCGCGCATGTCGCGAACTTGAACCCCACCAGAGCGCATATGGCCGATCGTTCGCGCGACGGAGATCGGTCCCGATCCCCGGTGGTCACGGTCCGCTGCTAGAGCTCGCACCCCGACTGGCCTCCACCCGCAACATCGTCCCGACTCCAGATCGACGCTGCCTGTCTTAGGCCTAGATAACTGCGCGAGTGAACTGGGCTTAATCGTGCAGAATTTCACCCCGGTCCTCTCAAGCCGCAGAAGACGAGACCGTGCTCGCCCACACGACCCACCTCCATCGTCATCAAAACAGACAACTACATCCGAATTCCAGTTTGGAGCATATGGTACACCAGGCGCACTGCGACCTCCGGGCCCTGGTTCGTCAGCAACGCTTTCCATTCGCGTACATTCGTATAGGAAAACACGACCGCACAGCATCCTATCGTTCCTCCATCTTCACGTCCCCCTCTGCATCCCTCAGCGTCTGCGTCTGAGCGCTGTCTCGTGCTCCGTCCACAGCGGCGGCTTGTCCCTCCGCCTGAACAACTCCCGCTTTGCCACTGTTTGCCTCTTCCGCGGCTGGTGGTGCAGGACTGGCAGTCGCAGCGTTCGCAGCCTCGGCGGCGGCGGCCTTCTCTCTCTCCAACTTCGCGTTCTCGATTTCCTGCTGCAGCTGTATGATGTCCCCTGTGCCGATCTTCCCGAAGTGCTGCCAGTATTGATCTCGCGCCATTCGGAGCGCAAGCCATGCCCAACGTTGCTTGTTCTGTGCGACCATCGAACAGCATGATCAGTATGTGCTAGAATGGCAACAGATAGAAAAGAAGGGTGTCGTCATGGGAAGCACACGTACCTCTTCGTACCTCGCCAGCTGCGCGTCAGGTGGGAGCACGATAGGAGTAGGATCTGCAGGAGCTGGCGCAGGCGTGGCAGGCGCCGGTGTAGGAGTGGAAGGAGCGGCGGGTGGAAGAGGGTTTGGTGTCGACACACGCGCGGGTGATGCGGCCGCGCTTTCTGGCACTGGTGTAGAGCCAGGTTTTGCAGGCAATGAAGGGTGCAGGGGCACAGGCGCGCTGAGGGACGGATTCGGTTTTGGAGGCGAGAGCGAATCTTGTGATGCGGAGGTAGTTACTGTCGTGGCGGACGCGCTGTTCGGTACCACACTAGAAGCAGCGGGTGTCCCTGGTGCGGCCGCGCCGTCCTTGACCGCGGCGGCCTTTGCGCGAGCGGCCGCAATGCGCTCGGCCTGCTTCGTGAGCTGCTTTTTCCGCATCTCGATGCGCGCATCCTCCTGCTTGATCTTCTTGACAAAGTCCTTGACCTCACCTGGTCTGCATGTCCGATGAGCGCGTCAGCGGGAGCATATACGAAGTAGAGGATATCCACGCACTGGAAAGGTTGCTGCAGATCCCACAGGTCCCTGTATCCCATCTCCCATATCTCCGTGAGCGGCGCGCTTCCATACCGATGGGGCCACGGCTCCGGGTCCGTCCTCATCTTCTTCCTCACGCCCTCCGTCGCCTCTTCGAGTCCGACCTTCCGCTTCACCCCGTCCACCTCAATCTCCTCCCGCCACGGCTCCCGGTCGAACGGCGTGCACAGCTCATTCTTCCACTTCACCCAGTTCTTCTCGCGCTCCAGGATCACCTGCACCGTCTCGGAAAACGCGCGCCCATTCGGCGAGGTCTGGCGAAGCTCCTCCGTCGCGCGCGTGATCGTCTCCTGCACCCACTGCGCGTCGGCGGTGTCAAGCGTGAAGTCAATCTGGAGCGAGCGGTTGCGCGTGCTCGCCCACGTCGCCTTGGCTGTCTTGGTGAATGTGAGGAGGTGGTGGAGGAGAATGAGGAGCTGGAAGAGGAACTGTCGCCGGAAGTGCGTATCCGCGATCTCGAGGTCGAGCAGGTCCGGACTGGTGAGGTACTTGGCGAAATAGTACTCGCTCTTTGCGGCGCTCTCTGGCACGCCAGCGGCGCGTTTCCGCTTCAGGGGGCCAGACGGGCCAGTGGGTATGCCGTTTGACTTGTTGCCCATGAGCGCGCGGTCCTTCGCGGTGGCCTCCTTGATCACCGGCAGGACTTTGCTCACGGCCTCCTTGAATGCGGCGAACGTTCCCGGCTCCGCAAATAACGGCGGACGGGAGAACGGGAGCTGAAGGCCCCAGAACGTATAATAGAAGTCTGCTGGCAGTCAGTACCCACCAACCACAGGTAATGGCGAAGGACGCAGGGAAACACACCCACCCTCCTTCTCCTTACGCCGCTTCTCTGCTGCGTTGGCCGCTTGCTCTTCTTTCGCCTTCTCATCCTCCACATCGACATCCATCTTATCCTTGTCCTTCTCACCCTCCCCATTCTCGCCCTCCTGCTTCTCTGTCGCGCTTGCTTTCTCGCGCTCCTGCCCCTTCGTACCGGGCCCGTCCCATACCGGACCGTACTCTCCCCTCAGGTTCACTCCGCTCCGCTCGCCAAGCGGGAACACGCGACTGAGGAACGTGAGGATCCGTCCTGTAAAGATGGTGGTCGCCCCAGTGTTCGACAGCCGGCGGAGGAGATCATTGAGCGTGCGGAGGAGGACGAGAGCCTTGCCCTTTTGCGGGACCATGCCCTCCGTGAGACGCTCCGCGCGCGCCTCGATCCAGGAGAAGATGTGTGAGCATGAGGAGATTGTCTGGGCTTCAAGGAGGTCTTGGAGCACGGTGAAGGGGAAGACTTGGTCGCACGCATCTGAGGGGAACCTGCGCGTAAGTGGGCGAGGATGAACAAGGGGTAGAGGGGCGCGTGGACGGACCGTGCTCGGTAAACGTGAGGACCATGTCGAGCATGTCGTTCAGTTGGTCATAATATGTCGTCTTGGGGTCTTTGAGGGCCTTACCCTCTGTCGCCTGCACGCGCGCGCACGTTGAGGACCTCGAGGTGACGTGCATGACTATATACGCGACTCACCGCTAAGTCGAAGACCGCGTTCCTCAATACAAATTCCCATTGGTTCTTCCAGCTCTCTGGGTTAGCTCCCGACTGCGCCTTGGAAAGCGTTTGCTCTACGAGCGAGTCGAGAGTTGCTTTGTCCAAAGGAGGAGGAGGCATGGAAGTGAGCAAGGCATTGAGGCTCTGCTGTATGGCTTGCATCGTGTCGGTAGATGTGATAAGTTATGTGGACAGTGTCATCAAGCAAGTTGCACGGTCCTGAGCATGCGGCGCCACAGCTCCAGGTTGAGCCTACGTACAGTGGGACGTGACGGCGTGATCAATGGAGTCACATCAATGGACTTCTCGTGACACCGTCAACCGGTCACGGTGTACGCTGCCGCGTGCTTTATTGAGTATCACCACTTCAATCTCGAGCAATGGGTTTCATGACTACCACGATCCAAAATGCGCATGTCATCTGTGCGCTATTGTGTCCTCTTGTACGGCTGCGGAGGTTTTTTGCGTGCGAAGTTCGAATCGGATATCCGTTCTCGACAGGCTCCGACTTGGTCCACAAATCCCGAGTCTAGCACGGTCTATATTTGTGAGCCTTTGTGGCTTACTCTCCTGGAAGACGGCTTTCCGAGATATACTGACGCTGTCACTAGGTTGCTATCGTCTATCCGTTTCTTCTCAGGATACGTATTCATGCGAGAATCGAAATACGTTCAGGTGAATCCACTGAAATGGTTTGATCATTTGACTCTGCTGGCGGCTCCGCCGTGCTTCTTCGAACGCTGAAGGTCTCATGAGCTGCCAAGAGGAGAGCCTGGTGTACATTGAGATGGAGAGCGTACCGCAAACCTGGATGCTATTGGCTCCCTCGTGCCGTGTTATATAAGAGCAGCTGCAGCACGGTACGGCTCTAAGGAACCCACGGTGCCCAACTTGAGTTGTTCGCGTGCCATGACTTTCGGAATCCTTGGTGAGTGGCTACTCTAGTCAAACCATGCAATTGCTGACCTTCCCGACATGCAGACGATAACAAGCTTGAGAAAGTTCCCGGGACTGGGCTACTCTCCGACCAGGGGATCGTTCACGGGCATGAAGTTGCAATCGACGAAGCGAAGGACTTGAAGCGCGGTGTCGGAAAGTACGCACACGTTGTGCTCATACCGCAGCCGTCTGATGATCCTCGCGACCCGTACGTGATCATCTCGCTGAGAGGGGTCCCGCAGCTCTAGATCTGAGCTGAAATGTCGCAATTCTTAGTTTGAATTGGCCGACGTGGAAGAAAGAAGCGTGTTTCTGGACCCTGTGAGTGATGGCAAAACCAGTCCGTGCACTGAAAACCACGTCCTCTGACCAGTCGAGGGCAGGGCTTTCGCCGCAAGTCTAGACGGCGCACTATCCCCTATGGTCGGCCCCGGCTACACCTTGCTAGCGAAGCAATTTGACGTCTCGGTCGATGATGTCACCTCGTCTTTCGGCTTCATCCTTCTTGGACTCGGAACGTTCATGTAAGGGTTAGGAGTGGTGTGTACTCGGTGCTGTTCTGATGATAGGATAGGCTCGTGCAGAATGCTTTGGCGGTCAAATTCGGCCATCGTATCGTCTACCTCCTCTCTCTTTCCTTGGTATGTGCATGGTCTTACCTGAAGCCTGCGTTGCTGAACTTCTGCATAGATGTTCATATCTTGCATTTGGTGCGCTTTGAGCCCGAATCTGGCCTCGATACGGGCTTCGCGCGTTTTCCAAGGCTTTGGTATGTCTGCCCTACAAACGTGAGTGTCTGATCTCAAGATCATACCCTGCTCGCCGACGCGGCGTTTCGCATTCTCAGCCTTGTTGCTTCGACTATTGAGCAAATCTACTGGTAAGGATGGATTCACATATTCTATTTAGTCTGGCCTCTCAAATGTTTACTCTAGCGTCCATGAGCGAGGTTCGCGCTCGGTGATTTGGAGTTTTTCCATCATGGCAGGCATTACGCTGTGAGTCTATGACCGAATTGAGGAGACAGTTCCCGCTCAGCTCGCTTCCAGAGGACCCCTCATCTGCAGCTATGTGATCCAAAACATCTCTTGGGAGTTCGGCTTCTGGTTCGTCAGCATTCCGCTTGGGTTGAATACCCTTGCTGTCTTCTTTTTTGTTCCTGAGGTACGCCTTTGTCGTTCGTTTCGTATTTACGAAGTGATCACATATGGTTCGTTTGTAGTCAACGTTCGATCGCAATACCGCTAAGCAATCGCGAGACGAGGATTCGGCCAGTTCGGAGAAGCCTTTCTCAGATGCAGAAATAGAGAGCGTGGGCCGTTCCTCGGCCGCTCCGCCTCCGGTGCCGAGCTATATGTCTTCGCTAAAGATCTGGAGCGGAACCTATACGGATGAAAGTATATGGAGGTTATCTCTTAGGCCATTCCCGTTCCTCCTGTCACCGGTGGTATGGGTTTCCCCACCTTGGTTCCTGGAGGAAAGGCGTTGACAACACGTCGGCGACCTTTGCATAGACATGGTTTCTTTTCCTGACACAGGGGCTGCAGACCGTGTGGCTGAGTGAGTAGTGGGATCGGAACGTGCGTATAGCTCTCTAACGAAGGCATAGGTCTCGTTCCCCTTTGTTCGTCGACTATCTTCACTTTGGAGTACAATTTCAACGCCACCCAAACTGTGGGTGTGGTCACATCTAACCTTGCTCTTCAACTTATCCCGACACGACCAGGGCCTGACGAACTTGGGCGGCTTGGTCGGCATCGTCCTCGCTATGGCCGTCACCGGTCCACTGAACGACTGGGGCATCGTTTGGCTGTCCAAGCGGAACCGCGGTGTTTACGAACCCGAGTTTCGTTTAGTGTTCATGTCAAGCATGCTCTGCGGCGTATTTGGCTACGTCGGATGGGCTGTTGGTAACGACCACCACATGCCTTGGATCGGAGCAGTTGCTTGTATAACGTGCGTAACATTGAACCTTATATCCGTCGGTAGTGCTGATTGTATGCGCTCTATAGGATGTTGAACTTCAGCATCGTCGTCTCCGGCTCGGCTTCGGTGACTTACCTCCTCGACACGCATCGTGCAAACGCGCTTCACGTCTTCGCACTAAGCAACTTCGGGAAGAACATGGTTCTCTATGCTTCAACCTTCTTCGCGAACGGCATCATCCTCTCACGTGGCGTCAAGGTTTCCCTGCTGATACTTGGGGCGTGCCAGGCCGCTTGCTGGGCCGCGTCCGTCCCAATGTACATTTACGGGAAACGCGTCAGGTCGTTCGTGAGTAACTCAAACTTCATTGACAGGACAAGGAGATATCTGACGAAGACTTATATAAATTACCTTACAGATTGCCCGGCATCCTCAGTTGTTCCAAGGAGATCTTCCTGCATCCGATTTGGTGTCGAAGGAGACGTCGAAAGCGCCATAGCCGCCCCTGACTGCGCAGCACAAGTATCTACCTGTCTCATTCGAGAGTTCATCGAAGTTAAGCCCTTGTACACCTGGGACTCTGCGTTCCTGCACGATACACGCTCAAGTACGGCTTCCGCTGGTTGTATTCAAGTTCTGCTATCGTGGGTTTTCTTAGAAGACAGCGCGGCTCATGGGAGGCACGCTATGCCGATAACGTCGCATGTTTCCCCAGCATATCATTTCTGGGAGTGCTCCCATGATTACTTGCATGAGAGAAGCTTGCTTATTCCTACCTCGCCTCGGTGGCACAAGGGATCACTTGACGTCCCCAGTGCTTCTCGCGCCCCTATAGCTCCACGACCAATCAAGCCTTCAAACAAGGCTGGCCAACCAGTACTGCTCAGTGCGACATTATATAGTATGGCCGTGGCCATTTGTGGCTGTTCCCTCCTGCCCGCGTTCATCGCGCTTGCTTAGCTGGGCGCCATGGTGTTCGGAATCCTTGGTATGTGCTGAATTGGCGGTCGAGTTCCTTAAAGAACATGACATGACTTGTTGCCGTATTTGTAGACGATCGCAGACTTGAAACTGTCCCGGGAACTGGGCTGCTATCGGACCGTAGAAATGTACACGGACACCAGGTTGCCATAGACAAGGCCGGGGAACTCAAGCACGGCACAGGTAGCTACTCGCATATCGTGCTGATCCCTCAGCCTTCAGATGATCCCCGTGATCCGTTCGTCGTTTGTCAAGTTCCCTCTGTCCGTCGTGCTAACGAATCGTTACGCGTCCCCTTTGACAGACTGAATTGGCCTAGGTGGAAGAAGGAAGCATGCTTTTGGACCTTGTTCGTGCTTCATCCTAACTTTGGTACTCGAACTTACGCATTTGCTATTTCTATTGCCTGCGTTGGCAGAATATTTGCGACTAGCCTAGCAGGTGTGCTGTCGCCTGAAGCCAGTGCCGGATATACGCTGCTAGCGAAGCAGTTCAACGTCTCCGTGGACGAGATCACTTCGTCTTTCGGCGCGCTCGTCCTAGGGCTGGGGATATTTATGTCAGTTCCTCTCGTGTCAATCCCTTTCTTGTTGCCGACATGTACTGGTTACATAGGCTCGTGCAAAATACTCTTGCTGTCAAATACGGGCATCGAATTGTGTACCTTTTGTCCACTTTCTTGGTATGCAACCACAATCCCAACCACAGCTGCTTGTGACTCACTCGCTCTAGATGTTTATATCTTGCGTTTGGAATGCTCTCAGCCCAAACCTAGCTTCTATCCGCGGCTCTCGGGTATTCCAGGGGTTTGGGATGGCTGCTCCGCAATGGTAGGCATGCTATCTCGTAAAATCGGCGTCAATGGGTAAATTCATTGGTACCGTCTGTTAGTCTTGTGGCAACCACAATTGAGCAGATGTACTTGTAAGCATGTCACACATACCTGGTGAGCTCTGATCAGGTTCTCACAAAACGTTCCAGCGTACATGAACGTGGCTCTCGCTCGGTCATTTGGAACTTTGCGCTGATGGCAGGAATCACATTGTGAGGAATTTCACTTTGGCTGGGCTGTTGGCTAACTGCGGTTGCAGGGGGCCTCTCATATACGGTTATGTCATCCAGAACCTGTCATGGCAGCTTGGCTTCTGGTTTACCAGCATTGCTTGTGGGCTTTCCTTCATCGGTGTTTTCTTCTGCGTTCCCGAGGCAAGTTATTCATAATCGGCTTTCGCGAGACAGCCAGGATAACATACCCTAGACAACTTACCATCGGGGAGCAGTGACTACGGAGGTCGAGTCCCAGATCAAGGAGAATGCTAGTCGAAACAGCATAGAGAAGACGCTCCGGAAGTCAGAAAGTCCGGACGTGGAAAGCTTCGACCGCACTCCTCCATCTCCGAGTCCACCGACCTTCCTCTCCCAGCTAAAGGTGTATAATGGAAGGCTCTCTGAAGAGAGCGTCTGGAAGATCTTATTGTCGCCGTTGCCATTTGTCCTGTCGCCGGTGGTACGTGTGGTCGTCCGCCAATAAGTGCCTGACCTCATTTCGATACCATGGTGCCTTACAGACATGGTTCGTCTTCTTGACGTACTCGATGCAAACAGTCTGGTTGAGTACGTGTTAATCATTCCACCGTGTCTTCCTGAGACGAGAAACTTTAATTGGCTACAGGTCTGGTACCGTTGTGCTCTTCGACGATCTTCACAATTGAATATAACTTCGATGCAGCTCAAGTCGTGCGTCTTCCTTGCTTGACATCCGGATATGCCATTCACCGCCGTGTCCTATCGTTAGGGTCTAACCAACCTTGGTGGCATCGTCGGAATTGTGCTTGCCATGCTAGTCACTGGACCCCTCAACGACTGGGGCATCGTCTGGATATCCCAGAGGAATCGTGGGGTCTATGAACCGGAATACCGGCTCATGTTCATGATTGGAATGTTATTCGGGGTATTTGGCTACGTAGGCTGGGCAGTGGGAAACGACCAACACATGCCGTGGATCGGCGCAGTAGCATGCATCACGTAGGTCCCATCCTTCGTCCGTTCATCTCACCAGTGTCATAACACCGGTAGCTCCGGACACCGACCCTCCCCTCACGGCACTGTGCCAGCCTATCCATTTCTCGAAATCCCGTTAACACCGCATCTGACCTCCGCTTCGACCGGCAGAATGCTCAATTTCAGCATGGTCGTCTCCGGTTCGGCCGCAGTGACGTACCTGCTCGACACCCACCGCGCGAACGCGCTGCACATCCTCTCCATCACGAACTTCGCGAAGAACATGGTCCTCTACGGCTCCACGTTCTTCGCCAACGGCATCGTCATTTCCCGCGGAGTCAAGGTAGCGCTCCTCATCCTCGGCGCCTGCCAGGCGTTCTGCTGGCTCGCCTCGGTCCCGATGTATATATACGGGAAACGCGTCCGGTCCTTTGTGAGTGCGGTACCGACTTGGTCTCATCAAGCGACACCTTTGTTCTCCCCATGTTTCAAACGTCTCCGGAGCAATGAGCTGACTCCACGGACAGATCGCGCGCCATCCCCGCCTTTTCCGAGGAGACCTCCCGGCATCCGAATTCCCGGCTGGCGAGCATGCGGAGCGGCGCTAGACGGAATACGACGGGGCTGCGCACTGCGTCCTGAACCATCCACACGTACTGCGTACTCAACGCCTGTAGTATGCTTCCCCATTCCAAGGTATATACGCGCACCGCAATTTGCCAGCATCGCCATCTATCAAGCTCAGAATGGAAGTCGTTGTATTCTCGCCGCCGGTGCTGACGAGCTTCAGGGTGTGTGCCTGTCAAACAAGTCCGCCACAGACGTACATGCGTCCATCCATCATGCACGATGCGCGATGGCGATGCGCACGAGCGCATCCCGCCGTGCTGGCTTCCGATTCTTGAGGTTCGATTTTCACAGTCAGATGATGAAGACAGAGGGATGACATCGTACGGGGGCTCAGCGAGCAGCGCATGCAGATCCGGACAGAAATGGCAGGTGTCTAGCGTCTGCGTCACGTATTAGCCGCACGCGCGGTATGAAGGTTTGAAGCATCGGGTAGAGAACCGAGTGGCATATTACAGCCACCCAGGACAAACCATTCAGGAGAGACACAAGGAACGGGAGCACGAGAGAGCGCGTGAGATTATGAAAGCGACCGACGCCTAGAGCCCAAGTTTCCTATTGCGCGCGATGGGAATGTGACACGCTATGCGAAGATGGGAAGAGAGAAAGGGAAGACGAGCGAGCGGGTTGAGAGTTTGCCATTACAGTAGGCCCTGGGAACGCAAGGTGTGTGGGAGTAGATTATACACAGCCAGCCGACGGCCGAAGAGCGGCACAACATTGATAGGAGAGATGGAAAGAGATACGACGATATATGGGGGGGATGACAGATTACAAGGAGAGCTAGAAGTTGGCATTGGAAAGATATCCGGGCTAACATTGAGAAGAAAGGGAACGAAGGTGTTATGTAAGCACTAGAACGATTGCATGACATTGAGAGCGTCACAAGTGTAGACTATGCAAATAGATGGAGAGACACGACACGTAACGATAATCCGGACAATCGGAACGGGAGTGGTTCAGGCGCAGTCGAGGCTGCAGAGCCAGGTAGGGTCGCAACGTAGCGCTTGACTGACAGAGTGGTCGAACGTAGCGCGCAGATGACACGGATGCCGCAGCAGACTGCGAGGCGCGCGACTGGGGAGATCGCAGGAAGGGCAGGGGTGGATACTACGACAAAATTTAGAGTACAATTCCAGGTGTGCATGATGATGGGTCGTCTTCGCTGCGGTCCTGAACGATCAAAGTTAAGCGGACGCCGGCCACCGGAAAAAGCGGAGAAAACGAAGCCAGGCGGTGTTTGCGAGGCGATGGCGGTCGATGGAAGGCGGACGTACGTGATAGTATGATACATCCTGTGGGTCTCCGGATCCGACCCAAGATCGAAGAAGCACCGGCGCTCGCTCGTGTCACATCAACGAAGATGACTTCAGGTTCGCGGTGAGGATGATGTCGCGCACTGTCGTCGGCACCCGGCCGTATTAGGTCAGTGCGTTCGGTGGCCATGAGGTCGTGACAGGGAATGTGAGAGCGAGAAGCCGAGAACGCACCGTTTGATATAATGATATGCGTCTTTGGGGTATCGGTGACAGCCGTCAAATGAACTATCGCACAAAATGACATTGATTGCCCGGTTTCCTCGACAATGAATGAATACACGTACTGAATAGCTCTCTCGACTTGTTTGGTGACAGCTGCTGATGCATTGCGCCAAACCGGTTACGAAAGTCTGTATTGCATCCGTAAACTAGTCAGCACCTGACCCGAAAACTGGACCACTAAGGAGGAAAGCACGTACACTGCGAGACCGTGTCATAGTCATTCGGACGGTTGAACGACGGCATATAGTGCTTCAGCCGCACGCCGCTCTCGAGCTTCTTCTTGAGCAAGTCGCACTTGTTCAAGAAGAGCACGATGTTCACGTGCGCCAGCAGCCTGCTCTCGATCACAGACTTCCAGAGCAGAAACGAGTCTTCCAGCCGGTTCACCTTAGGGTCCTGGCGACCTGTCAGCCGTCACGCTGCCTCGCAGCTGTTACGCGGGGACGCACCTCCGCCAATTGCTGATCGAAGGCACTGATAGGTGCAAGGAAGATTATCGCATTGACTACCAAACGTGCGTCAGCGCCATATCGCGAGCGGGGATGCCTGGCTCGCTGGCTTACCGTCGTCGAAATACGGGGCCCAAGCCTGCCGCTGATTCCGCGCGCCGCCGACGTCGTATATCACCCACTCGACCCCGCGGAACTCGGTGTTCTTCGCCAGCGTGAACTTGTGTTCGACTACCCCTGTAGTCTTCAATCGTGCCTTCAAGACGTCGTCTAATTTGCCGAGCGCGTCATGAGCACATATCCACTTGTTCAACAAGAAAGCCCACTCACCGTCGGTGGGGAAGTACATCTTGGCCGTTATTCGGTCGATCTCGTCCAAATAGCTGTCCGCCAGGCACCCGTCAGCCAAACGTCCGCAATACGCACACAACGGCCGCCTCCAACACTCAGCCAGCAAAAGCAGCAGCAGCAGCAGCAGCAGCAACCAAGAAAAAAACCCCAAAAAACACTCACAACCCGCTGCTCTCCTCCAGCCGAATCTTCTTCTCCGCGAGCCGCTGCTGGATCTTCGGGTCCGCCCACAGCTCCTTCATGACGGGCGCGCACCGGTTCAGGACGTGCACCGGGTCGCCCGGGTCCTCCCACCACCCCTCGAGCTCGCCCGAGTGCGCCGTCTTCTGGCTCTGGATCTTGCCCAGCGCGAAGTGCTTCTTCCAGTTCGACCCCGTCCGGATCGACGGCTCGTGGTTGCTCCCGCTGCCCAGCGACACCGTCGGCGACGTTGGGGACCGCGGCGACGTCGGCCCTGCGCCTGCCCCCGTCGCCCCCGATGGCCCCGCGGTGGGGTGTGGGTGCGAGTGCGAGTGCGAGGGCCCGGGCGTCGGCGGGATCGTGATCGGGGGAGGGCGCCCGGGCTGGTGGGCGGGGACACGGGCGCCCCCGTGAGAGGACGCGGACGCGGACGTCCATCCGGAGTATGCGGAGGACGCGGACGTGGAGGGGGATATGCCCGCGGGGGCGGCGAAGGCGGAGAAGGAGTGGGGCGAGAAGCCGGGGAGGTGGGTCGCCTCCTTGTCGCTGTTGTCCTCGGGGTCGGAGAGGACGTTGATGAGGCGCTGCTCGAGGTCCATGAGCGGCGCGAGCCGGCGGCGGTACGCCTCGTAGTTGGGCTGGTTGCTCGCGTGCGACGAGGAGGGGCGGTCGGGGCTCGCGATGATGATGGAGGCGGTTTCCGTGCTGTCCCCGAAGTCCTCTTCGTCCAGCCCGTTGATATCTTCCGGCGAGATGGCCTCGAGGATGCTGCGTAAATATAGAGAAATGGTCAGCATGGTCTGACGAAGGCGCACATACGCGACAGGGACCCACCGGCGGATGGAGCGGACGAGGTTGAGGTAGATAACGAAGCGCCATGCTATTCGCTCTTTGTGAAACGCAGCGGGTGTATGCAAGAGCTGGAACTCTGTCCAAGAAACGAGCGGTGAGCGATATATAATAGACCGAGACACGACCAGGAGGAGTCTCAGTCGAGCTCAGATGGTGGCAAAGGCCGGTGCTTGTTGGTAGGGCGATGAACGAGACGACAAGGACAATGACACCATTCTAGAAGAGATGACCGGTGGCCAACTGCGATCGGAGCGACCACGGCATGTATCTAGCAAGCGAAGACAGGCCCAGGGACGACTAGGAGAATATGTAAATGCGGGCAGCACCAGGGGGTGTGGCCGGCATCCGATCGACGCTGGGCGCTTACTGGGGAGACCGATCTCTCCTGTCAGAAAGTACTTGGGAGCGATCGGAGAGGACGCACGGCTGTGTATGTGGCATGTAAGAAGACCGCATCGCGAGCTGCAGACCCATCGATGTGGCATGGCATGGCGCGCTGGGGCGCGCTCACCTCTCTCGCTGTGCAACCGGAAACTCTGGCTGTCTGGGTGAACCTTGTACGGTGCCCCACTCGCGTCCTTGGATACAGATGGGGCGCCGTATACAGTTACGCCCTGACCGGGTTCTCGATAGCAGTGGGAGTCGTCAAATGCACCGAAATCCCTGCAGGTCGAGGGCGGGGAATCTTGGTGAATAAAGGGGGGAGCACTCACGTTTTAGAGTTGTGCTCTTTCCGCTCTCGCTCTGGCCGAGGAGAAGGACCTTGACGGTCTTCTTCCTGCGGTTGCGCTTGTCGTCGTGGCGAAGCATGCGGTCGATGTTCTCGCTGCGCTTCCTGGCTTCCTCCTCTTGCTGGAGGCGCGCTTCGCGCTGCTCGGGGGTTTCGTCGGGCGGGGGGAGGAGCGCGGCGAGGAAGGGGTCGGAGGGGCGGCGGTCATGGTCGTTGGGGAGCTGCTGAGAGCGGGCGTGGGTGGACTTGGCGGCGCGCATGTGTGTTGCGGGGCGGGGAAGGGGGGCGGGGACGTCGGGGGAAAGGAGGGACAGGGAGAGGGAAGGGGAGGAGGAAGGAATGGCTTGGAGAGCGGTATGTGGCAGACGGGTGGCCGGAGAAGGAAAGTGAGGGTGAGAAGAGGGGGGTGCGTTCTAGAAGGCGAGAAGGAAGAGTGGGCGTGCGGGCCGTGGACGTTCGCCCGCGGGTCGCTGGCGGACGAGGACTGCAGGCTTGGGCTTAGGCGGCTTAGGCGGCTTAGGCTGAGACTGAGGCTAAGCCTGCGCGTTTGGGCGATCGAGAGAGCCACGGCGAGAGCCACGGCGAGAACAAGCAACGCACGCACGCGATGGAGCGGCCAATGATCCGGGACGAGCTCCCCCTCCGCCCGTCTCAGATCAGAATAACAATCCCATTAATCGCCGTTCGCACTCGCCTGCACAGCTCTCTCCATCCCTCGCCATCGCCCCTCGTCATCCTCCTCAGCCCGGACAGCCCCTGCACACGCCCGTGCGGCACCGTCCATCGAACAGTCCACGCCGATCACACAGAAACCCAGAGCCTCCGGCCGACGTACGGCCCTCGCCGCCCTCCCATATACAAATATTGTCTCCACCGAGCGTTCTTAGTAGACCCTTGTCAGTCCCGCCTTATGCAGCAAGCGGCCAGCGTCCTCGGGTCCTGTCCCTCCAATTCCGTCATATTGTATTCAATCCCACTCCCTCTCCCGGCGCCTTGCTGCGTACAATACAAGCTGTGACCCCAGCTCCAGCCGCGAGTCCCGGTCGCGTCGCACCCCGGCAGGTGGTTGATCCATTCCGCATATGCATGCTCCTCTGCCGGTACATACGCATGGTGCACCTCCTTCTCCTGCACTTCCTCCCGAGCCCCTTCGCGCCGAGCCCCCGCCGCAATCTCTGTACGCACAACGTGTATCGTGCATCTCGCATCTCCACAGGCGGAACATCCCACACACCAGGCACGCCTGACCCAGCTTGACAGCTTCGCGTCCCCGCTCTCGGCGAGGGGGCCCTGTTCGCAACTCTTCCCCCGGTCTTCTCTATCTTCTCATCCCTGCGTATCGGAGCATCAGACATTCGCGGGCAGAACACGGCACATGTGTGTCCTCTCCTCTGACTGACGAGTGCGCACCCTGCACCTCGTAAGTCCTCCCCGGAGCATTCGAATTTCCATAGCAACATGTCCTCCAGTGCGCCGCGCCCGAACATGTATTCCTGTCAGCCGCAAAAGCCCCCGACGCAGTTCTTGCCAAATCCGGTAAGTACGTTCGATATCGAACCTCGTCCCATTTCAGCCCTCAGCGATGGCGAAGCCCTCCCACGCCGAACGCTTCTGCACCGATATGCCGTCGTCTCAGACGACCACGGCCCTCCCACTCGCCAGGGATATTCGCCTTCCCAGCGAGCTCGACGGGCGGCATTGCGTTCGGTACCCAGCGAGCCTCTCCCGCGAGCGAGCGCCGCGGACTAGCACATTGATAATGCTACGCGAGGATAGTCTCGCGGCTTGCCCCCGTACAGTACGTAACTCCCCATAGCACGCTCTCGTAGACTGCTGACGCCACGACAGCGGCGCCGAGACACTATGTACATATACGCATACGACCCAATCGCACATGCAGCTGCCCTACGCGGTTCGATCGGCAGGCCAGCCTCGCTGGCGTCCGCGTCGGCGACTGCGCGTCCGTAGCGTGCGGACTGGGGCCCGACGCGCCGACCTATCAAGACGCCGGTGGCAGACGTGGAAGCCCTGCATGGCATGGTCCGTACCGAATAAGCTCATATACGTCCCGTCGCGCACCGTCATCCGCATGCGCGGTGCCATTTAACTCGGCTGTACGTAACGATTATCCGCAATATCATGGTGTCTGTTCACATCAATCGCTGTGGTGTCTGTCGCGCGCGATGCTCGAGCGTCGTATATCAGCGACCGGCGTATGCTGTCCGCCTGTCGTGCTCTCGCTCCGAGAGCACGGGCCGCGCAAGGTCTCGAGCTCGAGCGCGGCTACGAGTAGTGCAGTCCGACCACTTGTCCAGTCCCGCTCGCTCCTGTGCCAGGCCCAAGGGTGGCGTAGGTGTCACCCGCGGACCGCGCGTCGCATGCGCAGATAGAACGGGCTCTACGAGGTTCGGCAAAGAACTACCCCTGCCCGTCTCCGCTCACGGGGACGTGCCGTACACCGCGAGCGAGGTGAGACCAGCGAACGACGCGCGGAAGAACGCGCCGTGGAACATTGCGCGCGGGAGCAGAGGACGCGCGGGATGCGTTCGGCCAACACCTCAGCTGCCGACCGCTCCCCTGTGGATCGATGCCGGGTGCCGGTCTCGCACACCGGTCAATTGTCGTCCAGCCGCGCCGATGGCCAGCGCAGAACGTCACTGAACGCACCCACAGCTCGACGTCCGATCCGCCATCGGACTCGGGCGAAGCAGCGGCAGGTATCGAGCGACTTCGCGGCGCGTCAGAAGGCGCGTCATACCGCGCAGCCGCTGTGCGCTGTCGAGTGTGTGCCTTGATGGGATAGCTTGCCGATTGCAAGGCATAGCGCGAGGGGTGGCAGGGCGACACGGCTGCGCCAGCGATCGCGGTTTTGGCGCTCCGTGCTGCGACGGTGGTACGCTGCCAGCACGTACTACTTCTCGGAAAGCCTATTCCTCACGCAGCTCGCGCGCCATGGCCATGGGGCCGACGCTTGCTGATGCGATCCTCCGGTCATTGCGGCGCCCGTGGTCTGCAACGAGGAATTGGTGACCGAAAGCAGGCCCACGGGCCAGTTGTGAAGGCCGTAGGCCAAGAACCGCGGAGGCGTCGTAACAGTCCGTCAGCGAAGGAATAAGAAACTTCGACGATACAGTTGTCGTGCGGGGTCCGGGCGAAGGCAAGGTTGGTTTTTGCGGCCCGAATATCCATATTCAGGTGGAGTGTGTTCTGCCTGCGGGGACCACGCTCGACGGGGGGTGAGCTTGAGCTTAGTGCCACCGTGGCCCTATCTCCTGTACCTTACCTTCCCACCCGCACTGTCTGACGCGCTGTATCGCGCCCTCCGCCCTACCATCTCGTGCGGAGAACAGCGTACTGCGTCGTGGCGCACCCACATACACTCCCAGTATCAGAGATGTGCAACGGGGGCCGTGCTTCTGTAATTCGTGATGTGCTGATGAAAGTCTATAAGAGATATTAGGGTACTAGTCCTGCTGGTGGCTGTTCAGAAGGTACGCCCCACCTTTATTAACATGATTGACTGCCTGGGAGCCCGCCGGCGTATCCATTCACACCTTCCTGGTGTCTCACAATCCAGGGCAGACTCGTCCGCATGCGTCCTGAGGGGCATGGATGAGTGAGATCTGGTCCCTGCTTTCTGTGGACGGATGCTATCGGACTGACCGCAGGTGTCAAATTTAAGATTCCCCGCCCCCGGTTGACGGTCGTCGTGAATGCGGCTATCTCCCCAGGCCTTCTACGATGACCGTTCGCCTTCCCACAGTGGCCTGCAGTGTCCCTCGTATTCTGACATGAACTGGAGAAGTCCCAGCTTCGCGGGCCGGTAGGCCAAGTGAGACGACCTGACCGGGCTTGTGAGCCAGAACAAGAAGTCAAGGCCGTCGGAATCCCGTAAACCTGCGCGCGTCCGCCAAGTCTCAACACCCATAACCCAAGTTTGCCGTCGCTATTGGGGATACCGGGCCCGCGCGTTCCGGTAGTTGACTACGCAGCGGCAGCGGCCCTGAGTAATTGCGGCGTAATTCCCAAACCCCGAGTTTCCCAGGTTCGCGAGTTTTAGGTTTGTAGAACGTCAGCGCACAGTAGATACCGAAGAACGCCGCATTGTCATGTCATGCAATTCGCAGTAGCGGCATTCACATGGCAGCGGGATGCCATAATGCTCCCGCTTCGCCTTCCAATGGGAGAATCCTCGCGAAGCTTGCGCGAGGGAAATGAGGATGCGAACGCGGTAATTGCGGGAGTGCAGGAGCACATCGGACTCGCTCGATGCTCGCTCCTTCCATGCTAGAACAAACCTGCGTCGTTCTACGTGGACGCCGAGCGAGAGCGGACAGGAGCCAAGTCTTGGAAGCGGCAAGAAAGGCTCAGCACATTCATTCGAAATTCTGAGATAGGCTGTTTGCTTACCCGTGTCCACCTGCATGATGCTTTCCAAGCCTACGCGCCGCACACGTAGAGCACATGCGCCCGAGAGAGAAGCAAGTAGGGTCCAGCATTCGTCCTGAAGAACTGGCGTCTGATTCTACGACAGTTCATGCATTCATGAGCGGCCGGTGAAGCCATTCGCCTTCAAATTAAACGACAGGCAAGTGGCGAGAGGTGGCCGTATATGGCTCCGGGACCCTGAGATGCGTTTCATTAACGCGACCTATACGTACGCGTCCTTACGCACAGGCACACCTGCGCGTCACTGGGGAAGGGTAAGGAAGCATCCCGCTAACCTTGTCTCCGGATGAGGGAACTCCGGTCCAAGTCCCACATGCTCCTGTAGCTGGGAGCGCCCCTTGTGACATACGAGCATTCCACTTCGCAGCCCACCCGCGATAAGCGACAGCCAATTGCCAATGCAAGCTGCTCGCAATGCGAGCGGTCAGAGCGTGGGGAAGATGTGCGTGCGCGTTCGTGTCATCGGAACGGGATTCTTGGAATCGATGACGGAGAAGATGGACGGATGCGATACGAATAAGTGCCAAGGGTCGCCACGCAGGCCAGATATAGACACGGACACACTCGGACGCGCGTTCGGCCGTGTGCGTGCGGTGCTGACGGACAACACTAATCGTGGTCCGCGGGTATGCTTCGCGCCTGGTTTGGCAATGTTCCCAACCAAGATCAAGCAGGTTTATCGGCGCGTGAGGTGGCAAGGAGTGTTACTCCTGTATCCGATGGGGCTTCCCGGAGGGAACCCTAGAGCAAGAGCACGCAGATGCGAGAGGATAGAAAAGCCAGAAGAGTGGATTACGAGGGAAATGCGATGACATCGTGAGCCTATCGCTCACCCAACAGCCTGAGACAGTCCATCGCCGAATCGCCCGTGCGTGCGGTGTACTGCGGGTTCATCTGCGGTGCCATTCGTGCGCGCATTATGTGCCCTCTCTGCACTCTGCCTACAGTGCTCTTCCGGATTCAACGCGCAGCACAAGCGGGGACCCTCCGTCCAGGACAGACTCACCAGGCACAGCTGACGCGGATTTCATTGTGGGACATTGAGGTTGGCAGATAAGCGCGCCGGGGACACCGGGAGAAGAGGGATGTGTAGGGCCCTAGACTTCTGGGGTACAAAGGGAGCCGATGTAGCGCGGCGCACATTGTTGGCCCTCGCAGAGAGTGCGCGAAACTCTGCGAGACCTGGGTCTGTTCTAGGAGAGCTCCCATCTGCGGATACGACGATCAGAGCACGGGCTACGCGACATGTGAGTAGATGCGTCATCGTTCATGCTGCAAGAACAGTTATAAGAGCCTGGTATTAACACGCATTAGCAATACAATTGTGAACGAGTATGGAAGGGTGCCCGCAGGTGACCCGCGGACTTGGATGCGTGGTACCTCAGGAACGGGCGAGGAATGCTCCATGCTTACAGCATTCAGGGCACATTCCGAAGACCTTGGGCGTTGAATCGCAGTTCACATTGTCCGGGGCGCACATGGTGCAAAAGGACTTCTAGACGGCGAATCGATCATAAGAGGATGGATCACGCAGAAAAGGGTGAATACGGCCGGATGAGTATACGTACTCAAATTTCTCCCTGATCCCGCTGACTTGCGCCCACTCGAGCCTTGCCAGCGCGGCCGCGACCCACAGAGCGGGGACTCCTGAGCGCGGCTCTCCGCTCGGAGTGGGGGCAACGCCGGTAACAGACTTTCGCCGCGTGTACTCTGTGTTCAATAGTGGTACACATATATGCGTCCAGGAATGTGCTCCTGTATACCCACATCATACGGAGGCACACCGATTAGCGGCCATAAGTTATCCTCATTTGCAAAGTAACCATTTTTACTCACGAGCTAGTGGCACGGCAGGCGTGCCGGGAAATATGCTCGAAACACGGGGGACGTGCTCAGCATGATCACTTCCTAGCCACAGAATCTTCCACGGAAGCGTCCATGCGAGGGTCGCGTCTGATGGGGAATCTCACGAACCCTCAGGGCGAGCAGGCTCATATGAGTGCGCCGAATTTACGAAGTTGGATGATATAACGCACGTTTCGCGGTCTCACGGGTGATCGGACGTTTCTAAGAGAACAAATCACCTGAGGTGAGACGACATCGCTGCTGACCATAGTGCACGGATTGCATTTTGCCTACCCACCCCCAAATAGACCCACAAAAAGGATGTACCAGAACATGGAAAGGAATAGAATGGTTCCAGGGTGGAGTTGCAGACCAGTCCGCCACGTGTTTGTCGACATGTCGTAGGGCCCAGACATGATGCGTTAGTTGGACATTCGGGGCGTAGTTGAGCCCACCATGATCAGACAGAAAGAAAAGCATAGATGTATGCGAAGAGGCGGGTCCTAGTGGTGATTCTGACAGATACTAGTGTCCGTACCGAGTGCGGAAGTGGTCGTGGTCGCTGCAAGCGAAGATCGGCTACATGGGCGTTACTATGAGCACGCCTCCGAATATGAGCGCTGGATCATCTGGACGGGTTTACCGACCCATGTAAGTTGAGCTCTTGTCCTGTTAACAACATAACCTTGTTGAGGTTTGATACTATAGCATTACAACGACGTCCACTTCCCTCACTTGTGAGGCGGCTTCGGTGCAACTACGTGAAGAAGTTCGAGGGCAAGCGGGCACAAATGGGATTCGCGTTTGGCCGGTGCAAACGCGTGCCGTACATAGTACATACAATAGACCTTATATACACAGTAGAATAGGGGTAGATAAGGGCGCGGGTATCCGTCGGGGGGCGGGACCTGTGGCGCTCGTTCCGCGAGCTCGCCATCTTGACGCCAGGATTCCAACACTACGCACCTATGATCGTCCGAGTCAAGTCGTAGACAAGCCCGAGCACGATGTGGTGGACTCCTGCACATTTGTTACAATTGGTTAGGTGACAAGCAGTACAACAAGAGCACCCAAGGTATGTGACAAGCACTCGCTGGACGTCGTGAGGTTCACCAATCACATCCGCGACTCCACAGTGAGAGCTCTTGCTTCAGCGATGAATTGCGCACAAGCTGGACAAAGGCATCGTGCGCATAGTTGTCAAAACAGGAGCAAGGTTGCACCCTGCGTCCTCATCGCGGCCTCCCGGCAGGACAAGGG